TTAGATGTAATTGTCGGGAATTCATAATTAGCTGCTAAAATTATTTGTCTGTAATATGAAACATAGCAGAAATAACCAAAGCTGTATAAATTTTTGCATACTGTCGTGACCTCTTTCCCAGGAGATCATGTTTTATTGACACCACGATCCCATTTTAACACTGATATTCCGAAAGGTAAAAACGACCTTAGTGATATTCTAACACTGTTGTTTAAGATAATAATAGTTAGAGCAGTGTGCATTTTCTTGTTATATGTGCAGCTTTTAAGCTTAGCTGCCAGAGCGGCAGCTAAAGCTAAAAATTTATTGATAAATTAGCTTGGAGAAGTAATGTATGAACATCTATGATTATTGTTCTAATATTTCTCTCTGCTTATATATTAGCTGTATGATCTTGAGAAGAAATGTAAAATAATTGAAACCCTTTATTTTCCAGTAAGGATTTAAACTTTAGGCTCGTAAATGCTGATTCTCATCGATAATAGATCCTGCAACAATCAAATTGGCCCTTAATAAATGCTATATTTTTATTTATTTAGTCAGTAATTGTATCTGGATTTTTATTTTTATACATATTATAAGATATCTGCTAACATTTTCCACCATTAATAGTATACATTTATCAAAAGTTGCAGATACATCATTGACTGGACCAAATATATTCAAACTCCATGATGATTCTGGTTGTTTCTGTTCAATATAGTGACTTATTGAGTCTGTATAGTGGAAATGTCATGTCATTTTTCCTGCACAATATATTTCGTACCATAAATTATTTTTTCTTGCATTTTCTTCAATTGAGTCTGCGTCATCAAATATCTTAATACCAATACTCTTCCAAATGACTTAAGAAAGTATGCGATTAAATTTTTAATGCACTTTAACAAAGAAAATACTTTCTTTGAGTTTGTTTTTTAAAATTGTTTTAATTTTTATTATCTTATTAGAGTTGTTTGTGTCTTGTGAATTGTTTCTCATGTCAACTATAATGCCATTTATTTCAAAACAAATGATGTCATCTACAATTTTAACTAGCATAGAATTGATAGTATATTTTAATTCAGTAAAGTCTTCATTAAAGTGATATCTACATGAACTTCTTAATTGATCAGCTGAAATAATTACATCATCTCCTTCTGAAGTGTAATATGTATATAAATATTTTATCTAATTTTCACCTTCAATGATTGGTAAATATCCACTTCTAGTAATATTAATTATTTTATTTCCTACCACTTGATAAAAAAGAGCGTCTTTGATAACTTTAAAATCTAATAATAGATTTTTATCTGAAGTTAAGTTAATGGGAGAAGCTGTATCAACTAATACTAATTATTTTTTTGTTAAATATTTGAGCTTTGTTTCTAACGGTTTTTATCTTTTTGCTTGTACTTTATAATTAGTATTCGGTATAGTAGTACTGTGTTGAACGTTCACATTGTTAATAATGATGTTACTATTGTAGTGACTAATGATTTTTTTTATATCTTCTTGATTTTTAATTTTTTTCTATTATTTTTTATTAAGTATTCTGTGTTGATGATGATTGATTCTTTTCACTTTATTGTACAATTTTTCTGACCTTTGTCCACGTAATTTATGAATTAGTTGTTTTGGATCTATTAGGACAAGTTTTTAGAGTGATGAAAGCTTGACCTGTAAAAGTCACAATATTTCAGTCTTTCTTCTGAGATGCCCTCTTTTATTTTTATGTTTTTGATGGTACTTATGAGAGCATGCACATAATCATTTGGATCCGCTGGAATTAGCGTCATAACTATTGTATATTAAAGAGGTTTTTTTTTCAATCACTTAAAGACTTTAATATGACAGCAGTGTTATATGTGACGTTTGAATGTATAAAAGAAAAAGAAAATTTTTCAAAAGAAATACATACAAGCTAAAAGATCTAATGTGTTCAACGGTTAAGGCCACAAGCGTCCAGTAGGATTCATCGAATAAGTAGCTTGAATCTTATTGTACATTATATATTCGAATAACATATCCTGTAAATTATCCTCAATGGTGTTTTCTACTTTGTTTTATTGATAAATGAAGAAGTTATCTTTTCTTGATCTGTTTCTTGAAAACTCCAGACCTCTCATAATTGCATTTTTTGAATTGTTCTCTTGTATTTATATCTATCAGTACAAAACTGATCAATTTTAATACGCTTCCAGATTTTATTTGTTATCTTCCTCGGATATATATCTAAGAATTTTTCTTTAATTACATTATTCATCTCAATAGTATTATTGAAATATATGTCAAAACTTTAAATATTCCTGTCTATTGTGTTTTTCAAAATCTTTTTGATTATTGTATTTGAAAGTATTTGTTTCATAATTATTATTTGTTATATTATTATGTCTGTCTTTCATGTATTTCTCTCTTAAAGTCTTTATTTCATTTTCAGCTTCTTGAATAATATTATTAAGAGTTTATCTAAAGTTTTGATATTTCTTTAACTCTTTATCTAAACTGTCAACATTGATGTTTTCAATATTTAATAAGCAACTCTCTTTAGCATCAATTTGTTTTAATTTTTTGTTTAATTGCCGATGTCTAGTTTGAAAAGAATCTAGTCTTGATTTAGTTCCAAGACTTACAAAGGCGACACTACCTTACTGGACGCTTGTGACCTTAATCAGTGAACATATTAGATACTTTTGCTTGTATATATTTCTTGTTGGTTTCATTTGTTTGTACATACTATATAGATATTTACGTATGTGTTGTATAAAAGTGAATAAATTAGCTTCTTATATCTCCTTTTCTTCTCTCTCTTTTGAAAATTTTTTCTTTTCTTTTCTACATTCAGATCAGACACTACACGTAACATTATTGCCATAATAAAGTCTTTAATATAAGATGATTATGATAATCATTCCAACAAATTTATCAATATTTATATATATATGATTAATATCCCTACTTTAATACATCACTTTTGATAACACCTTATATATACAACCTCAGCTATTGTTTACATTATATCTTTATATTGTATAAAAATCATACTTTAATTCTACGATCTTCAACTGTGTGAACAATATAGGAATAATGATACACCAAAACGTTTCAAAAGGATAGGAACATGGTATAAAAACATTATCCGCTTTCTATATGCTGATATTTGACATTTCTCTTTTAAGGTGGCAAAAATTTATCACAATTTTTTTTTGTCTACATTTATTGCTAAATAAACATTACATGCTCTGCATTTTAGTAGGGATTTATATTTACTAAAATCTATTTCCTCTGTTCGTTTATTCCAGAATAGTCAATTTCAGTAAACTGTTATTTTTTGTTTTTTTGTTCCAATTATTGAATTAATCATGAACTCGTCCTATTTCATCGTAACCTCTTCTGTTGATGCAAGTCTTCAGTAGCAAAAACTCTACTAAATTTCATTATTTCGTTATAAATTGACATGATGAAACAATACAAGCCCATAATAAGATTTTAGCCGTACTACAGACCTATATTATATCAATTACCTCTCTATGTTCTATATAACGAATTGTACAGTATGCCTATACATATTTATAAATTTTTTTTCAGTCATTTAGTACAATGAGTCTAGTTTATCAACAATATCTTTAATCATATTTACACATCGCTTATTCTATGGTTTTCATAAACAAATCTCTAACCTTAATAAAACACAGATCCTGGTAAGATCTCCTTCATTATACCGGCAATTTGTTCAGCTGTGTTAATGAGATCAACCTCAATACTTCCAAAGTCCACCTGGCGTCTCAGAAAATAATAATTTAAACTACCGTATGTTTCATTTTAAAATATAACATGAAATTTTTGACTACATAAATGGCTGGTTCGTTATCTATCAACAGCTTAATTATCTTTTGCACTTATTAGCATGGGATCCAGCAGATTTTTTCTAATCAAATAAGTTTCTTACTAATACTGCTAGTGAAGATATATTTGGCATCTGTTGAAGAAAGACAAACTACACTCATTGCCTTCTTTTATGACCATGTCACCACGGTACCCGCAAGTTTTATAATAAACCTATCAGTTACATATTTTATTTCCATGAAATGCGTCTAAAAAAACCTTCAATATATCTTTCAAGTTTTGTGTTGTAGGTTAATCCTTAGCTTTTTAGTGTTATATATGTGCTGTATTACTTTGCATGCGCTTTTTAAATGTGCCTCTTTAGGATTTTTAAGGAATCGTGATAGAAGTTGAACAGGATGGGCTACATCGGGACATCCACCAAAATTGCTCACAAACATCAGTTGGTAAATAATACCTTGTCACTCATTTATATTGTCAATTGTTGGAGATTCAGTGTCGAAATAATTAATAGTATTGGATAATGGAAATTCTACATTTCTATTCAAGTCAATTTGATAACTTTCGGTTGCCTTAGTAGTATATTCCTCTACTGATAAGGTTATATTGTTCAGGTCATCTTGGTGAATATTTATTCTTAAAAATTTGGAAACTAGACCCAGATCTTTTATGGAATATACTGCTTTTAACCCTGCTGTAACAGAGCTCATAATATTTTTGTTCAGAGCAGCAATTAGGAGATCATCAATATACAATGCAATTAATACTTTCGCACCTTTAATATTTTTAAAATATATGTTAGATTCCCCATCATGGTGTGTGGATTCTTTGTTGGTTAATGTTTTATGAATATGTGTGTTTCATAATAGTGGGGCTTGCTTTAATCCGTACATACCCCCGTAAAGCTGCCACACGCAATCGGGATGTATAGAATCAACAAAGCCTGGAGGTTGATGAACGTAGATTGGTTCTTCCCTTTTGGAATTTAAGAAGACAGTGTCTACATCCATTTGGTGAACACGGAGATTAAAGAGAACAGAGATAACAAGAAAGATACAGACAGAATTATATCTCACTGCAGGAACAAAGGTTTTTTGATAGTTGATACCAGTTTTTTCAGTGTGCCCTTGAGCCTCTAAACGTTCTTTAAACCGGTTCCCATCCTTAATGTTAAATACTCAACGAGAACTCAAGACACGACGACCAGGAGAGAGAGGAATCAACCTATACGTATCATGCTCTTTAAAGGCATGAAGTTCTTTCAGACAGGCTTGATACCATTTGTCCATATCTGAAGAATATATTACCTGGTTGAATGTATTTGGGACAGAAGTAGTGGTAGAAGTAAAGGAAATGCCATGAACTAACGCAGTCAAGGCTATGTGGTGTGCAGGATTATCATCAGAACCAGATGATTGAGAAGAACAGGGTACAGGTGTTCTAATGAGTTGGGTGAGACCATCCATGGAGTTCACAGGAACAAAACTGCCGGAGTCAATATTAACAGCCCCAACAGCAGGGATACCAATTGTACCAGGACTAATTGAATTAGAATCCCACTTTGGATGGTGTTTCCCAATTTGGTGATTTAAGTAGAATTCAGAAGCAGGAATAAGACCTAACTTGTTATGATTAACAGTTGAGGATGTTTGGCCATTCAACTTGCTAACATGTGTGGTGATAGGGGCGGAAATGTTGTCAGCTAATTCAATTTTACTATTTTTTAATGGTTCATGGGGATCTAAGTCTTCTAAGTTGTAAACCGGTGAAATATCACTTGACAAAGATCTGGATTGTGAATTAGGAGAAGATGTGTCAGAGTGGATATCATCGATGGTAGATGTTAATTGTTGAGTAGTTAGTGAATCAGCTGTTGGAGTAATTGAAGAGTCAGTATCAGAGGATGAAGCAATTGATGATGGTTCGTCTGCTTCCTTCTTGTTTATTTGAGTAGAATTATGTGAGGAGAATGAGGCAGTTGACTCATTGTCTATAGAAGATGAATCAAGGTTGTTGAAAGTAAAATTTTCACAGTCAAAAGTCGTAGAAACAGGAGAAGAAGAGAAGGAAGTAGATGGTAGTTCATATTCATCAGAGGAAGAAGAGTCATATTCGTGCTTATCATTGCCAGATGAATCAACTCTGGACATAGAAGAATCAGAATCAGCAGATGATAGATACGGAGTGGAGTATCGACTAGTACCTTGATCTAGAAGTTCATCACCATGTATGGTGGTTAATTCATTTTGTAAATTGCCCTCATATATAGGATAATCAGTAGTGTCAGGATAATAGTTTGAAGTTTGTATTTCAGAAGACTGAGTTGTGAAAGCATCAGTAGATGAAGGATAAATTGGGATACCACCCAAAGTACCAGTGGCAAATGTATGAGCCGCTTCGACCTCTTTGGTACCTGCAAGTGGGAAATCAAGTTCATCAAAGCGAACTTGATTTAATACAAAAATTTTCTTAGAGGGTGGATGGTAGAGACGGTAAGCTTTGTGTTTAGAGTCATATCCGACAAACACACACTTTACACTAATAGGAGCAAATTTTCCGTCATGTAATTGATGAGGTAATGTAGCATATAAAGCACATCCAAATATACGTAGATGTGATAAATTTAGATTTTTTGTTGGAATATTGTTCCAAAGACAGTAAGGGATAGAATATTTTTTATTAGATACTGGTAACCTATTTAAGAGATATACAGCAGTACTTACAGCCTCTGTCTACATGGGAGGAGGTGCCTTCCCTCCAATTAAAAGGCATTTTGTCTTTTTTTCAATCGGGCGACGGGATCTTTCTACTGCCCCATTTTGAAAATTATTGTACGGAACAGTTAATTGATGGGAAATTCCATTGCTTTTACAGAAATTATGAAATTTAGTTGATATAAATTCACGTCCATTATCTGTACGAATGGCACCCACCTTAAATCCCCCTTTGATTTGAAGTTATTTTCTGTTTCTAAAATTTACTTAATCAACTTATTGCATGCAGCTGATTTTGATGTTAAATGAATCACAAAATAATATCTTGAGTAGGCATCCTGGATAGTCAAAAAATATTTATTATCAGAAAAATTAGTATACCTAAATTGGTCACAAATGTCAACTTGTAATAACTGTAAAGGACTCGTGTATTGTGTGTCAGAAATTTTTCCTTTTTTCATCGCCCCTTTTGAAAGGGAACAAGTGAGGCACAACGAGTGTTTATCAGCTTCCATAATGGACAGGTCAATTCGATTTGCCAATCGATTATAATTAGCTAAACGTGGATGTCCTACTCTAGCATGCCATTTAATAACTTCTGGAACTTTTGCCTTTGGAGATGGTAAAACGGAATGGTCATACGAAATAAAAGTATAATCAAGTGGTTTTTTCATAATTTTTGTTTCATTATTATCGGACTTGAAAACATAAAGTTGATTTCTTATTTCACCAATTTGAGTAATTTTATTATTTTTAATTGTAAAATACCTTTGTTTTGTCAAATATAAATTTCATGTTTGACTTAGCAGAAGCCATTTTGACAGAGATCAAGTTTACGTGGCCATTTGGGACATATGCTACATTGTATAATGTGACATGTCCTAGTTGTACTGTACCAATACCTTTAATAGCAGTTTTACCCCCAATGCCTTCGATAACCCCAAACTCATTCTCATTACCTTCGACTAACTCACTAAACATCGAAAAGTCGTGAGATATGTGCTGAGTGCAACCAGTATCAAAATACCAATCATTTCTAGATGCTGTCTTTTGTTCACTAACCAACGCAACCCAAGCTGTATGAGGATTATTAATATTGTGATCTTTTTCATATTTTTTATTTCTTTTGGCCTTCAATCATTCTTGAAATTCCGGACACTCATTAGTTTTATATTGTCCCCGGCAATTCTTAAAGTTAAAATTTTTAACTTTTGGTTTGAATTGGTTTCTTTTTCCAATAAGACTGGAGTTAGTTACTTCTCTTTCAATATTGCTAATCACATCATACACTTTTCTCAACTTAATTTCGTAATTTTTACCAAATATATTTATAAATCTTTGGTAAGATTCACCATATAAATTCATTAAAAATAATGGAGTAGTCTTTTCACAAACTTTAATTTTGATTACTTTTAGAGTTTTTGTTGTTCTGAAGTTAATGAAGCTAAAAACATTTTTTTATTAGATAACCTCCACTAAACAGTTAGCTAGGTCATGCTAGTCATCTAATGCTAAATCCCTAGCTTTAGCTAATTGAAAAAAAGGTTCGGTAACTATATCAATAGATTCTCCACAAAAACACTCAGTTAAGTGATTAAGAAGACTTTTTCCAGTCAAAATGTCATAATCATCAGCAACATATCTATCTGCCTCCTTTTTAGCGGACCCTTGAACATTATTAACAATTAATAATTTTAATGCCGTTTCAAATATTTTCTTAATATAAGCAATCATATCATTGGATGAATTCCATTGTTCAACAATGACATTTAGCCTTCCATTTTACGCCTATTGACACCAATATAGGTTGAGATTGAACATGTGTATAGCTAAAATATTAATTTATTTTTTAAAGTTCTTTTTTCTGTTCAATTTAAAAGGAACATAACTTACAGCCGTTACGACAGGGCTCGTAACCTATTGATGCAAGGCTTCAGTATAAAAAATTCTACTAGCATTCATTTTAGATCAATATAATAAGATGATAAAAACTTATAATAGGATATTGGTAGTATTATAAGTTGTTCCTGTATAACTTCTTTTATTCTGTTTTACATATTTTATATACATATATGACTAAATATATGTTATAACACATTTTATTTTAATATTTTTTTTATATGCTGTTATAAGATTTTTCAGTCATTTGGTACGAAAAAATTAGATCATCACATACCATTTTTAATCTTATTTCAACAAATTCATTAATTGGAATAAAAAAATAATAACAGCTTACTGAAATTGGATGTTCTGGAGTGAATAAATGGACTAAGCAGCTTTTAGTGAATATAAATCTCCATTAAAATGCAAAGCATGTAATATTTACTTATCAATAGATATAAAAAAAGACAAATTGATAAATTTTTGTCGTCCTAGAGGAAATATATCAAAAATCAGCATATGTAAAGCGAATGTTGTATTCATATCATGTTCTTATCCTTTGTAGACTTTTTATATATCCTCATCTCTATATTGTACATGCAGCAGAAGATTGAAGAATTTAAGCATGATGTTGTATAATATAAATATATAATAATAATAATAATAATTAAGAATGAATACTTATATATCAAATAAATACAGACACTAATTATCAACATAACTCATATATAAGTGTGATATAGAAAAACTAATTTATATAGCATATCCGCTATAAGAAATATAGTTTTGATTTGTTAACATAAATAGATATTAAGTAAGAATGTGGTTCAAGCGTAGATGTATGGTTGATGCTCGCAATTTGTCAACATGCGTTGTTTACTATAATAATGCTGTAGTGCAGTTTAGATAAATAATCTTATTGAAATATATTTGATGTTACAATATTCACTATAAAATAGTAGTGCGTGAACTTATCTCTAAGTCTGATAAATATCTCATTAAACAGTATAGGATTTTCCTAGAAAGTAGATAGTGGTCTTACTGTGTTTCTTTGTCAACTACTGTTTTGTTAAGAAATATATTTAACAAATAATTAAAATTTTGTTGAGAAGCATATTATATTACAGTAGTTATCTCTAGAGATTTGTAGTATAAAATAGTTGAAAATTATTCAAGCAAAATATTATGGATCATGAAAGACCAATGAATACATATAACAGTAAGCCTTCTAAGAAGAAAAGTGGCATACGTGGTCTTTAGTCAATATATTTTGATAGATTTTAAAGAATGTAAATATGTAATATATATGTTTATGCTCAAAAGATATTACTGTTGGCAATAGTTATTATAGTAACGGTAATGATAACGATTGTCAAATAGAATATGAATATATCAGGAAATGCAAGGTTTAAAAAGGTTAATCAAATAACAAGATAAGTGATTGTTTGGAATCGATATATCATTATATTAAAAAGAAAAGCTCTTATGTTCTTGGCATTGCTGAAGCGTTAGTTATCTTCTCTTTTGTTGGTAAGTAAAAAAAACTAAAGAAGCAAATGGATTATTTAAATGAAAAATAGGGTATAAATAAATATTATTATATATAAGATATATATGTATATCGTTTAAAAATCAACTAAAATATGAATGGAAGCAAAGAGAAGAGTGCCAATGCAAAGCTTGACCATTTAGCTGCAGTGGTAGGAGCAGAAGCTTCATACTGTGACAATGTTACCGCACTTGATCTGCCACTTGGCTTTGCGGTTTGGGAAGATACGTGTAATGGTTCTTGAGTTACAGCAACCTGTAGAGGATTTACTGTAGTTCCAGCCAACGAACCTGCTTCAGTTTCAACCCCGTTTGTTCTGGACGATGATCCAATCTTCATAGTGCTCCAATTATTGCCACCTGTAGTCTCTGTGTTTCTTGTAGCTGCAGTGTTTTCTTTTGAAGACTCTGCCATTCCAGAAGGTGATAATGACAATGATGGCTCAGCCTTATTAGTATTCCAATTATTGCTTCCTGCAGTCTCTGTGTTTCTTGTAGCTGCAGTGTTTTCTTTTGAAGATTCTGCCATTCCAGAATATGAGAATGCTGTAGATGTTGATGAAGAATTCCAGTAATGATATCCTAGACTTGAAGGAGCTATACTTGGAGTAGCCACAATAACAATGTCGATTGGACTACTGCTTCCATCAGAGTTAGTGGTGTAGGAAGTAGATGTAGAAAGAGGAGATGCAGAAGTAACCAAACCTGGGATGTATGAGGTGATTTGGCTGACAGCTGGAGTCTCGACAACAATAACACCAACTGCACTACTGCTACCATTCGAGTCAGTGACGTAGGAGATGTATGAAGAAAGGGCAGAAGCAGATCCTACTAGACCTTCAGTGTATGCAGTAACAGTGCTTCCAACTGGGGTAGCAACAACAACAATGTCAACTTCACTGCTGCTACCGTTGGAATCAGTGGTGTAGGATGTGATTGTGGATTGGGCTGAAGCAGAACCTATGATACCTGGAATGTATGAGGTAATTTGTTTTGGTTTTGGAGTCTCAACAACAATAACACCAATGGCTTTGGTGCTACCATTCGAGTCGGTTACATAAGAAATGTAGGAAGAAAGGGCAGAAGCAGAGCCCACTAGACCTTCAGTGTATGCAGTAACAGTGCTTCCAACTGGGGTAGCAACAACAACAATGTCAACTTCACTGCTGCTACCGTTGGAATCAGTGGTGTAGGATGTGATTGTGGATTGGGCTGAAGCAGAACCTATGATACCTGGAATGTATGAGGTAATTTGTTTTGGTTTTGGAGTCTCAACAACAATAACACCAACCGCACTACTGCTACCATTCGAGTCGGTTACATAAGAAATGTAGGAAGAAAGGGCAGAAGCAGAGCCCACTAGACCTTCAGTGTATGCAGTAACAGTGCTTCCAACTGGGGTAGCAACAACAACAATGTCAACTTCACTGCTGCTACCGTTGGAATCAGTGGTGTAGGATGTGATTGTGGATTGGGCTGAAGCAGAACCTATGATACCTGGAATGTATGAGGTAATTTGTTTTGGTTTTGGAGTCTCAACAACAATAACACCAACCGCACTACTGCTACCATTCGAGTCAGTGATGTAGGAGATGTATGAAGAAAGGGCAGAAGCAGAGCCCACTAGACCTTCAGTGTATGCAGTAACAGTGCTTCCAACTGGGGTAGCAACAACAACAATGTCAACTTCACTGCTGCTACCGTTGGAATCAGTGGTGTAGGATGTGATTGTGGATTGGGCTGAAGCAGAACCTATGATACCTGGAATGTATGAGGTAATTTGTTTTGGTTTTGGAGTCTCAACAACAATAACACCAATGGCTTTGGTGCTACCATTGGAGTCAGTGATGTAGGAGATGTATGAAGAAAGGGCAGAAGCAGAGCCCACTAGACCTTCAGTGTATGCAGTAACAGTGCTTCCAACTGGGGTAGCAACAACAACAATGTCAACTTCACTGCTGCTACCGTTGGAATCAGTGGTGTAGGATGTGATTGTGGATTGGGCTGAAGCAGAACCTATGATACCTGGAATGTATGAGGTAATTTGTTTTGGTTTTGGAGTCTCAACAACAATAACACCAACCGCACTACTGCTACCATTCGAGTCGGTTACATAAGAAATGTAGGAAGAAAGGGCAGAAGCAGAGCCCACTAGACCTTCAGTGTATGCAGTAACAGTGCTTCCAACTGGGGTAGCAACAACAACAATGTCAACTTCACTGCTGCTACCGTTGGAATCAGTGGTGTAGGATGTGATTGTGGATTGGGCTGAAGCAGAACCTATGATACCTGGAATGTATGAGGTAATTTGTTTTGGTTTTGGAGTCTCAACAACAATAACACCAACCGCACTACTGCTACCATTCGAGTCGGTTACATAAGAAATGTAGGAAGAAAGGGCAGAAGCAGAGCCCACTAGACCTTCAGTGTATGCAGTAACAGTGCTTCCAACTGGGGTAGCAACAACAACAATGTCAACTTCACTGCTGCTACCGTTGGAATCAGTGGTGTAGGATGTGATTGTGGATTGGGCTGAAGCAGAACCTATGATACCTGGAATGTATGAGGTAATTTGTTTTGGTTTTGGAGTCTCAACAACAATAACACCAACCGCACTACTGCTACCATTCGAGTCGGTTACATAAGAAATGTAGGAAGAAAGGGCAGAAGCAGAGCCCACTAGACCTTCAGTGTATGCAGTAACAGTGCTTCCAACTGGGGTAGCAACAACAACAATGTCAACTTCACTGCTGCTACCGTTGGAATCAGTGGTGTAGGATGTGATTGTGGATTGGGCTGAAGCAGAACCTATGATACCTGGAATGTATGAGGTAATTTGTTTTGGTTTTGGAGTCTCAACAACAATAACACCAATGGCTTTGGTGCTACCATTGGAGTCAGTGATGTAGGAGATGTATGAAGAAAGGGCAGAAGCAGAGCCCACTAGACCTTCAGTGTATGCAGTAACAGTGCTTCCAACTGGGGTAGCAACAACAACAATGTCAACTTCACTGCTGCTACCGTTGGAATCAGTGGTGTAGGATGTGATTGTGGATTGGGCTGAAGCAGAACCTATGATACCTGGAATGTATGAGGTAATTTGTTTTGGTTTTGGAGTCTCAACAACAATAACACCAACCGCACTACTGCTACCATTCGAGTCGGTTACATAAGAAATGTAGGAAGAAAGGGCAGAAGCAGAGCCCACTAGACCTTCAGTGTATGCAGTAACAGTGCTTCCAACTGGGGTAGCAACAACAACAATGTCAACTTCACTGCTGCTACCGTTGGAATCAGTGGTGTAGGATGTGATTGTGGATTGGGCTGAAGCAGAACCTATGATACCTGGAATGTATGAGGTAATTTGTTTTGGTTTTGGAGTCTCAACAACAATAACACCAACCGCACTACTGCTACCATTCGAGTCGGTTACATAAGAAATGTAGGAAGAAAGGGCAGAAGCAGAGCCCACTAGACCTTCAGTGTATGCAGTAACAGTGCTTCCAACTGGGGTAGCAACAACAACAATGTCAACTTCACTGCTGCTACCGTTGGAATCAGTGGTGTAGGATGTGATTGTGGATTGGGCTGAAGCAGAACCTATGATACCTGGAATGTATGAGGTAATTTGTTTTGGTTTTGGAGTCTCAACAACAATAACACCAACCGCACTACTGCTACCATTCGAGTCGGTTACATAAGAAATGTATGTGGAAAGGGTAGAAGGTGAATTGACCGACCCTAAACTGTATGCTGTAATGGTACTCTTCATTGGAGTCTCAACAACAACAACTTCAATTGGACTGCTGCTTCCATTGGAGTCGGTGGTGTAGGAGGTGTAAGTGGAGAAAGCAGAAGAGGAGCCTACCAATCCAGGAATGTAGGATGTAGTTAACATAGGGGCAGGAATTGCCTCATAGTAAACAACTATAACTTCTTCATTATAAGAATTAAGCATCGTCGTAATGGTGGTTGTTTGAGTAGTTGTGGTTGCATTCAAACCACGCACTGTGTTTGTGATTGTAGAGGTTGTTGTTGTGTATGCTGTAGATCCACTATACGTGAAGGAAATATCTGAAGTGTTAGTGAAGCTTTCATCGGGAATACTGTATAGATTACTACCAATACCTTTATCTATAGTACCGTCTGGCAAATTTATTGAAATATCTAATAACCCTTGCTGATTCTGGTTGATATATAGAAGTTTAAATGGATAATATGTGCCTTCTTCCATATATATAGTTTGTACTTCTGTATCCATACCATATGTTACACTACCAGTAAGTGTAAAAAGATATTGAGGAGAGACAAAATCTACATGTTGTTTACCACACTCAAATGCTTCACCAGAACCTATGAAAACTGTAACAGAATCGTCCACTTTAGCGTTTAGAGTGTAAATACCGGTTAGTGGAGCTTTATAATAACCAGTAATTTCCATCATGAAGTTACTTATAGGAACACCTGTGTAACCATATGGAGGAATGGTCCAGTCATTACCTGAATACCATGTTAGATTTGTAACGCCTGTAATTGTACCTACGTATTTATTTTTTAAATAACCACCCAGTAAAAAGTTTTTTTGTTGATAACTGCTTTTATCGTGAATACGGTACTGAAAAAATCTAACAGTGGCCCCGATGGTACCGTTGCTTGGAACTGAACATGCAGCTGGTGCATAGGCTGCTGTAGCAAATCGTAAATGTATATGTAACCATAATAATATGGCAACAAAGTTCTTATAACACAACAACATATTGTATTATTATGATTGAAAATATATGATTGTACCCAAAAAAAAAATAAAAAGAAAAAAAAAAATTAAGAGCGTCTATCTATCGTAAACTTTAGTAAGATGATATTTTAACGTTATAAATAATATATGGGTGCAGTAGAGTTTTTGGTTTTCTTCTTGATGGGTGGTGTGTATAGTTCCGAGAGAAGTTAATTTTGATAAGACTTTTTAAGTGGAAGGTAAGATCATGTTGGAAAATCAAATGTTTGGATATGACACCCTTTTATATTTGAGGAATTAATTAGAAAGTTGTGGTTCATAACATGATATACGCTGTTGGAAGTGGTTTCTTTTTTTTTCTTTTTTATTTAATTTGAGGACTTTTCACTTAGTAATGCAAATTTCAAAGATTCTAATAACCTTGCTAATTAAAAAATTTAATTCAAGAAAAAACTCGAGAGTATAATAGATCCACATGTATTATTATGCAATATGCAAAATTCATGGTGTCGTATGTTATAAAAATCGTGGTATATATGTTGATAGAATGTATGTTTTCCTGTCTTTAAGAAATAGGAATTTCTTTTCATCCGAAAAAGATCATTTGCAAAAGTTTAGTATTATTGAAAGGCTAAAAATTTTTTTCTTGTTTGTTTTTCCCTAAAAAATTCACTGTCGAAGATCAGGACGGAATTATTCGGTGTTAGGATTATCCGCTTTTTTGTTCTCCTTTTACTAAAAATGGCAATAAAAGAAAACGACGAGGAATACAATAGAAACGTTTGTATTATTATGCAGCATGCAGAATTTATTGTGTCATACATTATGAAAATCATAAAACAGGACGTTAAAATGTTCGTTTTCTTTTTTCCTTTTTTCCTTTTTTTTTTCTTTTTTTCTCTAATTAAAAAAAGTGGAACTTTCTTTTCGTCCGAAAAAAATAGTATCTGTAAAACTTTAGTATTTTTGGAAGGTTATATTAAGGTTTTTTTTTATTTATTTATTTATTTTTTTTCGATTTTCAATTACCTCAAAGGTACAAGATCATTTTGCAGTACAGTTTTCCGATGTTCCGAGCTTACAGAAAAAAAGATTAAAAAAGTGGAGACTATCTGGAAAAATTTTAGGGACGGAATTTTCCGGATTAAAAAAGGTCGCATGTATAATACCGCTACAAGGTAGATAGGGCATAAAGAAAGCTTCTGTATTTTCCCAATGGGCCATAGTTATTAGACGTTAGGGTTTGCAGAAGACATCATGGAAACCATTCAATTTACATCGGTTTCAGAAATGACTTAAGTTAAGTAAATTACGTTAAAATAGGTATTGATGCACTTAGACAAGGATAGTGGCTGATTACTTTATGGTTGCCTTATCTTTGTATATTTGAGACTGTTCACACTACTATTATTAGGATTCAATCTAAAAAAAGTTAGTTATAGGCTAATTTACAGTAAGGGTTGGAGTAAATTTTTAAAAGCTTCTATTTAAGGATATATTTTTGTAACGATCCAATAAATAGTGTTGGAATCTTTATTTTAACAGTCTTCCTCTGAAAGGAAAAATATAAAGTTTTGTATCTTTCTGGCTTACGAAAAAAATTCCATAATGAATTCTAAAAGCACAATTTTTTTGTATTTTACCAATTCGTTTTCTTTTTTCTTTTTTTTTCTATTTTTCTTTTTTTCTTTTTTTCTTTTTTTCTTTTTTTCTTTTTTTCTTTTTTTCTTTTTTTCAAGATTTCTACTGGATCTTTTTTCAGGTGTTAGTATTACTTTTTTAGTCTATTTTGAAAATCAAAATAACAAAAAAAAAACTTGCTAGGGGCATTTCTACATAATACAGTTAGAGCTATATACACAAGAGATCAGGGTATTTTAATTATAATCAACATAGTGATAATATCACCTTTCTAACCATAACCAGTAATTGTTTAAATGTTAAAATTGCTTTGAGGCAAATGTAAAAAAAAATTTCGTAAAGAGTTTTAAAAAGGAAGATCCAGTTTAGATCTTGTCTTGTAACCATAATATACACCTTTGTTAGAGTTTCGAACACACATATCTAGTTAGAACTAATTAACTAATCAATACACAACAGCCCTATCTATATCTGTGTTTTGTTCAGAAAATAGAGCTAAAAAAGTTATGCAGAGGGCAAGAATGTTAGATTTAACAATTTATTAATACCGATAAAGCAACTAGCTAAATGTTTTAGGATTGGGGAAAAAGCATGTGAGGTGTATGGAACTGAAAAATTTTTTTTGTCTTATTGATTTATTTAAGTTGTCTATGTCAGGAAAATAACAATGGAACCTTTCAGGAAATAATTAATTTAGATTTTGTTTTTTGCTTTAATGCACAGATTTATTGTTATGAGAATTGCCCTATTTCTCTTAAAAATTTACAATAAATAAAAGTGGAGATTATAGAGTATGGAGATGTCGTGTTTATTTACACATATTGTTCTTGTAAACATAAAAAAAACATTTTCGGAAAGACTTATTATTTAAAAAAAAATTTTTCGCCATTTTTCTAGAATGTACATGATTAATAGAATCGGCTTTTATGATACTAAAATGCATTTATCCGAGAAGTAATCTCGATTTTTTTCTATAGAGCGGATAAATTTTGAGAACAAATGATTAACATACAAAAAAACATTCAATTTAACGGTTAATCGAAAATTTGCGCATAAAAGATTTCCCTATTGTATGTACCGAATACATTGTGAATCTTACATGTATTGTTTTTTTTTTTTAAAAAAATTGGTAGAAAATGAATAATATTTCCATTTAAGTTAAGTTAAGCATTGCTTTTATTACATCGTTAAGAATGATAACAAAAAAGGTAAAAGGATCAATTTGTTTTTATTTATGAACATGATGTATGAAATTGTGCATATTACTTCTATCGGTTTTTATTAAATCAGAAATCCAATTTAATAATAACTTAAAGTATGACGATGTTAATTACAAACACCACCACTTTTCCAAGAAAATAATATTCACATGTCTGCATTTTTACAGTAGTCAAGACTGAATAAAATACTTTTTCCCTCTTAAAACTTATTGATGTAATAGAAGAGAGGGTGTTACCATGTAACGTAGAGATTCGATTCCAATTTTCCTAAAAAATATTGTATTTAGTATTTTAAATTTTGAGAATAGATTAAGAATATTTTTTACTCAAATCCATCGAAAAATATCAGGATCCACTAATTGTGTACCCCCCCTTTCTCCCCCATTGGGGAGGAAACTTTACAATTTGCATTCTTTTTTTATTCTGCACCTAGGTTTTTTGCATACAAATTCTTGCATAGGTGTTAGATTAGGGAATATATTTTTCATAAAAACCACATTTCGTAATTCCAAGAAAATTTCAGGGTTGAAAATGAGGGGGAAAAAAGGCTGTAGGAAGTATCCCCAAAAAAGAAATCGAAATATTTTTGATTTTTTTAGAGAAGATTACAATCTCTAATTTATGATAGTTTTGATTAAGGAAATCTAAGCAATATATTGTGGTTCCCAAAACGGCTTGAGTTGTGTTGCATTGATTATTTTTAAACAGATGCTTTGCTGTTTGTTGTAAAGGATTTTGTTTGATTTGCATAACTACAGCTTCACAATAACGAAAAGAAGTTTATATATATATACATATATTGAATTCATGAAATATTTGTATATCTAAAGTGTTTTTTTTGCTGCTTTTTAGATCATCTGTATCAAAAGACATGAGTAATTATTGGAGCAGTTGTTGCTTCAGAAAGCATTTTTATAAAATATTGCTAAGTTCTCATGTATCATTTCTTGCAAAAGTTTAGTAAATTTCTAATAAAAGGGGTTAAACAATATTATACATAAAGTCCATCTTCTTGATATCATAGGAGAAAAATCTTATTATAAAAATCAGATACTTCTTTTTTTTAATGTGGTTTGTTTACTTAGAAATGTACCACTTCCTTTATATATGATAATGTGAAGTTAAATAAATGTTTATAATATTGTATTAAGGGATTTCTTGTATTTAATAGTACAAATTTTGATTTCTCATTGCTTATTCATGAATCCCTGTTACACAAAAAAATTTTTTTTCTAGATAGACGATTAATATATTATATGAGATACTTGCAAAAGTAAAGAAACTACAACTAGCAAAAATGAATCTCTACATTATTATTGAAAACACATATTCCTAGCGTAATATTATTAAATGTATATATTTTAATAATGTAGATTCTCTTTTAGTAAGATGTTCTCCAGTTACTAAGGTATCAAAATTGATATATATCTAATAAAATAATAAGATGTTATAGAAAATAATACAAGTAAAAAATTCAATACTACTAAATTTATACATCTTATATATTAGATTTTAGATAATGCTTCTTGTTTATCATACTTGTGTTCAAGAGATAAGTCAGACTGGAGGGGAAACATAGGGTTGATATTACAATTTTTATGATGAGTCGGCTGCTAGTCTAAAAAGTATCTTTCATTAGTTATCTCTGATTTATATATGGTAGTCGGTTAACTTGTGCTTCATGTTTATTATGCTTATTATATATTATTTCTAAATAGTAATAAACAATAATAAATCATGATCATTGAAATTTGTATAAACTGCTTTTTTTTAATTAAATATTTTTGTTGAAATAGACTGTTCTAGAATAAAATAGATTGAACAATAAAATTTTAGCAGACACTAAACGATAAATTGTTGAGTAATAATTGGTGAGAGGTCACCAAAAGTTGTCGAGTTTGTTTATTAAATATCTTACCGTTCGTAGAGGAAAATGGCTTAATGGTAACATATATAAAGCCAAGGATTTCATCATACATTATTTTTATCTTATTTACAATCTTTGTATATTATTATTTCTATGTTGTATATAGAGAAAGAAAGTGAAGGACTTTATTATAATTTTGTATACTAAATCTGTTTAATATAATATTGAGAATGTTTACTATATATCCAATGAATAAAGGCACTCATTCTCAACAAATTTTACTCAATTCATGTTGTTAGTTAGTTTTTTTTGTGCTATATACTTCTAATTATTATTAAAAAAAGTTTTTATGTTTTGTTGATTTCAGTTATTGAAAGCACCATGAGATACTGAAAAATAAATAAATGTAAAGATGGGTAATCTTGGATAATTAATATAACAAATTTATAAAAATTTATGTTACCAAGTTTTTAGTTGAAGATAATTTTATCCAATTATATATAATACGAAAATGAGAAATTTTTATCATTGAAATGTCAATTTATCCACATGGGAAGAGACTCGTTGATATCTTCTTTGAATTAATACACCCATATTTTGCATTCTTACATAAAAAAATCTTATTAGAAAAATATTCAAGATCTTATAAAAAATTAACAACACATTTATTATCATTGATATATTAACTAGCTTTACAATTATAGAATTTCTATTCTCAGTTCAATAATTTTAACAAATTAGATCCTAATGTGCTGATTTAGAATATACCACTTTCTTTAATAGGATTGACTACCTGAGATTATCAATGATTCAAACTAGTCTATTAATATTACAATATGGAGTCAATCAATCAAATACTTTGGTAGTTTGTTCAAATTTAGTAGCATTGGCAGAAGAACTATGATTAAGTAAAGACCGTGGATATTAGCAATTACCTAAATGAAAGAAGGATTTAAGAAAACGATTAAGATGAGCCATATTATTACATAATAAATAAACTGCTTTAATTGAGGGAAGACATTCTAATATCCAGTATCTAATAAAATCTCATTGTTCTATTTGCTATTTTTTAGAACATCTAATTGCAACAATAATATAAGACGATATTTAAGGATAAACCAATAGGAAGTTTCAATCATATCTTTAAAAAGATCAGAAAAAAAACCAATGTCTAAAAAATATTTGAGAATAAAATATTTATTTCGAAATTGGAATTTAATTTAGGAACAAAAAAAGAAATGTCAAAAAGTAAACTTTACAATATCTTTCTCAACATTTTATGTAATTATATATATCTATACACTGTATAAAAAATACGAAGGGACTCAAATTATAATAAACATCTCAACTACTTGAACAAGAAATCATGACTACTTACTACAATAACACCTTAGAATTTTTTTTTTTATAAATTTCCAATCTAGATGGAAAAAACGTAATATATAACTTTATGTGATTTATATGTATTTATTTTTTGGTTATCCTATAAAAAACATCAAGAGGCAAAATCTTTAAATTATTGCATATCAACATAATAAATTTTTGTAGTTAATATTATTGAATATACCTAATATAATTCATAATGTTTTGACCCAAAATATATGAAATCCAACAGTATACAAAACCCTTTCATCCAGAAAAAAAAAGAACAAAAAATATTAAACATTAAGAGTTGCATAATCATAATAATCATTAAAAATAGCAAATATTCTGGCTAACTAAGATATTTAATAACCCTTCTATAAATGCCCATTTTCAAATAAAAATAATGACTATTAAATTAAAATGAAACTATTTTTATATTTTACTTTATTATACTCCTCTAAATGTAGAATATCGGTAGATATAAATTTAGTCTCTTAAACGATACCTTTTATTCAATATTCACTTAAATTCTATTAGACCATGTACAACTACTTCCCAAAATCAAATATTCATTATAATATTTGCAAAAATATTTAGCTCATATCTATCTCAATCACCAAAAGCCAAAGGCTTGACATGTATATTTTACATTTTTCCGTATTGTCCTAATCTATCATATCTCCTATGTATCATCTGTTGAAAAGACCAACTATTATAAAACACAACTTCAATTTAAGTTTTTTGTATAAAGCAGCAAGAACAATACATTAATCTTAGATATATCCATCCTGATATACACAATCCCGTTCAAAACCCACCTTTGCTTGTTCAGTAGGTCTTTAAATCCTTTACTAATAAAAATATTCTGTTCCATTATGAATATTTACCTAGGTACACATACTATCAAATAACTATTTCGTCAGTATTTATCTCTAACAACATAATAAAAACCTACTTTAATCATAATATAAACTGTTTTTAACGAGGCAATGATACTGAAATCGCAGACGACCACATTTAGCCTATCTTTCAATATACTGATAATATTTCATTCCATACTTTTACATTTGACTTTACTTTTTATGATGTCATTAACTGAAATTTTACTTTCATAAATGACTGGTGAACTTCACTTTCTTAAACTGGTCCTCTAATAAAACTATAATTTGAAACTGTTTCAATCATATCTCTATTACGCAACACCTTCGCTAACTTAACTTCTATTAGAACTCTTACAAGAGGAGTTGTTCTTTATGGAATTGTTGCTAATATCATCCTCCTGTTTAATGGAATAATAATTACCCTAAATTCTAAAACAATAACAATATTGAATAAACATATCATAGAAAAGATAGCTTTTGGATCTTCCCAATAAGTTACAGTGTTATCAACTATGTGATTCTTCTTTAAATTCTATTATTGAATGGACAAACTCTAGTGTTTGCTGATCTACCGAACCTTAAATAATAACTTCAGTTACCAATGTTAAAATATCATACTTTTTAAATCCAATTACTAATAACAGCAATTGGAAATCAGATCTTTTTAAAAGAAATATGGTGATAACACTCTGAATGATTCTTGCTAACATTGAATAGATATTAACAATATATCATCCCCCCCTTGACTTGGTAAAAATAGTATATATGAAAATTGTGATTTTGTAAAATTTTAGTTGGTAGAATCAACAACAATTGAGGTAAATCAGTTAACTGAATCAGTGCCAAGTTTATTAAGTTAACTAAATCTGTTTCGAAGATTATTCCTTGAATATTAACAGCTGATGAATTTTTCAAAAAAAGTTACTTGCAAAAATTAACAAACCATGCCACTTCAGCAACAATTTTTTGATGACCCATGGCAGAGTCTTAGAAACTTAACATATAGATTAGATATTACTCCTAATTTTCGGTAATAGGGCAAGTTCAAAACTAAAAGTTTGTCTAGATAAAACTAACTCAAAACAACGAGAAACAAACAATTGACTGCTTACGTTGCTGTTAATTGAGTTACTATAGAGACACATGTTCTATTATCCAAAATAAAACGTATAAGTAAAAAAAAATGATATTGAAAAAAAAAAAATAAAAAAAACTAGATGGGCCTCAAACAGAAATTTACAAGAGGACTATTATTTCAACAATTATTGGGAGAGTATCTCATAAATTATATGTCCATTTACTTCTAGTGAGGTTATTTAAATGTAACAACAGACTTATAAAAGCAGAATTAGAGTTTATTGCTTAAATATTAGTTATCCAAAATTGAATAGTAAGTGGCGACAAATTGATGACAACTAAATGCTAACTGATTCAATTGAACTGACCTATATTCAAGGCAAAACCCTTTTCAAAATCGTAACCTAATAGCAAAGTATGACTAGAGAATGAGAAAATAATGATAATTATCAATAATCTTTACTAAACAACTAAAAAAGGAAAAAAAAAGTAAAGATGGAATACCAAAGCTAAAATTAAAAAAGGCTAAGTCACATACATGAATGTCCATGTAGTTTAGTATTGAAATATACACTCTTAGGTAACAGCAAAAGTAAAACAGACAATTTTATACATTGTTTAGCAGCACTTCCAATTTAGATAGTAAACCTAATCTATGAGGCTTCATATATATCAGTAATTTTTGTAAAAAAAAAAAAAGAAGACAAAAAAGCAAACTATATGATCCACTTAATCCAAGATGGTTGGCGTGTGAGGTATTATGATTTGACAGCAAAAGTGAAGTGTAGAAAATCAAATAGCGACTATTGATAATCTTTCTGATGAAGCAGAATTTATACAAGACAACAAACACACAACATCTATATATGTATATATGTATGTATGTATGTATGTATGTTTGTATGTGTATGTGTGTGTCTTTATTGCTTATGTTAATATATTGCAACTTTTTTTTGTTTTCTTTTTTTTCAAAAACTCTTCATTAAGAAAAAAAAAATACTATAATAAAGGTCCTTCAAAACATTGCCCCATTACATAATAGGGTAACAAATAGAATGATGACTATTGACAGACACACACACACATATACGCATACATACAGACATTCATATATATATATGACTGGACTTCATTCTATTCATCTCAAGAATTTGAGTCAACAATTAATTAATTATTTAAATTACTTACCTGTTCATAAATTGACGAAATATCGTTTAGAGAAAATAATCATTAGAAATGCAACTAATTTCCATGTAGATGAAATAAATATATTTTTTACTGTTGCTAAATTGTGTAAAGATTATGAAGAAAGTTATCAAAAGAAGGATAAAAGGGGACAATATAAAGCTTTACAGTCTATGATATGGAATATATATTTCCAATGGGATAATCACTATGTATCAATTGCAAAATCTTCCACATCTACTGCTAGCACAGCAAGTGCCATTACATCTAATCATATGAAAGGACTATACAAATACCCACCACACCTTCGACCATTGTTAAAAACATCTGGCACCACTCTACACACATATAATGGATTATTAAACAACTGGCCGTTAGAGTATCATTATGATATTTTACATTCAAATGAAAATCCAAAAAAAATCACCACTTTAAGAAACATGTGGCTAGAAGGACATCCTGATGCTATAGAGAAAAGTCTATTAAACGTGAGTAACCACAAACACAACCATAATAAACCTACTTTTACTTTTACTTTTACTCCTACTTCTACTTCTACTGGTAGTGGTAATGATCATGATAATAATGGTAACAATGCTATGCGGATAGAAGAGAAGAGACATGATTATTGCAAAATAATTGAACCAATTTTATCACAGTGTTACTTTCTTAATAACATTCTTTGGAAAAATGAAAATAAGAAAAGATTAAAACCTATTGCCCCTATTGTAGAAGTTCCATTTAATGCTAGAGGAACTATAATAGCAGAAAAAAGAGTAATGAATTTAATTAGAGATAAATTGAAGACATTGAGATTAATATTGACAAAACAATGGCCTGCCTTGTATGATGAAAAGTGTATTGAAGAGATGTTAACATTACTTCAACTGTCAAGTTCTACAGAGAAGTGTACTAATAGTATACTGATGCATAGAGACTTATTGAGAATACATGAACGTTGTTTCCAAAATAGAATGTATCGTGTTATAGCCACACCTAAAACAGCGACCAAAGATGGGGCTCACAATACGAGCAAAGAAACCGAACCATTCCAACAAGAAGAACAAGATGAACAAAGACAACAAGGACAACAAGAGCAAGAGATCCAATTTGAACGTATTTTTTAACCACGGATGCAATAGAGAGGTTGACAACTTTCAACGATTGGCAAGTAGTGAATTTGATCTGCTGTCACGTGGTATAATCTATATAACACACACCCACACACCTGCAACTATTCAACAACAAAAACAACGACAACTGTGGGTGAGAACTGTGGAGGGTGGTGTCTAGGTGTGCAGGAAGAGAAAAGAGAAAAAAAATAAAAAAAAAACTACACAGAAATAAAACAAAAACACACACAAAAATACACACACAAACCTTCGAGATAGAGAGATTGTTAATGGGTGTACGAGTAGCAATGAATTGTGTATATGTGACCTAAAGTCAGGTTATCTGCTGATAAGACACAGTTAGTGGACACTTGTATATGTAGTCTTTCTCTCTCTTCTTATTATATATGTGTGTGTGCCTGTGTTTGTGTGTAAAGGACCCCGTGTCTTTGTGTACTAGAAATACAACTCGCCTCACTTTTAACAATCAAATATTGTCTTGTCTTTAATTAACCACTGGTCTTTGAGAAACCCATTAGATGTTTCTATAAAAGGATAACCTACTCCTTCCTCTTCCTCTGTATTACCTCCCATCCCTTACAAACTGTCATCTGTGGCATTGGTACCTCATGGTCATCCTTCCCTTTTTCCCACATCCTCCTCTCTCTCTTCTATCTCTTATTTGTTATACTAACTTGGTTGTACTATCATGAACACACTAATCGTTTTCCATCTTTCTTTCTTTCTTTTTACTAATTTCAATCGCAGCTTTAAGAACAAACAAACAATAAATAGATAATTTCAACATATTATTTTGTGTCATCTCAACATGACTGCTACAACAAAATCTTTTCCTTATGAAGACCCTGAAAATAATTTTAATACTGATGTAATTAACAATGATAACGATGATGGTAATATTCCTAGTAATCAGACAAATTATTTAGAGAATTTAGAAGCAGAATATAATCAATATAAATACTCTGAATTTGAACCTATAAATAGCAACAACCACTACAATAATAACGGTAGTATTAGTAATAATATTCAAAATTTTTCTACTAATGTAGAACCACATGTATCGAAATTAAATGATATTAATTATGAAAAAATTAATAATAAAAAATTTCAAAATACAATCATATTTAACAACAATTATAATAACCAGGTTATACCAGAATATAATGAAGCTCTTGTCACAGAAAAAGAATACTTTAATCACTCTTTGAAAAATTATTTCACTTTAAAATCTGTCGGCGATTATATAAAATCTTTATTCCCTATAATTCATTGGTTGCCACACTATAACTTTGTATGGCTATCACAAGATTTAATCGCAGGGATTACTGTTGGTTGTGTCCTTGTGCCACAGTCTATGTCTTATGCTCAATTGGCTACGTTACCTCCACAATACGGATTATATTCTTCTTTTATTGGTGCTTTCATATATTCCCTCTTTGCTACTTCAAAGGATGTCTGTATTGGTCCTGTCGCAGTTATGTCTTTGGAAACTGCCAAGGTCATTGCAAAAGTCTCAGAAAAATATCCAGATGGTTCAATCGATGCTGCAGTAATTGCAAGCACTTTAGCTTTATTGTGTGGGATCATTTCTTTAGGGATCGGTCTTTTAAGATTGGGTTTTTTAGTTGAATTGATATCTTTGAATGCCGTGGCAGGTTTCATGACAGGATCTGCTTTAAATATCATATCTGGTCAAGTACCATCTTTGATGGGATATAGCAAAAAAGTTAACACAAGAGAATCCACTTATAGAGTCATCATCAAAAGTTTGAAACGTTTACCTGACACAAAATTAGATGCTATATTTGGTCTCATCCCCATGTTTATCCTATATTTTTGGAAATGGTGGTGTAATTCTATGGGACTTAAATTGATAGATAAATATTATTCAAAGAATTCAAAACAATACTATTTTTGGAAAAAATTCTATTTTTATGCACAAGCTTGCAGAAGCGCATTCGTGATAATCGTCTTCACGGCAATCTCATGGCGTATAACGCATGGCAAGCCTTCTAATGATAGACCAATTCAGATTCTAGGGGAGGTCCCAAGTGGGTTACATAATATTACAACAATCAAAGTTCCTGATGGTTTAATGAAAAATATTGCTCCTGAATTACCAGCTTCAATAATTGTGTTGTTGTTAGAACATATTGCTATTGCTAAATCATTTGGTAGAGTTAACGACTATAAAATTGTCCCTGACCAAGAATTAGTAGCCATCGGTGTTACTAATTTAATCGGAACTGTGTTTCATGCTTATCCTGCTACTGGTTCTTTCTCTAGATCGGCACTAAAGGCAAAATGTAATGTCAAGACACCACTATCCGGTATTTTCAGTGGTACTTGTGTTATCATTGCCATATATTGTTTAACCGGCGCCTTTTGCTATATCCCAAAGGCGACCTTAAGTGGTGTCATTATTCATGCTGTCTCTGACTTAGTTGCAACATATACTACTACATGGAATTTTTATAAAATGAATCCAACTGATTTTGTTTGTTTCTTGGTAACAGTTTTTATCACTGTATTCTCTTCTATTGAAAATGGAATTTATTTTGCTGTCTGCTGGTCATGTGCTATTCTTTTGTATAAAGTGGCATTTCCATCTGGTCAATTCTTGGGCCGTGTAGAGATAGCTGAAGTGATCAATGCTAACATTATCCCTAATGATTCAGTCACTATTAGCAGTGATGAAATTAGTGAGGAGGATGAAAAACAGGAAGACTTCAATGGCACTAAAAAACCAAGAAAATTTTCCAAAACTAAAATTTATGAGAAGAACTCTACTTCATTTTCTACAGGTTCCATGGATAATTTATTTTCCAAGAAAATAATTTATCATACCAAATGGGTCCCAATTGACCATAAATATACGAAGGAATTAAATGGTGAGTTACAGATTTTACCACCACCACCCGGTGTCATAGTTTATAGACTGAATGATAGTTACACATACATTAATTGTTCAAAACATTATGATACAATATTTGATAAAGTTAAAAAAGTAACAAGACCTGGGAAATTATTACATCATAAAAGGAAATCTGACCGACCATGGAATAATCCTGGGGAATGGGAAGCACCAAGGTTTTTATCTAAATTATTTAAAGGTAACAAAAATTATACCAATGATCTAGAGAATAATAGTCTTCAAAATAGTGAAACCAAAAGAGATGAAAGACCATTGCTGAAGATCGTTTGCTTAGATTTCTCACAAGTATCACAGGTTGATGCTACTGCTATTCAATCATTAATTGATTTAAGGAAAGCAATTAATACTTATGCTGATAGACAAGTAGAATTCCATTTTACTGGTATTATATCGCCATGGATTAAAAGATCTTTGAACAAGTTTGGATTCGGTGATGTTAATGAGACTTATAGCGATGAATCCATCATATCTGGTCATGTATCCTATCATTTAGCCAAGGTACCCAATGATTTAGAATCCGGTTATGAAGTTAGAGCAGCTACAGGCACCAACTTACCATTTTTCCATATCGATATTCCTGATTTTAATAAGTGGGTATTATAAGTATTTTCAAGTGTCATGATTGATCTTTTATTCTTATTTTATTTTATATATATTTATTTTTTATATATATATTCAGTATATACATACTCCTTGTGATAATATTAATAATATTTAGCCATAGACAATCTAATGTATATTCTATCCTTGTGTTTATTTTTTCCTTTTATCATAATTCATACATACATGCATATAATATTATCATTATAAAACATAAATAAATATGAATAGTACACTTAAACATAGTATAATTGCGAATATTAAAAGTATTGAATTTCTCATTCTTTGCCACCATAACCTATCTTTAATTCTAGTTGCTTTTCTCTTAAAGTTATGTGATGTACTATTTAATTTAGTTGTCTTATCTACTAATAAAGAAACCCGTTCTTGCCTTTCTAAAAATTTATCAATATTATCATTCATTAACTTTATCACATCTTGTATATCGTCATCCAAATTAGTTGTCTTATTTTCAGCAATTGAAGTATGATTGCTATTATTTTGTAAATTTTCATTTCTATAATTAATCAATTCTTCATGAAATTTGTCTAAAATATTACCAATTTGGACTCTTAATTCAATATTTGATTCGATTTCATCAAAAGGTTGTTGTTTTAATTCACTTAACACTCTAATAGGTAAAATCTTTGGGATATCTAATTTAATGAAACAAACAATTAGAACATCATCGTTGTTACTGCTATTACTAGGGAAAGAAGAATTGGTACTCGACATAGTTGTATAGTAACAATCATAACCATCCAATAAAATCATTGACATTTTTGTCACTTTATTACCAATATTATCAACAACTTTAGGTATTACCATATCCTCAACAACCTTGTGAAACAATGAATATGAATTATCTATTGCTGAATCTTCCAGTTCTTCCAGTTCTTCCAGTTCTCCTCTTGTTTCCAAATTATTTGAAAGTGATAATGATCGACTATCATTGTTAATTGATCCATATGACATCCTCTTCCTACCTCCATAAGTGCCATTACTACTCTTACCAACATGATTATTAATACTGGTATATTCTTGATCTATGTAGGATGAAACAGTTTTATTTGATCGTAATACTTCTAAGTAAGATATTGAAAACCTGGTAGCCATATTTAAAAGTATCTAGTTTTTTTTGTATCCCTTTTCTCTATCAAAATTATTTAACACGTATGCTCCTTCTTGTGACTGTAAAACCTGTATCAAATAATTCTTGGGATGCTGTTGAAATGCACTTAAATGAATGTATACTACTCTGTACAACTAGTTCAGCTAAGTGTTGATCTATTCCTATATATAAGTGCATGAACTCCTTTCTTTCATTTCTTTCCCCTTCTTGTCGTGTTTTTAGAATTTTTCACTTCCAAGAAATGAAATCCCATCGATTTTGTACAAGGAAGAATATGTAATATAAAATACGTAGGGATTGTAGTGTATAGTTTTCAACATTAATTGATGAATATATATATATGTACATACATGCGTATATGTTTAGATTTGATAGAATGTGTATATAAGACTAATATATGTGGTTCATTGCTGAAATCTGCTGTCATACCAACCTTTGACAACGTACTGAATGTGTGAATGCTTTGAACCTCTACTTATTTTACCACAAGGCTTATAGTTCATTACTGATGAGTGTAGTTGTTGCATAATATGATCATAATTCTTGTCATTACACCCTTGGTTTATGGGAACAAATTCTAGATTCCATGGGAAATGTTTATCATCTGTAATAGTTCTTTTATTACTATTATAATTATTTAACATATCAATCCAAATTTTCTTTTTTGTCAGTATGGCTAATCTAATATTTGAATCAAAATCTAGTTGATTTATTCTTGCTGAGTCCAGCAACTGCAATAATTCAAGATCAACTATTATTTCCGGTAAGATCTGTTTTTTGATCGCACTATTTTCAATTGCATATAATTTTAAAAAGTTTGGATTCACTAGTTGATTTCTGATCCCAGTTTGATCATTGTCAGTATCATTCTTACCCGTATTCTTCTTCTTCTTCTTCTTATCATCATCATCATAATTATCTATTATCTCTTTTTTGTTTCTTCTTGTAAACAATGGTTGATAATCTTTATTAAATTTAATATCTTCATTATTAATTGTATAATAGTCATCATCATCTATATTTAAATCATCTAAATTAATATCTTCGATTAGAGGTAAAATTAATTCCCTACATTTACCATTATATATTACTGATTCTTGACTCAACAGACTTCCTGCCAAAATTTGCTGTCTTTCGATCTTTTTATCATTTGCTAAACCTTTAATTATATACTCACATCTATCATTATCGTGTATACATTCATTCTTATCTATATTAGAGTTGCATTTATTTCCAGGGTTTGCCTCATTATATCTAGTTAACTCATTTATATTACGCTTCCATATATCTGTTAAATTGTGAGTAGTAGTAGTATTAGTGTAATAGTAACTATTCAACAGGAGAAACTGTGTATGAAACATTTTTCTTTTTCTTTTTATTACAGGAAACTATGTGTAAAATGTACTAAATGCTTTAGTTAGAACAGTAAAAAAAATATGTATATCCATAAAATATTCTTTAAGACTTCATATGTGTATTATATCGACATAATATATACATACACACATATATATCCGATTGATGAGATTACTATCAAATTCAAACTCGTTTTCACCAGTTTATTTGTCGTATGTTATTACCTTGATCTCATCATCTAGTACATCCGTACATCTAAACAATATAGCTATTCCGGCATTGTGGGAATGATCCTACTAGTGGATATTGTAGTAGTGTTGGTATTAGTAATTGAAACTATTGGATCTGTACTGATATCAAGTGTTCTTTGTGGAGTGATTGCAGTTTTGAGTGAGGAAATAGACTCACCATTACTAATAACATTAGTTGTAAGACCGGTATCAGTATTAGTAGTGATACGTTGTACTTCTTCTTTTTCCTGTCCATTCATTGATGAATTTGTTGGCCTCATATTATTATTATTATTATTATTATTATTATGATCTGTATTACTCTTGGTCATCTCTTCTAATCTTTGTTTCTCTAATTTCTTCTGTTTTCTTCTTTCTCTGTCATCATGTCCTTTTCTTTGCTTAACTCTAATAATTTCTAATTCTGGTATAAATACTGATCTTAATTCCTTTTCCCAATGTCTCATACAGAATCCACATATATATGGTGACGTTTGTCCATATCTTGGACGTAAATCGGCGGGACGTAAGCTATTTGTATCATTATCATTATCATTTTGCACTCCTGATACATCGTTATCTTCATTTTTCTGCACTTGTTCTAAACTAGCTAGCCGTGTTGACCTTCTATATGTTCTTCTATTATCAGCACCATCCCCTCTTTGAACATAATCATCGTCATCATCATCATAATTGCCACCATCATACTCTACTCTCTTTCTTAGTTTACGCTGATTTAACTCAGAATAGTTTTCACCAGTCAACTTACCTAACACCACAATGCTAAAATCTTTTTCTGTTAATTGTTTAATCTTTGGGATATCACCACCTTTTTTAGGTATTGGCGCATGCATCTGTGCTAGGTAATCTATATTTTCTTGAGGTTGACAGTCCCAGTGTTCCCAGATGTTACAAAGGTCACAACATATTAATTTATGATTATATATCAAGTCATTATTCATAATCTCTTCTTTATAATCATCCATTTCAGTATGAACTTGTTTAAAAATCGAATTATCACATATGCAATGGAATATCCAATCTTTTACGTCTGGTTTATTAATACTATTTAAATCAATGCCATTCTCTGTAGCCAATTTAATATCAGTACTATCAATACACAAACTTGAGGGAATTTCTTGAATAAGATGTTCTGGATCATTGTTACATGTGTCATGGATATACATAGATTCATCATCAATGTCAATTATGGATTGTGTAAAATATGCACCATTATTTATAATTCTAATATCGGTCTCTGTCAATTTTTCATCATCTTTAATAAATTTTTGTATGCTTTTATCTCTAATTTTAATTAATCTAAAATCTTGATCAAATTTATACCACAGAATATTCCAAATTATATCTTTCAACTTTTTATTATATTTAGACAATGATCTATGTCTATTTTTCAAAAAATACATTCTATCATCCAATTTATCTTGAATTGTATTACTGATCTCTTTTCTCTTAGCTTCTTCTTCTCTTGCCACCAACCTTGATGATCTTTTCCTATTCACCATTAATAAAGAAATAGATTTGGCCTTTTCCCTTTGAGCCAGTAATTTAGAAGAATATAAGAGGTGTGCCATCTTAATCTCTATAAAATCAGTCAAAAATTCACTTGGATTCATCTTAACATATTCAATGAAACTTGGCCAATCCCATGATAAAACATTATACTGTATTTTAATAGATTGCAAATAGGAATCAATCTCATTGGAATAATCTAAGTGTATCAACTCCTTCTCGTTATTTGCTTTATTTTCTTTAATTATAGTACAATTTTTCAATTTAATTGGAACTCTCAGTTTATTAGAAGAACCAGAATCACTATCATCACTAAAAGTTGTCTTTACCTCTACAATTGAGCCATGTGTTGGTAAAACCACAATTCGGGAATTTTCAGATTTATCATTTTTGATCGATGAAAATTGAAATAAATCAAGATGACTATTTAGATAATTTTTAAATGTCATACTTTTATTTTCAATGATTTTAATAATATAGTAATAACATTTAAATTGTTCTATGAACGGCAAATCATGAAATTTTAGATTCAAATCAATGACATCATGAGCAGGATAATAGATTTTTAATTGTTCTTTGATGATTGAGTCCCATTCATTCAGTGTATGGCTCCTACTATTCGTTAATAATCTCAACAATCTCAACTTAATTAATTCAACTAAATTTTTTGTTAAAGAACTATTATTATTATTACTAGACAAATTATCATCATTTAATTCAATAGTATTACCATCTAGTTGATTAAATGAACAAAAATCCTGTAGGAATAAAATTTCATCAAATTTAATATCTTTCCAAAAAGGCTTGACGGAATTCAATATTGTAGTAACATATGAATCACAAACATTATTGAGCCATGACATAACATAATGATAATACCAAGTCTTGATCAAATCAGATATTTGATTTTTTGAGTCATTTGGGAAATCAGGAAGCACTGTCTTCTCCACATGACGTAAAGTATCTTCACTTACATAATTTTTCCAATCGAAATCCTTGAATAAAGGCTTAATATCAACTTTTAATTTCTTTTGTGGCTTAACAAACTCCAATTGTTCTATCTCCAGCTCTTTCTTTTGAATCTCCAATTTATTAAGCTCTCTTGAGTGTCTCGTTGACCTTGTTGATCGTCTTGTTGTCCTCATGGAAGAAACTTCGTTCTCTGGAATAAGATCATCTAGATCTAATGACGGTTCAGCATAAGAAATTCTTGTGGATCTTCTAGTCCTTTTCATATTTCAACAATCGATGATCCTTTATATATATATATATTCGTATGCCCGTGTGTGTTTATCTACTCGACTTATCTTTTTTGTATCTCAAATATAAATATATTAAGTCAATTGATGTGTTGAATATTAGCAAACTACTATACTATCAACTTTCCTTTTTATTTATCTTTTATGTTTTTGTTTAAATCAATGATATCTAAGACAAGAAGCACGAAAAAGGGGAGACAATCTTCCAATAACTATTGCTTGTTATGTACATTGTAGTTATGTAAAATTAGTAAATAACACAAGAATATAGAAACTTGATAAATAGCACGATCGTTTACATTTCTTACAATCTTTTTTTCTTTTTTGTTCTTTTTCTTTTTTCTTTTTTTTTTTGTTTTTCTTTTAATTCTGTCTTGTTTGAAAGAAAAAAAAAAAAGAAGAGAAATTTGAAAAGGAAATATTAAAAAGTTATTAGCAAACCCTAACTAAAAATAGTGAAACTGTCTCAATATTTTTTAAAATCACACATTTACCCTAGTTTATAATGTAGGGTTGAAATAACATTTTTTTAGAATTCGTGACAAACGATTTTGGTCTTTTTTTTTTTCTCTTTTATTTTTTCCATTTTCTTTCATTTTCCGCCTTCCCCCTTTTCGTATTTTTCAAGGTAACACAAAACAGCAAAATTTGAGTTTAAATTGTGCAAAGCCATTAGAATCTGCAAATCGTTAAAGAAACAAACTGATGACTAAAAGGAGAAAGTTCTATTAACCCACGTCCTCTTGCTTCTTACGCGGTATATACTAATGCATGCTGTGTCTGCTTGCGTATTTGAACTCACATTTAGATCTTCATTATTTTATTAAAAGTAGGAGGGGGGAGAACTAATCGATATAAACTACCTCGAGTTCCACAACTTTCTAAAAGATTATTTAAATTGATTGATAGATAGACGGAGGGATAATTAGATATAGATATATATGTATATACACACACACACATATATATATATATATCCATATCTGTTCATTATTCCACATATATATATATTATCTACATTATATTATTGCAATCCTTATAAAAAAAGATTGATATACAAGAACGAAAAGAGATAACAATCAATAAATTATATTACTCGTTAACTATATCAGAAAAACAAATTGGCCCATTTCATTATTGTCATAGATTAATATTTACTAATTTATTAATTTATTTGTATTTTTATTTTGTTTTGTTCTATTTTATTTTTTTTTTGTTTACATATTTCTGCTTTCCATTTATTTCGAGTAACAAATTCTGAGATAGATTAATTCAGTGTTGTTATTAAGATTTTTTGTAATTTAGGATAATTTATTATGCCAAATAAAGACGATTATCACATCAATCCACAGTTTAAAATTGGGTTTGCAGCTCCACCAATCCCTTCTGTGGTGGCACCTGCTACATCAAGAATGATGAGAAAATCACAACATCCACAACATCCACAACAGCAGCAGCATAATCATATTTCACCCTTAAATAATGCCGAAGGAAATCCAGTTTCTGATAACAACCCTCATCATACCAATAATGATAACAACAATCACAATAATAATAAACATAACCCTACTACTACTACCAATAATAATAATAATAACGGTTCACATAATAGCATTTCGCAACATACAAATAATAATGAGGTCCAAAGACAATTCCATAGAAAGAGCCTTGGTGATTGGGATTTCTTAGAGACTATTGGTGCAGGGTCGATGGGAAAAGTTAAATTAGCCAGACACCACCAAACTAATGAGATTTGTGCTATTAAAATTGTAAATCGTGCAACAAAGGCTTTTTTACATAAAGAACAATCTTTACCTCCCCCCCAAGACCGAACAAGAACTATTACAAAGGCAAAAAAAAACTAGAGAAAGAAATATCTCGTGATAAAAGAACAATTCGTGAGGCATCCCTGGGCCAAGTTCTTTATCATCCACATATTTGTAGGTTATTTGAAATGTGTACAATGTCAAATCATTTCTATATGCTTTTTGAATATGTATCTGGTGGCCAGTTATTAGATTACATCATTCAACATGGCTCCCTAAGAGAACATCATGCAAGAAAATTCGCTCGTGGGATTGCGAGCGCTTTGGAGTATTTACATGGCAATAATATCGTTCATAGAGATTTAAAGATCGAAAATATTATGATATCTACATCTGGTGAAATTAAAATTATAGATTTTGGTTTATCAAATGTTTATGATTTACATAAACAATTACACACTTTTTGTGGTTCTTTATATTTTGCTGCACCTGAATTATTAAAGGCAAACCCCTACACAGGTCCTGAAGTCGATGTTTGGTCATTTGGTGTGGTGTTATATGTACTTGTATGTGGTAAAGTACCTTTTGATGATGAAGTATCTAGTGTCCTTCATGAAAAGATTAAACAGGGCCATGTGGAATATCCGAATCATTTGTCTATTGAAGTCATATCTTTATTATCAAAGATGTTAGTGGTAGATCCTTCCAAGAGGGCATCATTACGACAAGTTATAGACCATCCTTGGATGAATAGAGGTTATGACTCTAAAGTTAAATCGTATCTACCACAAAGAATACCGTTGACCCCGGAGATATTGGATCAAAAAGTTATTAAAGAAATGTATCGTTTAGAATTTATAGAGAATATTGACGAGACAAGAGATGTTTTGAAAAGGATCATTACAGAACCTATGTATCTTGAACTTTCTAAACAGTACTGGGATAATGTATCTTATATTAAAAGAACTAATCCTAATGTCACCACAAACTTAACTATTGAAGATCCAACTAAGGCATACAATCCTCTTTTATCGATGTATTATTTAGTATCCGAAATGCTTGAAAGGAAACTGGCTAAATTACGTAGAAAGCAAGCTCAAATAGCTAAATTACAACAACAGGTACAAAATCCATTAATTGGTTCAGGTTCATCAAGTACTAACAATAATGCACAACATTCATTACAAAAACCAGTTCTAGTGCAATGTAATCAAAATGCAACAATGATAAGAACACCACAACCAAGCAATAACAATATTCCACAAGTTTCTAATTCACCAAATCCAAATCTATTAACACCAAATGTTCAGATTGAAAATAAAGTTCCATTATCACCCCAAAACAATAATAGTTCTAAAAGAGTACCAATACTGGAGACAAATACTATTGAAGAGTCAGTAAATTCACCAATGAACGTTAAACATAATGCAACTTCAAGTGTTCCTGTACCTTTATTAAAATCACCATTAAAGAGATCTGTACCTAAGTATAGTAATATTGATGCTGATTCTAATCATATCAGTGCATCTGAACGTCAGCCTTTGAAAATACTGGTTTCACCTAACTTAGCTATACCAGAACAAGCACATACATCTCCAACCACTAGAAAATCATCAGAGAATCATGAAAATTTTGATAATGTAATATCACCAGCACCTACAGAAACTGACTATTATGCAGTACAACAATTAACTACACCTACTGATTCTCATAAATCTTTCGGTGGTATATTACGGAAGTTATCCCAAAAACGTGACCAACAGCCTCAAATTTCTACCTTACAACCGCCTAAAATTCATCATAAACGTTACACTAATGATATTGATGGTTCAAGACCTCAAAATGTCAACACTTATGAAGTGGATACGATGACTTCAATGGACAACAGTAATAGCAATAGTTTAACAGTCAATTTGAGAGGTTCTAAAAAAACACATGCACGTACTGTTTCAGAATATGCACCATCTGTATCAAGAACACAATCTTTTAAAATTCCGTTGGATCATGTAAATGTTATTACGCCTCCAATGAGATCGGCATCCCAAAAACAGACTAAGAAGACTGATTTACCTGCACTTCCATCTAATGCCGAAACACTTTTACAAGAACAAAAAGAAAAGCAGCTAGAGCATGATTTAAATAATTTAAAGATTAAAGGGGGTAGAAATCAAATGCCACAACAACTTGAAATTCCATCTCAACAAAAAACATTGGATATTCCAACAGTTAATGACACAGATGATACTCAACCTATTGCACCTTTGACAGTAGTCAAGGGTAGAAAATATCACCCAAGTGCTAGAGCTAAATCAGTTGGTCATGCTCGTCGCGAATCATTAAAATTTATTCGTCCACCAGCTCCTCCAACTTTAACAATGAATAATTATCCTGTAGATGTAGAAAATACTGGTTTCTTACAACATAGTGATGATAGTAAATCAGATTCTACACGTATCACCTTTTCCAACATGGTTTCTACTAATAATAATCAAAACAACAATACATTAAATACAAAAACTTCGCATGAAAATGGTATTTCTGTGGAAGAAATACTACCTGAATTAACCGACGAAGAAATCTTAGCCGAAGCTGCAAGGGCCCCACCTGGTTCTATGCCTTCGATCGACTATCCACGTTCATTGTTCTTAAAGGGTTTCTTTTCAGTACAAACTACCTCTTCAAAACCACTTCCTATTGTGAGATACAAAATCATTTACGTTTTGAAAAAGATGAATATTGAATTCAAAGAAGTTAAAGGTGGGTTTATATGTGTACAAAAGCATTTTGGAGATCAGTATGAAAAAATTGAAAAGAGTGGAAATTCTACACATTCTCCTAGTAACATTACTAGTCCAAGACCACAATCATCTAACGAAACGATAAGAAGCGTATCTCGTCGTAGTTCTATTAGAAAACAGCAATCATTGAAACAACCATTCCTAGGCATCACCAATACTCCTAACAATATGGCTCATCATGAAAGAAATGTATCTTTAATTGCATCACCTATTTCTGAACAAGTTGGTTATAATAATGCATTGCAAGAATTATCATCTGCCTCAATTGATGAATTCCATAGTCCAGATGACCTATTAACTACTTCAAAAGTGCAAGGAATGAACATGGCTAATAGTGACATTGATAGGGTAGACATCAAGGAAAGAGCTCCAATTAAGTTCGAAATCCATATCGTAAAAGTTAGAATTGTTGGGCTTGCAGGTGTTCATTTCAAAAAGGTGTCAGGTAATACTTGGCTATATAAAGAACTGGCATCTACTATTTTAAAGGACTTAAACTTATAGTTACACTTTACACACACACACACACACACACACATATATATATATATATATATATGTTTTTATAACATTTATCACACATAAATAGGCATATTGTATTGTTATTCAGGTTTGACCACACATACGTACATACGTACACACATATATATAATAAAGCATTAGTAACATAATTTGGCAAAATAATTATTTTAAGTGGTTTTCAAGCAGACCGATAGTAAATTTTATACGTTGCATAAAGTTCAAAAATAAAAGATAGAAATCTGATGTTTTAAATCTATATAAATTTAGATGTTTAAGTTATATAATGTAAACCATGTTGTGTAATTTCCCTCTTCCTCTCTCTTTTCCTTCTTTCTTTTTTCTATTAAAAGCATCAATAATAAATATTCCTTCAGTTAGAAATCTGAACCTGTTTAATAGGTCATAACACATTGTTAGAGATAATAAAAATGTGTACTAGAAATATATTTTAAACAAATTGAACCAATTTTTAGATAATACTGACATAATTGTAATACTAAATATTTCCTCTGAAAACAGTTTAATCAAGGGGATAAATTTAATCAAAAATAGGAAGGGGGAAGAATGATCTAATCATTATATGATCTTATTCTTGAGAAATAAAATGACTTTTCATTTCTTAACGAACATTCGGATATTTCTCCCTCATTATTTTCGACAGTGGAACTTATCCACTTTAATCTTTGATGGATTTTATTACCTTGTTTTTTAATTACTAAAGTTTCTCTAAATATATATTTTTGGTTATTCCTAGTAATTGTCACTCTACCAAAATTGTCATCAAATCCAATTTGCCACTTGCATATTTCGCTATTTTTAGGTTTCCTTTCTTTATTAAAGTTTTTTACTATATGACTTGGTTCATCAGTAGTTAAAAGCCTCAAGACAGTACCATCATCATAGAATCTGAAGTATCTATAATATGTTATCATATGGACAGGGTTTAATAAAGATGATGAGCCTTCAGCATGCGTCCCATATCTTAAATAATTAACTATGCTGATATACACACCACCAAATTTAATAAATGGCCGTGATTTGATCATTGTAATATTATCATCTCCCCATAATTCTTGTTCCATGGTCCTTAAATCTTTGATTCCATTCAATATCATTGATGCACTGTCATATTTTTGTTTTGAATATATAAAATCTTTAAAAATTTTGTATGGGAAAGTGTTATTAAAACATAATTGATTAAACTTTTGGCAGGTTAACGATAAATTCACCCATGATTCACCAGATGAAAGTACGACATATTTGATTATTCTTAATAAAATGTCGTTAGGTAAAATTTCCAAAATCCAACAAGGTGGAAGTTCCTTGTCCTCCTCCTCTTCTATCTCATCGTTCAGTTCTTTATCATTACTATTAAAAGTTCCACTATCCTTATTATCACCGTGACTTAGCAATTTTTTGTCTTTATTAATATCTATTAATTGTAACTTTTTTTGGAGTACCCACTCATCATGCAGTTTCTTTCTATAAAGTTGCTCAACCCCTTCGTGTATCTTAATGGCTCTTCTATAATAATTTATTGCATCTGACATAGATCCATTTTTTTCCTTGAGAACTCCCTTTTCCCAAATAGAAAGAGCCTTATTAATATGTGCTTGTTCTTCCTCAGATCCTACAATATCTTCATTATTTATGATCATTGATTCATATGTTAATTTAATGTACTAAATCTATTTATGACATTCATAAATTACTGCTGCTATCTTAATTTATTCCTTTTTATTATTATTATTATTATCCTGCTTTCTGGTACTTTGCTTTGGCATCAAGGTAAATGAGTTAACTAATCAATTAACAATACGCTTTACCTAAACTAATGCTAGATAGATGGTTATATAACAATTCTATGATATTCCTGCTTCTAAATCAAGATCTTATTTTATTGAGTGATTGAAACAATTGTAAAGAAACAAAATTTGCCATTGTCTTTGCATTTATACTTTTGACGGCATATGCGGAATAACTAACCCGCCAATTTGCGGAATTAAAGAGGATTTTTTTTTTGCTTATACACTCTCAATCAATATACCAATAACCATCGAACCAAATAATATATATCATCTACTATTGACTTGTGCCAATTCACAAAGTTATATATATACATAAATAAAATAATCTCATCCCAATGGATTACCCTCTTGTATTTCCTAATTTCTTCTTAGGATTATTGAAATCATTATTATTCCAATCACTATTATTATTGATCAATTTATCAATTTCATTTAATAATGTAAAATCAAAGTTATACCCCAATGCAAAATCATTTCCATTGCTTAATGAACCTAACAAATCAGTATAATCGTTGGTATTTATCTCATCATTACTATTCGTAGCATTATTGTTGTTGTCTTGATATTTACTCGAACCAGATTTGGTATTATTTTTATTGTTGCCATTATTAGTATTATTGTTGTTATTACTATTATTATTAGCATTATCAACGCTGCTACAATTTTCAATAAAGTTCTTGGTTACTTCATAATTAATACTTCCGTCTTCAAGAAATCCTTTGAAAAACTTATAATATTTTTTATTAATCACATTTGTATTCATACACTGAATACACAGAATCGCCGAATATATCATATAAAGATCACACCGTTCAAATGTAGGATAATTCCTTTCCCAAATCTTAAATAATAAATGTAATTCTTCAATATATGATTCAATTAATTTCTTACTTTCATCTAACTTTGATATAAATGGTTTATTATATGAAATCAAAACAATATAGTAATGAAACCACATATACATAACGGTAGGATCAAAAAAGGATAAGTTTTCCAAATACTCTTTATTCCATTTAATATCATCCGGTAAATAATCTCTCCAATTTTGCATCTCTTGATTGAATTTGATTAAATGGTCACATCTCTGTTGCAAGGAATCCGTTTGAGTGAAAATTTTTGTTGCAAACACCTCTGAGATTCTTGATAAATATATCAGTTTTTTCAATGGATTTGCCCATCTTGTTGGCACTCCTGGTTTAAAAATGTAATCCTCTATTCCATTTTCAATATCGGGTAATTCATCTGTTTCAGGGACTGAAGAATTTGACATTCTCAATGTAGTAGACCTACCAAACAAAACAGAGATCAAATGATCTGCCAAATAACATCCCCAGTAGATTCTACTTCTTACTGCATAATCCATTTTGGATAATTCATCTTCATAAACATGATTCCAGGCCCTTGGATTCAAATGAAGACCTATTTCATGAGATATACGGAATGCCAACCCAGATAAATACCATGCCATTGGGTTTTCAGCTCTCGTAATATCATAGAAAGCAAGACATAATAAAGTTTGAATAATGGCCAACTTTGAAGACGATGTAGATTCTGCTAATGATCTATCAATCAATTGGAAAATTTTTGTTAAAACAATTTGTTTTGCATGCTGATAATATTTTTCACTCTTGGTGAACAATTCATCAGATTTTGGCGTTGCTCTAGCACCTAATGCAGCAATTGCATAGACTAATTCCTCAGAACAATAGTATGCTTTTGTTGAAGGATCCCCAAAAAATGCACTTAAAAAAGTTTCTCGATGAATAAACATATAATGACCAGGATATAACCATTTAAAGAATAACGATAAAGATCGAAGGATTAACGGAGATCTTGAAAGATTTTTTAAAATCATTTGATTCTCTTGTTCTTTTCTGGCCGAATCTTTTTTAGTGATAAGCAATGAATTTGAAGGATAGATACTGTTGGTCTCTGTGGTAGGTAATTCTTGTGAAGATGATGGAAAAAGAAACGAGGATCCATTTTTACCCAAAACCCCAATATTCTTCTTAAGGGGTTTCACTATTGGTAAAGTGGTGGTATTTATTATAGCAGAAGCATTGGACATAACATTGCTTATCTTTAAAAGGGGTTTATCAGTTTTTGGACTATTTTCATCAATAATAGATATATCATCAATTAATTTGTTTCGTTGATCTACATTAGTAGTTGTTTTTATCTGCAACAAAACTGATTGTAATTGTTCAACACACTTTTCTAAATTGTTAACATAGGAAACGGTTTTTCTTCGAGTTCTCAAATCTGTCTCTGGGATCACGCAAGTAAGATTTTTTTTAGCACAATGAAGACATGGCGGTTTCTCCATATCACATTTTTTTCTTGACTGCCTACAATTAAGACATGCTAGTTTGGTTATACCACCCCTTCTTGATTTCAAATTAACACATTTTCCATTACCAGTTGGCGACGAGAGAGAATTATTATTTGCCATATTATTATAAGTCATATGAAATTTTTCCAGTAGTAGAAGAAATAAACAAACTATCTAATAGTATACGCCAGCATATATTGAATTATTATGTTATTTCATCACCGTTCTTGTTGTGCCATCGAACTCTTCCTTTGAAGTTTTCAGATATTTCTTCATCTTTCATTCTCTCTTTTTTCCCTTCATCGATTACTTTAAGAAATCGACACTTTCAAATATGCAAAATGGCGGAAATATGAAGGAATTTTTGGGATACAGAGTAACATGAACAATTCCGCCCTCCCAACACTCCTCCTTTTTTAAAGTGTCACAAATGTTAAAGAAGTATCTTTAGAATATATTACAATATATATGAATTTAAATAATATTATACGTAGAATATTAGGAAAAATCTAAGATAAAAATTGTATTAAAGTTTTATTAAAGCATGCAGGACTATCCAAGAATAAATTATGCCCTGCATTAGGAACTTCAAAATATTTGGCATTGTGTCCTGATTTATTCAAAACTTGCGTCATACAATAACCTGCATCACGGTTCATCCAATCTTCATCTCCATATACCATTAAAATATCTTTAATTTTCAATTGGTCACAATTATCCAATAGTGGATCCTTTGCATTCATTTGACGTGTGAAAAGATGAGTTAATGCCAATACATTAGCTGAGCCGAACGGTCTCTTAGATTTATAGAACACATGATATAGATAATCATGGTATGCTTTATTTGGAACATTACTGTATCTTTTATCAATGAAAGTGCGAGCTAACTTCCCACCAACTGGACCTAACCATCGTAATATATTCAACTGGTTATTGAAAAAGAAGCTCGGTATAGTGAAGAGTCTTGTGAAATATGGCGAAGTTGGATCGATTTCATTAATTGATATAATATCGCCTTTCTTCGTAGCATATGTATCATTTTTCACATTGTGCAAAGAAGAAATATTTCTTTCAACACCTAATGGAGACAACAAAGCTAATTTGCTAACATGGTTTGGGTACTTTAAAGCATATTTACATGATATATACCCACCAAAGGAATGCCCAACAAGATTGAATTTTTCAATATGATTCCATTGTCTCCATTGTTCGATGGATTCTATATAATAATTTTCATAATGATGTATCATTTCCCATTGATTATCTATCGATTCCCAATCATCAGTGATTAAAATCTGTTTTTGTTTATTATTGCTGTTGTTATTTTCATCTTTTAAAAGTTTATATTTCAAATTTGATGATGATGGAATCTTTTCTAAAGGAATGTAAGCTGAGAGTCCGTTACTTAACAAGTCTATTGCATACAGATCTTTAATTTGGCTGGACAATGCTTTGAAATTTCTATGATAAGCCATAGATGACGCTGCATAACCATGTACCAACAATGTTGGTGTAACAATCATATTCCTTTTCTTGCCGATCGGTTCTTTGCTATTATGGAAATGCCATTGATTAATTTTATCATCAATAATTTGATTTGTAATTTGAATGCTTGGATCACATTCTTTTCTTACAGAATCCATTATTTGATCTTGATACGATTTTAGTACCATATCTACTTTATTCATACTTTGACAGGTTGTAGATATGAAAGGTAGATTTGGAGACCACATAATATCTTAATTACAAATTCTAATTTTTCTTCCTCTTCTTCTTCTTCTTTTTTCTCGTTGATTATTTAACTTTCGTGAATATCTCCTATTGGATAGTCACTTTAATATGTTGATAATTGGTTTAGGACGTTGCCAGACAAGTATTATTTGAGATAAGCCAAAAAATGGAGCCTTTATTTTTTTGTTTTAGAAAGTTGGAAAGAAATTGTAGATTCTGTAGACTTTCATATTGAGTATATATATATATATTCCCAAAAAAAAAAAGAAAAAGACAAAAAACAAGAAAAATTAACAATCCTATCAGGTAAACACTGGTTATCTAATTACTCGTAACTTTTGAGCACACAAGGCTGTTTCTTTTATGCTATTTTGTCTTTGCAATTCCACAATTCTCATGTAGTTGAAGCTTCAAGCTCTTGTTTTCTAGAATTAAAAAAAAGTTTGAAGAGATCGGCCGAAGTTTCCTATTCTCGTATTCACAGATCCACGGAACGGCCTTCCACGGGATTTTCCCTCAAAGCAAAGCCCAAAAAGAAAAAAAGAAAAAAAGAAAAAAAGAAACATATATATTGACAAACACAGATTAAATAGATCAATAACTTATGGGAAAAAATCGATGAGTTGGTTAATAAAAATGATAATAATAATCATATAGATTGCTTTACAACTCCATAGAATTATTACTCTAACCACAGCATAGGACATATAATATCAACCAGAAATAAATAATTCCAATTCCTAAGGGTTTGATCTTATTTAATGAGATTAAGAACCTATAAAAGTATGTTCAATATGTGCAAATTGATTTTATATTAATGTTTCATGATGATATGTTACAAAATACACAACTTTCTTAAAGTAGAAGTATTTACATATATATATATATATTCGCCCATTTTATCAAACCAAGGTGCAGTAAAATAAATGAATGGAACAAAATATTTTACAATTCATATGTTCTTGTCAGTAAACAATCATTAACAAATTTTTCTTTATTATTATTACTATTGCTACCATTATGTTAATTATTTGAAACTATTCCAAATTCTGTAATCACAGGGTTAGAAAACCCGAAGAGACTTTGTAAATTCTGTCTGACAGTTCAAAGTTTTTTTCTTACGGAAATTGACAAAATCCGCCGTTTGTATTATATAACCAAGACACTTGAAATTATTCAACGTTTCTCTTTATGAGAGAGACACTCACTAATAGGAGTTGATCTCACAGGCCTCTGTACCTAGACACTGTCAACTCAACATCATCACATAGACGATCTATTGAAAACACACGTGAGACCTGCTATTGGATGCTATACTAAAAGCAGAGTATAGTACAATAGATTAACTCGTCGAAATTCATTCTCGATAGTCTCGCATAACGAAAAAAAGGAAAAAGAACTAGTTTTGATACAGTAAATTATATCAAATAAAGACAAACCATTTCATAGATAAAAACAAACACTAAAGGTCAAAGGAATAATCTATCACGATTTTCCATTCAATACATAGTTGTTTACTGTTTACTATTTACTAGTTACTGTTTATTGCTTTTTGTTAATTGTTTTGTTATTAACATACTATGGATACATCATATACAGAGTTGTAGATATAAATGTCATATAATACAATGAATTTAGATACAGAGATAATTGAGGCTACTGAAGGTATGCACTCACAGCTACAATCCTCTATAATAGAAAATATAAATTCTTTAAATCATGATTCCCACATAGCTCATACAGATAATACTGATGCCAATATCCATCATCATCATGGCACTGCTGATATTGACGACGAAGCGGAGATAGATGACTTAACAGACTCTAGTTCTATTATTACGGATACAGAAGCAGAAAATGAAGCTTTGAAGGAGGCTCGAAGACAATGGGAAGAGTCTCTTGTTCAATTAAACCAAGTGATAAATTGGGTAATACTCCCACTTCTTGGTAAATTTCTAGGTAGAAAAGTGGCTAGATGGACATGGAAGTGGGTAGCTGGCAGACTATACCAGTAAAGCATTTCGCATTTTCACCGTTTTCTAATAGTTTCACAAAATAAAACTTCTGCTGAGATACACAAACGTGTGCCTACATTGCATGATATATATGGTCTACGTAATATCTATATCTATATATGAAATGATGATGACTCATTCTATGTCTTTCCGGTTTTTTCTATTTTTATTTTTATTTTTATTTTTTTTTTTTAATTCTTGAATTTTTGCTTTTGCGTTTTGAAATTTTTCAGTCATGCTCGAGGAGGCAATGGCATGGATTGGCAAGGTGACTAATGGATTTCATTTTATTCTTAACTAGTTGAACAGACGATTGCTTCTCGTTACAGTACCTTTCAGTGGAACTAATTTTATTTTGTATGCTGTTTTATTTTAGTTTAACATTTATTACTCAAATTGCTTCTACCTTTTAAGTTTATTTCTTTGGTCTCTTCTCACCTCATTAAGGGATTATAGACAAACTGTTTTGTGTTGATCAACGATTAAATAATCTATTAAAAGAAACAAGTACAAATAAACAAACAAACAAAAGGAAAAGGAAAGAAAGAAAAGGATAAATACTTTAAAACTATATTACTATCCAAGCTTTCTTCCATTAGATTACTACTGCTCTTTTTTTTTTCTTTCTCGCTATCATTATATTCAACCATTGAAAAAATGAAAAGTGTACCATTAGCTAAAGTGTCTATTTTGGGTAATGATACTATCCATGTTGGTTACGATATACATACCCATATAGTGGAAACCATCATTAGCAAATGTAAATCTTCTACTTATGCCATTATTAATGATTCAAATGTAAACAAATTACCATATTTGCAAACCATTGTTAATGAATTCAATGAAAAATTACCCCAGGGATCACGTCTCTTAAGATACATAACTAAACCAGGTGAAGCTAATAAAACAAGAGCTACTAAAGAAAAAGTCGAGGATTACTTGTTGTCTCAAGGATGTACAAGAGACACAGTGATCATTGCTGTTGGTGGTGGTATAATAGGTGATATGATCGGTTATGTGGCTTCCACTTTCATGAGAGGCGTCCGTGTAGTCCATATTCCAACTTCTCTATTAGCTATGGTAGATTCATCCATCGGTGGTAAAACTGCCGTGGACACTCCATTGGGTAAAAATTTCATTGGTTCCTTTTGGCAACCTCAATTTGTCTTAGTTGATATTAAATGGTTAGAGACTCTGCCAAAAAGAGAGTTTATCAACGGGATGGCAGAAGTTATTAAAACAGCCTGTATCTGGGATGCTGCTGAATTTAATAGATTAGAAGAAAATGCTAATCTTTTCTTATCTGTCGTCAATTCTCAAGAGGAAATCTCCACTGTCAATGAAACCACAGGCGACGTTTATAACATCTTTCATACTAACATCGTTGATATGTTAGAACATACCTATAAATTGGTTCTTGGTAGTATTCAAGTTAAAGCCGAAGTCGTATCATCTGATGAACGTGAATCAGGCTTAAGAAACTTATTAAATTTTGGTCACACCATTGGCCATGCTTATGAAGCTATTCTAACTCCACAGGCTTTACATGGTGAATGTGTCTCTTTTGGGATGATCTTCGAAGCTGAATTGTCACGTTATTTAGGTATTTTGTCACCAACGCAGGTAGCACGTCTATCGAAAATTTTAGCAGCTTATGGTCTACCAATCTCCCCTGAGGAAAAATGGTTTAAAGACTTAACCTTACAAAAGAAAACATCGATTGATACTTTACTTGCAAAGATGGCTATTGACAAGAAAAACGATGGTTCCAAAAAGAAATGTGTTCTATTGGAGACAATTGGTAAATGTTATGGTACTTCTGCTCATTGTGTCAGTGATGAAGATTTAAGATTTGTTTTAACTGACGAAACATTAGTGTACCCATTTAAATATAATCAAAAGGGTCAGAAGCCACATGTCATCATACCACCAGGTTCTAAATCTATATCTAATCGTGCTTTGGTTTTAGCTGCTCTAGGTAAAGGTCAATGTAAAATCAAGAATCTTTTACATTCTGACGATACTAAACATATGTTAAACGCTGTCAATAAGTTAAATGGTGCTCAAATATCATGGGAAAACGATGGTGAAGTTGTTGTAGTTCAGGGTCAAGGTGGTGAAACTTTGACTGCTTGTAAAGAAGAATTATATTTGGGTAATGCAGGTACAGCTTCTAGATTCTTGACAACTGTAGCTGCTCTAGTACAATCATCAAAGGATCAAGATCACATCATCTTAACTGGTAACGCAAGAATGCAGCAAAGACCAATTGGCCCATTAGTCGATTCATTACGTTCTAATGGTGTTAAAATTGATTATCTTAACAATGAAGGTTCTTTACCACTAAAAGTTTACACAAATTCTCAATTTAAAGGTGGTAGAATCGAATTGGCTGCTACTGTTTCATCTCAATATGTTTCATCTATTTTAATGTGTGCTCCATATGCTGAAGAACCAGTTACTTTGGCTTTGGTCGGTGGAAAACCAATCTCTCAATTATACGTTGACATGACCATTAAGATGATGGAAAAATTTGGTATTAAAGTGGAACCATCAAAGACTGAACCATATACATATCATATTCCAAAGGGACAATATGTTAATCCACCTGAGTATGTTATTGAAAGTGATGCCTCAAGTGCTACATATCCATTGGCCTTTGCTGCTTTAACTGGATCCACTGTCACTATTCCTAACATAGGTTATGAGTCATTACAAGGTGATGCTAGGTTTGCAGTTGACGTTTTAAGACCAATGGGCTGTACTGTAGAACAAACCGCAACCTCAACTACTGTTACAGGACCAAAAAGAGGCGGCTTAAAACCATTGAAACATGTTAATATGGAACCAATGACGGACGCATTTTTAACTGCATGTGTTGTAGCAGCTGTGGCACATGATGATGATCCAACCTCTAGTAACACCACTACTATTGAAGGTATTGCAAATCAAAGAGTTAAAGAATGTAACAGAATTGAGGCTATGGCTACTCAATTGGCTAAATTTGGTGTCAAGACTACTGAATTACCAGATGGTATTCAAGTTCATGGTCTCAATGATATTTCTAACTTGAAACTGCCTTCTGACTCTACCGGTCCAATAGGTATCTGTACATATGATGATCATCGTGTGGCAATGAGTTTCTCCTTATTAGCGGGTCTTGTGGATGCTGATAATACACCAGTAAGAATACTAGAAAGACATTGTACTAGTAAGACTTGGCCAGGTTGGTGGGATGTTTTACATACACAATTAGGTGCAAAATTAGATGGTGCTGAACCAATAGAAAATCAACTTAAGAAATCCAACAAAAGCATTGTTATCATTGGTATGAGAGCTGCTGGTAAAACTACCATTAGTAAGTGGTGTGCAGCTACTCTTGGTTACAAATTAGTCGATTTAGATGAATTATTTGAAAAAGAATATGCAAAATGTCCTATAAAGGATTATGTAGCTGAGCATGGTTGGGAAAAATTCCGTAAAGAAGAAACTAGAATCTTTGAAGAAGTCATTGCAAAGCATGGCGATGACGGCTATGTTTTCTCCACTGGTGGCGGAATTGTGGAAACACCTGCTAATAGAGAAGCATTGAAAAATTTTGCTCAAGCTGGTGGCATTGTCTTACATTTACATAGAGACATAGAAGAAACTATTATATTCCTAAAATCTGATCCAACAAGGCCTGCTTTTGTTGAACAAATAAGAGAGGTTTGGGAAAAGAGAGAACAATGGTACAATGAGTGTTCCAATTATACTTTCTTTGCGCCACACTGTACCACACAGCTTGATTTCCAGAAATTAAGAATGACTTTCTCTAAGTTTATTAATTTTATTACTGGTAATAGCCCAGTTGTTATTCCAACCAAGAGATCTGCTTTTGTTTGCTTAACCTTTGATGATTTAACCGAACACACTAATAAATTATCAGAAATATGTTATGGCTGTGAGGCAGTTGAACTTAGAGTTGATCATCTTGTTAAGCATGATTCTGATTTTATTGCTAGACAAATATCTACATTAAGATTAGCAACAGAAAGTTTACCAATAGTTTTCACTGTTAGAACTAAGCAACAAGGTGGTAAATTCCCAGATGATTCGTCTGAAGCTCTTTCCAACCTATTCTCGCTTGCTATCAAGGCTGGTGTGGAATATATAGATTTAGAATTAACTTTTCCAACTGAAGTTCAATATGAATTATTGAATAGCAAATGTAATACTAAAATTATTGGTTCTCATCATGATTTCAGCGCAGCTTTTCCATGGGATGATTCAGAATGGGAAAACAGATATAACCAAGCTTTGTCATTGGATGTTGATATTATCAAATTTGTTGGTACAGCTACTAAATTTGAAGATAATTTAGCATTAGAAAGATTCAGACATGCTCATACATTAAAGCCTTTGATTGCCATCAATATGACTGAAGTTGGTAAGATCTCTCGTGTTTTTAATACTATCCTTACTCCAGCTACATCTACATTAATAGATAATGTAGCTGCCCCAGGTCAATTAACTGTTTCTGAGATTAACAAAATTTACACTTCAATTGGTGGTATAATTCCAAAAGAATTCTTTGTTGTCGGTAGTCCAATAGGACATTCTAGATCACCAATTCTACACAATACTGGTTATGAGATCTTAGGCTTACCACACAGGTTTGATAAGTTTGAAACGGAATCTGCTGAATTAGTTAAAGAGAAATTATTAGATGGTAACAAGAATTTAGGTGGTTTAGCCGTTACAATTCCACTAAAATTAGATATTATGAAATATATGAATGAATTGACCGATGCTGCAAAAACAATTGGTGCAGTTAATACTGTTATCCCATTAGGTCAAGGTAAATTTAGAGGTGATAATACTGATTGGTTAGGTATTACTAATTCTTTTATTAATAATGGTGTCCCAACTTGTGTTTCAGGTACTGCAGGCCTTATTATCGGCGCTGGTGGCACTTCCAGAGCAGCTGTATATGCTTTGAAGAAATTAGGTTGTACTAAGATATACCTGGTTAATAGAAGCCATCAATCAATGGTCACATTGAAGGAATCTTTCCCAGTGGACTATAATATTCATTTGATCAATACTGTAGAAGAAGCTGAAGATGTTACTGACTCTATATCTGTTGCTGTTAGTTGTATTCCAGCAGATAAGCCGTTGCCAGATGAACTAATTAATAAAGTAGAACGTTTCTTATCCAAGGGTACAAGAGTCTCTTTTATTCCTACATTGTTAGACGCTGCTTATAAACCAAGCGTAACTTCATTGATGAAATTGGCTAGCAGCAAATTTCAATGGAATATAGTTCCAGGCGCACAAATGTTAGTTTATCAAGGTGTAGCCCAATTTGAGATATGGACATCAATGAAACCACCATTTCATGCAATCTTCGAAGAAGTTACCTATGACTAATATCATCAATATAAGAAATTATTAGCGTTTATTGTGTTTTTATCATTTTTTTCTTTTTTGTACATATTTAGATGACAGTATCTGATCTACTTTACTTTTTTAATAATATATATTGCAATGCTATATATGTTTTATCTTAAATATTTTATGATATATTTATTCTAATGTATGGTTATGAGATTTACAATTGTAATAACTTTTTATCATTTTACAAAACGAAATATGTGTGTAAACATTATCACAAGTAGTATATTAAAATATGGATATTAATTATGAATATAAACACTTATAAATTATATGAAGGTCGATTCTACATTAATAAACAAAAATAGTCGTAGTAAATTCACTATAATCTGATTATTCTTCTTCTGAATGGAACCTATTAGATAAAATAATAATGTTAATACTGATAATTACCTCTGGCACACACTCTCAATAATCAAAGGTCTCTCAAACAAGTTTCTCAGCAGTTAGCTACCAACGTTAGTCAGACCATCATTTCATTCAGATATACTCGCAGCCTGAGTCTAGAGTTTCAGCTGTTCCCAGTCAGCTACTATGGTATTCAAAATTACCCATTGATTAGATATTTTTAGAATATCCAGTTTGAACTTCTTCTCACAAAAAAAAAATATTATAGGATTATAAAGAAAAACTAAGAGGAATTTATCAAAAATCTATCTAATAATTGTGATTTGCCATAGCCTATTGGTACCTATAATGGTATATCATGAACTTAATAAACAACTATATCATAAGATGATACACTCAAGATGCTGCTGAAGTTTGTTGTCATTGTTAAAACAATAATATTTTTAAACTGTTTTTAATTAAACCTCTCTGTTATCCTATAAATAAAGTGTAAAAACAAACATATAGGAAAAAAAAAATAGTAACATAACATATTTTGAGGTAGCTGTAAAATTTGTTTTATTAACTTCTTTTGATTGTTTTTAATATATAACACCAATTTTGTGGCAACTAGTTTATACTCACTTTTTTCTTAATTATTATTTTGGTTACTAAATTTTACCAGAATAAAATATTCTAGAAAGAAAAAAAAATAAATTGATGACAATATGAACATTTATTATTTAAATATCACTTCAAGTTGCTAAGAATAACTAGCTAATTTTTTATAAGAGTTTTCTATGAAAATTATTTAACCTATATAAGAAGCAAAAAAATATTCTAATATCATGTCTCAATTTTAGCTAGATTATTTTTATGTATTTTATTATTTCTACATTATGCGAGTAAAAAAGGAATCTAAAAAAATCTATTTTAATTTTCTTTACGATTAACTATATAATAATTATAAAATATAACTAAGAATACATCCAACTAATCAAATACATTTAGGCACTAAATCTCAACAACTTTTGTGGCACAAATTTTTATTTCTTCAAGTTCTAAATAATGCCTTTTTTTTTGATTATTATATAAAATTTCCGGTTTAAAATTCCGGAATATTCCTTCGGGGCGGTCGAGACAAAAAGAACTAAAAAAAGTTGAAGATCTCGCCAAAAGAGAATACTAGAGACAATCATACAATAAGAGAGCTTATCTTACTCGAACAACCTTATTAATAAACAGAGAAAAAAAAACTCATATTCTACAGTAATAGAACTAACAAGACACTTAATAGGCTCAGAATATTCATTTTATAGAGTATCATAATAAATAATAGTTTGTTTGAAATAATGGGTAAGGTCGCGGTTATTACTGGAACAAACAGTAATCTTGGATTGAATATTGCTTATAGGTTAATTGAAAAAACACCCAATGATCAAACTTTAACAATTGTGGTAACATCAAGAACTCTTCCAAGAGTTAAAGAAGTCATCGAATTATTAAAAAAGAAAGTAAAACAACTAAATAAGCCATTAGGCTGCATCATTTATGACTATATTTTAGTTGATTTTACAAACATGGTTTCTATATTGAATGCATGGTACGAATTAAATAACAATTACCAAGAGATTAACTATTTCTACGTTAATGCTGCTCAGGGGGTTTATGATGGGATTGATTGGTTCGGTGCTGTTAAAGAGGTGTGTTCTAATCCAATTAAAGCTGTCACTTATCCAACTTATAAGATCCAAAAAGTTGGCATCAAATCCAAAGATGGAATGGGCCTAGTCTTTCAAGCTAATGTCTTTGGTCCATACTATTTAATACGTAAACTATTACCTCAATTGAGTAAAGGTAAGGGTAAAGTTGTCTGGATCTCCAGTATCATGTCAGATCCAAAATATCTTTCTATGAATGATTTAGAGTTACTTCAATCAGATTGTTCTTATGAAGGTTCAAAAAGATTATTGGATCTATTACACTTTGCCAGTTACAAAAAACTTTTGGATAAATATGGTATCAATCAATATGTTGTACACCCTGGAATTTTCACTAGTCATTCCTTTTTCAAATATTTAAACATTTTCACTTATTATGGGATGCTATTATTATTCTACTTTGCTAGATTACTAGGCTCTCCATGGCACAACATCGATGGTTATAAAGCTGCCAATGCGCCAATTTATGTGACACATCTCGCAAATCCAAGATTTGAGCCACACCATGTTAAATATGGATCTGCCACATCAATTGATGGGATGGAATATATTAAAAGAACCGACATTGATCCTACTGGCTCTTCAGACGTTTATAATTATATTGAGGAAAAATGTAAAGAATGGGACGAAAAGTTGAAGGATCAAATTAAACCTACAAGAATACCAATTTGATATCATTTAGTCAATATTTTTACGTTATATATCTATTCTTTAATAAAACTTACTATATTTAATTAATTTATAAATATTTTAAGTAATTCAATAAATTTCAGTAACGAACGTCATATTAAAATAAAGCATACATTGGAACCCTCCCCTCAGCAAAACTAAGTGATTCATCTACATATTTCATATTTCTAAAAAGGACTATGTTTCTATTATATTTTTTTTAAACATAAAGAGATAGAAGTGTGCATATATAGTAATAAAATAAAATGGAAATTAACACTATAAATATACATAGATAAACATGGATATACAATTGTATATATTACCCATTCAGTTTCTGTTCAAAGACATTAAAGATGCAATAAAAGTTAAAATCAATCTGGAACGGACCTCATTGATATCTTCAGGAACCAACCAAATTAAAGCACCCAACTTTCTTGCTATAGAAATAGCCAATCTAGCATTAGCATAACGTTCTTCTTCAGTCTTACCCGGTGTCACTAAATCATAATTCACATAACCTGGTGCAATACCGTTTAAGACATCCAACAAGAAATGTGCATTAGCTAACGATGGATCTTTAAATGAACGTATTGTTGTAGATTTACTACCTTTAACAACTTGTTCTTGTGCCCATTTTAAGATTTGAGAATCGCTCATATCTCTACCACTAGATGATAAATTTTGCATTGTGGTTGTAATATTTCTACGCATTAATTGCCACACCAAACCTAACGTTAATAATTTATTACCATCAAGAATATCAGAACCTTCTATACCGACTAAAGAGAAACCTTTACTTTTTCCTAATTCTACTGCATAGTTGGTATTTTCCAAAGCTTTAAATCTTGATAATTCAGCACCATTTGATGGCTTTTGATTAACTTGCTTAAAATCTACAGATCCTGGCATAACCTTTTCATAAGCTTGTGCTAGTATAATACCGTCCTTTAAATCTTCAAATAGAGATACGATAGGTGGATCCACATCTAACGAATTCAGCCATAAAGTGAACACTCTAGCTTCTCTTTCACCTTCAGCATCAAATTCTTCAATTTCAGGGGCTTCTGTTTCTTCTACTGGTTCCAACCCTGGATGTGTGTTAAATAAATGTGCTACAAATGCCAGATTCAACTTAGGATTACCCGCGACAAGTGCACTTGGTGTCAAGTATTTTCTACAACCTAATTTATCTGCATTTTCCAATATTTGTTCTGCTCTTTGTAAAAGATCTACAGTTTGTAAAGGTCCTCTAGAACATAAATCAGGAGCCAATTGATTTAATAAGATCGTATAGTTTTCACCATTTGCAACATCACTACTAAAATTAGAAACTGATTTATCCCATTTAGCTTGCTTTAAATGATAGTTAAACCAACGTAACAGAATTTGTTCAGGTGGTAATCTTAAGAATTGCTCTAAAGTTTCATCCTCTTCTAATAAACGATATAATTCTGGGTGTAACTTAATATCAATCTTACTTAAAAGACCTCTTCTAATAATTTGCCAAATTAAACCTAAAATCAAATGTTCTTTCCCTTCCACAATGTCTTCAGAATGAACATTAACCACAACGCAACCAATAGCTTTAGCCGAATTAATAACAATATTAGCGTTTTCATTAGCTTGGAAGTTATTTAATGCTTTACCAGGTTTTGGAATGTTTAAGACTCTAGTATCAATAGTATCTGGTACAGAGTCATTAATCAACTGGGACAAGACTAAACCATCTCTACATTCATCAAATAATTGGAAGGTATCAGTTGGAAAAGGTAATAAAGCTCCAACTAGTGGGTCCCCAGCAAGAACACTGTTAATATGTTTAGTAAATTCAGTTCTTTCTTCTTCATTAATAGTGTGTGTAGTACCAGTAGTAGCACCACCAACAATAATTCTAGCTCTTGAACCAGATCCAGCATGACCTAATAACTGTCCAGTGGCACCACCAATGTTAGATGCACCACCTTGATTTGGCAATGGAGAAATAGGTCTATTTGCTTGCGGCATAGAAGATACGACGCCTGGAGAGACATCAAAACTTGTCTGTGGAACGGGCTCAGACTTATTTTCTTTCAGTTTTGCAACTAATTCCACATAGTCATCTAATTCCACTCTACCAGATGCATCGACATTGACACGTTTTAAAGTCTCTCTAGCTTCGTCGTATGTAGTCTCACCAGATTGAGAAACTGATTCTAAGGCTTCTTGTTTTTGAACCCAACCTTTATCGTCCAAATCTATGGCTCTAAACTTTTCAATAGTACTAAATAAATCCTCCTGGGTTAAGATCGGAAACTTCCTCTGTAATTTAACAATATTCATTGTTTAGAAAACACAATAACAACAACAAAAAAAATAATTAAAATTGCTTTAAGCTTGGATATTTATGCTTTATATTCGCGTAGAAAAATAAAATAACTAAACTTGATGAATATTTGAATCTGTCCTTCTCGAATAACCCTAGAAGCTCTGAGATAAATATTTTGTTGACAATTACAAATGGATTTTCGTATGACCACGAACTTCTTTATCAATCCACCACTATCAAAATTCCATTACACCTCACCGTCCTCCCTCCCCCAAAGTTGGCTGTGAGTGATTCCTACATAAAAACACACAGAAACTACCGAAAAATCCAAAATAGGAAATAAAAAACGCCTCCAGGTCAGCTGACCTCTACAAGAATCAGAGTTTCTGTTTCTGGGAAAAACAAAGAGAAAAATAAATTTAAAAAAAAGAAAAATCTACACAAAACCCTAAAATAATAGTAAAGGAGATGTAAAAAAAGCATAGGATACAAATAAGCCCCTACACTTTAGATAGTAAAAGGAAACTTCCTTCCAACGCAACGTACATAAAGTAATACAAATTTACAATACATTGTCATCTATATTTTATTTACTGTGCTTTATTGGCATATCTTTTACCTTTAGTAATAATGAATATTAATTTGTGTTATTCTTTTCTTTTCTTTTCTTTTCTTTTCTTTTTATGTATAATATCTCTCTCTATCCTGTAAATATCTAGTTTACGCTTAATGTTGAACAGAGCATTAGTTTATTTTAAAGGTTTTTGTATACATGATGCTTTTGATAAAGCTCTTTGATAATTTCTTCGTAACCTAGAAGATTTAGACATATCCAAATCTAAAGAGGAACCATTCTCATAATTTAAAAGTAACTGTGCCTTGTAAATCTCCTCTAATTCATTCCGAGCAATTGCGGATAACATTTCTAAATAATTTGGGTCTAATGAATTTAGTAAATCGCTACCTTTCCAAAAATTTTCCAATACTTCACAAGTATTTATTGATAAATTTGAACTGTGACGTGCTTTAGTAATCTTTTGAGGTTCCTTTTTCAATCTATACCTTTTTTCTATGTTATTTAAATAATTAGTCATTCTATCTCCATTAGCCCTATCATTTCTGTTATTTTTGTTAGTATTATAGATATTGTGATTATATTTGGTGTTACCACAATTCAAACATAGATCAGGTCGAAAATCAATATCATGTTCCACATCTTCATGAAAAATTAAACAGTGTTCAGTTACTTCAGTCTCTCTTAAAGCATCAATCTTACTTTGACTGACAAGTCTATTACCAAAAAAGGGCATATAATTGTACGGAATCACGTCCTGATTTGATAAATTATTGTAATCCAGGAATGGTGATTCCATGTCTAGACTCATAGTTGGAAGTTTATTACTTACTGGAAAAAATCTTGTTTCATTACGCAATATTCTATTGGTAGGAGAAGTAGGTGAATGTATCACATTTAATATATCTCCATTATGATTTCCATAAGTATCTTTCTTTGAAACACTGAACATCTCACAACTCCCTATATTATTTTTAGATATGTTTTTTTCACTACTTTTCCATAACTTAAAAGATGGTATCCTTAGATCAAATTGGTTATTCATAACCTGTAACAACCTTTAAGCAACAACAACATGAAACCAAAAAGTAAAACCTTCCACAACCAACAACTGTCTCACTTTCCTTTTTTTCCTCCACTAATGTTATCCCAATATATATTTGCTTGAGCTCACCGATCCCAAAGTCATCTCATTATCATCTTTCTCGGTTAGATGAAGATCTTTTCCTTTGTCTACCTCTATATATTAACACTTCACTTTTTTCTGTCTGTGTAAGATTAAAGATGTGACCACCCATACATCCCCTTTCTGGAATTATCACTAAAGATTATACATTCCAACTAATAGATAACACAGGAATCACAGTTTAAATATACATCTCTTGGAATGGTTGATTAATCCATCCATCCATATATATATATACATATATATCTGTGTATGTATGTGTGTACATGTTAATCTATAATAAACCACTTAGAGTTAGTTTCTCAAGAAATGGAGATAGGTCCTCCCTCTGAACTTCAATTATTGAACTTTCAAAATTATCTATTCTAACTTGAGCACCTGTCTGTTCAGCAATTTGTTGAAAGGCCATACTGAAATTATTTAGTATAGGCTTTTTCACTGTTGAGATATTCAACCCACGTGGATATCGAGGGGACAGACCAGCAACAAGATATGTATCATTATGTTCATTTAATGATGCTAAGACCATTGGCAATAATTGTTTCTCTTCAGTCTCTGAACAACATTCAATTAACCAATTCCCTAATCTTAATAAAGTCAATGGATTTTCAAATAAAGATAGATATGGACTATCTTGCAAGACACACAGTCTATATATTCTTAAATGCTTAATTAATTTTTTCTCTAGGATTGCAACACCTGTCTCAAAAACACATTTTTGTAAATATTTGGCTTGCTCGATACCTCTTTTCAATATATCTATCTTATTATTATCTAGTGCATCCCAACTCAACCAAAAATTCGATACCCATTTTTTTCTAATTATCTTATTGTCATTTCCTTGCACTATTATATTATTATTATTCCCTTCTTCCTCTTCTCTTCCTTCTACTCCCTGTTGATTCATGCTATTGCCATTACCATTTGAGCTAATATTATTGTTATTAGATAATAATAATGATGATGATCCATCTATATTTACAGAGTATCCTACTTCTAATAACGCATTCAAAGCTTCTACAAATTCACTGGCACTAATCATTCCACGATAACCAAACGTTTTAACAAACCCATCTCTAAGAATGTCTTGTAACCCATATTTATCTAGATTTCTATCAAATATCATCGGTAGTTGCCTTTTTATACTATTATCCATATAAATCCATGACTCTTTAGCTACATTTAAAGGTATCCCCATTCTTGCAAACATTTTATGTAATCTCTTCTTACCATTCTCATTCCACAATGACAATTTTGCATTAACATAATTTGAATAGAAAAAACTATCATATAATGATGAATATCTTAACAAAAATAAGTAATAATCAGGCTGTAATTCTAAAGTTAATGTATCTGCATTTTTCAATGCACTACTTTTACCTACATTTGAATAGTTAGTACCCTCATTTGGTGTCAGTCTTCTAACTTCGTCTTGTAAAATTGGAAACAGTCTTTGATATATTGCTGTATATTCAGTATCTAGTGAAGTTGTACCTATAATAGTCAGCCATAATTGTTGTAAATTTGTTTCACCAATTGATGACAATAAAGAATATACCTGTGATGATATTGAGTTCACTATTGTAGTCCCCTGAGAGTAATATTCTTCTAGTACATTTTCATATTGATGTATCTGTTTCTTTCTTTGTTTGCGGGGTAGTTTATCCAAATCTACATGATCTTTTGTATACTTATTTTCTTCAACCTCTGATGATTTAGTTCTTTTATTATTAACATTTATAAAAACTTTCTCATCCTCCTCCTCTTCTTCGGTATCTTTATCTGTTATATCACCATCATCGTCACTATCATCATTATTGTTATCCTCTTCTAACATTAATAATTGCTTGTATGCAACTTTGACATCATTTAAAGAATCTTCTTCTACACTACCATCATCCAAGCATTTAATCATAGTGGAGCCAAACAAATTATCTAAATTCCATGGTCGATGCGCATCCAGTATATAAAAATATCTTAGATATTTCATTTCTTCATCTTGGTTATTTTTGTTGTCTGGGACATTTATTTTATCATCAGTATTTACATTATTTATCTCATTTGAAATCTTATATTCTTGGGGATCTATATCTAAAAAAGATTCAATGTCAATAAACCCACCAAAACCTACCAATATTATACTATTTATTGATTGATTATCTTTAATTTGTTCATAATTCCATTTCAATTCAGAGTAACCAAATATAGGAACAATCTGCAATTGTACCAATTGTTTCTTAAATAAGTTTGATAACATCTTCGTAGCACAAAGAGCATCAATATTCAGACATGAGACAAAAATACACAAATGGCATGATGACGGACTAGACGAATTTCTGATGATCTCATTATAAAGTTTATTATAATCCTTTATTTCATAATACATTCTTTATAAAATAGGACACACACATACACATACACACACACACTTTCTCCCTCTATCTCTTTTCCTCTTTATTTATATATATGAAAACTTAGAACTAATTTATAAATAGCTGTTTTGATTATAGTATAATATTCTCTCCAATGATTTCTGAATTATTTAACTTTTTGACCCAGAATAATGAAAGTCAATTAGAGATATACATAACAACCTCTGTATACTACCTATAGTAATAACTAAGACGATCAAATTTCCAAATTTCTTCGAGGAAATTTTTCATGTGAAAATTTCGATTTTAGTTTATTTAGAGATATTTTGGATAAATAAATGAACACGACACACACACACACACACACACACACGCATATATATATGTGTGTATATACACCCAGCACTGACACCTTCAGTACAATAGTATATCCAAGAAATTATCCGTAACTATCTCTGTTGATCAGATTATAACTATACTATTAATAATAATGAAGTCTGTGTGCACATTCTTTTTTATTTGTATTATTATTCCTCTTACACAAGGTTTTAGGATGAATTTTGGTCAACAAAAGCAGCAACAGCAACAGCAGCACAATTCCTATGAAGATACGGTATTAGATAATCCATGTCCGAGCTATTTATGTACGGATACATTAGCATGTGTAGGATCTCCAAAAGATTGTCCTTGTCCATTTCCTAAATCACAGTTAAAATGTATATTGCCAGACGATAAATATATCTGTATATCAAAACCTGCATCACACGATCCTAAAATAAACGCAATATATGATGATCCAATCAAAGGTCCAAAGGCTAACTTCCCTGGATTCAGAGACTGTGGTTGGGTACTTGAAAATATATAAAAATACGTATATAAGTATACATATATAAATATGTCTATATACACCTATAATATATATATCTAATAATAATATATAACAATTACAACAAAAACAAAAATGGTAAAATAGAAGCTTGCTCATAGTTCTTTTTACTTGACTTTTTGCTTCAATTTAGTATTCAATCTCTATTTCTACCTGGGACCCAACGTTTATATATGATTTCACTGATTTCATATGAATTAAACACTTTGTGATATTGTCCCTTTATCCACCATTCCATAATTTGTTTCTTTGTGGTCTGTCTTGTCACATAACTCAAGATCAATGCTTTTTTCGCACCACCTATCACACGAGATATTCTTGAATACCACGTATAATCATGCATATTTTTATTGCTTCTATAATATAAAGGATCATTATCCATTACATTTATACAAAACTCTGCATGATGAAATGGGGGACCTCTTTTATATAATAAATAATCACATCCAAATTTTATACCAGATCGGACACACCAACCATGTGATCTATAGAAATGATATGCTACATAGTGAATAATAAAACTGTGAACTGTATCATATGAGCTATTATCATTATTTGGCAAAATTTTTCTAAATAATTCTCTTGGTGTTATATTTAAAACTGGCAATGCAAAACTTAAAAACGTGGCTTCAACTGGCATTAATTCTAATGATTCTAATGATAACAAATCGCCATTTTCGTCCAATAATGACTCATAATCGAATTGTAAGTTATCCATTACATTGTCATGTATACCTATATTTTGTTTATTATACGACTCTTGTAAAGCTTTAAAATCACGTAATTGTTCCCTTTGTTTCAATAACAAATCATTAATTCTTTTTAAAGATTCTGTCTCGTCCAATCCACCATTACTGTCAATGTCACTGCCTGATAGAGCACTTTGTTTCTTCAATTCTAACAACTCCATTTGTAATTTCTCTCTCAATTTTTTAAACTCCAATCGTTCAAGACGTCTTCTTCTTGTAATCTGTTCCAATTCATTTATATCTCCCGTGTTTAATGTGATATCTCCATTGACTATTTGATTCATTCTGGTATACCATGTAGGTTCACTTCTTGATAAGGTTCCAGTCCCAAAAAAGCCATTTTCCCACAGATATAACATATCATTCTTATCTCTAACCATTATATGAGGAAAACTGTCACCACCAATTATATCTATAGTAATCTTTGTTTCAAGTAAATTATCCTCATTGTTACTATACACCAGTCGATAGTATTTATAAAACCAATATATCCAGGAAAACGGATTATGTGGAAGTAACTCAGGTAAAGGTAATGTAGTCTCTACTGGATGAATAGGTAAAGGATATTTGTATCTAACATTATTTAATCTTGAATTATGTTTAGCCATTATATGGGAAGATTTCTAAATAGCAAATGGGACAAGAATAAGGGAAGAGGAAAGGGAAAAAAGCTGCTAATAATATATTACAACAATAAGTAAGTTAGTATTGATCTAGCTTGCCTATCTGTTTGTAGAATAATTCTTTTTGAACTACTCATCACAAGTAGAATTGCATTTCAATAATAACAACGATATTTGCACTTAATTTTTCATTCTGGCAAGTTCTACGACAGCCCATAATAGAGAAACGAACCACATGGACTGGAACAAAAGACAAAGAAAGCCCAAAAATGAACAAAAATAAAGTAAAGTAAAATTAGTAGCCAATTAACATAAAATATGTGAGAAAGTCAAAAAAGAACAAGGCAAGACAAAAATGTTACAAGTCAAGTACATCCAGATATATATATATATATATACATATATATATGTGTGTACGTTAGAGTATATAATTGATCTATATGAATTATCAGATACCGTTGTAGTCTATTTGAGAAATCGTTGTGCTCACACTGACAACACAATATTGTCTTCGAGTCACAATAAGTCAAAGTTATCATCACATAATTCAATAGAGCCATATGATTCTTTTTCTATTTATAACCATAAAAAAAAAAATGAAGAAAAGAGAAAAAAAAATGAATAAAATTACAGGAAATAACACAGGCATACACAAAGAACGGTACAGCAATGGCTGTTGATTGTTTGCTCTGTTAACAACATGTTACTATATGTATCCAGGTATCCAGGAGTAGCTTCTATACTAATACACGAGGAAAAAGGGAGAAAGAAAGCTTCCAGTGGATTGCTGTAGAACAAATAATTAGTTTCTATCGACTTAACAATCCCATGTAACAAATTCAGTGCGATCTGTCTTGATGTAGGATGATCTTATTAGCATTTCATCACTTTCTTCTTCTGTTTTTTTCTCTTTATATATAATTTTCCATTCAGCAACAATAGAAAATAATATTTTTTATCTTCGGTATGATTATTTTTTGTTAGGGTTTCGAACTAATTAGGATTTTCCTATTTTCTTTATTGATATCTTTATATCTATTAATATTTAAGCTATATTCGACATCAGTTAGTTACATAAATAAATATATATGACTTATAAATCTATGCTAATTCTTATTTATCTATTGTACAACAATACAACATATCTTGATATGTTATTATTTTATGAAGATGTTAAGTCAGAAAAATATTGTCTTAAAATAATTGATAACATTTCAGGTAATTCAGAGATGTTGTGAACCACAACATAGAATTCAAATGGGAATGTATCCAAATATTTGTTAATCTTTAATTGAGGATTACCATATTGGTCAGGAACGTAATTAACTTGATTCATATCTAAAATAGATTCATTGGATGTAATACCATCAATTATGACAAATACAAGCATAATTTTATTCTCACGTGCACGACGTACCAATCTTTGTAAAGTCTCATGATCTTCACAAATACCATCGGATATAATGATCTCTAATTGCCATTGATCTGAATTAGATGATAAACTGCGTGACCTTTCAAAGATCTTAATTGATTCAGCCACTAATTTCTTAACATCTGTCTTTGTATCTTGGAAATCAAACCATTGGAATGCTTTTACACCTGATTCATTACTAAATTGCTGCTCAAATGAATGGACTTCACGTGAATGTTCACCAAATTTCACAATAGATAAACTACCAGCTTCCAATTGTGTTAGAGTTCTTGATACAAGACATAAACTGTCAAACGCTAATTTCACACAATTAGATTCACTCATTGATTTGGAATTATCCAGTGCAATCATGATTTGATAATCACGTTTACTTGGTTTAGTTCTTCTTAACCATATTTTATCCTTACGGAATTGAGATGCAATATATGGAATAATACGTTTCATATTCAATCTTTTACCTGTTTTATAATCACCTCTTAATTTTGTGGCTAATGTTGGTTCCAAGATCAATCTTAATTGTTCACCCAATCTTGATACTAGTTCTGTTGTAGAGATTTCACTTCGATTCCATATTCTACGAGCTTCATCAATATCTCTTGGTGGAACATCAAATTGATTTTCTTCTGTCACTTTATTATCCACTTCATCTAATAACATATCTATCTCATTTTCATATTGTTCTTGTTCCTTCGAAAAATCTTCAATCAATCCGTTATTACCATTCTTATTCAATGAATCGTCATTATCAACATCCTCATCCCTTTGGTTTGAAAATACACCACCAACTTTACCATCTTGTAATTCCCCATTTTCATCTTGTTCAGAATCTAATCTATCATTCAGATGCTCTTCACTTTCATTATCATTTTCCTCTTGCAGCATATCATGATCCATATCTTCTTTATGCTCTTCTTGTCCTTCTTCAATGGCTTTATCTTCATCAATGGCCTGTACTTCATCTTGATCAGCGGCACCAAGTGCTTGTGTATCAGTTTCAGTTTTAGCACCATCAACATGTTCAAAATCATCAGCACGTTCATTAGCCTTCTTATCAGTTTCTTCTTGTTCTTCTTCAGTTCTCTCACTCATCTCTTTAATCTCTTTTCTACGTCTATGGAACTCTTTCAAACTATCACCGAGTTGTTTCAATGCTTCTTTAGCTTCCTCCCTAGTGTCATCAACATTATCTGCTTGTTCTTTTTCTTGTTCTTCTCTATATGCATTTTGTGTATTACCAGAACTACCAATGTCCTCTTGTTCTTCTACATCCTTAGATGTAGATCCTGATCCCTTAGAGCCAGACTGTTGTTGTACTGCAGCATTTACATCTGTTGACTCTTCCTGCAATAAATCTTCAGTACCATCTAAACCTTCTAGATTATCCATATTATCACCACCACCAAGCTCCTGCTTTTCATTAATCAACTGATCTTGATCTTGACCTAATTCTTCCTCACTCTCATTATCAAGATTCTCTTCATTTGACATATTTTCATCATTGTCATTTTCACCAGCTTCATTCTCATTGTTTTCAACTTCCATAGATTCATCTTCAATATGATCATTATCTTCATCAATATCCATGGAATCTGGTTCGTTTTCAGAAACAGCATCAATATTTTCTTCATTCAATTCCTCTTCTTCATCCTCATTCATCTTATCGAAATTATCTTTCATTTCATCATCATCTGTAACTTCCTCATCAGTGTTTTTTTCATCGTCAGAATCTAATTTTAAGTCATCAGGCAATTCCATTGTCTCAACTTCAGGAACAGCAGCATCCATCTTTTCACCATCTTCATTTCTTACTTCGTCTTCTTGTTCGCCAACATCTTCTTCTTCATCAGCACTCTCATCTTCTTCAAGCTCATCGCCATCCTTTTCATGCATACTATCATTATCAGTTTTAGTTTCCTCAATATCTGGCTTCTGTTCATTCTTATTCATTTCATCTTCTTCCTCCACATTCTGGCTCTCATTTTCACCATTATTTGCATTATTATCTTTATCATCACCAGCTTGAACATCATTCTCTTCTTTGGAGTCTAATTGATTTTCTGTCTCTTTTTCCTTAGAACTTTCTGCTGCTTCTTCATTCCACATCTTATCATCAACAGCGTTTGGATCATCTTCATCAAGGTCATCAATCTTATCTTCTAATTCATCTTCTTCTTCCATATCATTCTCATCATTCTTGTCATCTTGATCAGACAAGTTCTCAATTTCACCAGCCATATCGCCTTCCATGTCAACAGCATCATCTTCATCTTCGTCATCCCTATCATCTTTATTTTTTTGATCTTGATTAGCAGTTTGAGCATCTTCAGTTAAATCCTCATCTTGTTCAATGTCTTTAGAATTGTTTTGTGTACCTTCCCCATCACCAAGACCCGTACCCTCATATAAGTTGTTATCATCTATTTCTTCAGAAGGAGGTTGTGGTGAACAGAACCCATTTTTGGCTAAATTGTGTAATATGTTAGCCAAAATGTATGAACCTTGACTTATATCAACATAGTAAGATCTTGATTTTTCCATAATACATTGTAATGTACTAAAATATTGATTGATTACAGGTAGAGTAAATGTAGTAATCGCCCTTAGCATAATAGATGTTGTAACTGAGATATTAGAAGAGTCAATTAAACTGGTGATACATTGTAAGTTATAGATTACTTTAGCTGTATGTAATGATTTAATCAACGATACAATAGACTTGGATTTCATTGCTAACCAATTGTCGTCTTCTTCAGTAACTGAGGCAAAATCGTTTTCCATCAGTTTTTGGAATGCTAAGATAATAGTTGTATATACTTTACGGAAAAGTTGATCAAAATCTTGGATAGCAGGTTCTGAGAATTCTTCATCCTTGACAGATATTTCTGTATTTTGTTGTATCCAATCGGCAATGACATTATAGACAAAAAAACAGTACGAATTTTGGCTTGATCTTAATTGAACAAGAAAAGCGTTGATAAATTCTTGGTAATCCGAGATTAAACTAGATATCTGTGAATCAAAGACTTGAACTTTCTCAATACGTGAGCGAAACTCCTTTAAGCGAAGAGTAGTTTGAAGAAGTAAACTTGTATCGAGTGACTGTTCAGAAAATAATCCAATAATAGTTAAATTCGTTGTGGCATATTCGAGGATATTGGGCAACCATGAACTAATATAACGTACATTATTGACGTCAACTTGTAAAGAAGATTGTTTAATGTAGCCCGTTGAAGTTGAAATACATTCAAGGTATTCTATGATATTAGCAACTTTTTCAAACTGTCTAGCCAAAGTCACCATTACTTTTCTGGTTGTAATTAATGAAAATAATAGGTTTTCCATAATAGCCATACCCTTTTCAATGCTTGCCATAGGAACATCAGCCGCTGGATTAGCAACAGCATTTCTAAGTTTTGGTAACATATCTAAGATTCTGAAGTAATACCCATCGGACGATTCCATTATAGTACCTTTGAAAGATGATGAGTTAGCCAAAATAGAAGTAACTGTTCCCTGCACCTTGTGTATATCTTCTCTATAGTTTGTCTTTAAACCGATTCTTCTTAATTCTTTTAAAGAATCACTCAATAACTTGGTTTTTTGTGTTTTCAACGCTGCTAATTGTTTTTTGATTTCTTTCTTGTAAACACTTGGGGTTTCAGAGCGTAATCTATCAGCTTCTCTCGCATAATCTCTAACTAACTGCTCAAAATTAGGAAAAGATTGCGATTTAATTTTAACATAATAATTTTCCATATTTTTCTTAACCAAATCAATGTTTCTTAAAGTTTTTATTCTGTTGTCCCATCCAGGAATCGTATTCACCACCCTCTTAGCATTTTGAAGATCAATATCAAGAAAAGATGGTTTAAATAATGGCTTCATTTGTAAATTAAACTTATGATCAAAAGGTAAGCCTGCTTCAATAATAGATGTAGCATTTGTCGAAAGAACACTTCTATATTTACGAACCAATTTGTAAAGACTATTATGGGATTTACGTGAACTTTGTTTTAAAGCATCAACATTAACATCTTTCCAGCTTGCTAACAGAATTACCTCAGATATATCCTTTTCTAATGATTTTTTCTTCGAACAAATAAAATCTGTAATAAATGGACTAAACTGTTCATAAAATGATAAAATATTGGCTAACGCATCAACGGTTTTTAAACGAGATGGCATAAAGGATTGCAAATGGTTGGTAAAAGCTTTGACCAACCTTATTCTAGTAGAATATTCACCAACAGTGCTCTTACTAAAGAAGATATTTAATGAACTTAATAGGGTAGTTAACTGAGAATTTTCATCCTTTTCATTCTCATTACATGTGGCAATTATAACTTCAAATAAATTGAACCACCATTTTCCAATAGATTTTTCAATTTTCTTCTCCTCTGCATTAAACAATCCTTTCCATGTGTGCAATTCTAACCTTCTCCAAGATACAATCAAATTTGTAATGTCACCAATTAATGTTGATAGAGATACATAAGAGGCTGCATATTTTTCCCATTCAGTCATGAATGTGTATATCTGTTCAATTTTCTGTAATTGACGTGCCAAAGGTATATCTACAGAAAAAGATAAAAATTCTTCACATATCCTGTACAAGTCATTTAAAGTCGCATGTTCAGGCCATTGTTGTAATAATGAAGCTATCTTCAACCAAATATTATTGATAATTGTAGCAGCCTTTTTAGCCTCTACAACGGAAGAATCGTGGTAAAAATCAAGATTTTCATTATCATCTTGTCCACTGTATTTATTTATTTCATCGTACAAAATAGTAATTGATGACATTAATAAACTAGGAGAAATCTGTCCAATAAGCAACTTTTGTGTGTTATTAATAAATACATCCACAAGTTTGCTTCCTGATTTGATAAGTTGATCAATCGAAGTGGATTTTTCTTCTGAGAAAATTTCCATGTATATTGTAGCTATCTTATGATATACTTTTTCTAAATCATTTTGTTGTACATTCTTAAAAGAATTTGTTTCTTCAAATGAAAGTGCACTGTCATAATCAGGAAACATTTCTCTGAACTCTGCTTCAATATCTTCAGTCTTGTCTTCATATTTAAAAATAGATGATTCTTCTATCGACTTTTGCTCTTCTTTCATTCTCCTTAAAGACCATCTATAATACAAAGTTTGTAAAACATTATCAAACATACTATATAATCTTTTACTGCACTTATGATATTTGAAAATATCCATGAAAAATATCATGGTCTTTTCACTCATCAAATCATCAACCGATGTGCATTTTGTTAGTTTTGAAAGTTCAGTAAATGTGTTAACCAAAGAGTTGTTGCTGGTTAATTGTAGAATATCAACAGGCCATAAATTAGTCACATTAGTATCTTTTTCATTTTCTTTTATTGAATGTTTCATCAAATCAAATCCAAACTTAATACAGAAGACATAGCCAGCAAAAATATCATTAAGATCTGTAAACGCTTGATAACCAGAGTTGAGTCTATTTAAGAAATTAGAACTGTTCTGTTGAAACATTTCAAACTCACCGTCAATCATTTGCTCCCATTTATTCACAGAAGGAAATATTACAGATAGTCTTTCTGGGTTGACTGTAGAAGAGAAAAAAACTGACCATTCATCGATTAAATTGTCAACAGATAACGAAGAACGATAAACTCTTGGTTTATTTGGTGCATCCTGATCTGATGGAATTTCAATCAATTTTTTCACTAGAATTTCATCATCTCCACTAATCACTTTATTAATTACATCCCACGAGTTGATCATACTTTTAGAATAATTGACATGTTTCATATATATATCATATAAAACATAATCATGTACAGCAGGATCATATGGAACATCAGGGGAATACAATATTAGCATTGCAATACCGAATAAAATCCACGCCTGACCTAGAAGGTGACTCTTATTGATATCATTTAATATATCCAATGCAGGTTTTAAATATTTTTGATAAACCCCATCTATATGTTTATTTTCAGGAGAAGAAAACAGCATCATTATCTCTTGATTATTAATTTCTGAAATATCAACGTTTATATGAAGTTTGACTATTATGTTAATCCAGGCTAGAAGTTTACGGCCCAACTCATAAATATGATTTTTCAGGAGATACTTAGATGACTCAATGGTTGTTGTCAAAAGAAGTTTAGCATCACTTAGTGTTTGTTCAATATGACTGCCACTAAACTTGTCAAATGTATTCGTCTTAACTATTATATTCTGAATATATGCAGCACTTATAATATCACTTGTATGTGAGATGTACTTATCTCCTTGTTTCACCCATAGAAGATCGAATACAGGTGGATAAGCGTGATCACTTGCAGTTAGCCTAATTTGCTTGTGAGTGGATATGCTTACATTTGAGCAAATATTTTGAAGAATTGATGATAAACCTTCTTGATATAGCGACTGGATTCTTAAAAGGGTATCAAATTCATTTAAAAAGAAATGCTTACGTCTATTCAAAAATCTGTTAGAAATTGCCTCTAAATTATTAATACCTTTTATTAAGTTGGTGAATAGAAGTTCAACATCTGTCACATTATTCTTCAAAACATCATCCACTAACTCAGCAAACGTCACAATAATTGCAACAATTGATTGATTAGATTCCTTAAACTGTTGCATTTTTACTTTGTCAAATCTAGCACATAATTCTTCGATATTATTCCATAATTTCCATCCTTTTGATGTCTGAGGGTATGTAATCCTAAAATGTTCCCAAAGTATTCTCATAGAGTGGCCTCTTTGTGAGTTTATTGAACCATCAAAGATGTTGATAATTTCTTTAAAATTTTCCAGTTCCTCTTTATGTGTAGCAGATGCCAACCAATTATCTAAAACTTCTTTATATACTCTTAATCGAGCCTCATCCTTTTTAGATGCAGAATCATAAATACTTTCTAAAATAACGATGAGTAACCAAAATAATTTATAATACAAATTTGTAGGAAACAAAGGTTTTGAAACGATACTGTGGTTAATAAATTGTAAAAGGTTTTTTAATAATGAAAAAATAGGAATTCGTATTATTTCTTTTAATTGACGTCCATTCAATATAGCAGCACACTTTTCAATATAAGAAAGATCAGATACTTTACATATTTTTGATCTTTTTTCGATAGTAATCATGCATGCTTGTAAATGTCTTAGTTTCTCTAATATACTAAACAAATAAATAATTTCTGCTGAGACTGCTAAAGGTGTGGTTTTTATTAGTTCTGAAGTTAAGAATTCATTTAGTGGTAGCATTAATTGTTGATGAGATACAGTGTTATTTTCCAGTGAGGTTATAAAATGAATATTCTTTTCTGTTGCTAGTGAGATATCATTTAATTTTTCCAGAATTTTTGAAGTATGCAGGAAGTGAATAAAGTCAAAAATACCAGAAACTCTTGAGTCATTGAAATAGTGATTAATCTTAACTACATTCGAAGTCCAACCTTCTATGTTATTTAAGTTATCAAAGGTAATTAAACCAGCCAAAGCATTAATTGAGGTGTTTGTAGTAGAATATAATATTACATCATGTACTATTGAAAAAGAGTATGCAAGTGTACACGATGGAATAATAAAGCACTTTAGTGGCTTTGGTAAACTATTTGGGTTGATGCTTAAAGAATCTAGTTCTTTTGATAATGAATCTTCTTGTTCTTTTATAATTGTTTTGCTTGTAAAGCCTAAGCACCTTCTGTCATATGCTGTTGCTCTGTTATTCAAGTCATCCATATAAATTTCGATGCCTCTATTTCTCATCGCTCTTGATAATTCACCATATTTAGGGTCCATCGTCAAAAACAACCTAAAATTTGGATGAGGTTCTAAAATTCTTGGTTGCCCATCTTCTTGACTACATTCATTGATTAAAAGGGAACCATTCGTTTCAAGCAACGAATTTAGTCTATCTAACACAGATGGGGAGCATAAATTGGCATTATCTAAAATTAACCATCTACCCTCTTCAACTGCTTTCACTAGCATACCATCAAACCATTCAAATTTAGCTGCTGTAACCTTGTCTGTTAAATGTTTAATTTTTTCAATTTGTTCGGAAATCTTATTCAAAGTGATATTGTTTCTGACACAACTATAGAAATCCTTGAATAAGGCATAAAATTGATCGAAAGTTTGCTCAGTAATGGAGCGTTCCGATATATTATGTAATAAACGCAAACTTATGTTGATTTCTTCAGTTTTTGTATCACCCAATTTTAGGTTGGTAAATATAATATTTTTTAAAAATATCCTTAATTCATTAGTCAACGAGGATATTTTTCTTGTCAAATCGACTTGTTCATAACCACCTAATATATCCATGCTGTCTACATCATTGTTCATTGAGAATATGTCCACTTGTGTTCCAAGGACAGAAGCTAAATATGTTACCAAACTTGTTTTACCCGAATTTGTAGGACCTACTAAGATAAGTGGCCAGTTATTTGAAATACAACGTAATGCAGATTCATAATATTCAATATTACATTCTAAAGAATAAAGTTTATTGGCTAAGGGAAAACTGAATTGGGGATTTCTCTTAGCAACTGCATTGTTAAATTGGATATAATTGGTGTGACCTCCAAAATAATTTGATTTCTTTGAACTCTTACCAAATACTTTATTCAATAAAGAACTTGCCTTTGCTCTATCTTCTTCCGTACGGAATCTTTGCTTGATAATAATGTCAAAAAAGTCATAAATAGTTATTTCATCTGTGATACCCTTTTTACCAAGCAATTTTAACCATCTTAATGCGTCTCGTAAATTAAATTCCCATGGTGATCCAGAAATACCCCATTTCTTTTTCCTACTTACCTCTTCTTCTAGTTCGGATATCAAATGGATAACATTCTGGATTATTTTGGAATCAATCCTTGGATAAAGATGTTTAGCAATTAAAAGTAAATCATCTGCAGTCAACATTTCAACATACACAACAGTGAACCGACTTACAAATGACTTAGGAAGACCTTTTCTACCACCTCCTTGATATTGTGGATTTTGTGCTGCAAATACCATGAAATTAGGGTGTCTAGAGAATGATTTATCTAATTCCGGGATGTAGGCTTCACCACGATGATCAAGACATGCATTTAAACCTTCTAAGACCGATTGGGAGGCAAGATTCATTTCATCTAACAAAACCCAATGACCTTCCTGCATTGCTTTTAAAAATGGTGCATCATGCCAAACAAACTCCCCACTTCTTTCACCTGGAGCATCAGAACCAAACAAATCTATTAGATCAGTCTGTTCTGATAAATTGATACGGGTTAGTTTATTTCCTGTTAGGCTTGCTAATGCAGTAATTAAGCTGGTTTTTCCGACACCAGGGCTACCTTCTAGCAGGATTGGTTTATTAACCTGCATTGCTCTAACAACTCTCATCAAATTTCCTGCAGTTGTTGGAGCATCAATAGTAAAAGTAGTACCTTCAACAATACCTGAATTTTTTGGATATCTAAACATACCAATATGTATATCTGAATTATCCAAATTATACTTATTACTAGTATTAACATAAATGGATAAGTCGTCACCAAAAATAGAGCTTAATTTGTCAATACACTCTGTCTTTTGTCTTTTTAGATTTACTTCGTTTTCAGCTAAATAGGCAGTGTTATTAGTGCCTAATGCATCAATAAACACCATAAGGGCACCATGAATTAATTGTGCAGCTGGATTCTTTAATTTATTGTCAGTACTATTAATAAATTCAACCCAAGCCAAAATATCACGTAGAGATATAACACCACTAGTTGCATCTCCACCACCATATTTCTTACCAAACCATTCAGAAAAACCTACAATAGATTTAGTTAATTCACTTATAGAAGGTTTTAACTTGCACTTAACAATTAGCTCAACATCATCAAAACTTTCCATAGAAGGAACCCATATCTCGGTAAAACGGTTTCTAAGAGCAGGGGATAATTCTTTTTTACCATAGTCTCCACCAGGGTTCATTGTTGCAAAAAATTGAAATCCATCTTTAGCAGTCACAAAATTGTCTGATGAGCCCTTTTCAGCAATAAGAAGACTTCTTTCTGGTTCTAATACACTATTTAATCTTTCCAATACAGAATCATCAGCTAATGACATTTCATCAAACAAAAAGAAATTACCTTCTTTTAAAGCTTGAATTAATGGGCCATCATTCCATTCAAATAAAACATTTAAATTTTCCTTCAACTGTTTAACATCTTGAAGCTGGTTTTCAGAGAGTTGTGATTTGTCGAAATGATCATAGGCTACTAATAAGCTATCTAAATCAATAATCTCAGGTTTATTTAAGATGTTTTGTAACAATGAAATAAGTTGATGTTGTAATTCTGAACGATTACGAATGGGACGCTGAGCACCAAGAATATCACCTGTTTCTGTATTTTGATGAGCATTTAAAGTGATTAGTTTTTTTCCTGTGTATTCAGCCAACAACTGACATACAGTGGTTTTACCACAACCTGTTTCACCCACTAAAAGAACTGGTTCATTATTCTTTAAAGAGCTGGTGACTAATACAGCTAAACGACGAAGTGCTTTAGTCCATATAACAGAATTTAATTTTTGTAAATTTGGATCCTCTAGATTTTCATAGTAATGGTCCATATCTAGTTTAACCTTCATAACTCTTTCTAAAGTCTTTTTAACAGTGATTTTTTCTTGAGGAGATCTACATCTTTCAGCTAATAACATATAACCATTGGCAGCAAGTTCTTCATAGCCTACAGCACCTCTCAAAGCCCAACGGAATAAATCACGTAATGTAGCAAAACTATTTTTTTGTTCAAATAGTCTAGTAGCAGATCTTTCAACGGATAACTGACGATAAACTTCTACAATTCTCTTTGCATATGATGGAGCAATTTGACAACGTTCACGTAAAATAATTTCTAATTCATCTTGGGGAATGTCGTCAAAGTGTAATTCAAGGAAACGGTTCCTAAATGCACGGGATAAAACCTTACGACCCCCATATATACCTGGTGGATTCTGTGTTGCAAACAACATGAAATCTGGATGAGGATGTACTATTTCTTGAGTTTCAGGAATAAACAATTCTCTATTATCATCTAATAATCTGTTAAGTGCTTCCAACACGTCAGTTGGAGCTAAGTTCAATTCATCAAGCACGATCCAATAACCCTTACGTAATGCTTCAACAAGAACACCTTCTTTAAAAGCTAATTTCCCAGCATCATCAGTAATGTATGTACCTAGATACTCTTGCAAATCAGTATGTTCGTGATTGTTAATACGAACAAATTTGTGACCCGTTATATCAGCCAGATATTTAATCATACTCGTTTTACCAGCAGATGTTGGACCTTGAACTAAGATAGGGAAGCGGTTACCTGATGTGGCTCTTACTAGATTAAGTAAATTTCTTTCAACGAATGGTGTAATAATATAATGGGGTTGTTCTTTGATCTGTTCTTGACCTTTACGCATCCAATAATGTTTAAATTGTACATAGGATGGGCCAGGAGATGAAGGTGTTTGAAGAAGAACTGACCTAGCATTCTTTAATCTATCAATAGTATATTTTGCAATTATAGGTTCAAGAATACTGGCAGACTTTTCGTCTAATAGTGTCAAAAAGGACATGCAAAAACCATCATAAAGAGATCTGCGTAAACCATAAATTTTAACAATGTCTCGTACATAAAGTAGAGTACGTGTTAAAGTACGAATACTAAAATGAGGCTTTTGGTTAGAACCATCTACAATTTGGTTATTTTCTGAAAGTATTTTAGCTTCAAGGTAGCATTCAGCAATGTCATTTCCGATCCATTCATCACTTACACTGAAACTTCCAATATATTTGTCAATAATTGATAATAAATCAGTAATATCACGATCAGGGGAATGAACATATATTTCTGTAAATTTAGATCTAATACCAGTTGGAAGATCTCTTTTCCCCACATCAGTAGCCGGATTCATACAAGCAAAGATTCTAAAATCAGGATGAGCTTTAATAGGTTCTGCATCACCTTTTTCTGACAGTAGAATACTTCTAGAAGAGGTGTCTGAAAGCAACTCAGATATACTCTCGAGAGTATCTGCAGATGCTAAATTGATTTCATCTAATAATAACCATTCACCATTCCTAACAGCTTTAACAAGGGAACCTTCAACAAAATTAAATATAAATGAATTTTCGAGAGAACTAGACTGTGCTGTAAATTTAGTTACATTATTGTCAAATTCAGACCATTGTTTCAAAAGTAATTCTTTTTGATAATTATTTAACTTCCTCTTTTTCTTCCTGTTTTCATCAACAGCAGATGCTGTTTTATCTTCTTTTTTTAAAACGGTTTGAGCCATCTTGTAAGCTTCTTTCCAAAGTTTTACAACATTTTTCCATTGGCCTTTATTAAAACATTTATGTAACATTTTATAAAAACGTTCATTTTTCTTAATTGAAAAGGTGGCAGCAAATAATGTTTCAAACTCTTCTTGTATTGGAACAGCCACCGATTTTGAATTAACAGGTTTGTATCCACCAAGTAAATCACCAGTTTCTGTTTGCTGTGAAACATTGATAACAGTAAGTGATTTGTTCATTAATTTGGCAACTTGCTGAACAACTGTGGTTTTACCAGTACCTGTTTCACCTACTAATAATACTGGTTCAGTCATCTGAACAGCAACAGAAATTTGTTCCATTAATCTAAGAGAATGGTTTGTAAATGCAAAAGATGTAGAATTGATAGACTTCTTTTGTAATGACAAAGTGGATTTGTGTAATTTAGCTCTTCCAATTATCACATGATCATTAAAAGTTTCAAATTTAGGGGTATTCCTTGTTAAGAATAATGATATTCTAGAATTAGCAATTTCAAGAGATTCACCTATGTTATGGATTAATGGCTCCAAAGCTTTAAATTCACTGATTGCGCCAGCAAAGCAATCAACTGCCTCAGCAAAAATGGAATCATATATAGATGACTCAATCAATTGATCAGGTTTGTGGATATTATTATTTTTGAAAAGGGTATTAAGTCTATTGCATAATTTCACTAAATCTCTTATGGAAACGACGCGTGAATGTGCACCTTTATTTAATGAAACGAATCTTGGATCCAGGTATATTGATTTGACAGTTTTATAACAATGTATAAGTTTTGGTATCAGTTGAGTTAATACTGGATATCTTTTAGTTAAAATTAAGGTTAAATCCTTTTCTGATGGCTCGTCAAGGTAAACTATTTTCCAAATTCGCATACCTATCATATTCAAATTGAAATTATTGGCTACTAAATCAGCTGTACTATTTTTTTTGATCATATCTTCAGTTAATGTGACAGTAGATATCAATTGGAACCCATTACCTGCACTTACTGTTTCACCTCTGGAAGGTATAGTAAACTCACGTTTTTCTAATAACGATAGTAAGATAGATAACACTTCAGTAGGAGCTTTATCTATATCTTCAATAAGAATCCATCGACCTTCTTTGACAGCTGTTGTCAATACACCATCTCTCCATTCAAAAGTACCTGGTTTCTCACCAGATGTATAAGTACCAATTAATAATTTTGCATCAGTTTGTTCACCCAAATGGATTTTGACTATTGAATCGTAGCAACCAACATATTTACTTAGTTCATTAATCAAAAATGTCTTACCACTACCAGATTTACCTAATAACATGATTGGATCTGATTTTTGTAACAGTTTAGCCAATTGACGTATCGCAGTTACAGTTTTCAAAGTTGGAACAAATGTGGGAGGGTATTGATTTTCAACATTATTTGTAATATGAACTCTAGGTACAATAACACCACCAATAGACACAACATTACTATTTAAGTCAGAAGGGTTGATAATAAAGTAGCTCTTGGTATGTGTGATCTTTGAATTAATGAAACATTCCTTTACCTCAGGTAAAAGTGTAAAATTGGAAAACCTTTTGGCTTCATTCAATTCTAAGAATTTATAATTTGCATATTTATTCGTGTCATATTGACCGCAAAATACATCATGATTATTGTAATCTAAATACTTTCTAAACAAATCAATGGACCCACTTTCATTCAATTGTAAATAAATGGATAGTAATTTTAAGGAAAGAAATTTAGTCAATGGTAAAGTTAAAGGATGTTCGACTATGAAGTACAGAACATCAGGTCTAAGAAAGTTAATAAAAACGGTATTATCATGATATACTAATCGATAGTAGGATAAAAGAATTTTAAAAATGCTGATGTTGTCTTGAGTAGAAGGATTCTGTAAAATAGTGATGAAAAAATCATTGTTTTTGGATAAGAAATCTTCAATTATAGTTCTCGAGATTGGATATAGGCTTATTATTCTGGAGGTAGACTCCAAGACTTTTAAAAGATGATCATTATCATCAGTTCGGGATGTCCAATGTGCTATAATGGCTAAGAAGATAGGTTTATAAGCGAAAAGATAATTTGTTGTAAATGGAGTGTTCAAAATTTCTTTTGATAACAGAGACAAATTTTCTTTAGTTGATTTATTTGTATTAAATTGGTAAAAATCGTCTATTTGTTCCTTAGGGAAGGTTTTATTGAAAAATAGAAATCTCTCCCTTATAGCATCTAAATCCAGGACGATTTGATCAGGAGACATTATTATTCCTACAGTTTAGAGAGAGATTAAATATAGCTGGAAAAAAAGAAAAAAGAAAAAAATAATACACAAAACTCCAGTATTCAAATAAAATATTGGAAGGGGAAAAAATTACTAAATAGACTATTTGAACGGCAGCAGTAATAAATATATAAAATAAACTTATTAGATGCCTTCTTGACTTTTCTTTTTTTTTAGTTTCTTTTTGTGTATGTTTGGGATGAGGGGAAGGGGGGGATAATAATGTATAAAAATCTTCCCAAGGTTAACAACTAAGAAATACTGTGTAGATGTCTCGCACGTCAAGTGAATGTTGAATTTTAAAGTAAAAGAATAAATCCTTTTTATATATCCAAAGTTAATTTATTAGCAGGATTTAAACTTTTATTCGATTAAGATTTATTTATAAGAGTTACAAACTTTTCTCAACTCATCTCATCTCTAAAAATGAAAAAATTTAAAAAAGAAAAAAAAAATTTTTTTTTTATTTGGAAAGTTTCTCAAAAAAAAAAAAAAAAAAAAAAAAAAAAAGAAAAAAAGGGATAAGCGATGAGGTCGCCTTTGACGATATCACAAAAAGGGTGAAAGATCAAAAGAAATAAAGAGAGATTGAAGCAGAAAAGAGAAGGAATAGTGTAACTTGAAATAAAATCCGATAGGAAGGTCTATCTTATAGTTTTATTTACACTTGTTAGTCCATAACTATTGTATGCATTTATATTATTCATGTATATATTGAATTTTGTTTTGTTGTTTTTTTTTAATGGAAGTAAGTGAAGAGGGAAGGGAAGGGAAGAAGAAGAGTAGATCTTATATAGCAAACAATAGTAATTATTAAAATGAGTGAAACATCGTTAAGACCAGTCGATCTAGTCAACCAACCTGCTCAATATCAAGATAGATATAAGATTGTTCATAAACTGTATGATCATTTGGTGAAATTGAAAGGAGAGAAACATTCACAAAGATGGATTAAATTAGCAGTGATGTTAGAAGCACACGTAGCTAAGTTGAGTAAAAGCAACCAAGGTTATAGATTTACTATTAATGTACTGATCCGTGATTTCATTAAACATAAAGGCAATATTAATAAAATTGTGGTTGCTGGTAGACCATTGATACCTGGTAATAATAGATCGGATAGAATTGAGAATATAGATTCTGGCTCGTCTATCCTTTTAAGGAATGTTAACAATATATTAGAAGAATTAAACAAATTGGTTCTTGATGAAGATCAAATGAGTAGAAACAGTTATATTACTAGAAGACAAGTAAACGAGTATGTTGGTGAACTTAGAGATACAGCTAGTGTGAATAGGTCTCTGTATGTTGATTGTTCTCGTTGTATGATGAAATTTAAAAGAACAGACATAAAAAGAAAAGTTATGTGTAAATATCATCCATCGAAGAAAATATATAATTTCGATAAAAAAATATATGAGTATCCATGTTGTGGTGAGACTAGTGAATCTGTTTCATCACAAAGGTTGGGTTGTCAAGTGTTTCAACATCATGTCTTTAAAGATGAAGGGTATAGCTTGTTATCTAAAATATCGCCATTTGTGGATACAGAAAAAGTTGATGGGGAGACAAATGTGATATCTATTGATTGTGAGATGGGGTTTACGACATTAGGATATGAGATGATACGATTGACTATGATAGATTTTTTCACGAGCCGGGTATTATTTGACAAGGTAACCAGGCCTATTGGAGAGATAATAGATTTAAATTCAAGGTATAGTGGGATCTATGAGATTAATAAAGACAATTCGATATCTTATGAGGAGGTATTGAAAGAGATTTTGGGACCTAGGATGATAAACAAGAATAGTATATTAATTGGGCATGGGTTTGAAAATGATTTAAATGTGATACGATTGATCCATGATAAATGTATTGATACTTCTATAATGTTTCTTAGAAAGGATAAATATAAACAAGCATTAAAGGATTTAGCGTTTAAGATGTTAGGTACGAAGATTCAGATGGGGGAACATGATAGTGCTATTGATGCTATAACTACCATGAATCTTGTTAAGAAATACTTGAATATACCTTTAGATAAAAAGGACTGGGATATGAAAACTTGAAAATTAAATATTTATTAATCGTTAAAGGGTAAAGATAAGTTAGTTACTTACATTTTGGGAGCCAACCTCATATAGTAGGATCAACATTTAACATCATTGACCATTGTGTAAGATTTTTATTTTGTAGTACAGTATCTCATTTAGGAGAAAAGTTATCCTAAGTTCATCATATGTTCTTTTATACATCTTATATATTATAGAGAAGGTAAAAATTAAATCTTAGACTTCTGAGGTTAATATAACTTGTTAATATCTACCTTTACATACTTCCTAAGAATAATACAAAGTTTATATAATTTTTATAATTTCTTTTAATATTATTAGAAACAACGCTTTACGATATTTTTTATGTTATTATTTTTTTTTTTTGCATCATAGTCAATTTTTCCAGATACCACGTAAACATAAAAAAAAATAATGAATTGCTTCCTCTTGTTTAGTAACCATGAAAGGAAAATTTGATTGACAGAAACTATGTTATAAGTTACAGTTATTGTTGAAATAAAATGTTCTATAATGAAATAGATAGAACAATAAGATTTTAGCAGACAATAAACGATAAATTGTCGAGTAATAATTGTTGAGAGGTCACCAAAGGTTGTTGAGTTTGTTTATTAAATATCTTACTGTTCGTAGAGGAAAATGGCTGAATGTTAACATATATAAAGCCAAGGATTTCATCATACATTATTTTTATCTTATTTACAATCTTTCTATATTATTATTTCTATGTTGTATATAGAGAAAAAAAGTGAAGAACTTTATTATAATTTTGTATACTAAATCTGTTTAATATAATATTGAGAATGTTTACTATATATCCAATGAATAAAGGCGCTCATTCTCAACAGTTATAACAAAACAATACCTCATCTATATATATATATATATAGATACACATAAAGAAAAAAAAAGAGACATAAACCTTAGTAAATCTATGTATGGAAGATAATGTGTTTTAGTTTACTTTTTCTTTTCTTTTCTTATAATTATCGAACAGTAGAAAAAAACGTTTTTCAGACAATACCACTAATACAATTAGAAAAAAAATGACTCTCCCCTAATTTACCAATTGTAGCATTTTATCTCTGACGTCATTGACGCTCTCTCTATTTTTAAATAATAAATAAAAGTAGGGGAATTTTCGTTTCCCTTTAGACAAAAAAAGAAAGACGTAAGGGAAAGAAAAAATTTTTATTTTTTTTAAAAAGAAAGGAAAAAAAATAGATTGTTATTATGGGTAGCAATCTGTATTTTCTAATGAACCCTACTTTATATCTCCAACATATTGTTCCATAAATTTTTGTTTTATCAGAAATTTTTTTTCTTTTTCTTTTTCTTTTTATTTTTTTCCACAACCCTAACATCAAAACTATCAGCAAGTACAAAAACTTTCTTCAACCCTCAAATATCTTTTCTCTCCCTCTCCTCCTCCTCCTCCTTCTTTTTCTTCTTCTTCTCTTTCCCTTCATCCCAAGGATGAATGAATCAATGAATCAATAAACCAATAAACCAATGTAAATAAATCTACTTCTATATATTATCATTATATATGATATACACAGACACATTTTGTAGTAGCACTATTATTATATTAGATAAAAAATTTAAGCATTGAATAAAACCAATTTTACTTCTAAATAATTTTCATTGAAGGAATTGAAAGATAATAATAAGGGGAATGCCTTTTTTTTTTAAGGAATAACAAATTATAATACATCCATATATATATATATATATATATACATGTAAATCAGATTTTTTTTTAACTCATTTATTTTATATACGCTTTGTATATTCTTTTTTTTCTAGGTTTTACTTTTTTTTTTTTGAATTTATATGATCTATCAAATATTCAAATACATAATAGTTTATTCATATACAATAAAAATATATATGTATACATCTACACAGATTTTACTTATACAATATACCTAATTGTAAAAGATATGTCTGGTGGATCTAAGATTTCTGACCCAATTAATCAGACCACAAGATTAAAAGAACAAAATTTTGATATAGAAAAAAACTTCAAATCTTCTAAAGATTCAACCAATCATAATAACAATAACCACAATAATCGGAGTTGGAACTGGTTTGGTAACAGTCTGAAAACTCTTAGGAATGGTCTCTATAATGGTTTTCAAACAACAAAAAATTCTCTTTCAACTACTTTAAACAATGCATATTCAAATACTTTAAGCACACTATCATATACAGTAGAAATATTGAAGAATCCAATAATTTTGATCAATACTATATTTGGTCTTAGTTTAATATCTATCCTATTGATAGGATATATTAAGTATGAAAAACGATTTTTAATGGGGAAACCAAATTCATTTATTTGGACTTGTCTATTCGGCAGTACTGCCCTCCTTTCTGTTGATTGTTATCTGCTTAATGAATATTTTATCAAAAAAACTTAATATATATATAACCAAAAAAGAAAACAACAGAAAGATATCTCTCCTTCTCTATATCTTCAGCATTTCACATATATATACATATATATTATGTGTCTATGTTTAAAATTATTTTTTTTCTATCTGTTTGTTACTTCTATTACTTTTTATGGAAACTTTACTAAATTAATGACACTACCTTTAAGATCACATTACCCTTTTTAAGTAAAATAACGTAAAGAAAAGAAAAGAAAGAATAAAGAGAAAAATAGAAAAAAAAAAATAAAAACAAAATCAGATCTTTTATTAAGAAAATCCCGTACTACATACTTTTCAAATATTTACCTAAACCTACTTCCAACATTTATATATATATATATATATATATATATATATATCTGATGGATATTTTATTTGTCACGATTTAACAGCTAACAAATAAAACCATTATCACTATATATACATACTATACCATATACGTATACATAAAGAATAGGAGAGAGAAAAAAAAAAGGGAACAAGAGTGAAAAAAAGTAAGGAATTATGAATATATTGTCGTTCAAATTATTCCTTGTATTAATAATATCATTCTCAAAGGTATATTCTTTCACTGATTATCTATTAAAAGATTGTGATAAGGATTCATTTTGTCATAGAAATAGACATTATGCTAGAGAACAAGCCAAATCCTTGCATAAAGGTATTTATACTTTAGATAAACAAAGTATTCAAATAACTGAAGATAATGTTTTTACTGCTAATTTAATTAAAACTGTCAATGACATTGACATCATTTTACCTCTTCAATTATACCTTTTAAATGATCCATTGAGTGCTATTAGATTCACCATAGATGAAAAAAGACAGAATTGTACTGAAGAAAAAGTTAGTTGTCAAAGGTATAATCAGACTTGGAATTGGGCTACACTCCTTCAGTACCATAACACTAGCTTATCTAGTAATAAATTACACTGGGAATTTTCAAAGGAAAGCTCAAAACATGGTTGGTTTTCCTCAAAACACGGAGATGATGATGAAGTAATTATTATTCAAAATGCAAATAAATTCAAAGATATCAAGATTAAATTAACCGTCAAAGATTTCCAAATGATGGTTTATTATAAAGATACATTAGAAATCATCGTTAATGAAAGATATCTATTAAATTGGGAACATTACAGACGTATCGATAACAATGACCAAAATGTCTTACCCTTTGAATCCACCTTCAATATGTTTACTGACGATTTCCAATATTCTAAATCAGATACTATCCCATTAGGCCCTGAATCTGTTGCTCTCGATTTCACTTTTATTAATTATGGTAATGTTTACGGAATTCCAGAACATGCAGATTCTTTGAAATTAAAAGATACTTCTTCTACTAATACTGTTATTTCAAAAGATAAAGAATCTTCCTCACAGAGAAAGACAAGTGACCCTTATAGACTTTTCAATACTGATGTATTTGAGTATAATGTCGATTCAAAACAACCAATGTATGGCTCCATTCCGTTTATGATCGCTGCTAGACCTGGATCGTCTATGGGTATTTTGTGGTTAAACCCATCAGACACCTGGATCGATATCAATTACCATTACCACAATAAACTTAATGACACTAAAACACATTGGATCTCAGAAAATGGAATAATCGATGTTACTCTATTTTTTGGTGATCATCCAAAGGATATTACAAACCAGTATATCCAATTAACAGGGTCACCAGTATTACCACAACTTAGTGCTATTGGTCATCATCAATGTAGATGGAATTATAACAACGAATTGGACGTACTTAACGTACAAAAAAACATGGATGATGGCCATTTCCCATTTGATTTTATTTGGTTGGATTTGGAATACACTGATCAAAAAAAATTTTTCACATGGAATCTAGATGCATTTCCCAACCCAACAAGACTCCTAAAAAAATTAAATAAATTAGGTAGACAATTAGTAATATTGATTGACCCACATCTAATGGCTAAATATGAGGTTAGTAGAAAGATAGTCAAGTCTGGTAGTCAAGTTAGGGATCATGTAGGGAGAACTTTCTTTGGTGATTGTTGGCCAGGTAGATCAATTTGGATTGATACTATTAGTAAACTTGGACAATTTGATTGGTCTAATTTGTTCAACGATTTCATTAATAAATGGTTACCACAGATTGATATTAATTGGAATAATTTGCATTTTTGGAATGATATGAATGAACCTTCTATATTTTCCGGTCCAGAGACAACTGCACCAAAGAATCTTTTACATGATAGAGATATAGAAGAAAGATCCATTCATAATTTATATGGATTAAGTGTTCATGAGACTACTTACAAAGCAGTTAAAGAAATATATAAGAATCTAACCAGACCATTTATCTTAACAAGATCCTTCTTCGTCGGTTCACAACGTTCTGCCGGTTCATGGACTGGTGATAATGTAGCTAATTGGGATTATTTAAGAATCTCCATCCCTATGATTTTAACTAATAATATTGTGGGTATGCCTTTTATTGGTGCTGATATAGCTGGGTTTTCTGGTGACCCAGATCCAGAATTAATTGTCCGTTGGTATCAAGCTGGTTTGTGGTATCCATTCTTTAGAGCTCACGCTCATATTGATACAAAAAGAAGAGAACCATACCTTTTTGAAGAAACAGTTAAAAATATTGTAAGAAATGCAATTCAATTAAGATACAAATTATTGCCAACTTTTTACACCGCTTTTCACAAAGCCAGTATCACTGGCTACCCAATTATGTGTCCTATGTTTTATGAAAAATCTACTTTTATTGAAATGTACAATATCGATGACCAATTCTATCTAAGTGATTCGGGTATAGTTGTGAAGCCAATTGTCTCCTCTAATACAAGAAACACTTCAATGATTTTAGCTCCTGGAATATACTATGATTTAGAAAGTCTAGAACCTATTGTTGTATCTGGTGATAATATTCAGGCTGTTAATATGAATATTCCTTTGTCCAAAATACCTGCTTTCATTGAGGGAGGACATATTATTGTAAGAAAAGATAGATATAGAAGAAGTTCACAATTAATGTTACAGGATCCATACACAATTGTAATTGCACCTAATAATAACAGGGAAGCTTTTGGGAAGTTATATGTGGATGATGGTAAATCTTTCCAATATGAAGAAGGTCAATACTTGGAGACTAATTTCCAATTAAATAATGGCATTATTAAAAATCAACCAAATCATGTTCCAAACTTATCAGAAAATATTCGTACTACTTTTGGAAACACATTGATTGAAACAATCATTATTCCAACTAGTGAAAAAAGTACTCTTAGTATAGGAAAACGAGTTAAAGTAAAACAAAATGAAACAGAATGGTACGTTGATGTTACTAAAGAGAATCATCTAATAATAATACAAAATCCACTCGTTTACTTTGAAAATGAATGGGAAATAATTTTTTAAAAAACCCCACTTCTACCAAAACTCGTCACTTAATTCATACTTTTAATGCATGTACACACACAAACATACATATATATATATATATATATACTAAAATCATAGAAATTGCTATCTCTCATTCACCATATTTACATTTTATTCCACAGGAATATTTCACAATATCTGTCCATTTCATCGATACATGACAAATTGGACATTCACCACCCGTGGGAATAATTTTAGACTCTGTTACATTTTCTTCCTCTGATATATATTTCTTATATAAACATTCAAGATGAAAATGACTATTACAAGTTGTATAATTAAGACAAAATGCAATATAAGGTTTTAATGTAGAATCTTCATCCATATAGTCAAATTCTTGTTGACATATATCACATTTAAGATATCCATTTGATAAGCTATCACAGAAAGCAATCATAACAGTTTCAAATTTGTTTTTTTCTTGTTTATAGAAATTAGTTACAAGTTCTAAATTTGCTTGAGCATAATCTAGTATATCATCTACAGTGTGAGTAGTTGTCATTTTCATATCTTCCAAAGATCCATCAGAGATATCTGCTTCTAACGGAAATGGCGTTTCAATATGAAATTCATTCTGCTTCCAACATTGTAAAGCATTTTTATTAAAAAATTGTACTTTTAGATCCAATCTTTGAAAAAATTGGTTCTTTAATAACAATCGAACGACGCCTAACCTATATTTAAGCGATCTACCACCATTCTTATGTTTAATTACTCTTTCTTCAGGAGCAATGAAATGAGTTTGATATCCATGTTGCCATGCATGCTCAAACTGCAAGGCAACAATTCTGTTAGGAAATCCATATACAAACATGACCATTTCCCAGGGTCGAGTTCCAAGTCTTTTGGTTCTATATGCACCGCCATGAGTTAATGATCCGTTGTGTTGTCGCAACCGTTTTTCAGGATTTGGTGTTGATCCAATATAAAATGACTGCTTCTTGTTAATTGAATGTAGTAAATAACAACAATAGAAGGGAGTAAAACCTGACATCTAACAATATTCTTCAAATGGATATTATCGCTCAATTGGCAAATTTGTATAGTTTGTCACTGGGAATCTCTGTTTAACTAAATATTCAACTATTATCTGCCATAGTGAACCTCTTATAAATGAATATCTATACTGACTCACCATCTTAGATTAGTGGTAGATCCAAACCCCATTTAAGAGGTTTTATTTGTCAAAATGAGTCAGCATGAACCTTGCTCATTTACTAAGCAAAAATTTTGACTGATCATCGCAATAACATTATTTTTTTTTTTTTATAAATAAAAAATTAAAAAAAAAATAATTACTAATACATTAAAAAGAGTGGGCTGTGATGATGGCCACAATTGTCAATTATATGTCTTGTACAGTTTAGACATATTGAAAGGATTTTTATTAGTTATTTAATTAACAATTAAAGAAAAAGAAATTTTTTTATTTCTACTTGTCCCTATGAAACAACATTTTACTAAAACGTGATTTATTACTATTATTGTTATTATTATCAACGAGATATTATAAATTAAAGTTTTATAGAAATATATAAAAATAGTATTTTATTGCAATATTCTAGAACTGCTATCTTACATTAATCAATAATGGTAGTATTATATCGAAGTCGTCTTCCACTTACTAATTGTTATAGATTAAGCACAAAAACATTTTTTGGTACTCACCCAATACATAGATCTAAGATACCAAAGATACCATCTCCACGGGCCTTAAAAAGATTTTTAGATGAATATATAATTGGTCAAGATACAGGTAAAAAAGTTTTAAGTGTTGCTGTTTATAACCATTACTTAAGAATAAATGATAAATTGACTAAAGAAGAATTAGCTAAAGAGAGAAAAGTATTGGAGTTAAATGCTAAAGCAGAGCAAGCCAATAAATTGAAACAATTACAAAAGGAAAATGATAACAAGGATAAATTTGATTTTGATGAAGAATTAGTATCAAGATCTGAGGCTGAAGCTGGATTGAAGAATATCCAGCGACAATTGGAGAATCTTAAGTCTACAACAAACCCCAGTCTAAGTTCGGATAAGTTTGATGATGACGATTTACAATTGAGTAAAAGCAATGTTTTAGTAATTGGTCCCTCTGGCTCAGGTAAAACGTTATTGGCTACCACACTAGCCAAAGTTCTTGATGTGCCAATTGCCATCACAGATTGTACTCAACTGACCCAAGCAGGTTATATCGGTGAAGATGTTGAGGTCTGTATTGAAAGATTGTTGGTTAATGCAGATTTTGATGTAGCCAAAGCTGAAAAAGGTATCATCGTTCTTGACGAGATTGATAAATTGGCTAAACCTGCTGCTAGTATTGGAACCAAAGATGTATCAGGCGAAGGTGTACAACAGTCATTATTGAAAATTATTGAAGGACACAAAGTGGAAATAGTAGTACAAAGACCAGTAAAAGTAAGTACTGATGATAACAATAATAAAAAGACAGTTAAAAAGGATGAAAGTTTTATTGTTGACACTTCAAATATTTTGTTCATGATTATGGGCGCCTTTGTTGGATTAGATAAACATGTAGCTCAGCGAATTAATAAATTAAAACGTCAAAATAAACCAGTATCTGAAACATTAAAAGATTCAAAGAAAGATGATGAAGATGAAGAAATAAAGAATTTAAGGTTTAGCAACAAAATTCAAGAAATTGAATTGCCCAATGGTAAAAAAGTCTCCGCATTTAATCTAACTACTCCGACTGATTTAGTTAGTTTTGGTCTAATACCAGAGTTAGTCGGTAGAGTACCAATAATTACTGCGCTAGAGCCACTGCAAAAGAGTGATTTGTACCATATTTTAAAGGAACCTAAAAATGCTCTATTAGACCAATATGAATATATATTTAAACAATTTGGTGTCAGACTATGCGTCACTGAAAAGGCTTTGAAAAAAGTGGCCCAATTTGCATTAAAAGAAGGCACTGGTGCAAGAGGTTTAAGAGGTATCATGGAAAGAGTTTTACTAAACGTCAATTATGATTGTCCTGAGTCTGGAATCAAATATGTTCTAATTAATGAAGAGACTGTGAATTCCCTACAACAGACTGAATATTCCCTTGCTTCACATGTTAATGCTAAATATTATTCTAGAGGTCAAAGAGATGATTTAATAAGAGATGTGTACAAAGAAGATGAAACGTTGGGTAAGGTACTTGACAAGGAATTTAGAAGGACCCCCACAATACAAAAACACTAGACGGCCTGAAAAAGGCTTGGCATAAATCAATAATCAAATATCAAAAGCCCCACCTCCACTCTGATCTATAAATATTGCCAGAATAGTAATAAAAAGAAAACTACACGCTTTAAAAGAATATTATAGAAATGTACATAGATTTTATATAAATATATATGCCAAATAAAATATGAATATATTATGAATTAACAAAACTTCAAAGGAAACCAAATGTTATTTTATCAATTTCAAACATGGTGTTTATTGCATAAAAGAACAAAATATGTATTATATTTTTTTCGTTTTTTTAAAAAGTAGTAATCTTTTTTGGTTTTTGTGCTACAATATAAGATATTCTGAATGTACCCGCTTGGTTATCAATTTGAGACCAATGTTCCTTATAATACTGTTCTATAATTTCACCTGGATCTTTATTCGTTCCTTCTTGATAATCCATTTCTTGTCTAAATGTAAAATTAATAGCCATCAAACATGCAAATTCATTTAAACAACCCATCTCAGTTTCACAATCTCCTAATTTTAGACTTAGAGTTGATGCCTTGATATTAGTAAATCCATGTTCTTTAAAGATATTTGACAAATGCTGTGTAGGATGAGTAAAAATGTTTTGATGAATTGCATTAATAGCAACACTGTCAAATATTTTTTCTCTAGATATCGCAGTCTGGAATTTACTTTTCGTTGGATTTGTATTTGTCGGACTCAAATCAGCTTGAACAGCAAGAACATACCCCTCATGTTCTAGAATTCTAAACAATTCTTTTGTCAAGACATGCCATCTTTTTCTTGGTAGGATGCCCCAGACCCATGGGCAATATATTGCTGGTATCGAATTATCAGTAAATGGTAATCGTAATTCTAAAAATTGTCTATTATAAGATTTGCTACTCCTGACTTTTTTATCAATATTTTCTACATCATCTTTTAAGGACAATGAAGATGAGGAGAAAGATGCAGCAGATATTTTGTTTATAGATAGAGGTGACTTAGCATCCCCAGGTAAATAATACTGCGTTGGCATTTCAACTTTTTTATAGTTATTAAGAAGTTCACAAAAATGTTCTTCCAACCATAACGTTTGATGGGATGCTGAATTGTTTAATGTAAGGTTTTTATTTGGGCATGATTTTCTTATTAATGGAAAATTGTAATTCCTGACTGATGGAGTTTTCCGATAATAACCAGATGTAATATCAGTGGGAATACTTGAAAACTGTTGGCTACTTATTGATGAACGATGTGACGGTATATTAATATGTTGTTGTTGTTGTGTAACTTTTGTATGCTCAGCCTGTGATTGTGCCTGAGAATGATGCTTTCTTCTAAAGAAATTCACAATACTCGATTTTTTGGAAGATAGTTTTTTCTTGGGAACTATATTCTCCTCTTTTATAGCATTATCGGATTTCTCAACATATAATGGATTAAAAATATTCGTGTCAGTGGTAAAATTAGTATTGTTACTAACATTACTATGTGTATCATAGGTGATCGTATCATAGCTATCTCTTTTTGCTAAGGGGGGCAACATGGATAGTAGATATTCATTAGTACTATCAGATTTCCCACTATATATACTCTTGTTTTCAACACTGTCAGTGTCAATATCAATGTAGTGGTCAGCAAATGGTTTATCTAAACAATTAACCATATACAAATGTGCGTTCTCTTTAGTTAAAATTTCCAACTCAGATTCATTAGATACGATTTTGATCATTGAAGAATATTTTTTATTAATTTCTCCATTTGTATTAATTAATAAATCCTTGGTAAGATTCTTTGAGATCCAAGATATTGAATGTAATTGGAAGTCTACAACATTTAGACTTGGTTCATCAAATGCTAATTGTAGCCCCGTCAAATATGCTAAAGGTGGTCTAATCACCAAAATGTCAATTTCATCAAGATATTCTTGTACATGTTTTGAGAGCATCAACCTATTCTTATCAAGTGTAAAGTCTTGTGATCGATCTAAAGTATCTTTTATCGTCAAAGTATCTGATGTAGAATTTTGCTGATTATTCTTTGATGACTTTCTTGTAACCGATTTTGTTTTCAATAAGGATTGTAAAGCCTCATTGGAATAAAACAATGAATTTTTTTGCAAAAGAAATTTTTGTAGTTGCAAATGCCATAAATGGATAACAATATCCACTTCTGAACGATGATCTGAATTTGAATTCTGATTTGTCAAGTCTTTAGGATCTTCCAAAATATCACTGATGAAGGGACTAGTATAATTATTAATTAAAGATGAATTACTTAACGACAATAAAATATTCGAATCTTCATTAATCATATCATTATCTGAGATGACGGAATTGGGGGAAGGATTTGTTAAGGACTGTTCTGATAAAGTAGTTGTTTTGCAATTGGTCTTCAAAGCGTTAATGATGACTTCAGTTGACGACTTCAATCTTTGTTTTGAAAATATTAAGCTATCAACGGTTTTAGATTCTTTATTAAATGCATAAAAAATGTCTAATACTGGCAACATGGGGTTATAAGAAGGCAGATATTGTAATTGTTTTATTTGCCCATCAATTTCTATATTAATTAAATTATAATTTGATATTGATTTCAGACACTTTACATCTTTCGAAGGCAGCTTATTCCAATCCCATCTCTTGAAAGAATTTTTAGCATCTACGACTCTCTTTGTGGTACCATGAATACTTCTTAAACCCCTTGGTAAAAAATCTTGAGTTAATGGGTCTAAGGATAATTGTTCTTTTAAAGATATATTTGTATTATCTGGACTAGACGCATTTTGTAAAGATGGGTATGGATCTGTATTGTAAATATCAAAAGTATGCAAACTTTCAATAATTCTAACTTTATTTTTTGAACTAATGTTACTGTTATTATTATTATTATTATTATTATTATTATTATTACTGCTACTACTATTATTTTTATTTATAAATTGATTGGCTTGTTTATTGGGATCTTTAAGATCATTATCCAAGTTTGTATCAGACATGTTTCTTAATAATGGGAATGACTTAACAATTCAATAGTTTGAATAAACAGATAAATACATACATACATACATACATATAGATATATATGTAATCCATATACGTATGTAAATGTATTGATGGAAGTGAATAAATGAATATGAATGTATTAGAAAGAAGAGTAAAAAAAAAAAAAGGACAATATAAATATGCAAATAGAAAGTGAAAAAGAGAAATATCTTCCTTAATAAGAGGAATCAAATACTATAATTAAATGAAGTCACTTCTTCAATTCAATTTCAAATCTAAACTTAAAAAAAAAAAATAATGATTAAACTAAAATTAAAAATCAAAAATCAAAAACCAAAAATCAAAAAAAGAAACAAACCAACTAATCTCTGATTGTGTTTTTAATTCCTTTAAACAGTTTTGCAACTAAATTAGCCATATAAATCATAAACAGACATACACATACACATATACCTATACATATATATATATTTAAATGTGTGAATATATACTTGCATTCCGAAGTTTTCATTGTTCCCCACAAAAAATAAAATAAAAATGAACAGGGGAGGATGATTTGTCAATGACTCAAACAAAAAACAAAAAACAAAAAACAAAATTTTGACAGAAAAGAAAAAAAAAAGAATTCCTTAACGAATCGAACACAAAACAAAAAAAGAAAAGAAAAGAAAAAAAAATTCCACAAATTTTTGAACCCATGGAGGTGTATGGGTGTTTGATAAATAGATTTTTCTTTTCTTTTCTTTGCTTTTCTTTTCTTTTTTTCTTTTTTTTTTTTGCAGATCAAATTTATCACCAAAACAATTTTATGCATACAAAAAAATATTAATCTACATAGATGGAATTTGATAATAAGGAATTATTCGGTAAAGTGGATCTATCACTTCACATTAAGCAAGCTTGCTATTTATTTTATTTTATTTTATCCATTCTCTGCTTCAAGTTGATCCTTTATAATCTTATAATCAGATATACAAAAATACACAAATCAACGGGTATTAAAATTGATCATATTTATTCTTCATATCTATCCATAAGGGCAGTGAAATAAATATGTAAATAATTGACAAGGCCATTCTATATCACCATAAATATATATATATATATGTATATAAATGGGCAAGATATACATTGAGAAATACTTGAGCAACATTCTTTAGGTGATTTTTTCTTTTCTTTTCTAGTGTACAAAAACAAAGCGAAAATATTAAATAACAAAAGGTGTATAATAAGTAAAAAAATGTCACAAAATAATAAGATGCCCTATTTAAGTGCAAGGGAAGCTGTTTCAAATAGATGGAGAAACATTGATTATTCAAATTCTAAAGAGATCGATAGCCTTAAAGACAAAACAATGCATAACAGTGCTACTGCCCCTACTATTATTACTAATGCTAATGATAATTATAATGAATTAGTTAATAGTGATCGAATCATAATTGATCTAACAATAGATACAAGTGATAAAGAAGAAGAACATAACAATAAAATAAATAAACCGGATCATAATTTATCAATAACAGAAACCTTTATACCGAAAAAGATCAATAATAACAATAACAATAATAATTCCTGGTGTTTTAAATTAATCAAGTCAGAAATATATGATACTTCTAATAATATGTTTGCTGAACCAGTGATATCTCGTCATTTTATTACATTAGATGATATTTTATACGATTGTAATTTAGAAAAAACTATTCTTTTCAGTTTTCAATATGAACTTAATTTTATTTTACCCAAAATATATCACAAAGTCAATAATGTAACAATGATCGCTCAAACTGGTACAATTCTTCCTTTAACTATAAACTTGTATGCTCCAATGATGAAAAAGACACATATTATTGAATTCCAAATGCCACCATATTCATGCCACCACTCAAAAATGATCATTAATTTCTATAAAGATCAATCATGTCGGATTTTCTTACCTTCAAATAATTTTACATACAATGAAACAAATTTCCCCCAGCAAGTTTGTTGGTGTAGTCCCATACTATCTCCAATAAATCGAACTTATCAGAATAACCAGAAACATGTTAATAAAAAGAACAAGTTTCAAAAGAATTTGATAAAATATTTAAACTCTTATAATATTAAAGATATAAAATATCATTCAATTATCTATAATCTACAAAGAATCGATTTTTCACCGTTAAATGATGATGAAATAAGTTTCATCTTCTCAACAACAAATAAAAAAGTTACTTCAGGTTTAAAATTATTAAATGAAATACTTTTAGAAAAATCACTGCTAATTGATAACAACAATACTAACAACAGTATATCAAAACATTTACTTTGTCAAATTTCTTCAATGGGTAATTCCTTAAGTAGAAACAAACCAATAAATATTTTCACACATTTAATGATCCCTACTTGGTATAATCTATTGAAAATAAATGAAAATGACAAAAGAATCAAATATATAGAAACTGAAACTCTATTAAAACTATATGAAGACATGAAAATCCATCCTTATATTGTATATCCAACATTAAATGAGTTAAAGAACTCTATGCATGGTATGATGGTTGAAGGCTGGTTCAATTTTTACTATGAAAGAAATATACCATATTATTCCATGCTTAAGGAAAAGTTTAAAATTTTTTATAAACAAAGCCCAAGAAATGTGTCTTTTAGAAGAGGTCCAATACCCGCACATTCAAAATTTTATTTATCTACTACCACCACAGCTACGTGGGAAACTAACAAAGGAATGGAAGATAGTCCTTTCCAAGAGTTGGACTGGTGTTGTTACACTTCAGCAAACTTGAGTATGAATGCATGGGGCAAGGTATTAACCTCACCCAGAAATTATGAAGTTGGTGTTTTGATACATAAATCAAGAATCAATAAAGATAAAAAAGTGCCATGTCTCAGTTTTACCGATTTGGTTTATTCAAGAGACTCTAAAAAGAAGAATGTAGACACTGATAGTTCAATAATTGTTCCTTTTACTTTACCTTTATTACCTTATGACGAGGGGATCACAGGAGATGAGTGCTATAACAGGGCCATTCATGGAACTCAATTACAATAAATGCTTCTACACAAATATACACATACACACATATATATATATCGTTATCAGCTGATGGTTGATTAATAGTCTCTGAACAGTGGAATACGATAATCTTCATCAGCTTTAAAACAGGTATCAAACAAAAAAGTACGGAATTCACTTTTGGTTTTTATATTCCCGCACATTTCCGTGGCGGAATCTTTTTTTAAAAACTTTCTTGAACGATCAAAGCCTCCAAGTCGTTCAAGAATCAAAGATAGAAAGGAAAAACACGAAGGAGAACAAGAAGGGGGGGATTGATAAATAAAGAAACTATGGTATATATACATATATATATATGTATATATGTGTGTGTAAGTATACATGTTACAGATCAAAAAAAAGGATTTTATTATATTTTCTTTTTTGTCTTGGAAGACTAATTTGACCATTTCAAGTTTCCATAGATAACTTAACAATCTTATTCAATAACTACTTTAGTCTACTAATCACCAATACCTATTATTCAAATAGAAAGAACTCTTCTATAAAGCATCCTTCCTCTTCTTTTCTTTTGACAAATAATAGTGATTACTTTTGAAAATGGTTGCTTTAGGTGCTACAAATACTGCTTCTTTTAACGACACTTTCCGCGTCTCTGACAATGTTGCTGTTGTTATTCCAGAGACCAATGTTCAAGTCACATACCGTGAGCTATCTAGCATGGTAGGTCATTTTCAAACATTATTTAATGATTCCACCTCCCCCTTATTCAATGTTGTTGGTAGACAATCTACTGTAGCAATATCAATGCCAAACTCTCTAGAATTTGTAGTTGCCTTCTTAGGAGCTACCATGGATGCAAAGATTGGTGCACCTTTAAATCCGAAATATAAGGAAAAGGAATTCAATTTTTATTTGAATGATCTAAAGTCCCGTGTTATTATTGTTCCCAAGGGTACAGTAAATCAAAAGGTGACTCCAGAAATTATCAAATCTGCTTTAAATTTCCAATGTTTTGTTGTTGAACTATATTTTAGTCTTGAAAGATTTACCGTGGAATATGATGTGTACACGTCTAGGGATAACTATTCAAAGAGAATCTATACATCGAAGAATAGGCCAAAATTCATTAATCATGATCCATCTCGGTTTCCAGGATTTGCTCGTTCCAGTGACACAGCATTAATTTTACATACTAGTGGCACAACATCTTTACCAAAGACAGTTCCTTTATTACATTTGAATATTGTTCGCAGTACTTTGAACATTTGTAAAACTTACAAATTGACTGAAAACGATCGTTCATATGTGGTCATGCCTTTATTTCATGTTCATGGATTAATTGGTGTTCTATTATCCTCATTCCGTGTTCAAGGATCCGTGGTGATCCCGCCAAGTTTCTCACCAAAAGTGTTCTGGTCTCATTTTGTCAACACCAATTGTAATTGGTTCAGCTGTGTGCCCACGATTAGTATGATTATGTTGAATGTTCCTAAACCGGATCCATTTCCAGAGATTAGATTTATCAGATCATGTTCCTCGGCTTTGGCTCCTGCTGTTTTTCACAAGTTGGAGAAGGAATTTCAAGCTCCTGTCCTTGAGGCGTATGCAATGACTGAAGCAGCACACCAAATGACATCTAATAATTTGCCACCTGGCAAACGTAAACCAGGTACCGTTGGACAACCACAGGGTGTGGAGGTAGTGATCTTGGATGAAAAGGATAATGTTTTGCCTCAGGGGTCTATCGGAGAGGTGTCTATCCGTGGTGAAAACGTCACTCTTGGCTATAAGAATAATGAAAAGGCAAATAAAGAGAATTTCACCAAAAGATTCAACTATTTCAGGACCGGAGACCAAGGGTATTTCGATTCTGAAGGTTTCCTGGTGTTAACTGGTCGTATCAAAGAATTGATCAATAGAGGAGGTGAGAAGATTTCGCCTATCGAATTAGATAGTGTTATGTTGTCTCATCCAAATGTTGACGAAGCCGTTTCCTTTGGTGTTGAAGATGATGTGTATGGTCAAGTGGTGCATGCTGCAGTAGTGTTGAAGCCAAATACAAGTCTGAATTATCAAGAGTTGACCCAATTCATGAGTGATAAAGTGGCTAAATTTAAGATTCCTGTTAAGATCTATTTTGTTGACAAATTGCCAAAGACTGCTACCGGGAAGATTCAAAGACGTATTATTGCACAAGCTTTCAGTGAATCCAAGAAAAGTAAACTATAAGATCGATTACCTTACTCTCCTTTTCTCACCCTCGTCCTCCTCACACCTTTTTCCTATAGTAGATCATGATTCCTACTTTATTTATCTTTTTCTCTCTTACTCTTTATACATTACATAATATATATCAAAGTATATATGATGAACTTTCTATAATCTAATCAGAGAATACACAACCATATGTTATATAATACATGATGGTGTATAGTCACTAGTGTCAACTCTGAAGTGTAAAGCATGAAGTACGGAATTTGAGAAAACGGACATTTTCTTCGCTTTTCCTTTTTTATTTCTTTTTATTTCTTTTATTTTTTTTTATAGTCTGTCTACTTTTTTTGTTTTTGACTTATCTTGTTGGGGAGGAAAAAATGTCCTGCAAGGGAGAGAAATGTTTATTGAGTGGAAGACACAAAGGGGGAGAGAAAACTCATTTGGAATACTTGATATTTGGGGAGATGTCTGAATTGCTAAAACTGGTATCTTTGCAATAGACTGCACAGAGCAGACTTTGTTGATATAACTAGTTATTATCGTCTGGCTTTTTTCTGTATTTTCTGCCTTCACTCTCTTCCTTTATAACTTCAATTGATTAAATTATAAACAAGCAAACGAACAAGCAACGATAATGTTTAAATCGGCTGTTTCTAAAAGATTGTCCATGTACGGGACTACTCCATTAAAACTATCTCTCGTGAAAAATGCACCACTTTTAACTAGACCAATTGCCAACAGATTTGCGTCCACAAAGACTATGACTGTCAGAGAAGCTCTAAATTCTGCACTTGCTGAAGAATTGGACCGTGATGACGACGTTTTTGTCATTGGTGAAGAAGTGGCGCAATACAATGGTGCATATAAAGTTACCAAAGGGTTACTAGATCGTTTTGGTGAACGTCGTGTCGTGGATACCCCAATCACTGAGTACGGGTTTACTGGTCTGGCAGTTGGTGCTGCTTTTAAAGGTTTGAAACCCGTTGTTGAATTCATGTCTTTTAATTTCTCCATGCAAGCTATTGACCATGTAATAAATTCTGCTGCAAAGACCCATTATATGTCTGGAGGGACTCAAAAGTGTCAAATTGTATTCAGAGGTCCCAATGGAAGTGCTGTAGGGGTTGCTGCTCAACATTCACAAGATTTCTCTGCATGGTACGGTTCCATCCCAGGTTTAAAAGTTCTTGTGCCATACTCTGCAGAAGATGCAAGAGGTCTTTTGAAAGCTGCTATCAGAGACCCAAACCCTGTTGTTTTCTTAGAGAATGAACTGCTATATGGTGAAAGTTTCGAAGTCTCTGAAGAAGCCTTATCCCCAGACTTCACTTTACCATATAGAGCTAAGATCGAAAGAGAGGGGAAAGATGTTTCCATTGTCACATACACAAGAAATGTGCAATTCGCCTTGGAGGCAGCCAAGATTTTACAAGAACAATATAATGTCTCCGCTGAGGTTATCAATTTAAGGTCTATTAGACCATTAGACGTCGACGCGTTAATAAAGACCGTCAAGAAGACCAATCATTTGGTCACTGTAGAATCCACATTCCCTGCATTTGGTGTGGGTTCTGAAATCGTTGCACAGATTATGGAATCCGAAGCATTCGATTATTTAGATGCTCCTGTACACAGAGTCACTGGTGCAGATGTTCCAACCCCATATGCTAAAGAATTAGAAGATTTCGCATTCCCTGATGCTCCAACAATCGTTAAAGCAGTTAAAAAAGTTTTATCCATTGAATAATTATAGCAATAAATGAAATAAAAAACAAAAAAAAGAAATTTGTAAGGAATATAGTATGTACTGTTTTTATTCCTCTTTTTATCTGTTTTATTCCCTCCCCACTACCTCTTCTTTCCTGTGTTTATTTAAAATATTATTATTATATTCTATATTTTCTCAAGTAATCAATTTTGTGTTATTTTGACTTATTTCTGTGTACATATATCCTTATATATACCTATGTATGTATATATGGAAATATATGCGTATATTATTACTATTATGATTATCTAGATATTTGCTTACTTACTTACTTACTTACTTACTTATTCTTAATACTCAACGTTATAACTTTCTAACCTTCTATATATGTATATATATGTATATATATATATATATATATTCTTTTCTTACTTATTACTTTTCTGTTTGGTTCTTGACAGCTATCGAAACACGATTTTAATTCAAAGATCTGTTTGTAAACAAAAAAAAATAAAAGAAAGTAAAATTTTAGAAATCCTCGTTTCAAACAAAATAAGCTTGTGTATAACAGATCACAATATAGAATTGTGTGCTTTACATACGTAGATATAGATAATATATGATAGAAGAAATAGCAGCTACAACCATCATCTAGAGACAACTCCAACTTATTTCTGATAACCAATTATTATATACTTAAGGCCCTTTCCCTGATCCTATATAAAGTAGAATACAAAAAAAAAGAAAAGAAAAGAGAGTGATGAAACCTAAAAAACAAGTGAATAATAAATTGGCACGTCATGATTTGCCTCAATTCTTCCTTTTAGTAGCATTATATTTTGTCCAGGGGATCCCTGTTGGTTTGGCGTTTGGTACAGTACCCTTTTTATTAAAGTCAATGGCCAAAGATACCTCATTCGCATCCTTGGGTCTCTTTTCAATGGCCACATACCCATATTCATTAAAAATTCTTTGGTCACCCATCATAGATTCGTGTTACAATAGAAGGATAGGGAGAAGAAGATCCTGGATTATTCCAATTCAATTGGTAAGTGGGATCATCTTAATTTTATTAGGTTGGGCAATCAGTAAGAATCATATTTTCAAAGGTGTAGATAATGCATTCCACGGCTTACCCACTGACATAAGCAATACGAATATCATGTCTCTAGTCTGGTGTTTTGGTCTATTAGTTTTTCTCTGTGCTACTCAAGACATCTGTGTAGATGGATGGGCTTTGACTATTCTTTCTAAACAGTCGTTATCGTATGCGTCAACTGCACAGACTGTCGGATTAAACATTGGTTATTTTCTTTCCTTTACTGTGTTCATATCTTTGAATTCCAGTGATTTCATCAATAAGTATTTCAGAACTTCGCCAAAACCATACGGTTTAATCAGTTTAGGTGGATATATGAAATTCGCTGGTTTTATTTATATCATATTAACCTTGTATGTCGGATTTTGTACAAGTGAACATCCATTAAGAAAGCATTTGTCCTTTAAGGGGGCTTCGGGATATTCTGTATTACCAAGACACAAAAATCACAATGTTAAAAGCCAGGAAGGTTATGATGGTTCTACAAATACATTGGTTGTAGCGTACCAATATGAGGAAGATGATGAGAGGACCCAGAATATCTCGTATATATATAAATGTTTTTTGAAAGTGTTAGGGCTTAAGCCTATCCAGTTGTTGGCTTTGGTTCATTTGGTATCCAAGATTGCATTCCAATGTAATGAGGGGGCTACAAATTTGAAGTTGTTGGAGAGAGGGTTTAAAAGAGAGAACTTGGCGGTCACTGTGCTGATTGATGTACCTTTTGAGATAATTTTTGGATATTATGTGGCCAAATGGAGTTCTGACAACAAACATGGAGGTAGCCCCAGTAATAATGAAAGTGGGAATGTGTATATTAATGCTCAGAACAGTAATTATAAAAATAAAGATGGTAATGGAAATGAAGATGACGATGAAGATGACGATGACAATCCACATGAAAAGATGTTGAGAATCAGAAACAATTCAATTTTGAAAAGAATCAATAGTTTCTTAGTTGGGGACGCAGGTATATTAACTCCATGGTTATATGGGTTTTTAGGTCGGTTAGTAGCAGCAGCATTAGGTAGTTATGTTGTGTATAAATTTCCGAGAGACAAAGAAATAAGCATATGGTTCTTTATACTTGTTATAGTGCAACATCTGCTAGGGTCGTTTATGAACACCGTGCAATTTGTTGGCATCTCGAGTTTCCATACAAGGATTGCAGACCCGGTGTTGGGTGGCACGTACATGACGTTACTGAATACGTTGAGTAATTTCGGTGGGACGTGGCCAAGGATCATTGTGATGTGGATGATCAGTTACTTTACGGTGTCAAGATGTGAAATGCCGTCAATGGGTCAAGACTATTTATTTCATGGATCAGAGAAAAATCAAAAATGCGGGATCGAGTTGGATCCATCAAGCAAGGTTACTATAGTGAGGGATGGGTACTATGTGGTCAATACGTTGTGTATTTTGCTTGGGCTGTTGTTATATTTTGGATTTTTGAAAAGACAAGCTCAATCATTGCAACGACTACCAATAAGTGCTTGGAGATGCGCACATGATCAGCGAGGATAAATAAATAGATAGATAGATATTACATATTCATACGTATATATATATATATAACTATAACTATAACTATAACTATAACTATAACTATAACTATAACTATAAACATACACATACACATACACAAATAAATATTGTGTCATATCATATTATGTCATGCGAAGTCATGTCATTTCATAGTATGTTATAGTATGTCATGGAACGTGTGTTCTGTATGTATAACTGGAACGAGGGAGAAAAAGAAGTAGACTTTACCGCAACAACGTCTCTAGTGATGACAGACGTCTGCAATGATGATCGATGGTTGTTGATAAGCGAACGGATTCCTTATCAGAAACCGATTTCATTTGCCAGAAAAGAAAAAAAGGGAAAATGAGAGAAAGATAAGATAAGAAAACAAAAGGGAGCAAAAGAACGGCTATATTGTTCTGTTTTGTTTTGTTCTGTTTTTTCTATTTTATGGCCTCTCCATCTTTGGGACAACAAAGAAAGAAAGAGAAGAAAACAAAAAACAAAAACAAAAACAAAATGGCCTTTTTGCTGTTTTATCCTCCCCGTCCTCCCGTCGCAAGTATACATCCGACAGAAACAAAAAAAAAAAACAGCAACCCTATTTTGAACCTCGAGGGTCGCCACTAACTTTGTTTTTGTTTTTGAGAAACAGAGGAGTTGTGGCAATGCGTCATCCCACACGAAGCACTGCACGTTTGTCCGGCGAGGTCCGAGAAAAGGGAGGGGGTGGGAGGAAGGAATTCCGTGTCACGTAGACAGGAAACGCTCGAGAAAGAAAAATAAAAAAGAAAAAAATAGAGCTCTCGAGGACAGATTTTTCAATAAAAACCTAAGTTGTTAAATATATCTCTGCGAATCTGTATGATTGATTTATTGATTGATTTTTCTTTCCTTTCTTTCTTTCTTTCTTTTTTGTTAAATACATCTGTTTGGCTGACTCACTCATTCATTTCACTTAACTCTCTGTGATCACATAAAATCCTGCTACTTTTTTTTTTTATTATATTTATTTTTATTTTCATTTTTTCAATATTTGCAAAGGTTCTGTCTATTCCCATTTTAAATTGTTTTAAGTCATCATTATATTATTTCTCTCCGTCTCTTTTCTTGTTCTTTTTCTGTCTTTGTTTCCTCCTCCTCTAAGCTCCGTCATCATTCAGATAGAGATCCTGTTTTATATAAAATCTTTTTGTTTTTTTTTTTTTTTTTTTTAAGTTGTGTATTTTCTATATATCTATGATTAACTACATTCCTCTCTCCCATTGTTTTTCTGTTTTTCTTTTTTTTTTTTTTACTCCCTTTCTTGTTATTTATGTTCTAAATAACCTATAAAATGAAAAAAAGACAAAAAATAAAAAATAGAAAATAGAAAATAGAAGATAAAAGAAAAAAATACTTAAGAGAATATACGATTTAAATACATAAATAAAACAACTTACTCAATACTCTAAACTAAATAAGAAATAAATTTAATAGTACTCCACTGTCTTTATATTATACATACATATATTATAAGGTAGTGTGAATTTAGCTGTGCTTTTTTTTGGTTTTTTTTTTTTTTTTCATTATTTTTTAATTTTTTTTAACCTATTTTTCTATTTTATTTCTTTTCATTACCATAACACCAACAAACATTAGTAAATCAGAACTGAGTTAAAAATTCACGTTAAGTTTATGAATATGGCGTCTTTGAAATTAAATGGTATCAGAGACAGCAACGCTCTACTAGGTGAAAAGAACAAGATTCTTGTCGCCAACAGAGGGGAAATCCCCATCAGAATCTTCAGAACTGCCCATGAACTCTCCATGAGGACCGTCGCCATATATTCCCATGAAGACCGTTTATCCACCCACAGATTGAAGGCTGATGAAGCATACGTCATAGGGGAGCCAGACCAGTATACCCCGGTTGGAGCATACCTTGCGATCGACGAAATCATCTCCATAGCCAAGAAACACGGCGTCGATTTCATTCATCCTGGTTACGGGTTTCTTTCTGAAAATTCAGAATTCGCCACTAAAGTGGCCCAAGCAGGCATCACTTGGATCGGACCTCCAGCCTCAGTCATCGACTCCGTGGGTGACAAAGTCTCTGCAAGAAACCTCGCTGCAAGAGCTAACGTCCCAGTGGTCCCTGGTACTCCTGGCCCCATAGAAAACGTCCAAGAAGCTAAGGACTTCGTCGCTAAATACGGGTACCCTGTCATCATCAAGGCTGCCTACGGTGGTGGTGGTAGAGGTATGAGAGTCGTTAGAGAAGGTGAGGACATCGCTGACGCATTTAAACGTGCTTCTTCGGAAGCCAAGACAGCCTTTGGCAACGGTACCTGTTTTGTGGAAAGATTCCTGGATAAACCAAAACATATCGAGGTCCAATTGTTGGCCGACAACTACGGTAATGTGGTACATCTTTTTGAGAGAGACTGTTCCGTGCAAAGAAGACACCAGAAGGTCGTGGAAGTGGCTCCAGCAAAGACTTTGCCCTTGAAAGTGAGAAATGCCATCTTGACAGACGCCGTCAAACTGGCTAAGGAAGCCGGCTACCAAAACGCAGGTACCGCAGAATTCTTGGTCGATAACCAAAACAGACACTATTTCATCGAAATTAACCCAAGAATTCAAGTGGAACATACCATCACAGAGGAAATTACAGGCATTGATATTGTCGCAGCTCAAATCCAAATCGCTGCTGGTGCAAGTTTGGAACAACTTGGTCTCCTACAAGACAAAATCACAACTAGAGGTTTTGCTATCCAATGCCGTATCACTACTGAGGATCCAACCAAGAATTTCCAACCAGATACCGGTAGGCTGGAAGTCTACAGATCTGCTGGTGGTAATGGTGTCCGGTTAGATGGTGGTAATGCCTATTCTGGTGCCATCATCTCCCCTCATTATGATTCCATGTTAGTTAAATGTTCTTGTTCAGGGTCCACCTACGAAATCGTTCGCCGTAAGATGATCCGTGCTTTGATCGAATTCAGAATTAGAGGTGTAAAGACCAATATCCCATTCTTGTTAACTTTGTTGATGCATCCTGTGTTCATCTCCGGTGACTATTGGACCACTTTCATTGATGATACCCCACAACTGTTTAAAATGGTTTCATCTCAGAATAGAGCACAGAAATTGTTACATTACTTAGCAGATTTAGTAGTCAACGGTTCTTCTATTAAAGGTCAAGTTGGTCTTCCAAAATTGCATAAGAACCCAGACATCCCACATTTGTACACAAACAATGGTGATATCCTCGATGTCCATAACATAGCTCCTCCAAGTGGTTGGAGACAAGTGTTACTAGAAAAGGGGCCAGAAGAATTTGCAAGACAAGTCAGGAAATTTGATGGTACTTTATTAATGGATACTACTTGGAGAGACGCACATCAATCTTTATTAGCTACCAGAGTCAGAACTTATGATCTTGTCGCCATTGCTCCAACCACTGCACATGCTTTATCTGGTGCTTTTGCTCTTGAATGTTGGGGTGGTGCCACTTTTGATGTTGCTATGAGATTCTTGCACGAGGATCCATGGGAAAGATTAAGAAAGTTGAGAAAATTAGTCCCAAATATCCCATTCCAAATGTTGTTACGTGGTGCCAATGGTGTCGCTTATTCCTCCTTGCCAGATAATGCCATTGATCATTTCGTTAAACAAGCTAAGGAGAACGGCGTTGATATCTTTAGAGTCTTTGATGCATTAAACGATTTAGAACAATTGAAGGTCGGTGTGGATGCTGTTAAGAAAGCTGGTGGTGTCGTTGAAGCTACTATCTGTTACTCAGGTGACATGCTAGAACCAGGTAAAAAATACAATTTGGATTATTATTTAGAAATCACTGAAAAGATTGTTCAAATGGGTACCCATATCTTAGGTATCAAAGATATGGCCGGTACTTTGAAACCAGCTGCTGCCAAGTTGTTGATCGGTACATTGAGAGCTAAATACCCTGATTTACCAATCCATGTCCATACTCATGACTCTGCTGGCACTGCAGTGGCTTCCAATGCTGCGTGTGCCTTAGCTGGTGCAGATGTTGTTGATGTGGCTATCAATTCTATGTCTGGTTTGACATCTCAAGCCTCTATTAATGCTTTATTAGCTTCATTGGATGGCCTAGTTAACACAGGTGTCAATGAAAGTTATGTTCGTCAACTAGATGCATATTGGGCTGAAATAAGATTATTATATTCATGTTTCGGTGCCGATTTAAAAGGACCAGACCCAGAAGTCTATCAACACGAGATTCCAGGTGGTCAATTAACTAACTTATTATTCCAAGCACAACAATTAGGTTTAGGTGAACAATGGGCTGAAACTAAGAGAGCATACAGAGAGGCCAATTACTTGCTTGGTGATATCGTTAAAGTTACTCCAACTTCTAAAGTTGTTGGTGATTTAGCCCAGTTTATGGTTACCAATAAGTTGACTTCTGATGATGTTAGAAGATTGGCAAATTCTTTAGATTTCCCAGATTCTGTTATGGACTTCTTCGAAGGCTTAATTGGTCAACCATACGGTGGTTTCCCAGAACCATTAAGATCCAATGTGTTAAGAAATAAGAGAAGAAAATTAACTACTCGTCCAGGTTTAGAATTAGCTCCATTTGATTTAGAAGGCATCAAGGAAGATTTGATCAACAGATTTGGTGATATCACTGAATGTGATGTAGCTTCATACAACATGTATCCAAAGGTTTATGAAGATTTCCAAAAGATTAGAGAGAAATACGGTGATTTATCTGTTTTACCAACTAGAAGCTTCTTAGCTCCTGCTATTGTGGGTGAAGAAATTGAAGTTACCATTGAACAAGGTAAAACTTTAATTATCAAATTACAAGCAGTTGGTGATTTAGATAAAGAAACTGGTATCAGAGGTGTTTACTTTGAGTTGAATGGTGAAACTAGAAAGATCCCAACTGTTGACAGATCTCAAAAGGTGGAAACTGTTGCTAAACCAAAGGCTGATAACCATGATCCATTCCAAATTGGTGCCCCAATGGCTGGTGTTATTGTGGAAGTTAAGGTTCACAAGGGCTCTTTAATCAAGAAAGGTGAAGCTGTAGCTGTCTTAAGTGCAATGAAGATGGAAATGGTTATCTCTGCACAAACTGATGGTCAAGTGAAAGAGGTATTAGTTGATGGTGGAGAAAATGTTGACGCTTCTGATTTATTAGTTGTTTTAGAAGAAGTCAAACCATAAAGATGGTTAATGATATGATAACGTTTTTTTTTTTAAGATAGAGATGAAAACTATCGTTTATTTTTTATGTGTATTGATTGATATTCATTTAATAATCATTTTATGTGATGTCATGTAATTTTGTAAAATAGTTTAATAGCATTATATACATATATTGTTATTTCAATAAACTACCTATACAATTTGATTATATGGAAATATTATATAGTTAACCAAATGCAACAATTGCACAATAACTAATTATAAGTTCATCATTCACTTTGAATTGATTCCAAAGATCTCCCACTCTTTCATCAGGACTAGGTGCAAAAGAATTATTAATATAACAGAAGACATGATTAACCTTTATTCTTTTCTTCAAAAAGAGAATTATGGTAGAGAATGGTTTATTATAAGATATTACACATGTGTTCTTAGGTTTCAAAGAAGGAATGGATCCTATGGGCTGGAACTTGACCTTAACTTTCATACCTGATGGATCTTCTGGGGAACTTAATTTTGTATGACCATACACTTTATCATTATCTGGATCTTCTTTAGTTAGCGACTGTGTGTTTTCAACAGAGAAATATCCTCTAACATGTATCTGAGTATTGTCTTCTGGAACCAAATAATTTGAAGAAGTTTGAGAGAATTCGCTACTACTTGTTTCACTATCTAGACCTAAGCCCAATTGAGACAACCTTTTTGTATAGGACTCTAATTTCTTTTGTACTTTATATATTTCGTGTGACGTTGTAGAGTCATTAGCAGATTCTGATCTCTTGGTTTGTGTCTCAAGTGAGATAGTTGGTTCGTTCGAATCCACACGTTTTACTGGTGATTCTTTATCATAGCTATCTTTACTCGTCATTGATAGAACTTCTATTTACTATGGCATTCTATAATTGTAAGATTGTGAAACTGCAGGAGTTTAGGATATTGGCTGATTCTGTCAGAACTATCAAAATATACAGCTGCAAGTGGGTAGTTCTGTGTGTGTATAACTGGAATGGTTTATTCTTAGAATTTTAGACTAATTTACAACGGTTTTTATTATGTTTGTAATCACTTGGACCTTGTTTTGAAATTTTTGACTGTATATTTTTTTTTACCCGCAAATTCTGAATAGACTCAAAACTATCAAAAGAAATTTATGTGGGGAGGAGGAGCATATGTTTTTTTATTTCTGTAAAGAAAGAATTGCTTTCTTTCTGTGTTGTATATTTATTTTCTACTCATGTTTAAGTATATTTTAACATCGAATTTTGCTTCTTTGTCAAAATAAAAGAAGAACAGCAATAATATTAAATTTTTTAACGATACTTCTTCATTCTTGCTTATTGTGCTTTAAGAAGGCAAGATGATTGATTTAGAAGAAATTAAGATCGACCTTTTAGATGCGTTTCAAAATGGCTTAGACGACCCTGTCTCTTTGGTTACTTTAATTGAGATGTATGGTGATCAATTAGATAAAGAAGGTACTTTAGAGGATAAACAACAGTTTTTAGAAATTTTGGATGAACAATTAAAAGAGAGAAGAGATGTCACATTTACAATTAGTTGGGATATGCCTAAACAATTAATTAGATGGATCTCTGGTAAAAATATTAAGCATTATGAAGTTTTGAAGAATAATAAAATTTTCTCTCTCATTATGAAATGTTTTATGTCGAATGCTTTATATGGAAATCCAAGAGAATTATTAATTTCTAGTTGTGAAATTTTAAGTAAATTATCTGCTGAAGATGAAACTATACAATATTTGCAAGTAACTAAAAATGATCATGAACCAACAGAGACAGAAGTGATTAATAGGGCCAATATGGATAGATATCCAGGTGATTTCTTTGTTGGTTTAAAATTGCATTTGGTTTATGAATTAATATCCAATAGTTTGAAGAGAATAGACACACTATACCCTTCTAAATATTTAAAGATTGTAGTCACTTCCTTTGAAGATGTTATCAGTACAAATAAGCGTACTATGGAAGATCCGTCTATCATTCTTCGTAGAATCTATATATTTTGTAAAAATTATATCCCAAATGATCCACCAAAGCAGGTGGAATTAAAAGATGGTACCATATTAGAGGGTGTTGAATTACAGAATATTGTTGATAAAGAGATAGAGATCCAGAGAAATTTATTAAGATATCTTTGTACTTTTGCCATTGCGGAAGGTCTCAATGGTACTACAGATCGTAGTGAAGTACAGATATACTATAAAATGAGTCATCAAAAAGTTCTTCCAGTGCCATTTTATGAACAACTATTAGATACAAAATTTCGATTCTATGATTTAGCATTATCCTTTGATGTTGATTTAAAGGAAGAATTAATTAATTGCATCAATGAATGTAAAAGAATTTACAAAGCATTGCCGAAAATTGAAGATGTGCCTACATTAGAAGCACAAAGATTGATAAGCAAAGGTGTAATTAAACTATCTCTATCTTATCACATACAAAGAATGTCTCACGACACAAATTTGCCATTGTATCCACAGGGAATTATAGTCTTGTCAAGTTTACATTATTTGGTGTCAAAGAAACATTTATATCCTGATATTCCATTAAATGATACAATATATCTATTTTTAAGATTTGTATCTCTGGACATTATGTCTAAGATATACTCAAATAGTGCTGTGGATGGTGCAATAAGATATTTAATATGGATTTGTGTTAATAATAACTCTTGTCTAGATTTGAGAAAACAAATGTCCCAGCTATCACCATTTATATTATCTGCATTCTTGGAATGTTTTTTAATTAAAGTGTCCCTAGAAAAGAGAGCGGAAAGTAAGACTATTCAATTTACTTTATTTACGCGATTATTGGTTTGTGCCCCTGAATCAATTGCATTCCAATTTATCACCAATGTTTTATCCGACTTTCCATACATTGAAGGGAAATATTTAATCATCGGGATATTAAGACACCTCTTCACTACGAAGTTTCCTAAGATCAAAGAAGTGGATGATAATGGATTATACTATTCAGATCAAACAAAAGAAAAGGAATTGGTAGATAAATTATCTAGTATGCAAATCTCTAACACTGAGAGAAAGGACGTAGTTGTTAATAACAATGATACGAAAGAAAAAGAAGATGATACTAATATGGCTATCAATTTAACTATACAAAGAATGTCTGAATTAACAAATATTATCAGAGATTCTATTAAAAAGGCAAAGAATGTTAAAAAGACTGATCATGAATATAAAATTGTTATCGTATATTTGAAATTTTTGTCAATGATGAAACCTTTTTGGGATAAAAATTTAATAAAATCACTTGAATCTGATTTCAAATCAATTACTCTGGAAAAAAATTTTGAATCAAAATTAAACTCACTGATGGATTAGTCACTATAAATTAAAACTTATAGCACTATCCTTGCACCATATGTAGGTATATATGTTTCTATATATTACTTGATATTCCAAGAATAGATAAACATTCATTTTTTATATAGTAAAATTATGCCCATAATTATTTCATCTATTAAATACAGCACTAAACAATCATGCTTGTGTTACAGAAAATGTTTACCATTCTTAAACTTAGCGTTTAGAAAACAATGCAATCTTAAAGTTGTAACAATCTGTTAACGCCTCGACCTCTTTAAAGAACTTTGTGTTCTTTCAATCTTTGGAACATCATCCTTTTCAATTAAAGGTCCAAAAAAAACAAAGAAACCATCTTTAGTAGTTGCTCTTTGTTCTTCCCATAATAACTCTGAATCATCAATAAAGGGATCTTCCATATCATACTTACCAATTTGACTTTTACCCTTCATTGGGTGTGCTTTTTTCTTTGTATCCTTGTTAATATCGTCACCATCTGTATTAATGCCAGTTAAGTTAACTTTATCAGTTTTGTTTATGAAAATACCTCTTTTGTTTATTTTTTCCTGTTCTAGATTTGCTTTATCCTTTGAGTTATTATGAATCATTTTCTTATTTATTAGATCAATTACATTAACTACCACTGTTCCATTTTCATCTAGATAGTCATTTACAGATGTATCATATAATGGAATATTTAAAATGACGGCTTTTTCTTCTTTTGTAGAAGTGTTTTTAGAAGATTTATGATCTAGTTGACTTTTAGGTTCTGAAAGTATTGAAGCTGACTTTACTAATGATGGATTTTCTATAATTGGAGCTGATAGTAGCACTTTTACAACAGATTTTTTTTTTTCAGTTAATTTTACTGATGGAGTATTTGCTGAATTTGTAGCTGTTCTAGCTACTATTGTTGTTGCAGTTGGAGATGATGTTGGGTTACTATTATCATTAATCTTTGAAAAAGTTGTAGCTGACCCTGTGTAGTTTGCGGTGATAGGCTTTGAAGATTGTTTATTTGTCATATTAGAGATTGTTAATGCAGTAGGGGAAGTGGATGATGATGTGCTTGTGGATTTTGCGGTATTCTTAGTTTTAGTCTTTGAAGAAGGTGTTGTGGAACTGGCAGACTTTTTTAAATTGGACTGTGATGGTGAATTACTCTTAGGGGTGGAAACTTCAGAATCATTATTATTTGGATTATCGCTGGTTGTTGAAAGGGGTGGTGTAATTGAAGGCATATGTGTTTTACTAATAGTGATTCTGGTGTTTGGGCTAGTCATTATATTATTATTACTGGTATTTGTTGGTTTAGGTTTCAAAGTGGGCAAATTTTTTACTTTAGATTCGATAATATCGTTTAAATGTATGCTTGCAGCAACTGATGTAACAGGAACAGTGGTAGTATTAGTTGTATTAACATTAGGAGAACTAGTAGTCTTATTATCTGAATTAGTTTTCTTTTTCCTTAAAGTAGCCGTCTTTTTTGTTGATACTTTCCTATTTGTTGTTGATGTTAAAACTTGTGATGATGTAGATTTTGTTACTTCAGAAGAACTATTATTAACACTAGTGATGGTATTTACTGACGAGGATGTGCCATCAAGAATAGAACTTTGATCATTTTTTGTTTCAATAGACTTTTTGACAATCTGTTTTTTTTTACTTTGAGTCTTTGTATTTGAGCTAGCAAGAACAGGTAACGGCATATTATTTACAATATTGGACGACGGGGTAGAAGTGGATCCTATTGATGATGAAAAAAAATATTCTTCGTTATTTGATGTTAAATTTTCTGTGCTGGAAACAGGTAAGATATTTGATTGTGTATGGTTATCACTGCCAGTAATATAATTATTATTGTTGTTTTTAGAGTTATTTTTATGATTCAATAATTGCATAGATTTAAGATATAGATTAGATACAGTAGAGTTGGAAGTATTATTATTAGGTGTTATTACTATAGCGTTCTTATTATTGTTATCATTTTCAATATTAATGTGACTATTCAACATTTCAAGTTTTCCATTTCCAGGATTTAGAAGTCTTCTCTGTCTTGGATATACTGTTTTTGATATCAAAGATGTGATTTTCATTGGTTTATTATCTGCTTGAGTAAGTGTGTTATTATTATTGTTATTGTTACTATTGTTAGTATTGGTTGTGGGGGCTGAATTTGGAATTGATGAAAAACTGTTATCATTATGAATATTTTGGAAAGGATTATCTGCTATTTGATTCTGAGAGGAAATAATATACGTTATTTCAGGAGACAAAGAGTTCAAAGTGTTATTTCTATTCATAGCCAATTCTTGGGCAATATTTAATGCACCACTTTGAATATTTTCATTTAAATAAGATACACCAGTAGATGTGAAGGGTGTTCCTGTCAAGGTTGAAATTGGAGTTGAATTCCTTGTTGTGTTAGACTTTTGTTCATTTGTCTGTAGACCAGTTTTAGCTTTCTTTTGTTTCTTTTTGTTAAATGTCTTTTGTGTCGGGATATCAGCAGTTGATCTTCTTTTGACAGACTTACTAATTTTTCTGGTACTTTTTAACATTTTTTCAGATTTGTCATTTGTAGTTATATTGGCTATTTTAGTATCATTAGTGTTTGTAGTTGATATATTAGATTTGGATTCAATATTGGATGACGTTATCTTACCTGATTTTGAATCACTATCAATCATAATTACCTTTTGATTTATGTTTTATTAGTATTAGAAGAGATGGATAAAAAGAAAAAAGGGAATTATCAATTAAATATATATATATATATATATATATATATATATATATGTGTGTGTGTGTGTGTGTGTGTGCTCTGATGTTTTTTATTTTTATTTCTACTTATTTTCCTATATCCTTCTATGTGTGTTGTGTGTTGTTCCAACATCTTGTGTCTCTTCTTGATCTGTTATTGTGAATTAAGAATATTTCACATTCCAAAGAACGTCAGAAAAAAAAAATATGACATCACTTTATAATCACATGTTGTGGTGTTTGGGTTATGTTTATAAACACAATTAAATAATATAAACTATACATATACAGATATCACAAAAGAGGGGGAGAAGTAAAAACGATTGGCAGTATGTTGGTATGCTGTTATAAATATATCATCAAAAATGTATATAAACGGATATAAATAAAACGAATATCTCTTAAATGTCAACGATCATACAATAATAGAATCAAACTAGGAAAAAAATATAAGATTCAGAAACTATGGATAATGCACACTTTAAAACAGGAAATTTGTCATTTATATTGTTAAACAACTAGATTTTCGTTATTTATAAACAATAAATCATTAAGGTATTATCTTGTTCATGAATGAATTGAGTCCTAAAACAACAACAAAAAAAAAAGATAAAAGATAAAAGATAAACGAAAATGAAGTGAAAAAAAAAAAACGGTTTAGAAATCTGAAAATGTCATTATATGCCTATTGCAAGGTAGTATACTATTCTTTATTCCATTATGCAACACTTCCTCTTTGTCTTCTTGCAGTTTGTGGATCGACTTCTCTATAATCAATAGTTACTCTGACAAATAAGTTAATGATATCAGTTAAAGAGATCACACCAATTAACTTGCCTGATCTATATTCATGTTCAAATAGATTTGATGATGGTGGTGGGTTATTAACAGTGCTGTTATTACTTGTTGTTGGAGATAATTGTGATTGAAATTGTGGATCAGTTTGAGTTGGTATCGTTGTATTATTAGAATTAGATTGAGAAAAGCCTGCAGTTCCACTAGTTTGTGAAGCTAATACACATTCTGGTGGTTGAACAATCCATAACCTATGAGATCTTGTAGCTACCAATTTAGCCAATGTTCTACCTAGAGAAGACGTTGGGTAAACATGAAATACAGGAAAAGAGTCCTTACCTGTCTCTAAACCTCTTGAATTTAATATGACAGAGATAAAATGACGACATGGTTTATGTAGTAGTGGATATTGTGATGTTCTAGTAACATGCTTCACATCAGTCACGGAGATATTTCCTAGAAGGTTATATTGATTATCAACAACAGCAATTGAGGAGATTCTTTCAACGTGCATCTTATATAATGCCATGATCAATGGTTCATCACCATGGATTGAAATGACTCTGGATTGTCTTGAAGTTGGTTTATATTGAGAGTTTAATACACCGACTTGTAAATCTTGTAAAGAATAATTGAATAACGTTTCTAAAGAAGTAAAGTTTTCAGAATTGTCCCAAAGATATTTGATTAATCTTCTTTGTGAGAGGATCCCCTTAACAAAAGTCATTTCTGGATTGCAGATAGCTACTCTGTGTACACCAGACCCTAAAATCTTCATTACAGTGAGTAAAGTCTCTGTCTCAGGTAACTTATAGAAAGGATTTTTTGGAGTTAATTTTACAATTTCACCTACAGGTACTGGTTTACCATTTTGACACTCTTCTGTAACTTTTTGATTATTGACTTGAATTTTATTTAATACTAATAGAAGATACGAATTTAAATCATTATAATCAAAAGTTAAACAGTTCATATCACCAGGAAATACTTCTACTGGGATAGAGTTTAATTGGTTTCTGACTAATGTATTAAAAGCTTCCTCCACAGAAAGAGAGCCTGGTACAAAAATCAATTTATTTGTCTCAATTAACGTGCCTAAGGGAATACTAGCCCACTTAGGATCGTTACTAGTCCTGCGTAACGTTTCAGATACAGACTCGCTCATTTGATTAGTTTGATGATTGAAAGATTTAGATGTAGAATGTTCTTGTGACATGTCTGTGATTATATATTAAAGTAATATTAGTCTTTAATTTCTTTTTTGTTTTCTGATTTTTTTAACGTTATTTTTTGGTCACAATTTAGAACTTAGAGTTGAAATGATGATTATAAAATAGATCAAAATAATAGTAACTCTGCTATGATTTTTTTTTTTTTTTGCAAATTAATTGTATTTTAAATTATCTTAAACAGCACAGAGGTTTTCACTTATTCTTAATGTTAGTTCAATATCCTCTTCACAAATAGAGCAGAAATACTTCAGTATAGAATCCACAACGTGCATTAAATTGAGCTGCTCATTCTTTGTTACACATATCCGTATATAAATATATATTTATATACATGTGTGTTTGTTTACGAAGAATCAACGCATTATTTGACGCAATTTATTCCTACCCCTTAATGTCGAATTCACGTCTCCATTGTCGTATTTTCTCCACGGGCTGCTTGGGTATCGAGAGAGAAAAACAATAAAAACAGCAACAAAAACAGCAACAACTGGCGCGCGCGTGGGGGGAGGGGCAAGAAGGACACATAAAAGAAAAAAAATGAAAGAATCCAGCAATGGTCACGTGATGCTTCCATTCGTACAACGCGCTCTAGATTTTTGAGGACTTAGCTAAAAGGTTTGATGCTATTGTATTTTTATTTTATATGTACATAGTGTGGTGATTTATTGATTTATTTCTTTTACGATGTGTAGTTACTCAACATGTGTTCCCTTGATGGGAATTCTAAACTCTTCGGTTCAATTGAAGTCATTGATTTAAATAATTCCACTAACTTATTGACGTCGATTTTATGGCAATAAGAAAGACCAAAAATATCAGTGCATTTTTTGATCCATTGCATTCTATATTTGATACTGATGTCCATATCCGTTAGTTGACGTATACTTGATCTTAATTGTCCTAGCTTCTCCAATGCTCCATCTAATTCCCAGTCTTCAAACATTGAGCCAATTTCGTTTTTCACTAAGGAAGTGAATCTCGGTGATAATCCGTTTGAGCTAATCAAGATTTGCAAATTACCATCTTTAGTTAAATTTATATTCGAACCGAAATAGAAATCGCAGAATTTAGGGATATCTGCCACATTAATCATTTGTTGTTGACCATACTTGCGTTTACAAAGATGATATATCCTCTCAGACTCCAATTTGTCAGGTATGCATAGCAAAATCATTGACCACGTCGAAGATTGTAATAAATAGTCCTCATGGAATTTGGATTCAATAATTTTATAAATGGAATAATCTTCAGGTGTCCAATCTTTTCTAATACTTATTTGACCACTGGAAACTGTATGTATACCATTATTGGAACAAAAATATTTCTCTTTTAGAAATTTATCTAAAATTGGAGCAACTAGTGTTATTTTACATCCAGTCGGTAACAACTTGGGTATCCTCGTCATGGCTACCTCACCTCCTCCGATTAATAGAACATCCTTGCCTTCTAATCTATGTGCTACTTGTAAAGATCTCATTGTTCTTGTTTTCCTCTTCTTTTTATTCTTTTAATTTTTTTTTTGTTTCATCTTAATGTATAATTTTAGAGAAAATAAAATTCACAAAGGAGGGGGAACTATGTTCAATAAATCTACAAAATATCCCATCAATATTTATATGTGACTTCTTGTCTATATCAAACTATGTCATTTTTTTTTTTTCAAATTATAAAAGCCACAATTGTAGAATATGTATGTATGTATGTACATATTGTAATCAGTATTGTGTAGTAATTAATAGTAGAACAATACACCACAGTTTTTATTTTTCTTGTATTTCTTGATTTCTTTTGGTCTAAATGTCAAAAAATACACAAAATGAAAAAAAAAAAAAAGTAAGGGCTTTATTCACACAGTTTGGGAAAAAATCTGCCATTAGAGCTATTTTTTTAAAGAAACCCTGTTTTATTTTTTAGAATTTCATAATTAAGAACATCTAACCCTATACATTTTTCATAAAAAAAGAAAAAAAAAAAGAAAAAGAAAAATGCACTCCGTTTCTTGTCTGTTTGTTTGTTTGTTTGTTTTTGATTCTTCTTTCCTTCATTAAAGATTATCCTAAGTGATAAACTAGCACCATAAATAAAGTTAATGAAAGCATGTTGGTATTATATATATGCTTCTATACAAATATATAATGTTCGTTCATTTATTTATTCTTCTTAATTACATTTCTTTTTTTTTGTATGTGCTATTCTAAAAACCATATTGAATAGTTTATTGTGGCAATTTATTCTTTGTAAGGATAGATGCATATAGTTTTCCTTGTGAATATCGTAACTCAATTCGTTTTATATGTCTTGTAAATAGCTATTCAATACAAATGGCAACTACGAGAAAATAGCAAGAAATAAAAGATTAAAGTAAAATAAATGTAAAACAGATAGAGAAAATGTATATAAGGGCTATATAATGAATATGTGTATATATAATTAATAGTGTAAAGGAAATTATGCATTATTATTACTATTATTAACAAAAACAAATAACAAAATAAAGTAAAAGTAGAAGATGAATGTTAAAATCAAAACAACAACAACAACAATAACAGTAAGAAACAAAATAAATAAATAAAATAGGTCAAATATAATGAAAACAAATTATAATCAAATGTGAACAAGCAGTACTAAAGTATGACATGGTACGGTACAATACAATATGGTACGATAACTAAAATGGTCTAAAAGTGTGAAATAAAATTAATAGATAGTTAAATGAAATAAGCAAAAACATTCATATAAAAATAATAATAAAAAAAAAGGGAAACAATATATTAGAATATGATAAAAAGAGAAAAATAGAAAGTGATACGATTTTATTTCGACTTAATGGAATATAGTATTGTAATATTGTAGGTTTTGATTTGCTTGATTTAAGTATGAATGGTAATTGATTTCACTTGAAAAATTTGGTTGAAATTGTTTATTTAACAATGACGATTTATTTTCATAATATAATGAGTTTATCTTTGGTGCCATAGTATTGGTTAACGTAGAATGTGTACCATATAACATATCTGTTTGTTGATTTGAAGAAGATAGTCCATAGCATTGGTTCGCATTCGTGTTTGTATTCACATTTGTATTAGGATGATTTTGATAATTATAATTTTTGCTATTATCAGTGTTAAACAACTCATTTGAATAGCCTGAGATTCCTTGGAATAATTGGTTTGAATTTGCATAGTTTATATTATTAACTGAATCACTCCACATTGATCCGTTGAAAGTAGGTAACAAATCAGATTGTTGTTGAATATTAGTACAATTTGAGATAAATCTATTGCTATGGGTCATACTGATTGGTATCGTCGTAGCACTATTATTTGTTGCTGTTACTGTTGTTACTTGTGGAATATGTGTATTTGTGTTTGTTTTACCCCATGATAGTCTTATTGGAGACCCATCGATAACAAAACCTTGCATTCCTTGCATTGCAGCTTCAGAGTCAATTCTATTTTGAAATTTAACAAATGCACAATTTTTATTTAAGGGAATCTTAACAGATACAACATTACCAAAAGGTTGAAACAATGAGATTAATTTATATTCGCTGATATTACTTGAGTTTAATCCACCTACAAAGATGGTAGTGTTGGTGGGATCATTTGTAATATATTGGAAATCTTGGATGTCACTTGATGGGGAGGGTATTGAATAATTTGCAGTACCATTAGCGGACATGAAGTTTGTGTTGTTGTTGTTGTTGTTGTTGTTACTATATGATGATACAAGTGGATTATTCTTGGGTATTATATTTTTATTTGGAAACGAGTTACTATTAACGATCGATGAAGTTGCATTGTTATTATTAATTGCAGAATTAAAAAGGTGGCCAGTTTGCTGACCCATACAGAAGGGACCAGATGACAATGGTGTCACACCTGAATTTCTTGGAGTAGCAAATGCCACCCTTAGGGCTCTACCTTGAAACCAAGTCCCGTTCATTTCAATGACAGCTTTAGATCTTTCCAATTCATCACCAAATCTGATAAATCCGAAACAACGGGATGCTCCAGTCATTGGATCTGTCATGACTCTTACAGTTTTAACAGATTTGAATTTTTTTTGAAATAAAGTCAACAAATCGGCTTCAGTGACCGTTGGGGATAAATCACCTACAAATAAAGAAAATTCTGGTTTTAATGGAATCGAGCTGTTCAAAGTTGCACCAGAAGCCCAATTTAATCTAAAAGTTCTTTTATTTGTTGGGTTAGTCCATAGGTTTGTTGAGAGAGATTTAAAGTTTGGAATAGGTTTGGAATTTAAAGATAATGCATATATTGCATCATTTTGTGATTCGAATTCTACGAAGCAATACCCAGCATGATGTAAAGGTGTGACAGATGGATCAATAAAGGATATACCATTAATGTTAATTTTTTCAATGTTTGCCGAATCAAAAGTATCAAATACAGAATCAGATAGATTAGAACCATTATTACTACTATTGTTGTTATTGCTACTGCATGGTATGAGTAAATTTTTCTTCGCTTTAATTAATTTAACAACTACTCTTTTTCCTAGATGATGCCAAATTTCCATTATAGTCAAGTCATCAAAATTGGGATCTAAATCACCCATCCAAAGCGTCCTTGGAGGTTCATCAGAGGTTTCAATTGTAGAACTTGGTGGTAACGGAATATTAATATTAGTAGATATTGGTGAATGTATCGATGTAGAAGTTGAAGATGAAGAATATGTTGATTGTGGTGATGATATCATATTGTTTTTTTTTTTATTTTTATTATTATTATTTTTAATATTAATAACCTTTAGAAGGATGATGCAAAAGTAACAGTAATGAAAAAAATAAAATAAAATAAAAAAATATAATCAAAAAAGATGGAAATAATATAGTTAATTTTTTTTTTTGTCTTTCTTAACTAAGTTATTCAATGAACTTGTATTTTGTGTTTTAACTTTTTTTTATTTTTGTTATTATATTTTTTATTAAATGGATAGTCCACTACTCAAAATATTATTGTGGAACAACAGTATATGAGGGTTAACAAATCAACAATTGGTAGTTAGAGGTAATTAGAGTTTATAGTAACAGATCTAAGGGAATATATCAAAATGGAAGGAAAAAAAGTAAACTATACCGACAAAAATATAAATCTGTGTATGCAGGCGAAGACACGAAAGAAAAATAATTAATAACTAATGTTTTTCTCTAATCATTAATGATTAAATGATATATAGAAATAGTATTACAGATACTGTGAACAAGTGAAAAACTAAGTATTAAAAGATGAAAACAAATTAAGTGAAGAGAAAAGAACTTTTCATCTAATGTTTCCCTAAGTTACACAAAGCTTTCTTCTTTTTTTGCATTTCTTTTTGACAATCTTCTCTAATAAACATGAACTCAACAATGAGAACTACTCAGGAACTGTTTGGTAAGATAGTATAATGTGCTATAATTTACTGAATTCTCTAGCTCAAACAGTTATGTTTCAATGTTCAATAGTAACGACAACAACAACAATCTCTATATGATCTGGTGTTTATTACTGATGAAAATTATGGCTACTCGTATCTTCAATGAGTTCCATTTTGTTTGTCCCCTTAAATCCATTAAATTTCTGAATATTAACAAAAAAAAAAATAACAATAACCAAGTGAATCTTTTTCTTTTGTCTTTTATACGCTTCTTTTTTTTCTTTTTATTTGTTTAAATGGAATTTTCGGTTAAGGTATGGGTTTTTGTTTGGTTTTGTTTATAGAAACACTTTTGATAGCGGAATTAACGGTGAGGGGTATGTGATCTGTCCTTGTGTTTTTTTTTTTCATTCTTTTTTTTAACATTTCCTTCGCATGTTGATTAAGTAATATAGGGTATTTTTGGAGAAAGATGATGATTTTTGTGAGATTTAACAAATTATATTAGGTTTGGAGAAATTTTAATTCGACTTTTCTAAAAAACATGTTTTCTTCTTTTTAGCCTAAACCCTATACTTTCTATATGTATTTGAAGGTAAACATAAAAGAAAACTACACAAACCCTAACTTTATATTTACATTCCCTTACAAAAAATAAAATGTATATAAACTAACATAAACAAACCACGTAAATAGTCAAGTAATAAACAAAAAATAAAAAAAAAAAAAGAAGTAGCAGAAACTTTAGTTCATTGATAAAGCTGAAGATCTTTTGAGGGTTAATGGATTTACCAACAAAATTTTTGCTTGTCATATCCTTGAGTCGCTTATTATAGGAGTTATTAAGTCTTTAACATACCTGATGGATAGAAGTTCAAAGAGATTATACAGACAAAGAGGATCTCATCTAAGAAGAACTGTTGACTTGGATAATGTTGTCGTGATCAGAACACCATTACGTACAGCGTCAATTTCTGATAGTCATACTAACATTGATCATATTGATAATTTTAATGATAGAAGTACTGGATTTTTTGGATTAAATAACACTTTTCATCATGATGATGTTGTTGATGATGATAATGTTAATGATAAGAATAAGAATAAGACAGCAGATGACTTTAAACATAGAATGCAAATAAATACAACAGTTGAACCCAACTATAATCAAATTCATTCATATGATGGTAAAAATATTAATTGGAAAAATATACCTGTATCGAAAATTTCTCTGATATCCATTAATGTTTTACAATCAATATTCAATCATGTTATCAAAAATATTTTAATTTTCAAGGCAAATAATGACTTGAAAAATATTCATAACAATAATATTCAATCTTTAATGTATTCGATCGACCTAAAAATTTTTTATGATTTGTTAAATTCAATTAATAAAGATTTTAATGATATTAAAGATATAAATATCGCTAATAATGAATTATATCATCAATTACAAAGATTGAAACGGGTAAAAAGAAAATTGACATTGCAATTGATCAACACAAAACAAGAATGTAACAATCTTAAACAAATTTCACACCACGACCACTATCATAATAATATTAAAGATAACACACAATCTAAATTAAATAATAAATTAGTATTGAATCAAAATCTGAATAAGTTAACTAGAATATTGGCTAAAAAAGAGTTACCTTCTGGGTTACTGATACCAAAAGATAATTTGAAAAATCAAAACATTTTGTTATCGCTTCAGATTAATGATAATAATTTATTGAAGATAAATAAACTATGTCAGTTGTTAGATCCTTATAACGGGACATTATCCAAAATTAAGGAAATGAATAGAAGGTTATCTAGATTGCCTAAATCGGCAAGGAAATCGAAGCAGTCTAAAAGTTGAATGCTGCTGGAATAATCAGTTTGATTACTTCTCTTTGTTCAGCATTTTATTATAGTTTACATAGATATATTTATAGTTAGAATTACATATAATTGATGGACATGATATGAGGATTTCCATGATTTCTCTTTTCTTGGTTTTTTTTTTTGCTTTTTCTTTTTTTATATCTTTTTTTCTGGTTCGTGATGATTATAATCTTGTCTATTATAGATCGTTTAGTCCAAATAAGAACCCGATTTCACGTGTTCCTAATTTATTAATTTCTTTGATTTTACCTGAATCCATAGCCATATCAACCATCTCCTTTTTTCTTTTTTGTAACTCAAATATTCTATCTTCAACAGAATTCTTAATGAACAATTTATAAACTTTGACCTCTCTTGTTTGACTGATTCTATAACAACGGTCCTGCGCTTGTTCTTCCACAAATGGATTCCAAAATGGATCAACAATGATGACATGATTTGCACAAGTTAATGTTAACCCTGAATTGCCCGCTTTCATTGAAATCAATAAGATTCTTTTCTTCTTATTATTATAAAATTCATTAATTACATCAGATCTTTGATTGGCATTCATCATACCGATATATTTCAGATACTCAATCTCATTGTATTTACCACTTTTAATAAATTCTTCGTCGATGAAATGCTCTAATATTTCAAAAAATGTAGTAAATTGTGAGAATATTAATATTTTTTCATTATCTGAATTTTTTATCACTTGAGTTATGATGTCAAGACATTGCCTAATCTTTGTTGATGCTTCTAATTTAGGGAAGTCTGGTTTGTAATTGCCTAATGCTAATGCTTGTTTTTGTTTAGCTCTCTCGCAATAGTATTCATTTTCTAAATCTTTTAACGTAAAGTTTTGATTGACAACTTGATCATACAATTTATAACTAACAATTTCTCGTTCACACGTTATTTCATTGCAATCTTTACAGGGAATATAATATTCACCAAGTTGTCCCACCCGTGCATTCGGTCTATTAGACATTTCTTCTACCATAGGTTCAAAACAGTCTTGGCAGATTAAATGACCACAACCAGTTAATACACATGTGTTTTGAAGTTCTAGTTCTTCATTGCAATATGAACATGTCATCATATTAAGTGAAGAATTCACTAGATCCCTCTGCTTTTGATTCATTATTTCAATTCTTTTATATAAAGCTACCCAATTTTCAAATTTTTTACCATTAATTATCTTTGTATTCTGGCTCCGTTTTTCACCGATAATCACTAACTCCGAATGGCAACATGCTTGTCTTAATCTCAACAGCAAAGTTAATATACTGGAATAGTTACCTCTAACCTTACTCTTCATTAATCTGCTAGCCAATTTTTTATTTTTATTTTCTAATTCAGAATAAAATTCTAATTCATTACCAACTAAAGAAGCTTCTAATACCTCCATTGTTTTAGGAGGTAGTTCCAATATGGATTTTCCATCAATGGTATCTGTTTTTACTCTACGCAACATGATAGCTCTCAGTAAAATTTGAACTTTTTTAATAGCTCTTTCTTTATCATGAACATTATATTTATCATTCTTTTTTGAAAAAGCATTACCAATATCCATCTTAAATCTTTGCTCTTTATTATATGGGGATATTCTTAGGAATCTAATTAATGAATATAATTCATTCATATTATTTTGAATTGGTGTACCAGATAAGACCCATCTATACTTACTTCTCAGTGTACAACAGGCTCTAGCAGCCTGTGTATCTTTGTTTTTAATATTCTGACCTTCATCTAAAATCACACGATGGAATTTTGAATGATTAGTGAAAAATGGTGATACATACTCACCAGGTCTTTTCAAAGAATTCAAGGCTACCAAATCAGGAATAGCAGGTAAATGAGATCTATCAGTTTCTAATTTGGCAGGCCAATGTCTTTTTAATTCGTTGGCTAAAGTCTGGTAGGATATTAATACTACGTCATAATGAGCTAATTGTTTCCAATGACCCACCTTTCCATTAGAAGACCCAAAGATGGTAGTAGAAAACTTGGCGCTTTGTTTGATTTTTGTTTTGATTTCTCCTTGCCACACATGTAATACAGAAACTGGAGCTACGACTAAAGTAGTCTTTCTCTTTTTGTCATTTGATCTATTAGCCAACATTAAAGCTATTGCTTGTACAGTTTTACCTAACCCCATATCATCAGCCAAAATCCCTCCTTTTTTACTAGAATTTTCAACATCAATTAACCACTTCAGCCCTATTCTTTGGTGCTTTAATAAGTTAACAGTCATTTCATCAGGTGTTAACTCCTCCCCCTCAATAGTACTCTCAGTTTCTTTTAGACTGCTCAATAACTCACGAATTTGGTTTTGTTCGTTTACATCATGAATATTCCCTATGTGAAATTGTTGAATACTTTCAGTATCGGAATTTACAAATGGTGATTGTATTGAAGGACTTTCTCTCGAATTAACACTACCATTTAATGACCATTGAGTATACCTAATGCCTGTATCTGGAGCTATTTGTGCAGGAACTGCCAAATTATTAATATGTTTTTGATAATACGTAGCTAACTCTAATGTTGTCATTGGTGTTTCGTAAGACTTTAGTACATCAAACACTTTTTGCATTTTAAGTCCCTGCTGGATCAATTCTACAACAGAGGCACCAATATCGTAAATAACTGAATATGTTGGTGGTTTGCCTAAGTCTACTTGTCCTCTTAAACTAAGCAATTTATTTAACAATTCAATCAATCTACTTTTGTTAGCGGCATCTCGATTTGATGTTACTACCAGTTGCTTAGCTATATCAATACTTTTAATGTATTCTTTTCTTCTACTAATAGGTAAGATATTATTGTTTTTAAATTCAATTCCAAAATCTTCTAGAATTTCAAAAACTATAGGCATTTTTACACCATTAGTAAAAAGTAATTCAGTTGATTCTCTAACAGAAAACAACTTTTTGACCGTCATTGGATATGCAGACATGAATTCATCGTAGAAATTTTTCAAAATACGAATGTGAGAGCTCAACAAATTTTTTGTAACAGCACTACGAGTAGAACTCTGTTGCAGTAATTCCAGAGCCTTCTCTAACGACTTATGATATAAATATCCTCTCGTTTGGATTGTTGGTTGAGAGACTAAAGAACTAGAAAGATTCTGCATACCAAGAGCAAGAGGAGCCTCTACCGTCTGTGTTTTAACTTTTTGATCAGTGTTTGTTAATGAATTTAAGGCATCTAGGATTTCTTTATTTAGCTTGGAATATGACTGTTGTGTTACTTTGCCTTCTTCAAACATTTTCTGTAGTGATTTCTGTTGTTCTATTAGTTTTTTTCTTTTATCTATAAGATCTTTGGTTGCTATATCTCTGCTATGTAAGGCTAGTTCATTTTTAGTTTTTGTTAGAACCTCATTTTTTTCCGCTAGTAAAGTTATTAATTTATTTTCTACCTCTGAAATTTTATTACTTAGAGCATCAACCTTCTTCTTAGCCTCAATTCGGGCTTGATTTAAACGTTCCGTCGTCTTCTTAGCTTCCTCTAACAGCATTTGTTTTGATCCTGTAACAAATTTGCTATTAGAGTTAATTGATTCACGCAATAATCTATATTTTTGCGCTGCAGTTTTGTAATCAAATTCTTTTCTTTTGGCTTTTCGCAGCAGGATTTCCTTGGTGGATTTCTGAAGGTTAAAGCTTTTTCTCAATTCTGTTTCTTTATTGATATATTCTTTCTCGCATTTTTCAAAATTTTCACGAGCTTCAGAAACAAGTTTGGCTATCTTTTCATCATGTATTCTTTTCATTTCTTCAGCTGTTATTAATATTTTCTTTGGGTTTTCAGTTGAAATATCATCATCCTCATCGGATAATACGATGATCGCATCATCTGATCTATTATTTTTAATATTATTTTCATCTGGTAAATGTTGCTTCTTCAAAATATGCATATCATTTTTTTTATCTCCATTATTAATTACAGTCCCTCCTGATTCTTCTATTTCATCATGTGTTCTTTTTTTACTTGAACTGACAATCTTCGTTGAACTATCCTTTTCCTTTGATAATACCGGGGATGACATTTCATTATTTTTTATTATAGTATCATTATCAGAATCACTATCTAATATTAGAGTTTCTATACTGTCAAGTTTTAACGGTACTTTTAAAGTAGTAGAAAGTTTGGGTGTTTTATGGTCATCTATTTTTACTTGAATATTTGATGATTTATTAAATTTCTTATATCCATTTATCTCATGACCTTCCTTTGTAGAATTTTGGGTGATTGTATTTTCCTGTAACTCTAGTGACCTGATAGCTTTCTTTATTGATGGATTTTCTTTTATTGCCAACAAGCTTTCAGATTTAGCATTAGTATGTTGAAACGATTCGCTTTCCTTTAATACAGAATTATTTTCTAATGAATTTGAGTTATTATCATCTTGCACATTTTTATTGTTATTCAAGTTTTTCTTTTGCATCTTTTCCATGTCAAAATTACTATTAACTGTATCAAATTTTGAATCCACATGCATGTTTTCAGTTTTTACAATTCCTTGATCACTATAATTTTTTTTACTTGAAGATTCAGATGACTGTTCATATTGTTGGGGATGGGTACTGTTTGAATCTAATTGGTGATCATTAAATGAATTGTCAAGTTGAGTGTTTTGTAATTGATTCTTTGTATGTGATGGAACTTCAATGGACTTTTTATCTTTATCCTTATCTTTATCTTTATTTCTTCGTATATGTTTTTTAATTTGAATATTATTATTAATGTTTCTGTTAACTTTTTCATCACTGGAACTGTAATAATAGAAATCTTCTATTAAAGACATATCTGTTTTATGAATTTTGGTAGGACTAGAGTTTTGGTTTTTATTGAAATCCTCGATGTTATCACTAGTTTTGTCGAGACTATCATCTTGTACATCTTGTAGAGTACTCTTCAACAACTGTACTAAAGATGTTGTCTGTCCATCAGTATCATTTTTCTGTTTTAAAGTGGTGACTCTTTGTAACAGCCTTAAATTGTCTAATTTTTCTTTATCTGTGTTAGATGTAAAACTTATTTCTGCATCATCAGAGAAACTATCATTATTTTTTGGTTGACTGTCGTTATCTATTTGCACTTGTTCAGTTGTATTGTTACTGAATCCCTTTGGGTCTGCAGTATCAGAATTACTAAAAGAATAAAAAATTTCTTCATTTTCAGTAGCTGTATCAGAATCTGAACTTTCTAAAGTTAAATCTATTTGCGGTATATTATTAACCATAGATTGCATAATGTGTTTGTAATATCGATATATATCCGATACCGACCCTTTGAATTGGCTTAATACTATATTATCGACAGTTATATTGTTGTTTTTATGACTTGATCTGTGTATGCTAGATATGATAACGACAATAGATTTGTTTGTGTCATTAAATCAATAATTCTTCCCATATTTCAAGATTTTTAATCAAATCTTCCTTCCCTTCCATCTGTATTATAATTTTTTTTTTCGTTCTTTTTCTTTCTGTTATCTGTTTTTCTTTTTTTCAGAAGGAAACACGAAAATAAATGAATCAAATACCTAATTATTTACAGAGAGATCAAGAATTTTTATGTGTCACATCAGGTGACATTACCTTGGTTAAAAAGGTTTGATTACAATCAGGGCATATATTACTCAATTAATTTGTATTTAACTGTACGAGTATGAAAATGAAGTATAATAATAATAATAATAATAATAATATAGTAAAAAAACTAATTTTATTTTTATATGTTTTAGAATATTCGTATATAAATGAGAAGAACAAAAAGAGTGGAAAGCAGAGAGTAGAAATTAAAAAAAAATATATGTTTGTATGTATGTGTGAAAATTAAAATAAAAAAAAAGTGAATGAATGAATGAATGGGGAGATATGCTACATATTCATTAGGCAGAATCACATTGACCAGGATATAACCTATCGTCAATTGGTTGTGGGAATAAACCATTGGCAGCTAGTTTATCAATGCCCCATTCAATACTTGTTTCAGTCTTGTAACACCAGAAAATCCAACCACCTCTCTTTTCAAATGCATCTAATTGAGCTTCCACATAGCGTCTTGTGTTTGTCTTTCTTTCTGTTGACCATGCATTGATATCTTCATTGTCTTGGCAAGAACCAATAAAATAACTGGTTTGACCATTCTTGATAAAAGTACCATCGTAACGAGCACCAATGCCTACCCCATTCAACCATTTAGCACAATCAGTCAACGCAGCAGAGAATTCACCGGCGACGTTCCAATGTGCCTCGACTAGTTTTGGACCGGCTAAACCACATGCAACTTGAACATGTTCGTCGATATTTCTGTCCAATTCACCACTTGAGAAGACTTGATAGTGATGATGGTCCATGACAACACCGTATGTGTTATCATCCAAAGTTAGGAAACTGTTCCATTCACTGTCTGGCATAAAGGCATCATGGATAACAATAATTTGGTCTGTATTGCCAAGTTCGTTCCTTAAATAATCATAAGCAGGTTGTAAGTACTCGTATTTCAATTTGTTTAAGTCAATGGATGGACCCAATGGTTCATTTAATAGTTCAATACCGATAACTGTGTCGATGTATTCAGCTTGAGAATATTTTTGTAAAATGTACTTGATTGTCTTCAAAGTGATCTCTAGGTTTGTGTCATCATGTGGGAAATTTACCTGATCTCTTAACCCAGAATTGTCGAATCCGTTCTGCGAACCAGCAGCACCGTGCAAATCGACCCAGACCTTTAAACCGTATTTCCTGGCCCATTCAACGGCGTTATCTAGATAGGATTCTTGCAAACCGGTGACATAAGGATCGGTATCTAAAGTGTTGAAGGCCCAGTAACCTATTGGGATTCTGACTAAATTGAAGCCCATATTAGCGATGGAAGCAAAATCATCTTCTGTGTACCAAGTGTTCCAATGATTAACTAAAAGTTCTTTAGCAGAATCATAACCCATTTGTTGGCAAAGATGGTATTCATCGACCGGGATACCATCATCGTTATTATAATTGGTTCTAAATCTTTCAAATATTGAGGGGGTAATATATGGTTCTAATACTAACCAACCACCGATGTTGACACCACGAATAACTTCGTCGTTATCATAGTCATAATATCTCTTTTGATAGATTTGTAAATTCTTTTTATCCTTTAATGGAATAGCCACACCTTCTGTTAGAGGTAGTAAAGATAAAGCTAAAGTAGCCCAATTCTTCCAAGTGACCATTATATATGTATATGTATATGTATGTGTATGTGTATAGATATATAAACAAACAGATAGATAGATAGAAAGAAAGATAGATAGATTGATATAGTCGATATAGTCGATATACCTTTGTCCCTACCCTATATATATGCGTATGTCTTTCTTTTCTTACGAAGACATGTTTACATATAATGTAGGAAAAAAGAAGGTAGAATGAGAATCAATCAAAAAGGAGAGAAGGAGAAGAAGAAGGAGAAAGGAGTGCCATTAGTAAAAGAAGGTTTATATAATAAAGTCTATTAAACGATTTTGAGAAAAGAATATTAAAATAAAGCAAAGTGAAACATTTTATTGCCTGGATCAAATCATTTGAATTAAAAAAAAAATGAGGCAAAAGAAAACAAACTTAGCAAAGGCATTATTGCTAAATATAGGATTCTGCATAAAAGAAAAGAAAAAAAAAAAGAAAAAAGAAGAAGAATGCAACGACTAGTTTTTAAGTGCAGCCAATTGTCTATCTGGGAAGTGAATAGTAGATACTACAATGTGTAAAATTATAACATGGATATATGTGGATGGATGAGTGACTTGAGTGTCTTAGTTTGTCATTAAATCACTTACATCAAGATCGCTGGGTACATGAAAGTCTTCAAGAAAGAAAACGCAATTGTTCGAGAATATACGTAATGTAATTGTTCGAGAATGAAACCAAGCGCACACGTGACAAACAATAGAGGCACAATGAAACCGTTTCTTTGTTTGAAATGCTGATCCAAGTAAGGAACAAAAAAAAAAGTAACATCTCAGTTGTTGGATTCTTTTTTGTTTTGTTTTATTTTGTTTTGTTTTATTTTTATTACTAATGGAACGAAGAATAATTTTATTTATTAACAGTGGGATGCGACAATAATTTACTAGTAATAGCAAAAAAAAATTAAAAAAAAAAGGAAAAAAAGAAAAAAAAAAGAAAAAAATCAGAAACTTTTTTTCTTGCTTTACCTATTAAAGAAAATGTTTTTTTAATTTTCGTTTGTTCTGGTTTCTTTGTTCTGATTTGTTCTTTTTATTCTTTAAACGCAATATTGTTTTTTATTGTGTTTGTTTCTGAGAGCCCTTTGATGTGGAACAAAAGAATTTTGGTAACAATGACAGATATAATAATAAGGCATAAAATTCTCCATTGTTTTTTGTTTTGTTTTGTTTTGTTTACGTTTCGTGACTGGCAATTTATATGTTGTGCAAAAAATTTATTCAAGAAAATCATATTTAATAAAATTAGTAAGCACATGTAATGTTTACATGTAAACACTAGATGTATTATTTAACGCGTATGCTTTGTATGGATATAATAGCCACTTATGATATCAAGAGAAAATCAGTGTGAAGGAAATATAAATACTTGTAAGTTCTATACACAAACTACAGGAAATCTCGATTTATATATTACCAGGAAAAATGTTACAAGAAGTAAATGCCTGGATAATAAACTAAACTCAAAAAAAAAAAAGAAAAAGAAAAAAAGTTTAAGGTTGAGTAATAAGCAAATAAATAGCGGCGCTACCAATTGTGAAAACTATATGCTACGAGCTCGGCATGACAATCTATTTAGAAATAATATGAAATAACGACTCATTTTTTTGCTAGATAGAGGATATGGTCTCTCTTTTATTGGGATTAAAATATTCTAAATGTTTATTCTTTTTTTCTTCTCTTTTATTTAAGTTGTTATGTTTGTTTCTATAAAGAGTTCCATTTAGTGTTGGCATATAGAGTGAAAATATTGAAAAAGAGGTACACCAATTTAGAGATATCATATTTTATTCGGACCATCATTTTAAGGGTAGCATATTTGTAGTCATATGATAGGAGTGTTTTTCTTAATATAAAAAGAAAAAGAAAAAAATGCATAAATAAATCAACAGTATCAATTGACCATTTGAATGTAGTGAATTCATTAGATTATATTGGAGAAAGATTTTGTATGAAACCATAAAAGTATTATTTCTGAATACTTGTGCTTATCTTATTTTTTGCTTTATCATATATTTTTATCTTTAGACCCATCTTGTTCTTTTGTTGTTTCTTTACTTTCTTTATTAATCTCATCTTTCTCCTTATCTGCATTATTTATTTCTTTGTCTTTTTCCTTTGCTTCATTCTTTTTAGTTTCTTTCAGTCTTTGATTTCTAATATCATGTCTAATCCAACCATTTAATTTGATTGTATATCCACTAAAACTTCTAATTTTAATCTCATGATCTGTTTTATCCCACGGTAAAACTTTATTATCCTCTACTGTCACTTTATTATCCCCAGTAACTTTGTCTTTGGGGATAATCTCGTTTGGTGAAGTCTCTCTTGGTGTTTCTGATGGTGTATTTAAAGTACTACTGTTATTCATATTTGTTTTTTATGCCTATGTTGTATGTGTGTCTCTACGTATAGATTTATTTTATTATTTCTATGGTTCACTTAGAAGTTTAGCAATATGTATACCAAAATAATAGCACCCAAGGCTTTTTATAGGTCAGTTGTTCTGTAGTATTTTTGGTTTGTTGTATATAGTGTATTCTATATATATATATATATATTCATTGAAAAGATCAGTTTTATTTTTTTGTTTTTGTTTTTTTTTTTTTTAAAAATGTTGAAAGAATTTCCTAATTTTTTTCTTTCATTCAAAAGTCTCTTTATTTCCTTTTTAGTTAAGTTTCAAGAATACAGAATAGTAAACTTAGTCTATTTTTTAAATGTATATCGAAGTCTATCTATTTATTTATCTTTATATATGCGTGTATGCAGGTATGTTTGTGAATAGTGTCATACTTATTCTTCATATACCAAAATTACCACTACGAATATTGTTATATAATTGTTTTCTTTCTTGTTTCTTATTAATATTATTTCCATGTAATCTTATCCCCATCGTATTGTGTGTCGTTGCAGCAGGTATATCAGATGGTATCACCGTTCCATGACTGCTGGCACCATTAATGTTGCTATTTCCATAGTTATTACCATACGTAGGATGAAAATGATTTGCATATCCATCTAATTGAGGCGATCTATTTGGATTCATAGACATATTCACATTCTGGACTGGCAAATAGTTAGGGTGATGATAAGGTGATTGTTGTTGTGGTGGGATATACATATTAGGTTTCATTCCATTATTTACGGGGACCGGTATTGCATATTGTTGTGTTTGTGGATATGATTGTTTGGGGATAGGTGATATTTGCATTCTTTCTCTGCTGTCAACGAAACCTTGTTGCATGTTTGGACTTGGTGATGGTCCATTGAAGTTGGGGGAGTGTCCTCTAATTGGCGTTTTATTCATCATAGTTGGTGGTAAACTGTAGTTGTGGTTGTTTATTGGTGGTGTTTGGGTCTTATTCATATTATCTTGTGTGAATGTTGGCTGTTGTACTGATGGTCTATAGTCAGGCATGTGTTTAGAAGGATCTTGCTGATATCTATTACTTTGAGATTCTGTAGAATCGTAATTGTTATTAATATCGCCATTTCTAGAGTTATTGCTGTCATCAGTTCTAGGGGTTGTATGCATTTTATTAGATACGTTTGCATAATTACCGTTAAGTTCTTGATATTGCTTGTTGTTAAAACCTGCAGCTGGAGTAGATTGTATATTGTATGGTTGCGGTGATACTTGAGGTTGTACTGAAACTTGGGGTTGAGATTGAAGTTTAACCCTGACAGGAGATGTCGAATTTGGTCTGCTACCACTATTGATCCACTGTTGTTGATAAATCTGGTCCTGTGATAAGGAGTTAGGTGCATTATTATTAGTGGCAGTATTCTGATTGTATAGTGGTGAGTGTATTGGTAATGTTTGGTTTGCAACAATATATGGTTTATTTTGGCGAACTTGTGGTACACTTTGGTATGTTGGATTTTGGTAATTTTGTTGTACATTCAGAGGGGATTCATTAACGCTTAGTTGTTCTTGAGTTTGTTGTTGCATGCTACTCCGTTCAAGAGAGTTCCTAAGAGTATAAGTTCCTAAATCATGAGTTGGGGATATATTTCCTTGTTGTTTTGGAGCGTACTGATTATCTCTAGGGATAATACTAAATTGATCGTGTTGAGGATCAGATTTGTCCACAGATGTATTACTAGATTGTGGTATAATCTTATCTTTCTTGTTGTATGTAGCTATGTTTTCAGTATTATATTGTTGATTAGTAAAATCTTGCTTTTCTGTTCTTTCTGAATGTGCATTAAAATTTATTCGTTGTCTATAATTAGTATTTTTCATATTGTTCTTGAAACTCTCTGAAGCTTTTTGATTTCCATCTATAGTAGTAGTTAGTTTTAGAGAAGGTACTGCACTAGATATAGAACTTTCAGCGTCAAAGTCTTTTGGTTTATATTTATCAAATTTTGTCATCTCTTCAAATGTCTTTGCAGCTTGTACTTTAGTCACTTCATCTTGTGACATCATACCGTCTACCATATCGCTTAATTCTTCTAAGGTTTCTGCTGCAGAATGTCTTTCCTTACGTTCACTTGAAATTTTGGTATAACTTACTATAGGAGTTTGGTTCGCGTATGCATGTTCTGATGATTTATGCAATGTTGAAGGAATCCTATTTTCTCTTGTTGGAATGTTATTTACGTGATATCTTTCTTCAACTTTCAAGTCTGGTTGGATATTGTGTTGTATTTTTTGAGTCTTAGAATCTAAGTTATCTGGGTCCTCTGTAAATTTCTGAGATGGAGAAAACATATTGCTCTCAGGTTCATTTTCAATAGGCGGAAGTTCTGATAAGCTATTAGAAATATTAGATAAATCAATATGAAATCCTTCTTCATCTTTCTCAATCTCAGGGAGTTGATATTTTTGGGGATCTAACAAACTGTATTGAGAAATAACTCTTGCTTTTGATTTGGTCTCCATATTATTGGAATTTTGTTCCGTATTTACGTTTACTTTAGTGTTTGTGGTTTTTGATTGGGATGAATCATAGATTGAAGAGGATGCAAATTCTTTTCTCATTTCCGGAGAAGATGTACTCTCATTCTTTTCGTTTGCTATACTATTACTTTTCTTTCTTAAGTTATTTAGAGGATTCCACTTCGAAATTTTCTCTTCTAAGACATGAAGATTGGGTTTATGGTTTTTGTGTGATGAAGGTCTATCAATTATTGTATGATATTGGCCCTGTGGTGTTAATGATGGACTATTTAAAACAGAGTGATTAACTTTGGAAATACTCTGATTAGGGACCTCCTGTTGGAATTTTTCGTATACAGGTGTACTATTTTGCTTTGTTGGTAAAGGTCTATCTTTATTGGAATTTATGGACTCCCGATCGTTATTATCATTTTTCTTTTTAATTCGATTCTTTTTAAATTGACTAGTACTTTTATAATGTAATGTTATATCACATTCTTCAAAAGCAACCCATTTTTTGAATCCATCAAATTCAAATTCTAGAATTAACGATCTACCAAAGATTTTTTTCTTTTCAGATGTTTCCTCGTATGATAAAGATGATAGCCAGGTCCAGATAAAATAATCATCAATATCAACCCTTTGAATTTGGATATTTTCCTTCAATTCATAAATATTATTTACACATCTACGGGGAGCCCAACCTGCTTGAAATGTAGAATGTTTTGTAGACATAATCTTCATCAATCGCCTTGACTCCTGAGACATTTTTCGACTAATACCTTCAACATTATTCTTTTTCTTAAATAACGATTTCAGTAAGGCATAATCTTCTCTAGCCTCAAATGCATCATGATTTGAAAAATCTAATAGATCATTACATCTCTCTAGTAATTGCCACGGTTTTCTTGAAAATTTATCTGTGTATAATGTCACTAATGGAATTGTTAAAATAGTTTGTGATGTGTATGCAGTGGATCCCTTTGGTGGGTATTCATTGTTAAATAAAATACTTTTTAAAGATTTAGGCAATTTAGAACTTTCTAAGTCTCTCGGTACAAAACTCTTCAAAAAGGATAACAGTAAATGGAACATAGCGTCTGATGCAGGGATCCATTCATTAAGACCATCTTGAAAAGAATTGTTGATTTTGCCAAATCTCGGATTGTTTGCATCAAAATCATAACTTGGACCCTCTCTTGAATTCTTATTATTTATATCCATAAATTCAGTATCATCTCGGTAGTCGTCAGTATCACGATCATTTATTGTATTTATATTAGATTTTTTAAAAGCCCATAGAGCACACATTTTTGCTACTTTTCTTGCACTCATCTTATTTACCCTAGAATTCGAGGATAATGTTACAATTAAATCAAAAAAATCATAAACGATTGAGGCATGATTGGGTGAATCCAAACATTGAGGCATAATTTCCAAGAATGCTTTTTGGGGATAATTTTTCTCTATTTCTTTATATTTGAACTTGAGGTATGCTTTCCACCCAACAATTTCAGAATTTGGTAATCTGCACCATATATATTTCAAACTTTGAAATAGAGTCCACACATCTGTTTTGTTGATAATCTTCATTTGTGATTTTTCATTAACAGGTTGTCCATTGCCTAGCGGGAAGATGGCATTCAAAAACTTCAGTAGTTTTTCATTGCTTTGTTCCGGTCTAAAGGGGATCATTAAATATTCTATATCTATTGCATTTTGTTTCAAAAAAGATGTGATATGATGAATAACATCTTTTACTTTTTCACGTTTAAATTCATGGAAGAATTCGAATTCTTCATCCGTATCACTAATATTATGAGTATTATTATTAGGACTTTCTTTGTTTGTCATATTTCTTTTCTTTGGAGATATACTCTTTATCTCTCCACTGTAATTATTTTGTTTCATCTCTTTTATGCCACTAGGGCGATACTCTTCATTTGAGGGTATATCATAATGAATATTTTGGGAAATTTTTCCTTCACTAGGTGTAGATGGTAAAGGTTTGGAAGTTGTATTCATTTTTTCTTGGTTTAAAAGCTGACAGTAAGCTTTTATATATTAACCAATCTTTAGTGATGGGAAAATATGTATTAAAAAAATAGTAGAAAAAAACGAGAGTAAGTTAGGATTAGCAGTTGGATATAGAGATGTTGGTACTTTGGTATGGTTGTTAGAATATTTTTAGCTGTGGATGTGTTCTCTTTAACGAACCATCATAATTACTATAATAATTATTAAATATACTCTAAATATTTCAACTTCATCACATTGTTTGTTTGTTTTTTACTTTTTTTGATAATTTTTTTCTTTAATTGGAAATATACGATGTTCCTTGTTGAAGAAAAATTCGTGAATAAAACAACCTGTACAAAGAAAACGAATAGGCATAAATATTCTGTTATGAATGATGTGAAATATAAATTTATCGACTAAATGGGTATCTTGTATCTATTTCCTGAAACACCATTTACTATATTATATTTACATGTAACTTATACATACATACATATACATATACATATATATGTGCTTGTGTGTTTGTATGTCATGATTTAATTAATCCACATCTTACAAAATAATAAGATAGTATCACATCATTTATTCAAGAATTCTAGTGACTAAGCCGGTACCAACAGTCTTACCACCTTCTCTAATGTTGAAACGTTGGCCAACTTCCATTGGAGTTGGGTGAATTAATTCAATTTCCATTTCGACATTGTCACCTGGCATAACTTGCTTGGAGTGATCTTCAATTTCAGATGGGAATCTTAAGACACCGGTGACATCGGCAGTTCTGATGTATAATTGTGGTCTGTAGTTTTCACCAAAACCAGAGTGTCTACCACCTTCATCCTTAGATAGAATGTAAAGAGATGCTAACATTTTGGTGTGGGCTTTAACAGTACCTGGCTTGGCCAAGATCATACCTCTCTTTATTTGGTCTCTTCTGATACCTCTTAATAATAAACCAGCGTTATCACCAGCCATGGCTTCATCCAATTCCTTTCTAAACATCTCAATGCCAGTGACAGTAGTTTTCAATGGAGTTTTGTTGTGACCCACAATTTCTACTTCTTCACCTTTCTTTAAATGGCCTCTTTCAACTCTACCGGTGACGACAGTACCTCTACCAGAGATAGAGAAAATGTCTTCTACAGGCATCAAGAAAGGTTTGTCTAAGTCTCTTTCTGGGGTAGGGATATATTCGTCAATAGCGTCCAAAAGTTTCAAAATAGCCTTTTCACCAATCTCTGGATTTCTATCTTCCAGAGCACACAAAGCAGAGCCCATAATAATTGGAGCATTGTCACCATCGAAACCATACTGGGTCAATAGTTCTCTCATTTCCATTTCAACTAACTCTAACATTTCTGGATCGTCAATAGTATCAACCTTGTTGACGAAAACAACGATCTTTTGAACACCGACTTGTCTAGCTAATAACAAATGTTCTCTAGTTTGTGGCATTTGACCATCTGTTGCAGCAACGACAATAATGGCACCATCCATTTGGGCAGCACCAGTGATCATATTCTTAATATAATCGGCATGGCCTGGACAGTCGACGTGGGAGTAATGTCTCTTTGCAGTTTCGTATTCAACATGGGCAGTAGAAATAGTGATACCACGAGCTCTTTCTTCAGGGGCTTTATCAATAGAAGCGTAATCTAAGAAATCAGCACCACCAGTCTTAGCTAATGTTTTTGTAATAGCAGCAGTCAAGGTGGTTTTACCATGGTCGACATGACCAATTGTACCGATGTTAACATGAGGCTTAGTCCTATTGAAGGTAGAGGCAGATCTCATGGAATAATTTATTGGGGTTGTCCTTGATAATAGAGTGGTCTTTAAGAAAAGAACCCCATTTTTTTTTGCAGAATTTAAAACTGGTTTTGAACGAACCAAGTTTGTTAGAACGTTGGATAATACCATGTTTCTATATATGTGTGCGTAAATTTGTATATATAAATAGATAGATATAGATATGTATTATTTTTGTTCTTTTCAATAACTTGAAGGATTTAGAAAAGGATATTACCTGTTAGACAGTATTTGTAAGTAAGGGGTAAGGGCAGGTTTCAAAGTAAGATAAATTACCAAATATCTTGAACGAAGAAAAAGAAGTGCTAGTTGATCAACAAGTGGGAAGGAGAAAGGTTAAAGTAAGATAGGAAAAGTAGGATGGAAAAGTTCAAATGTTTCCATAGTTTAATTTCTTTCTTTCCTTCTTTCACTTTCTCTCTATATAGCACACAGAGCAATGGTGATCTTCCTCTATTTTTGCTTCGTCTCTGTGTTTTTGTCGCCCTCACTTTCTTTCTCTTTGTGTGGGTTTTTTGTCTATCGAATTCAACTTTGGATAAATCCGAAAAAAACAAAAAAAAAAAACCATTTTGTTTTGTTTTGTTTTGTTTTTTTGTAATTCCGCCAATCGTAAAAAGTGTTTAAACTCTAAGGCGGATATATGTGCGGCATTAAATACGGAAACAAATCCGAAAGAGAGATAAAAACGCGGAATACAGCTAGAACTTGAAAATAAGATTTTAGATGGCGGAATCTATGAACCTTGCCTTTCTGTCCACTATTCCTGTGAAGAAAAGAGAAGACACAATATGATGATTGATATATTATATTAATATGTGTGTGATTGTGATAATGATAGAAGGTATACAATTTCAAAAAGATGAGGAATACTCAATTCATTATCAACGTGAGTTATATATATATATATATACCGGCTTGTAGAAAATAGCTGAAACAATTAGACTTTTCTGAATAAACAGGAAGAGTAAAGCGATATAAATATTGCTAAATAATTTAATGTTTGTGTATGATCTCCATACACTTCCAGAATGGCAAAAATGAATGATTAGATTCTTTGAGTCTGTTATTATTAAACCATTGTTGTTATGGTTATTTGTTTTTATTTTTTGTTTGTTCGTTTTTTTTTGATCTTTTGCTTTATTGCCCTCTTGTTTACTTGGTTTCGGGTATTGTATCTAGTGATTGCTTTTCTAAATCATAGTTTGTAGTCGTCTGTATATTATTGTTTTTTTCGTCATTTTTATAACTAGAATTTATGTTTGTGATTATTAATGATATTATTATAGTGCACAATATAATGATGATAGCAATAATAAACCAAACAAATACAACCGTAACAAATCCAAATAATACATCTGCATCAGTAACATTATTTTGTAAAATTTGATTATTATTTTTGTTGGAGACAGATATGCTTGGTATGTTTTGTGATCTGTCTATATAATTGATTTCACATCTCCCCTGTGTTATATTAAACATTTCATTACATCTTATGCCCCATTCTCCAGTTGAACTTGATTTACCATCATTTTCAACCAGATATATTAGATAATGGTATAGATCATCTAATGAAGTTGCTAAATCTTTTATAAAACCAATCATTTATTAATTTATTATTTCCTTTCCACTTTATAGGTTATTGAGTTCTATAAAATATATCTATATATATGTAGGTATGTGTTTGTTTTTGTGTTTTCGTGTGTGTGCGTGTTATATTACTTTCAGATTGGGATCTACGGCAGTTAGTAAAACTAATCAAGAGATCAAAAAGGAAAATATCTGTTACATGTTTGTATGTATATATATATATTCAACTTAAGATCCATACATATTGATAGCTTTGCATTATATACTTACGTGTGTATTCACACGAATGATATCTTTTAGGAACAGAGATGATGTAAAAGGAGACTAACATTTCTATTGTTTAATTTATAAGTAATATAATCTTTTTATTATCCCACTGTTAAATTATTATGTAAGATCTCCCATTAAAAAAAAACCGCAATTGTTACCTAATCGGTTTCAATTTTCCTTCGAGAATCACATCACCATCAGCGGCGGTATCCCCTTAAATTTTTTTTGCCCAAAAAGTTTAGTGACAAGATGTACCCTTAAAGAAAAGTTTTTTGCAAATTTTTATTATAATCCTACCGACTTATGAGGAAAGAACAGTTTTTTTTTTTTACCTCAACCCTAAAGACAGTAATCTAAAAAAAAAAGAATAAAAAAAATTATAATCTATAAATTGTTAGTTGTGCATAGTACTGAATATATACACATATTTAGATAAATGGGGAATTTACAACTAACTATTCTTTTGTGATTACATACAGAATTTGTCCTATAATTTAATGTTGAAAACATGATGAATAGAATGCTATATTTTTTCAACTTATTGTTGTAAGGAATCTATTTACAAAATTATATAAAGAAAAATAAAAATGAGGGTACCTATAGTACAGTTATTATAATATTTTGTATGGGCTGTGTAAGAATATCCCTATAACGTAAATAAATGATTTCAAGATGGTTTTTTTTTTCATAAAACCCTCACTTTGAAAATTTGAGTCCTGAGAAAAACACAGAATATTGTTTTTCACCTGATTGTTTTTTGTGTCGGTGTTATATATACTTCTTTTTGCTTAAATTGTAATTTCTCAGGCCCTAGATTATTTTCAGGAAAGCCGCCGCTTTTCCAATCTTGGTTCAATCATAAAAAAAAAAAAGAAAGAAAGTCAGAGCATATATATCATATTTAGATGACTTCACATTTGGATATGAGGCACAAGGTATATATAGTAAGGATACAAATGCGTCACAAAGTTTGGTTTTATTGGTTAAGAAAAGTCAAAATACCGAGTTAAAAATACAGTAAAAAATTTAACCAATTTCTCTAGTGATATAGTAAGGATGTTGAGTGTTCTTCTATATTACTGTGGTTATATCTTGATTTTTTTATTTTACTAGAAGGTTGTATATTACTTATGTATATGTATGTATGAATTTGTTTGAAAGTCTACAGAGATATAGAGTCAAGACATTTAGTACTTGTACGAAATGTTACTTTTAAGTCTCATTAAAATTCTGAAACTAAAAACGTAAAAGAAACGAAGTATTCTGGATTCCAGTATAAAGCGCATGCTTTTTACGATCATCAAAAGATGTTACTGTACTTTGTGACAGAAAAAAAAATATAAAAAAAACAGGTTGCGGGATTATGATGACTTAGTTTCGGAATAGTACGGAATATAAAATAATACCAAAGAAAGGCTTCTCCTTCGATTGTCGTATCTGATTCGTGTTTTTATGTGATTGAACTGTGCTAGTTTAGAATTTCAAGTTTGTTTGTTTATTTTTTTTTTTGAGGGGGAGGAGAGATAGGAAGGATGAGAAGTTGTTGGTGGTGTTAAATGGATCATTCAATTTGAGCAAAAACGGGAAAAAGTCCGTAAATCTTGTGAAATTTTTTTTTATTAGCACACCCATACACTCACACACCTTTTTTCTTTTTTTTAATTTTTTTTGGAGGGAATCCATAGTTAACTTTCTGCAGCTTCAAAGACATTAACAATTCTTTCTTTGAAACGTCCGCAAAGCTGATTGGTTCTTTGATCTCCGCGGAGGCGGAGAAAGTTGGTCGCCTTCTCACTGTTTTTCTGTTTTTTTTTCGTTTTTCCCTCTTTGTTTCTTCAAGGTCCCCAAAAGATTGTAGAAGTTGAAAAATAGATATAAAAATAAAAAAGAATTGGGCTACAGCACAGTATCCACTTGATATCGGGATAACACAGGTGAACGTGGGATAATAAACTCACCAATTCTAGAAAAGGAATCAAAAGAGGTTGGTTGTTTGTAGTGTTGTTCTTAATCAAGTATTTCTTGTTTTTGGTGAAAATAGGAGATAAAAAAAATAGAAAAGAACAATAAATAAATTATCAAGTAGCTTATATAATAAGTAACTCTGTCTTTGTTTTAATTAGAGTCAATACATAAATCAAAATAAAAAAATAAACGGAATAATAGCTTTGCTTCAACAATGTTAGGAATCACTACAACAAGGATACTATCCAAGAATTCTGTTAGATTATTCTCTAATACTTCGAGAGCTTCAAATTTAATACAAGACCTATATCTTAAAGAATTGACTTCTGTCAAAAATGGCCTAGATATATCCAAAATTGTATCTCCAAAGGGCAATGTTCTAGAATGGCAGACTCCCTCTAGACCCGTTGTCCCAAAGGTTGAAGGTAATGAAGACGCTCTATTACAGGAGTATATTACATCAAAAGTGTCTGTCGCAAATGAATCAGATCCTGGACAAACACAAAATGAGCAAGAATTGGAAGAAGATTGGTTGGTTATTGAAGATATTCAAGAAGAAAATCCTGTTCATACCCATTAAAGAGAAGAAAGACTACCAAGTGGCCCTCCCTCTCTCTTTTTTTTTTTCCTTTTAGGTTGTTTATTTCAATCGAAATAATATGAATGTAGTGTAGTATGTGATAATATACTACTTCTATAGTATCCTGTTACTTAGATTCCATATATTTATATTTAGACTTATATTTATATATATTCTTTTAAATAATATAAAATGTCGACTTGCTGTCAGAATGTATATCTATTTGCTGATAACAATAATAAAACATAAACTTGTTAAATTTGATGTAATAAATGATATTCTATTAGTTTGATTTTTCTGATACATATGATGAGTGAAGAACACAAAAATACCTAAATGTTTTTTAGAATGAATTTGAGGGTAATGCTGATTTTGTGATTGTTTCTTTTTTTTGTGTGTGTTTTTCCAAGTTTTCCGCTTCCATGATATTTAAACCTAAATTAATATACAGCGTATCGTAAATTATACTACATACATTTGCGGTTTTAAGGTTGGTCTATTCAGAATGGACTTCCCTCTTCGTTAATATATGTTTAGAACAGTTCTTGTCTTATCTTCTCTTGTTTGTAAATAGACAAATAAACAAAAATAACACCCCTTTTCCTCGCTCGGTTGGTTGTTCACATTTCTTTATCTTTCGATCTTGAGCTGGATAAATCAATCATATAGCTAATATATTGTTGTTTTATGGGGTGAGAGCAGTTGATTGTGACCTCTTTGAGTACGAGAATATCGATTATAATATTTACTCTTGTATATATTTTTAATCTAATGATATTTTATTTGTAATTAGAGTGTCATACATATTACGTTATTTAAATTATTGTCATACATATACTGATAAGTTCATTTGAGTAGGTAGATATGAGTATCATATTCTAGTTTTTGTCGTGTTTCTTGCCAATCTTTCACTTTTTTTTTCTCAGTTCTTGTTGGCTTCAGCAAAGTCTTTGATAAACTTACTTAATTTGGTTACACTTTCCACAGTTAATGCGTTGTAAATAGAAGCTCTGAAACCACCCACTGAGCGATGACCTTTAAGTCCAGTCAATCCTTGAGCTGCAGCCTCTTTCAAGAATTTCTCGTCTAATGAACTGTCCTTTAATGTAAACACAACATTCATTTTGGATCTAACTTTTGGATCCACTGGTAAATTATAAAAATCTGGATATAAATCTAATGCTTCGTACAATGTCTTTGATTTGATCTTATTTTCCTTTTCCTGTTGTGCGATCCCACCTTTTTCTTTCAAATGTTGGAACACCAAATCCATTATATGTAGTGTAAATATTGGAATGGTATTGTATGCAGAATTGTTCTTAACCACAGTTGGATAATCAAATGCAATTGGTGTCACAGGGACGTTTAATTCTACTAATTTTTCTTCTTTAGCAGCTTTAATGTTTTCTAGGATAGATTTTTTAATAATGTATAGAGTCAACCCAGCTATCCCAATATTTTTTTGTGCACCAGCCATAATAACACCATACTGGGAAATATCGATCTCACGAGATAAAATATTACTTGATAAATCAGCCACTAATTCAATATTTGGATTATTCACAATACATTCAGGTAATTTTGGCCATTCCACACCATGAACAGTTTCATTTTCACAAAGATAAACGTATGCGTAATCATCGTCTTCTTTCAAATTATTGACCCATTTAGATTCGTCTGGAATTGAACCAAATTTTCCCTCGTCGTTAAAATCTCTCGAATCAAAGATTTTTTCTGCTGGTAATCTTAGTCTAGCAGCCTCTTCATATGCTTTTTGTGACCAAGAACCTGTTACTAAATACCCACATTTTCCTACTCTGTTATTTTTACCGACAAAAGCTGTCTCCAGATTGGTGGCTATTGAAGAGAAACCAGTGGTACCACCACCTTGCATGAAAAAGACTTCATGGGTATCAGGAATATTTAATAATTCCTTTAAGTGAGCTTTTGAATTTTCAATGACTTGAGTGGCATCCTTTGAACGGTGGGAAATTTCACCAATACCCAAACCGAGATTTTTGTAATTGATTAGGTCTAAAGCAGCTTGCTGTAACACATGGGTTGGCAATTGTGCAGGACCTGCACCAAAATGACTTGGTTCATTTCTATCTAAAGACATTATTCCACTTGATAGTATTAATTAGAACTAAAAGAAGAAAAATTAAAATTAAAATTAAAATCAATTGCTATCTTAAACAGATATACTTTTGTCTATAACTTTTGTTACGTTGGTGTTCTGTTATGTACAGTTAGATAGGTAAATACACACAAGAGACTCTTGTTAGCAAAGTGTTTGCATGTAAATTAATAAGCAGTCGAGCTCTAAAAAGAAGAAGATATCATCACCTCTTTTATATTTTCTTTCCAGGCATGAATTTTTTACTTCTATTTCAATTCCTTCAAAGTTAAGTCATACATCACGCATTACTCATTCCCACATTTTCGTACATACACACTGTGTCATTGCGATCACACAAAATTTTCTCCTCATTATGGATTTCTTTCTTTTTAGTGTTTTTTTTTGGAGGGCGGAGACACTGGATGGTTTCAATGATGTTGCTATGATTCAATCTGTTTGTAAATGTGAGTGCATTTTATCAGGTGTGGTCAAGATATATTAGGGTTTGAGAGAAATATACCTCACTATATCCATATTTGGGAAGAAAAACTAGAAAGACAATTAATTAGGGTTAATATTTTTTTTACAAAATATTTTTCATGTTTTTCTCAGATCTCACTGTTTCAGTTACTTAGTTAAAAAAATTTAATATAGGTTTAATTATAATTCTTAGAATTCTACAATGATTTGACTCGGTTCCATGCTCTATCTCTTAAGAGATGTATATTTAAAAGATTATTCTCACTTCACTTCTTACTAAAGTCTGGGGATCCCACGTTAATATTGATTCCATCCTTTATAAAATTTTTTTCGCCTAAAAGGTCTTGTAAAAATAAGTTATCCCTAAGGAAAAACTTTTCAAAACTTTTGTTATAACCCTACCGTCTTGTAAGGAATTTCTTTTTCTTTAACCGAACCCTAACTACTTTAACATGATCAAAAAACAGTGTGATCTATGGAATTCTACATAAACATTTAATTTTGGTTAGAATGCTTTGTTTCTTGAATGTATTTCTTAAATGTTCAATACTACTGGATTTTATAAAAAAAAACAAAAAAATAAGAACATCAAAAGTAGAGTTATTATTATTTTAGTCTGAACTATATATGAATGAATACTGCGCTATGTAGGTTAATGGTTCCGAGAGTTTTTTTAAAACCCTTATTTTAAAAATCTATAATCTTTGGGAAAATACAAAATATTATTTCCTACCCGATCTTTTTCGTGCTCGTGTCGCCTTTACTTTTATTTTTTAAAATTGTAATTTTTAGTCCCTAAATTTTTTCAGGGGGTTATTACTTTTCTGGCTTTGTCTCTTATTAAAGTAAAATTTTTCATTTTTTTTTTTTTATAAAAAAACAGCTTGAAATCCGAGTCAAAACATCTATGATTGAACAGCATTCGTTAGTGAAAGTGGTAAAATCAAAAGGTAGAAGGAGTCAAAATTGAAATTGGCATGACGATTCTGTATTAAATGAGCATTTTAAAAGTAATACTAAAAGAATTTATTTGCATGTTAACATTTATCCTACAAATATTGGTTGTCACTAGAGTTAATTTGAAACGTTTTTCATTTATCGATTATCAGGAAATAAGTGTAAACATAAGTCCACGTTAGCTTTATTCTTATGATGAAACTGTTTATTTATCACTGAATGTTAGGTATTTAATTATTATCTACTATAACTACTAATATTATATAGTATCCGATTTGTAATCTTCTCTTTTTGTATGTTAAAGAACAAGAGATGGATAAAGAGTAAACCAGTCAGCTTAAATATATTGTGGAAACATTATGTTATATCAAAAGAAAATTAATAATTATGATAAAAAATTTGAATGTTTACTTCTAATCAAACAAAAGAGAAGTTTTTCGAGTCAGGTGCTAAGTCAGTAATTTTTTTTATTGATATAGATTTTTTTATTATTGAATCTCTTTAGATTTCTCACCAATGATTGTTATGTAGATCTAAACACAACTTATAGATATTATTGTTTAATGAAACAATAATTTTTTTTGTTTTGAAGAAGTTTCGTTTTATAAAATAATTAATTCAGTTGAAGTGATTACAAATATTTTTGTATAAAAAATGTTGGAAATCTTGCTTTTTTGGTGGTGCTTACCATTTTATAAATTTTTAAAGAGAAAGTGATAAATATATATATTATTAAATGAAAGAAATTAATTAAATTGAAATAGAAAGTTGGAAAAAAATTTTACAACGCTAGAATGATATTGTTATATTTTTTTTCTTTGAAAACTATTGCAAGAGTATGTATTTAAAGTTTTAGCTTAAAAAATTGATGAATAAAAATATTGTTCTGTTAAGTTCAAAAAAATAAAATTTTGTTATGGTATAGTACTCTTACTTTATATAGAAAATGAAATCAAGTGTTACAGTCAAGTTTATGTACTATTTCAACAATAAAATAAAATCCACTTTTATTGAGAGTATTAACAGTAAACAGTTTAAACATCAAATAAAGATTCATTAAAATCATTATGTAAATGGTGATGGTTTGTTTTTGTTGATTGCATATATAATATTGGCTACTAATAAATTTACATTATATTAATTCGATAAGAAAGAATTGGTTGATTTTTTCTTGTTTGTATTCTTTGTAAAAACTTTTTTTTTTATATATATATTCAGATTGCAAGTTGAATTAATATGCATATTACTTAACTGCATAATTATAGACGTTATCAAATTTTGTAGTGCAAAAGCACTCCGCACTTTGTAATTTTAGCTTTTTGTAACAAAATTTTTATATTTCTTGTCATTTCATGCACGAAAGAAAAAAATATTGAACAAAATATTGTTTACAATGTAAAAGAAATACAACAAAACGGATGATAAACATTACTAATTTACCAACAATGTCTATGATACTACACTAATATATATTTTAGAGTTTAGATCCTTCGTCTTTACAAAAAAGAAGGGATTACTAATTACATGTTTTTTTCTTTTACATTATTTTCTTTGCCATTCACAGAGAGATTATTCACATTACTATCAATAATTACTCGTTTATAACGAATCTTATTTTGCTTTGTAAGTATGTATTGTACTGTATACAAATATCTATATTTAATATTTTTCTGTTTCAAGAAAGTTAAAAATATTACCATCTTGTGGGCAATAGAGAAGCTTAAGAACAAAAAACTTGATTCCAGATATTAGCACATTTGTTTAACTTATGAAATACCATATCTACAAAAACCATCACAACTAATAGTATGTACACCTTATATATAAAGTTCAATAACTTATCTATCTATCTATTTTTAAAAGGAGTTATCAAATACCATTCCAAATATCCACCATTTAATACCGTTTAATTTTGCCCAACTATCAACGAAAAAAAAAAAGTTATATTAATAACTTAAAGAGAGAATTGGAAAAAAGTATTGAATATTTACAAATTAATGTCCAAAGATTTCATAAAGATAAGTCATGTTTATTTAAGTTTCTACTAATAAAATGAATATTCCAATATCCAAACAACAAGAGTTTCATTCATACATATATACATAAATAACTGTGACAAAAACCACCAACTCTGCAACAATTACTGTTATATTTTTAACACTATCTTCTAACGTTTATAATTCTTTACCAATCATCCCCTACATCATCATCCTCATGTACACCAACTTTATTCTTACGTTTATTTAAAGCTGCAGCTAACGCATCTGCTAGAGATGGTGGACCACCAGCACCCATATTGGAAGAAGCCGTTTCATTTCCTGTGTTTGAAGTAGCCACAGTCTCACCACGAGCTTCTTGTAACAATACAGATGGTCTATCTAATTGGGATTTATCTACTTTTCTTAACGATTTAATACCACCAGCACCCCTAATCGATGCCAATAGTGCATCTCTACCCGCATCACCTGTAGATTCCACAAATCCACTGTTGTTATTGTCTGTAGCAAGAACAGGTGGTGGAGGAGCAACCGGAGCTTCGCTATTATTCATCACTGGAGGTGGAGGTGGAGCAGGAGGAGTGGTCATACTATTACTATTCATCATAGGTGGCGGAGGTGGAGCTACTGGAGCATTCACATTAGTATTATTACTCATTAATGGAGGAGCAGGAGGAGCAATATGAACCAAGTTTGTATTATTATTATTATTCATTATTGGAGGAATTGGATGAGCTATAGCAGCAGTGTTATTGTTATTATAATTCATATTAGACGAACTATTTAATGGTCTAAAAGATGGTACTGGTTGTACTGGAGACTGCGGAGCCGTATTAAACGTAGTATGAGGTGGTATTTCTGTTTGTTGTGACAATGGTGCTGATTGACCAAAAGTAACTTGTGGCATTTGTTGATTATATTGTTGTGTGAAGGTATCCTGTCCAAAAGAAGTTTTAGGTTGTAGAATTGTTGGTTGTGTCCTTGTTCTAGCAGGAGGTGGAGGTGGAGCAGGCCCACGCCTTACAGGTGGAGGTGGGGGCACGCCATTATTACTAGATATTCTTTGATTATTCATATTATTGTTATTTCTGTGTGGTGGTAATGGTGGAGCCGGACCACGTCTTACAGGAGGAAGAGGAGGAACTCCACCGGTATTAATATTTTGTCTTGGTGGAGGAGCGGGAACTGGCCTTGCTGTATTTATATTACTATTTATATTCATATTAATACTTGGCGTTCTATTTGGCAACTGCGGAACTGGCCTATGCAAATTCATATTTGTATTGTTCATCTGTGGAATTGGAAATGGGAATGAGTTATTTGCTTGTTGTGTTGCATTATTGAACGGTTGATTTGAGAAAGATGAAGGCTGTAGCTGTGAAACATTAGTAGTACTAGGAACTGGAATAGTAGTAGTAGTATTATTACTCAACGGAGGTGCTGGTTGAAAATTTGCAGGTAATGGGGGCACATTATGTTTAACTTTCTGATGAGTGGGCAACTCTGATGCTTGTTCTTTTTGTTCTGTAGAAGACACGGTATCTGCTACAGTGGAATGCCCTGACACAGCAGGCTGCACCGACAAAGTTGATGATTGTACATCAGTGTCATTGTAATATGCATCTTCATCGAATCCATCATTATACTGGTCTGTATCACCCTCATTAGTATCAATATCATTGTGTGAAAATATTGATGATGAGGATGGAGGTGGTGGAGGTGGAGCTTTGTTTTTGGTTACTGGAATGTGTTCAACTTCATTGTAATTATATCTTTTCCTTTGAGAATCCATTACAACCATAGTTTCACCTCTAGGGCCTTGTTTAGGCTGTTTTTTTGCATTCTCAGCCCTCAATTTTTTATTTAACGCAATCGCTTTTTTATTCTGTAAAGTTGCTCTCGAGGCATATTTTTCTCTCTTTTGTACCCTTTTCAAAAAATGTTCTGCTTCTTTAATATCAACAAACAAAAGCCCCACATAGCAATCTTCAATTTCGAAAGTATGAAAAAAAGTTCTATCCTGATAGTATTGGAAATTTATATACAGTTCTTGATCCCAAATGATCCCTCTATGTCCAAAGATATCAATCAATTTAAGAAAAAAGGTATGACCCACTAAATCATCAACCAAAGTAATGGCTCCAGATAAACCTGTATATTGCCATTGTGTCTTATCTGGATATGCAATATATAACCGTGCTATGGTGACATCAATAATCTTATTTGAATTTTTAGGTAGTGCTCTCTTAATAATTTCTTTATCTTGTGAGTTTAGTAACCCCATATTTTTCTAGTATGTGATTAAATTATGCACACTTACAAATTAATTCAATTTCTCTTTTGAAAAAAAAAAAAAAGTTCTGTTATTTATTTCTGATCTAATTAGAGATAGTACTATAATCTCTTCGGTTCAATTGTTGTTGCTTGAGACTATTAGGACAATGATATGCAGATATCACTCCATTATATCTTTAAACACTTTTTTTTTCCTTTTCTTCTTTTTTTATTTTCATTTACAGAATACTTGCAATAAAAAGAGAAAATGATAAACCGTTTTTATTTATTTCTACATTAGGAAATACTGGATGGAAATGGGGAAAAAAAGACTATCTTTTCGTTTGACGTCTTTCTCAAAAAATCAAAGCCGTGAAAAGTGATGAGGACTTCATTTTAGGGCTATTGTTTTAAGAGACCTAAGATATTATACTATTTGATCAATAAATGAAACTGAGGATTTTCTTCTCAGGAATAAGATCTAGAAGCAACTACAAAAAGAATTCCAGAAGATAAATTTATTTTCGAAAGAATTACTTATTTTATTCCTAGCCCTAATTTCTAGCTAAAAGGTTTTAGACAGGATATAAAAACTTAAGAACTTCACCAACATAAGGGGAAGGGGAATTTTATCAGCCCTAATTTTGCAAAGTATTTTAAAGATCTAAATATTTAATATCATTTCTCAGACATTACTGGTGATAGTCAAAAAAAAATAAAATAAAATTACATGTAGAGAAATGTGTACGATTATATTCGAATTTTTACAACTTTTTATGGAAATAATGTAATATTTGGAATATTATACCTCCTTCCACCAAGATATATATCAATAATCAAATGATTTCCGTCAATCTTAATAGTATCAGAGCTTAATTGAATTTTTTTTTTTTGGATAATATTGGATAAATAAAGGGGTTATCAATGCTTATGTATCACAAGTTGTAATATGCTTATTTCCTGTGATAGTTTCAGAAAATTTTATGCTGACTTAAATCTTTTCAAATACAGACAATACACTCATAATGTAACTTAGTAGTAGCCCATATTTCTTCCATTATTCAGTAACTTATCATAAAAAAAATCAGTACGTAATCCCTAAAAAAAATATTGGCTTATGACCCTTGATTACTTTTCAAGGCTAGAATATATATAAAAAAATTTGCTTAACCCTACTAATCCCCTTTTCTATGATACAAGTTTGGTAAAAGCATACACCTAAAATCGCATCCTCTTCCCTTTTCCCCTCCAGACAGTTAATTATGAGATATACAATATAGTCTATGTTCTTTGTCTAAAAGACAATTGCATAAAAGAATAACACGATATAATAGAAAAGAATAAGGGAGAAGTAAATTAAACACGACTGATATTCTTTTAGTCTTACAGGCCATTGGGGACGATAGGTAAAAGTTAAAAAAAAATGACAATGAAAAATTGTACTTTTTTCTAATAGTCTATTTCTACAGGACTTTTTAAACAAGCAAAAAAATTATGCAAACAGTTTTATATGAATATATAATAATAAGTTTCGATTCTTTTTTTTTCCTGTAATTATTATACTTGTTACTTCTATCATAACATCCATTTTTCTTAGGGTTGATTCTTATACGTTATTGAATAAATTCTAGTATAGTTTACATATTCCCTCTCTAAATATATACACGTAAACAGGACATATACCAGTGACATTAGTACAAGTCATGTCTGAAACAATTAAATTGGATATTGATCATAAAAATCATATTGGTACAATAACATTAAACGATCCAAATCATTTAAATTCATTATCCTTTGAAGATTTTATTCAAATAGGGGAATATTTAAACAAATTAAATTTGGATAATGACCTCTATATAACAGTTTTGCAAAGTAGTGGCAATAGAATATTTAGTAGTGGTGGCAAGTTTGAATCAGTAATGGAACTTAAAAATATTGATAACACAAATCAAATGAATAGAATTAGACAATATATTGGTAATGTCTCTACTCCAACTATTCATATGTTAAACACTTTTAGTTCTCATAACAAACCGATCATTTGTAATTTGAATGGACCAGCCATTGGATTAAGTGCTTGTTTGGTGTTATTATGTGATCTTATTAACGTGCACTTACCTATAGGATCAGAAGAACAAGGGGAAGAGAGGAAACCTTATTTATTATTTCCTTTCAGTTCACTAGGGTTTGTGGCGGAAGCTGGAAGTTCTATTATGTTATATAATAAATTAAGCATAAATATAGCAAATGAACATTTAATCTTTTCGCTTCCAATAAGGTATAATCAAATGAAAAATTTTGGTATGATCTGGAAAGAATATCATTACAGAGACGATTATGAAAATAAAATAGACAAGAATAACGATTTGGACGCAACAGATCAATTTAATAAACGCTGTAAAAATGATATAATAAAAAATATCATAGAAAATGATCTAAATCCAGAAGCCATAACCGAAATGAAAAGAAGAGTGATATACAAAATGAAACAAAGATTGAAAAAAGCAATAACAGAAGAAATTATTAATACCTTACCTTTATGGTTGTCTGATGAACCAATTTCAAGATTTGAACAGCTTTCAAACAAGCAACGTAGACATAAATTGTGAACACATAAACTTCAAACTTTAAGTTCAACTACCAGTCAATTAATGTAGAGTATCTTTTACTATTCTTTTAGACTACATCACATTAACTAGTAACTATCCCTAAGAACATATACATCTATTACGTAATCTATTGTATAACGGGAGACATTTTTTCCCCTTTATTCGCTGTCATAAAAATTAAGTTGTCTTCGAGAAATTTCTTTTGTTTTTTTTTTTTTTTTTTTTTTAATCAAGTGCTTTCCTTTCCGGTTTAATTCTTCCGGTTTAGTTTTCCACTGTCGTTTTTTTGTCCCCTGCTCTTTTCCTTTTTCTTTTCCTACGGCTTTGTGACAAAAAAAAAAATTTCCTTTGCGTCATAAAGATTTTCTCTTTTTCCTGTTTTTCTAAACCTTCGATTGATTTTCAAGGAAGTTATGTAAAAAAAAAGTTTAGATTAAAAAGGTCGAACGATTGATTGTTCGGCTAAATTAAATAATCAGCAAAACGAAGATACTCATACCTTCTTTTTATTTTTTCCAGTGATTTTGTGTTATATAATAAAGATCAGAAACACCCAAAACATAAAGAAGAAATATTTTATTTACTTTTATGTATTTATCTTACATCCAAGTGATTATTAATTTGTTTGTTCGATTGCTTATTTTCCGGTGTTTTCTCTTATTCACTTGCACTATAATATTGCATATTTGTGTAATTTAATAATTATTTCGTATACACTTCAGTTTCGCCATACTCTGTACTGTTCCTTTTTACTTTTTACAAATAAAACTAACAGAAATACAGAAAACAGATCGTTGCATAAATAATTACAATACATTTATCCTACTTTCTATTTTTTTTTTTTTAATATTTTCCACTTAGACTAATAATTTTATTTTCTATTTAGTTGTACACAAATACACATATTTGGATTGACACTTTTTCTTCTATTTTTAATTATGGGTAGACCAAAGAAAGAAATAAGTGAGGAGAAATTTGAACAATTTCAAAGAGAAGTAGAATTAGCTGGTAACAGAACTGATATTTTACTACGAGATAAAAAGGGCAGGTCTCGTTCCTGTTTACTGTGTAGACGAAGAAAGCAACGTTGTGATCATAAGTTACCTACATGTACTGCATGTTTAAAAGCTGGTGTCAAATGTATCCAACCAGCCAAATATCAAAGTTCTTCAACAAATTCAAAAGATAATATTATTCCTACCACCAATAATGTCGGTCTCAATAACGACAACAATTGTAATATTAATAACTGCACTTTGGGGAATGACAGACCTCTGATTATTAGTAACTATTCGATTTCTCCAGTTAATTCTAAAAATTCACTAAATTCTAATGGACTACTATCAATCAATAATATTAATAATGGTAATAACTCATTCTTTGTAAACTCTAATTCTAATATAATACAAACTACAAATTTCAACACTACAGGAAAGATAACGAAGAGTAACCCAAATTCTGATTCTGATAAGGATGAATACACAAAATTGTTAGAGAAAAAACTAAGATTTTTAGAAAAATTAATTGATATCTCACCGAATACCGTGACATTCAAGAAGAAGATAAAACAGTATAAAAGAATTACTCATCTGTTGAATAATATGGATGATACATTTGATGAATTGGATTTCCACCATCCAAATAATGGCCCAGATAATAAGTTTGACTCTACATATTATAGGTTTCCATATAATAATCATAATACTAAAATACTTCCTCCATTAAATTCCCAATTCTTTGATCCTAATAACAATACAAATAGCATATCTGCTACCTCAGCAAATAGGACTGAATTCAAAGACGATTATTATAACCGAATGATGGGAACCTCACTTCCTAGAGTTGCTTCTCAAAACAGCAAATATGACACTGTTATTTCATTGACTTCTAAATCTTTGAAGGATTTTGATCTTAGCAGTTGTATTTTTTCGAAATATGATTTAAAAGAGTTTTTAGCTTATAAACCTGTAATGGAATTTGATGAGGAATTATCAAGATCATTTCTAGACACATTTTTCACTAGATTACAATTCAAATACCCCTTATTAGATGAGCAAGAGATTTACTCATTCCACGAACATTTTGTTAATAATAATATTTACTCTTATTCAGAATCGGATTTCCATTTTTCTTGTGGTAGAATGTGGCTTGTCTACACAATAAGTGCATGTCTTCAGATGACTACTGGCAAATATAAGGGAAATCCACCGATGAATTACTTTTCGACTGCAATAAGACATGTGGCAAAATGTGGTAGGAGTTTAAATTATGTTCAACAAGTTGAATTATTGACTTTATTAGTTCTATATCTATTAAGAACAGATAAAGATTCTTTAGTGTTATATGAAATCATTAAAGATGTGATGACAATTTGTAAAGAAAAATTATACTTGAATAAATGGCATTCACCAGATCCGTTTGCTAACAAAAAATTGAGATTATTTTGGTGTATTTATTTATTAGAAAGAATGATTTGTGTTGCAGTTGGGAAACCATACACAATCACTGAATCTGAAATTGATTTACCTTATTTTACTGAAGACTCCTTTAATACCAAGGATACAAAGACTCACAATGGAGTAAATTTCATTAATCAATCATTAAAATTGCGTCGTACTGAATCCAATTTTGTAGAACAGTTAAAAATCATTCCACAAAAACCTGAAGATGCTGATAGTACGCCTAATAACAGCAATAATAAAAAATTACTAATTAAACAATTGCCAGAAGTAAGAAAAATTTTTAAAGACCTAGAGGTATGGAGGTCTGGTCTAATCACTAGTAGTTTCAAAAATTTTGAAAATGAAACACTAAAATTATATTATTACAGAGCAGTTAGATTATTAATTCAACCATACCTTGAAGTCTTGCCCCCCGATGACAGATTATTTAGAGAATGTCAAGCTGCTGCTGGCCAAATTTGCCAGTTATATAAAATATTCCATCAAAAGACTGTTACAGGACATTCAACACCTGCCGTGCATACAGTGTTCGTAGCCGGTGTCACATTAATTTATTGTATGTGGCTAGCTAGGAATTTTGGTGATAAAAAGAGAAGAAAATTAGGTGATGACTCTAAACATACCAGACCTTTAGTTAGTGCCACTCTATTTTCTACAATGGATGATTTAAGGGCTTGTTCTGTTTGCCTTTATGTCATCACAGAACGATCTAATTTTGCTAGAATTTTTAGAGACGCATTTGAGCAATTGATGAATGCAACTGTAGGAAATTTAATTGAAAGATGTGGTCCTAATTCATCTGAGTTAATATACATGGCTAATGATACTAAGAATGGGCAACATAAAGCTTCTAATAGTTATCAAAAGAAGAAAACACAAAATATTACGGACGAGGATACTACACTAATGAGTAGTGACCAAGATGGAAGGATCAACGATAAAGCATCCAATAATAACAATATTAGTAAAGAAAACTCAAATTATGAAACGACCAACTCCATTAATGGAATGCCACCAGCTATGAACAGAACATTTGGGAAAGGTCAAGCCGAAGAGCATGCCGGTTTTGTGGCAAATTCTCAAGTCGATCCTGCTGAACAGAAGGAACTGAATAGAAAGAAAGGAATTTTACAAAAGGCTACTCTCCCTAAAAGTTTAGCTCATTTATTAATTAACGAAGATAATGAAGATGAAAAAAGCTTCAATAGAACAGAAACAGAAAGTTGCAAAAAATCAACTGCTGACACACCATCCAACTCGCTGAAAGAAGAAGAAGAAGATGGATCAAGTCCAACAACTAGTATTAATGATGATACAAAGAGATATATTGTCAAGAAACCTGTTAATTTAAATGAATTTAATTGGGAAAATTTTGAACACCAAGCATTTTTACAACAACATTATGCACAACAAAATTTACAAGTATATTTAACGTCGTTAAACTATAATAAGACTGATAATAATAACAATAAACAGTTTCCGGCAAATGTAAATGTAAATACTACAACAAATAATGGCAATGGGATTATTCCATATTCAAATCTACAGCCATATATTGGTACACAACCCACTCTGCCAGCTAATTTAAATTCAACGAATTCTCAACCAACAAATATACAACAAAATTATGTTAAAAATATGAACTCTCATAAAAGTCATAACAGTAATGACACTCCTAGTTCTACTACTTCTACCAATACTCATGTACCCATCTCCACATTTAATGATGTTCCAATACAACCCGTATCCGAAATTTATCAATCAACCAATATTAACAGGACTAGAATGGGAAATACAAGTTATCCAGGTGCCCCTGTTATTCATGGACCAATGGTAAATAATAACAATAACAGCAACAATACTTTTAGTACGATCCCAGTCAGCACAATGCCACTTATCAGTATGAGTAATAATAATAATATTCCTAATAACAATAATGTTATGACAATAACAAGGAACAATGAAGTCACTTCCAGTGGTGTTCTTTTCAATAATGGCACACATGACATGATTAATAATATATCTACATGGACCAATGATTCAGCTAATGAATTATTAAGCCATTCTAATTATAATTATAGTATGTTTAATTTAGAGCCAACAAATCCAATACCAACAGATAGTGACAAGAAGAATATGACTCATTTCTCCACAAATAACAATGTGACTTCACATATTGGTTCAAGTAATAGTGTAAACCTCACTCCAACATCTACTGTTACTAATACTGCTACTACCAATAATAATAATAATAACAGTAATAACAATAATTCAATATTGCACCCCCAGGATGCTGATGGGTGTTCTAATGAGAATAATCAACCAATTCGAACCAATGAGCCAAATAATAGGATGATTAATCATGTAGATGTTAACCAAAGTAATAATGGAATGATGGTACCAAAGCGTATTGGTACTATCTCGTCAGATAGTTATAATAATAATCTCAAGAATTCCCAAAATAAAATAGCAAATAAATTTGTTACAAAGACTCGATTTCCTGATAATTTTGCACCAGTAGAAGATTTCTGGACAGTTAATGATGATTATGAATTTTTAACGTGATACATATATATATATATATGTATGTATGTATGTATGTTTGCATAAATAACTAAATCACTATCATTTTCTAAATATCATACGTAATGACTAGAAAGATCTAGAGAAAAAGATACATTTCGTGTCCAATGATACAAAAGACATAAGGGAAGATAACGATGAAAAAATATAATATTTATATTCTTAGAAAAACACTAGCAGGATCTAGATATATATCTATATATATATATATCTATACATACGTATTAGATAAGACACTGAACTTTGCTTGGTCATATTTTTATTTTATCTAAGAACTGATTGATAACACGTTAGATTTGTTGCAACAAAAAAAAAAAAAACAGAAAATTATCGTCACTTTATTGTTATAGATTTTTCTGCATATACACACATAAATATAGATATCGATATAAATATATAAACATATCATTGTAATAATAATAACAGTACCATGAATAAGACACTTTATGCATCGATACCATTATATTGTAACCTTAATGAGTTCCAAGATATATTGGAGTTTACATATGGAAATGTTGGTACATCAATACCAATGGTATCAAATAAGAAAGTTATAGAAGAAGGGGGAAGAAGCAATGAGGATAAAGACAAAGATACAGAGGTATATAAGTATAATTTTTACATATGGGATACGATTGAAATAATTTATAATATTAAAGATAATATAGTTAAAATATATAAATGTCTTGAAACAAATATAGATGATACTAATAGGGATACAAATAATAATGAAAGAAAAGACCTAGCCAATATGATTGATCTTGTGATAGAGAGTGTTATCTTAGTTATAATATCAATGGATCAAAATACTGCTAATAATAATAATAATGAGGAACAAAAAAGTTTTATAAAAGGGGAATACGAAAGATTAGATTTTAAGAATGTAGATCCAATAATTGCATTATTTAAAGAACAATTTGGATCAAGTTTCAGTAGTATGGAAGGAATACCAAACAATGGATTGATTACATTAGATCGTATAAACGCACAGATTGATTTTAATAAGATGAAGGTTGTTAAATGTAATAGTAACCCATTACGTGGTAGGATTGAATCATTACTAAGTATTGGAAAAGATTTAAAAGAACCGTTATGTTAGGAAAATATAACTTTCATAAAAGATACTATATATATATATGTATGTATGTATCTGCTATACCAAGGTGCCATATTAATCTTATCCATGTGACCAAATTACTTCTTTTGGTTGGAGTATATTTACAAATGAAAATAGAAGTCAACTACATACAAGCATATAAAAGACAGATTAGTAAACATTACGATTTAAGGTATTAGTATTATAACTATATGAATATAGATAACGTATATTATTAGAAAAGTAAAGTCTTTCATAATACCATTTGCGATTACAAACGTAAATAAGTTGCCAATCAATAGCACTTTTCAAGCAAAAGCTTATATCACTGATTGAATTTTCAAAATAAAGACATTGACACTAAGGAGTTTTCACTCTATTCCAATCATCTAATATTGAAATATATCTTTGAAATTCCAAGAATATTCAAAATCTTTCGCCTATTTTTTTTTTTTGAAAAATAAAAATATATACACTTAATATAATGTTGATACGAAAAAGGTTGGGTAAGAAATAATGTTCTATGTTTTGTTCAATAATTTATAGCTATTTGAAATAAGGGTTTTGTGGAAAACACTCCAAAACAATCAATATAGGTTAACTTTAACCTATAGATCAAGTTAAAATGATAAATTAACGTAACCACTAAGTTGATCTATGAAGATTCTATAGTGTGATTACAGAAGAATATTTTGGTGGTAAATATCTCATTTGCATATCTTTGAATATATTGTCCGATATTGTGTAAAAGCAACAATTTGTAGATTGCAATTGTCTTTTTGGATCACAACCTTTAAAAGGGGACAGCACTATCAATGATGATGGTGATGATGTAAGAGAACCCTCAAATTCCAGGATGAGAGTATGGAAGTTACGAAATTTTGTTTTTTTTGTTCTTTATTTTTGTATTCCTCCCTCCTTTCTCTTCCTTTCCTCCCCCTCCTCCACGCAACACCCACACCCCGAACAGATTTCTTTGTTCTTTGTTTTTTTGTTTGTGCTGTTATTCTATGCTTTTTTCCCCGTGCAATTGTTTTCTTTTGTCTTTTTTACCGAGATTTGTAATAGTAATTGATTACATAAAAATAGAAAACCAGAAAAGGAAAAAAAAATAAGTTTCTAGATGCTGCAACAAAAAAAACAAAACAAACTTTTCCACCCCCTTTTCAGTTTCTTCGATTTGGGATATATCAAAACAAAAAAAAAAAAAAAAAAAAAACGGTAAAAAACCAAACAAACCAAAAAAAACCAAAAAGAAAAATAAGGAGAGAATCGATCTTTTCGATGTCTTGTTTGTACTTTTTTTTCCCCTAATATAAATCTCTATTTCCCTCTATATGGAACGCTTGTCTCTGGCTCTCTACATTTGGTTTGTATGATGTCTTTTTCTTCTTGCTACCTTCTGTTGCAACACTTCTTCTTTTTCCATTCAAGTGAAAGGATTATAACCAAGTGCTATAACAAACATTACATATCTATCCATAACATTTTCTTTTTCTCTCTCTCTCTTTTTCTTCTTTTTTTTTTTTTTTTTTTTTTTTCTTTAGTGTTTTTATTTCTTTTACTTCTTTACTTTCCTCTGTCTTCTCTGTCATACCTATATACTACTAGCCCTTTTTATAGATATCACAACAAGCAATAATATTTTAAATTATAAAGAACCTTCCCCCCCCTCCCAAAAAAAACAAACAAACAAATAAATAAATAAATAAAAATAGAACTCATTAAAATACAAAAAATATAAACAAAGAAATTTTCTATATCTATTTATCTATAGTTCATTATATTTTAGTTTACTTTGTTGTACTTTGCTTGTCTTCTTTATCTTCTTCTTCTTCTTCTTCTTCATCTTTTGTCTTTTTTTTTTTGATATTGTACTCAATAAACTAGAATATTATTGAAATGATAAAATCTATTTTAAAACATAAGTCAGGTATAAAATCAAATAAATCTTTACCATCATCATCATCAATCTCTTCTGCTTCTTCTTCTTCTTCTCAAAAACCCATTTCTAAAAATGTTAGATTTGATCTATTTTCTACAACTATAAAACGATTTGATTCAGATGATGAACCTATCACTATATCAAATGAAAGTTCTCCAATTATGTCTCCAATTATGTCCCCTAATATTGACGATAACAATAGTAGGGGTATATACAATCAAAATGATAATTATTCTTATAATAATCGTTATTTATCCTCGAAGTCTTTCCAGAATAATATTAAGAACGAGCCATGTTGGTTTAATAATCTAGATATTTTACCGAATTTGATTAATTTCGATAAAAAATTCTATTATCTTTATAAAAAAAATAAATCAATTTCCTCGTCTTCCTCCAACCCTTCTCATACTAATAATAAACAACTTAACACCGGATCGAAGAGTTTTTATAAACAAAACGATTTGAGTTTATCTGATTTTGATTTAGATTATGATGACAATGAAGATTATGCATATAACTATGGTTATGGTTATGAGGGTGAAGACAACGGTGATGATATAACTATAAACAATTTAGATAATATTCGTTCTGCTTATTTAAATTCAACTATCAATAGTAATTATAACAGCCTCTTAGGTTATAACAGTGATAATGCCACAGATACAGATACAGATACTAATACTAATATCAAGAACAAAATGGCGGGTAATGAACCCTTAATGTATTCAAATGAATTGCTTATATCCGATGTCGATATCAAATGGAAATTAATTGATTCTAATGTTCCAATAATATCTCAGTATTTAGATCTTCAGAATGATCAATCGATAGAATCCTATTTAAATGGTCAAAATATTAAACTATATAGATTGGAACAGTCAGATGTAAAAGAAAATAGATTATATGGTTACCTAATAGTTAATAATATCAACTTTGAAAAAATTATTGAAATTAAATTCACTTTCAATAATTGGAATAATATTCATTATATTAATTCAACTTACAGAAGATCTTTGACTTCAAAATTCGACGAATTCCAATTCACCATTGATTTGAATTGTTATAAATTTTTCTTACAAATTAAAGATTTGCTAAATAAACATATTAAAATTGATTTATGCTGTAGATATGATGTTGGTAATGAAACTTATTTCGATAACAATAATTATCAAAATTACACTTTAAAACTAATTAAAGTGGATGATGACACCGATAAAAAGACAAAAGAGGATGCTGATTTTACTAATAGTCATCGTGTCGAAAGTTTGCCATTTTCAGATACAGCATCATCATTACCGTCAGGTTTATCATCATCCTCTACTTCATCTTCACAATATATGGATTCTCAACAATATCCTACAGATAATAACGTAGCACCTTTAACACTGACATTAAACTCATTACAAAAAAACAGCAATGATTATATCAATTCTTATATCCATAATCCAAAAATAAATACATTAAATGACACTAATAGAAACATTCAAAATAATAGTAGTGATAAGGGGGTAAGTGCTGGCATTAATAAGTCTTTAACTACTACTGCTAATACCACTACAAACAACCACCAATACAATCATCCATTTTTAGTCAATAACAAATATATTGTTCCAATGACATCTAGACAATTCATGAATAATAGATATATGGGCCATTCGAGAACATTTAGTGAAGATACAGATTATTACAATACATCACCATTAAAACATCTCTATCATAATGATACTTGTGAATTTGTAAAGAAACCAGCAACAATAAATGAGGTCTTAAACATTGAGACTAATCCATTACCACTGCCAGATACACTGCCAGGCCCTTCTATTGCAATGAAAAAAATCCATATAGATTTGTTAGATCCTTTAAATAAACAATCTAATACTGTTACAACATCAGAAATTAATGATAAGAATCAATCTAGAGGGTCTCAAGAAAAAGACAAACAAAAAGACACTACACCGCATTTAACACATCCATTAGAAGATAGAACATTTTCTAATTCATCTCTATCATCTACAAATTCATCGATATCTTTTTCTTCATTCCAAGATGACAATTTGACTGCTAAGAAGAAAAATTCATCGTTAACATCTTCTACACTATCATCTGATTCTGTATCTATTCCACATGTATCTGTGTCTTTAGATAAAAATAGCTTTATGCCAAATAGTAGTACAACCATTAATGCAAATAATAGTATTATTGAACTGAATTCTACCAATTTGAGTAAAAACGAAGCAAATTGTTCCATTAATTATATGAATCCTCCATCTAATTTCATATCAAGACAAAATAGCGGATTATCATCTAGTTCATCTTTAATAAGTGATAGTATGAAAGATTTTTTTGATATTCAACATCCAACCATAGAATACTTTAACAATAACTTGACAGTTCCTTCTACCTCATTGAATTCTAAACATATACTGAATCAACAAGATGAAGTACAAAGTGTTGGAACAGATACAACTTTTAAAAATCCCTCAACCATATTCAATAGTAATAATAACACAAAGATCAATGATAATATAAACATTGATCAAATGATGAACAATTCAAAAAATTGTAATTTAGCTACCGATAAAACTAATCAATGTATTTTTCATTCAAATAATAATTCTAACTCTATGATACAAAGCAATTCTTTTAAAAACGTGGATTATCAAAAATTACTACAATCTTATTGTTTTTATACATCACCACCCCCAGATAAAGATCCGATATCAAGCTTTTCAGAGTTAAGTCCATCTTCATCGCCTGGGTCCACCTTATATTTATAAACGAGAAAGAATCTGGTATTCTTTTCTTCTTCTATCCTTTTGCCTACAACACTTTATTTTGTATCACAAAATTTAAACAAGGATCATTAAAATACTAAACTATCTTATGCTAGTTTATCTCCTGTTATAGAGGAATTTTTACAAATTATAATATTATTATTCAAGCATTAATCATACTTCAAGTGTTTATTTAAATCACTGGCTAAATTTTCTTCTTTTTTATTTTGCTAATTTGCTCATAATTTTTCTTTCTTTTATTCCTAAAAATAGATCGAATTTTTTTTATTTTGCTAATGTATTCATATTAATTTTCAATATGTGTAAGCCACAATCTTTTTCTGCATTTTTCCTTTCTCATATCATAAATATTAATCATATATCTTTCAAATTTATACAGAAATATATACATAACTAAATACATAGATATTTTAATCATATTTTAGTCTCACTTAAAAAAGTAGTAAAATTCCAAAGTTTTCTTTATGTAATACTAAGACAGAGAAAAAAGAAATGTTCAATTTCCAATTTCCTTTTTTTCAATAATGTATAGAAAATGTCCTACTAACGACAAATTATAAGCCATGCTTCTAAGCTTTCAGTCCTACAAACTTTTTATAGTCTGTTATGCTGTAAAGATTCTTTTTTTATTTCTGTAAATTTACATGTTCTCGGAGTTTAGACAAACCTCTGATTTTTTTTTTTAATTTTTGATTCAGCAAGAATGTGGGGCAGGAAACAATGGATACGGCAAATATTTTTAGACGACGTACATTTTTTACTGAATATGGGAAAAGTCATAACATTCTCACCAATTTGAGATAAAGATAAAGGAGTGTAAACAGATACATTCAAAAGTAGCACATAGACAAAAATGGTAATGACAATTTAACTATGATAAAAACACATTCCTTAAGGATTGACTGAACGTTTAAATTCTCGGTAATCTAAAAACATATACAACGATACTTATGCTTTTATCCCTTTCTAAAATTATCAAACATTGTAGCATTAATTAACTGACTGGTGGAAAATATTCTATAGTTTTGGTCATTTTATTATATATTCTATCAGAAGATTTTATTTACACTTTAAAAAAAATAATTTTTGATAAGGATTGCATTCTAATGTACATTATAATAATGAGAATTTGGCATAAATAAAATTACCAAGCATTTTATTCTAACTCAAAATGTTGAGCAGTATTAGATCGAGTTCACATGAATTGTTTCATTTTTGTAATTTGTATATTCTTTAATAGGTAATACTATTTTATTAACTTTTGAAAGATAGAGTTTTAAAGGTGTTGATTAGAATTAAATAAGGGCAAAAATAAAGTTTTATAACTACCAAGACTACACAGAAAGTTATACAACAATAGAGATTTTTACGACATTTAATAATATACTTAACTTTTTAGATTTTTAACAAATATACCACCTAGTATACAAGTTAGTATAGAGTTACTATTAGTAAAAACATCAGAAAAAAGAAATCATTTTCTTATATCAATTTTTTAAAACCTAGGGTTTTGTCAAGCATAATTCTATTTTTTATTTTTTTGTTTTTTTAATCCTACTTTTAAGACTAAATAACCGGAAAACGGTAAAAATCCCTCAAAAATTTTTTTCTATTACTCAGCACCGTTCTAGAACATCTAGAAAGCGTTACTAAGTGGGTAAATATAGCTATTTTTTCTTAATAAGCAACAATAAAAAAGGCGTGTAATGCCAAAAATACTTTTTCTAGGTGTATTATCTTCTCCTAAGAATACCCCTATGATGACCAATCCGATTTATAATAATATTCCCACTCTGGAACTCAGTAGTGCATAATGCACGTTTAGATAAAAATTTTGCTTCAGTTATATTTTACGAGACTTATTAATATTATTTAGCTGGTCTAGACTCCAACCTGGACTCCAACCCAGATAACTACAATAATGAAAAATTAAAAATCCTGGTAATTGGCAAAATTATTTGATATATAAATAACCTTAAACAAAATTTCGATCCATTGCAATATGCTTTTTCCCCTATTAGAATCAAGGACATATAAAAAACCAAAATAATCAACAGTAATATACTATAATACGTATCTTCATAAAAAAATACTACTCAACAATAAAACAAATAACAATTTAACAATGGTTGCTCAAGTTCAAAAAGTTGCTCCAGCTTTCAAGAAGACCGCTGTCATTGACGGTGTCTTTGAAGAAGTCTCCTTAGAACAATACAAAGGTAAATATGTCGTTTTAGCTTTTGTTCCAATGGCCTTCACTTTTGTTTGTCCAACTGAAATTATTGCATTTTCAAAGGCCGCTAAAAGATTTAGAGATATTGGTGCGGAAGTTTTATTTGCTTCTACTGATTCTGAATTTACTCTGTTAGCATGGACCAATTTAGATCAAGCTAATGGTGGTTTAGGACCAATCGATATTCCATTAATTGCGGACACTAATCACACCCTTTCTAGAGACTACGGTGTTTTGATTGAAGAAGAAGGTGTCGCTTTGAGGGGATTATTTGTAATTGATGGTAAGGGTGTTGTCAGACATATCACAATAAATGATTTGCCAGTTGGTAGAAATGTCGAAGAAGCCTTAAGAATTGTTGAAGGTTTCCAATGGGTTGATAAGAATGGTACAGTTTTACCATGTAACTGGACTCCAGGTTCCGCTACTATCAAGCCAACAGTTGAGGATTCCAAGGAATATTTTAAGAAAACAGCCAATGAAAAAAATTGATTTGTCCTTCTTTTTTTGTTTTATCTTATATAAAATTCTTTTTTTATATATATTCGTGTATAATACAGTATAGAATTTTTTTTATTTTAACATGTTTTGTGATGGTTATCAAACAGATCACTATTTTATTTTTTCTTAAAAGAGTACAGTATATATATATATTAGAACCATTAACTTTGATCATAATAAGAGGATTCAATAATTGATAGAACATGGTAGAGATAGATTTTAGAAAACAAATATTTTTCTTACAGTTACATTTTCTTTATTTGTTTAATATCAATATTAACATTTATTCATAAATGCTTCTCACCCTTCGTGTATATATTTAAGCTATTAAGGTTCTTTTTAGATACATACAAGGGGACTATTGTGTACAAAAAAAATTAAACAAAACCTGTAAATAAAATTTTGCAAAAATTTTAAGTTTTCACAAGGATACTCTTTAATTTATTACTTTTTTAAGGAACATAAACCTTATCTTTTGCTAATTTAAAATAATTATTACTTAGTAATAATTATTATTTTTTGTATCTAATCGATTTAACGAAAAAAAAATGGCAATATATACTTTCAACAATAATTTTAAATGTCTCTCCTTATAGGTCGCTCTTTAAAATTATTCAAGTTTATCCATGGCTGAATCATTAGAAATATAGGATATTCATCGATCAAATTATAGTTCCAACTGCTAATTCTCCAAACTTATTCAATATTGATCTTTTTCAACATTCTAAAATATTTCAGCGAATCTTGTTTAATGAACTTGACATATAACCTCTCTGCTTCTTCTAGACTTCAGTTCTATTCATTCTTCCTACATTATACATTAAGCTCGTATTTTGTACTATAAATTAAACATTTTTGAGAAAAAAATAATTAATTAAGTTTTCATATGTCCTTTTGTACGAAATACATATATATATTCCTAGTTTAATTATTAAGAGATCATTAAAACAAATCTCACAAATCAAAGGTAGAATATTATTGAACTGATTCGGTCGTGAATTAACATCCCAAAACACCATGTCTCTTTATAAATAAACTTCTCTTATACAAACAAAGCAGTACGCTGTATTTTAATAACACCATTTTCTTATTCTCTCAATACTATATAGCACGTAAAAAGTTCATTATTGAGAAAAATATCTATATAATAATCCACATATATATACATGCTTATTTCTGAAATAATTGACTACTTATATATCAAGTAAAAAAGATGAGAACTAGACTATCTTTAATATGTATTGTGACATGATTATTGTTGATTAAAATAGATGGGCCTAATGCCAACGCCAAGTAGTAAATATTTTCAATTTCTTATTCATTTACTTTGGAAGCTATAGATTCTTTCTTGAGGTAGTTCCCCAAAACTCCATTATATCTTACCAATACATACGGTATATAGTTTATGTGACATATGAAATCCAGATGTCACCATAAACAATCTTGTGGACTCCTTGGTCGACGACGACGTTCTTGTTTTTCCTGTTTATCTTGTTTATATAATTATGTGTATCTGTACACCCGTGTATATTAGTTTACTCTTCATGTAGAGTACAGTTTATATGTCATATATAGACAACAAATCAAGCTATATCTATCTATTTTAGCGTCTACAAGAGTATATCTCTCGTAATCGGGTTTTCATCTATTACAGTTTAAGGAAAGAATTTGGAAATACCTGTAATCATACTTTATACATCATATCATACGATATAACAATACAAAAATGTAAAAAAGGTCCTACCCGGATTCGAACCGGGGTTGTTCGGATCAAAACCGAAAGTGATGACCACTACACTATAGAACCAGCGATTTCCGTTAAGTTTTGTGGAATAGAATAGTTATAACCATCAAGATTACATAAGTTCCTGAATGAATTTAGAACTATTTATTGTTTTAATAAGCCATACACGTGCTACAACATTAGATGCTGCATAATAAAGAGATTGGATTACATAAGATTTTGGCAAATCTAGAATTTACCTATTGTTTTAATAAGTCCCACGTGTATTACTAATCACCATGATTAGAGAATTGGGGTGCAGTTCTAATCCACTAGTGCACCTAAATTAATGTAATAAATTTTAGGGTGAATCAGTCAAGTCATTAATGTACTAATCTGAATAATCGATCGAGCTCCAGAGAACGTATAAAAGGACAACGTTTTCTGAAGATAAAAGATCATCTTCCATAACTTTTCTTGTAAATAATTTATATATTATAGATGAACAAAAATAGAATAACAAGCAAGTAACAAGTTAAATAACTTTGAATAAATATATTAGCTCGATATAAGCCGCTCAATATATAAGACCGTTTTAGTAATTATATTATCGCCTATAATTGATTACTGTCTCGATTACTTGAATGACTATTAATATTATTTGCGCTTTCCTGGAATACACAAAGAATTTCACCATACCATACTACAACATTAAGTGCCAGAATATTATATAATTAGTTTCTTTGTATATTTCGGGGAAACACAAATAACATCAACAGGTATTAAAATAATCAAGACAATGATCAAATATAGTCGCTAACATAATTACTAAAACGGTCTTATATATTGAGCGGCTTTTATTGGGCTTATATATTTGTTCGAAGTTACTTGGCTTGTAGTTCTATTTATATATATATATAATATATAAATTATCTACAAGAAAAGGTTATGAAAGATGGTTCTTTATCTTCAAAAAACGCTGTCCTTTTATATGTTTTCTGAAGTTCGATCAACTATTCAACTTGGTATATTAAAGGATTAGTAATCCATATCTTTACTATTAGTTATAATAATATAATTGAACCTCATAGAACATTCAGGACAATAGGTTATTGTGGCGCAGTAACAAAGATATATGAACACGGTGTACATAACCATAATGGATAATTCTAGATTTATCTAGGATCTCACGTAATGCCGATGGTGATGGCTTCTTATTTGACAACAAAATATAGAAAGAAATAAGTTGATTACCTATAAGAAAACTATTGTTAAATTTGTGTTATGAGCCCTATATTAAGAAAATATGCAATATTAGGTTGTTAGTTACAGTTTCTATATAAAATACCAAAATAGCTTAATAATAACTAAGTCAAATGACTTTGAAAGATATTTATATAAAGACCTAACACTAAAAAAGATTGTGTTCCAATTTAGTGTCTATCTTATACTCTTTGAAATTCATGTAAGACAAAAACAACCTGAAGCAAAATAATATGAATAAAATTATTAATAACATTACTAAAAATATTAAGTAATAGCATATTGCTGTATTGATCATCAGTTTATATCACATAATCTAAATAATTTATTAATTGATTCTCTAACAATCAAGAGAACGCCTTTCCATGTTCAAGTAATTTTACCGATTCCATTGTATAACAAGTATGGTTATGAATTAATTGTATTTTTTGAAGTTAAAAGTAAAAGTTTACCAGTGTCTCATGATATTTATTAATATATATTATTAGAAAATGATAATTTTCTGACGTCAAATTTTTATGAATCATTTGAATATAATATTTCTACTTATTATTTGGTTTAAAGAATCATAAAATATTGAAAAAAAGTTTCTTGAAATGCAAATGAGAATAACATTTTTGTCAAATAATGATTACATTATTTGTCTATACTAAATTAAAATATTATCTGTTGTAAAATACCTGAGTGTATTTTTAAACAGATAGATTCTTCAATTGTTAAAAAAATAAAATATAACAAAAAAAATATAATTAAAATATTCAAAAAATAATGAATTCATACATTTTATATTTTCATTTCTAGTCAATATTGTTGTTAAATTGTTGAAATAAAATGTTCTCTAATGAAATAGATAGAACAATAAGATTTTAGTAGACACTAAACGATAAATTGTTGAGTAATAATTGTTGAGAGGTCACCAAAGGTTGTTGAGTTTGTTTATTAAATATCTTACTGTTCGTAGAGGAAAATGGCTGAATGTTAACACATATAAAGCCAAGGATTTCATCATACATTATTTTTATCTTATTTACAATCTTTGTATATTATTATTTCTATGTTGTATATAGAGAAAGAAAGTGAAGAACTTTATTATAATTTTGTATACTAAATCTGTTTACTATAATATTGAGAATGTTTACTATATATCCAATAAATAAAGGCGCTCATTCTCAACATAAATATATTAATTTTTAAGAGTTAAAACGCCAATTTTCTCATTTACTTAGTGAATACTCTCATAAGTAAATCTAATTTATCCTTTTTATTTCTTATAGTCCTAATAGATCATGGATATCGAGATATAGAGAAATTCTCTATATTCAATCAATTTATTTTTAAAATATTTTATCCCAACAAAACCATTTTTAGTTTGAACTATCAAAAAATTTACGCATAATAAATTAATTGGTATTAACTAAAATCATTAGTTATTACAAAAGAAAGAAAAAAAAAACAATATGTTTATTAATTGTCACATTATGTAGAAAAAGCAGAAAAAGACACATTAATCAGCATAAAATAATAGAGAAAAGAACATAAACTATTTTTAGGCAACATATACCCAATTATTTTCTGATCTAAACTTCCTAACTTAATAAATCACATCCAATATACATTATTTTTATTGCTATCATAATACCTTTTGTTTTACTTTAATATACAGTATTTCTACTGTTAGCAAAAGTCCCCCCCTTTTTTAAATTAACTATAATCAATTGTTCGAGCTATAAACTACATACTTCCTTGAGTATTGTCCTATATATTATATATTTACCTAATATCTCTACCTGTGCTAGTATATGCTGCTTTTATTTATTCATATATAATTAGCTTCTCCTGGAATTTGAGGATTCTCTTACATCATCACCATCATCATTGATAGTGCTGTCCCCTTTTAAAGGTTGTGATCCAAAAAGACAATTGCAATCTACAAATTGTTGCTTTTACACAATATCGGACAATATATTCAAAGATATGCAAATGAGATATTTACCACCAAAATATTCTTCTGTAATCACACTATAGAATCTTCATAGATCAACTTAGTGATTACGTTAATTTATCATTTTAACTTGATCTATAGGTTAAAGTTAACCTATATTGATTGTTTTGGAGTGTTTTCCACAAAACCCTTATTTCAAATAGCTATAAATTATTGAACAAAACATAGAACATTATTTCTTACCCAATCTTTTCCCTTATAATGTTATACATACATCTATCTTTTAAATTTATACCAATTTTTTCTTTTTTACAACGGACTATCATTTTTCCACTCTTAAGTTCAAACCCCCTGTAGGTCAAAGTTCTTCATATAGAAAAACTTAGTTATGTAAAACAAAAATAAAAACACAGAATGACACTGATACGCCACTATTTGTATCTTCAAACAATGAGACATCCAAGAATAGAAACATTCATCCATACAATTATTTATCATTAAGAATAAGCAAAAATTATATACAGTAACATTTTCACTTACTAAGCTTACTCTTTTTTTGTTTTTTTTATTTAATGCCCTTTTCTAATAAATAATAAGCTGTTTAATAATATATGGTCATAAATAAGATGTAGCAAAGAAAAATCAATTGATACAATGAACAAAATGATTAGCAATTAATCACAAGAAAAACCCAAACAGAACGATACATCCTATGATACAGGTTCAAATAACCGTATTTTCAACTATTTTTCTTATTTTTTCCATGAAAAATTCAGGATCTCTTTGCATTAAATAACTCATCTAAATCTTTGACAGGATCATTAGACTTCCCTAAAATAAAATCAAGAGGAAGTTGTTTGGAATAATTTAATTTTCCATTTAAATGCTCTTTGACCAAATCAGCCATACCCTTAATAAATGTCTTGTTCCCATTCAATGAACTGCATCTTTTAAATTTATGAGCATATGGAGATTCTTTAATAAGACCTAAATCAATTTCATGTAGAGTTTCGATGTGATCTGAAGTAAAAGCAATTGGGACAAAAAGTAAACCATCACATTCGGGACCCAAAAATTCAGAAATCTTAGCAGTTTGAGCACCGAGCCATGGTTTAGGGCCAACTTGTGATTGCCAGCATAATCTATATGGGTTTTTAAAATTCAAGGATTCCATTATCTTATAAACAGAGGCTGCTACTTCAGCTGGATATGAATCACCAGTATTCACTACATCCATCGGTAATGAATGTGCAGAAAATAATAAAATAACTTTATCTCTAACTTCTTCTGGAAATTCCATTAACTTCCTGTTAATATTTTCGACAAAGGCATTGATTAACCCAGTATTGGTTGGCCATCTATCTATTAGAGACCATTGAATTTGTCTATTAGGATCTAATTTCTTCACCTGTCTCCATAATTCATTAATTGACGAACCTGTTGTAGAATATGAGAATTGAGGATACTGAGTGAACGCAACTGCTCTTTTAACGCCATCTTTCAACATTTGCTGGTATGTAGTCTCTGTTAAAGGCTTGGCATAACGGAAGGCAACATATGGTTTGTGTGGAGCAGTCTCAGGATTAATTTCATCCAAAATTTTACATACCTCCGAGGCCTGATATTCTGACCAACGACGAATGGGTGAACCACCACCAATTTCAATATACTGTTTTTCAATTTTTGGCGTTCTAAACTTGGATATCCATTTAGCAAACATAGGTTGGTACTTCTGAGATATTGGAATCAAATCATTATCTGCAAATAATTCATATAAAAAATCATGTGTTTCTTCAACAGTGGATGGACCACCCATATTCATGAATACAATCCCGGTTGGTGACTTGTTTTTAACGATTGAATTACTAGAAAAATATTTCGAAAAAGTTTTTATAGTTACCGAAGATATGTTAAACTGTGAACTTAAACATTGTCTTTGAAACAATAGTTTCATATTGCTTGCTACTAACAGATTCATCCTTAACCTTTACACACAATATTGAATTATTTATTGATATACTGCTCCCCTATAAAAATCGCAAACCGAGTAAATTAGGACCAAAATATCATGAGTTAATTAACTAACCATCGATCATTTAATGGAAGAAGCTATGATAGCCAAAAGAGACAAAGAAGCTAGACCAAAAAATGTTCAATATGATATTTTGACGTCAAACAAGCAACTATACCTTATATATATATATATGAATATATATGCCTATACTAAAAAAATACTGGGGTTTCCTTAGTAATTCGTGGCATTATAATTTTCTTTGATTAATAATAAAAAATAAAAATCAAAACAAAACAAAAAGAAAAGAAAGACACAAAAAAAAATAAACGATAAAACAATAGAAATTTACTTAAGAAAACAGAAGAGAAAGAGAGAAAAATAATAAAATGCCCTAATAAAAAAACAGCTAATGGCAGGAAAAAGATTTCAAAATAGTATAACCCCCATTTGTGCCATGTTATGAATATCTTTGAAAAGAAGTGGCGTTTTTTTAGAAATCCACATCCTGAAAAAATTGAGAAATGTCTCTCTTTTTCGTTTTTCTTTTGTGATCAAAAACAACTGAAATAAAATTTTTTGTAAGATTTTTTTTTCATTGATCAAAATATCCGACCCAGTGATTATTTATTTACTATTAATTGGTAGTGTGTATATCTAACATGAGTAAAAGGTTCAATAAAATGACTTTTTTATTTTTATTATTTAATCACCATACAATATATTAAAAAAAAATACTGACTGATGTTTTTTAGAAAAGGACATATTTTTTGATTTAGACTTTTTGGAAAAAAAAAATAGAAAAAAAGAAACAAGTAGAACCCTAATTATTCCAAAGATCGTGCACGTTAGTCAAGCAAGCTTAAGATAGATGATCCCAAGGAAAATTATACGCAGACACCAATATCGTGATGATAAGAAAGGAGAACAAAATTAAAAAAATTCAACAATTTATTAGAATTCCGAGCTTTATCTATTTGAGAATTCTCAATTATTCAACAGAGTAATTAGCTATTCATATATATACATATATATAAACACAATTCTATAGGTTATTCCTGGTGAACAAAATTCTAATCCAAACTGAAGGTTACCTTTCCTCGGCTCTATTCCATCATCTTCCTCTCTATATAAGTTCAATCAAGAATCCCAATCTAATTACAATAATTTCTTGCAATTGAACCACTGCTCTATTATTGTTTTGTTTTTATTAGAGTAGGAAGAAGAATAGAACAAAACTTTACCATCAAGGATAAAAAAAATGTTTAATCCGATTAACGATGGCATTAATAAACTTACTGAACTTTATGGAATCGATAGTTTCACATTAAGATATGCTATTTGTCTACTTGGATCTTTCCCATTAAATGCCATCTTGAAAAGATTACCAGATAAAAGAATTGATTTGAAATGCTATTTCATCCTATTTATATCTGCAATTTATCTTTTTGGTGTCATGAATCTAGCCACTGGTTTCAGAACACTTTTCATTAGTTCTATATTCACTTATTTAATAACGAGATTCTACAAATCTAAATTTATGCCATACTTAAATTTCATCTTTGTTATGGGTCATTTAGCACTAAACCATATCTATGCCCAATATTTTACTGACTCTTCTGCCATTGAGGCAGCAAGTTCAATAGATATCACAGCTGCACAAATGGTTATGGTTATGAAATTAACTTCTTTTGCATGGTCCTACTATGATGGCTCTCTTTTAAGCAAAAATGAATTTGAAAATAATTTGACTGAATATCAAAAACAAAAAGCTTTACAAAGACACCCATCCTTATTAAATTTTATGGCATATGTGTTTTTTTACCCAACTCTATTAACAGGTCCTAGTTTTGATTATTGCGATTTCCAATCATGGTTAAATTGTGAAATGTTTAAGGATCTACCTCATTCAAAGAAACCTGTAAGTAAGATTATCAACCCTGGCCAACAAAGGCAGATTCCAAAGAATGGGAGATTAGCTTCATGGAAAGTTATTCAAGGTTTAATTTGGTTAGCATTAAGAAGTTATTTACCACAATTTTGTAATATTGAGTATATGTTAAACAAGGAACAATTCATGTCAAGAAGCTTTATATATAGAATTCATTACATGTATTTCCTTGGATTAATAGCCAGATTTAAATACTATGCAGCATGGACTATATCTGAAGGTGCATGTATTCTATGTGGATTAGGTTATAATGGGTATGATCCGGCGACCAAAAAAATTAAATGGAATCGTGTTCAAAATATAGATATTTGGAATGTAGAAATGGCACAAAGTACAAGACAAGCCCTAGAAAGTTGGAATATGAATACAAATAAATGGTTAAAATATTATGTGTATTTACGTGTCACCAAAAAGGGTCACAAGCCTGGTTTTAGAGCTACATTGTTTACATTCATTACAAGTGCATTCTGGCATGGGATCAATCCTGGTTATTATTTGACTTTTGCTACCGGTGCATTATACCAAACATGTGGCAAATTTTATAGACGCAATCTAAGACCTATTTTCCTTGCAGAAGATGGAAAAACTCCATTATCCTATAAGTGGATATACGATCTTCTATGTATATATGTCATTAAATTAGCTTTTGGCTATTTAGTTCAACCATTTTTAGTATTGGACTTCAAAGGTTCAATGCAAGCATGGTCGTCAGTTTATTTCTATGGACATATAATTATAGCCTTGTCATTTTTCTTATTCAAGGGACCATATTCTAAACAAGTAATTCAATGGTGTAAACTAAAACAACCTAAGGAGATTGCATTGATAAAACAGAAAGAACTAGAGAAAGATATTACTACCAAAGCTTCTGTCTTGGGTGACATTTTGAAAGAAAAGTTGAAATATGAAAAGGAAGAAGAAGAAAGGCAAAGAAAACAACTAAAACCCGAGAATGATGAAATGAATCTTGGTATTCCAACTATTAATTTTGATGAAATTGAAAATGCAAAGAAGGAATGGGACGAGTTCACAAAGTCGTATAACGAATGGAGGCAAGAACGCGGTCTTGAGATTGAAGAAGAAAATTTAATGAAAGCTTTCGAAGATTTTAAAAGAGAGATTCAAACTGATAATTTAAAGAGAAGAACAAGTTTTAGTGAATACTTGCCTTCCAAAGAATAATGAGATTTAAGTAAGAAGCCTACGCTCCCTCTCTCTTTTTTATGTAGCATACAGAGAATAATTCGAAAGATATAATTAGTGTATAATGCATTATATGAATAAACATCTTTTATATGTATATATGTATCTTTAAGTTATGTTTATATTTATCTATGTATATATATACACATATACAGATTTTTACCATGATAATGCACATCAAGCGCAATATAATAATTAGATATCATATAGTACTAATCTTCAAAGTTCATCTGGACTAAATAAATCTAAATCGAGATCCATCGCATCTTCAGCGTTTTCATTTTCATTGTCCTTTTCATTCTCACTATTAACATGTGCACCAAAAACGAAAGACGACCTTCTTTCCCTTTTTTCATGATTTTCTGTACTAAATTCATCTCCACTCTGCCTTAGTCCTTGCGCAGCATCATTATTTGAAATAGTATTAGAATTTGTTATTGCACTATTATCATTATTATCTGTAGATATTTTAGTCAATTCATTTGAATATAAATTAGCCATAGCTAACATACCTCTCCTTAAAGCATCCTCTGCAGGCCAAATAAAATTGTTTGGTCCAATAGAACCTTTATCAAAAGTCGGTGGAGCTTTGGTAAACTTAGACAATTTTGTAGCATACTCCAATAAATCCCTTGAATTGATCCTCTGTCTCTGTTCTAAGATAGCATTCATCTCAAATTCAACCTGTTGCAATGTTGGCATGCTATTCAATTGATCATGACATTCATTTAAAGTGTCTAAGATGTTTTTTATTTTCAAATCGATCTCCTGACTTTCCTCATTTAATTGTGTCAATTTTGTATCAATTTGATCGAACTTGTTGAATTCGCCCAACGATTGAAACAGATTTCGGTCGACAGCTATGAGTTCCTTAGCTAGTTGTATATCAGGTTTATATTTATCTACAGATTCCACGAGACTATTTAAAGTGTTTTCATAGGAGCATATATTCTTATAAAGTTCGATATCTTTTATGTTGTCTCTTGAATCACCGTATTTTGATGTTATATTCAAATAGTTTGAAGTTTTCTTTGAATAAATATTATTAACATCTGCTATTGAGACTATTGATGAGGATTTAGCATGTCCTTGGACAAATTCTGTCGTCATAGTTCTTTTATTTTTTATTTATTTTTCTTAAAAAGCAGTTGAAAATGTTTAGTCCTAAATTAATTCTGATATTTTATATGGGTATGGTTGAATAGACTACTTCCTTATACTAGACATGCTATTTCTTATTAATACTAGTACTTGTGCTCTTATTAGTATTATGCTTATTTACATATAACAGTGAAATAATAAAAAAAAATTAAAAAAAAATATATATATATGTGTGTGTGTACATGCATATGAAGACATAGCAAGAGATAAATGAAAGATAGAGAAACAAACAAAGTACATACTTTGTATCACCCAAGCAGGTAAACCATACATACACACATACACACACACATATATATGTATATGAAGTATAGAATGTATATAATAAAAATGTATTTTTAAATTTATTCTTTTTTTCTTTATATATTTTTGTTAAAAGGAGAACGCAAGAAATGGCTTAATTTCCAATCTCAGGTGTTCTAGGAATCCCCATATTATCAAACTGTTGTTGATTTGCAGACTCCAAACCTCTTTTCCAAAGATCATGGTTTTCGCTAATTGAATACGATATTGTCCTTTCCATATACCCATCAGGGCCTGAATATGTTAACGCTTCAATTGCGTCTTCCAGAAGGACAGCCTTCCCAACAGTTAGACCTTCATTACCTGCAGGATACCTAGTATTAATAATATGGAGATGGAAATGATAATATGAAGGTTGATAATGGATAAAGATCCTCAATTCATCGGAGCGGACCATAAAATTGTAGCAAGCAGGGACAATGGATCTAATTTTTTTATTCAATTCGATCAACCATTCTCTATGAACAGGTTTCAAGTCTCTTAAAGATCGGATATCGTCTCTATAGACCAATGCAACAAGGTATAAAGTTTCAATGTTGACGCCGTCCCATCTTGTATCAGGCAAAATCAAAAAACCTCTTTCCCTATCTTCATCTTCTTTATATAAAACTCTATCGTTATCAGAACCCTCGTACAAGATCCTATAGATCCACTTGAGACTCTGGTTATCGTTTACTTGTTCATCGATATAAGGCTTGACTACCTGCATGTATGTGGCGGGAGTTTCGATTACAAAATGCAAATTCTGTTGATCGAATCTTTTTATGTGAATATAATTGGCGGGCCAAATAAGGTTGATTCTTGCAGTTGGACTTTTGTTTAGATCTTGTTTGATAATACCAACGCCCCAATAATAGACGTCATTTGAAGTAATTTGTTTAATATCTTGTAGACCTTGTACGCAAGAATATTCATTTTTACAATGATAATATAATGGGGGCGGTGATTCTGCTTTTAATTGATTGAAGAGCGAGGCATGAGCATAGGGATGTGGATGGGAATGAGGATGGTGAGATGCTTCTTTACTATCTCTAGTGCTTTTATTGTTTCTGTTGCTATAAATCGATGGTTTTTGTTGTTGTAGTTGAATGTTTTCTTCGAACATAAAATGGGTCTTTTCTACTGTCAAAATTGCATTTTTACCATCGATTGTGCCAAGTAAAGAGATGACTTTGAATTGTGGATTTGAATTAAGCACTCTTTTATAATTGAACCTAGAAATCAATGTTCTAATAGTATCTTTCGAATCACTAGACATCTGGGGAAAGCAGGGAGAGAGAAGAAGAAAGAAATATTAAGAAGACAATAAAACAGGTAAACACAAACACAAACACAAATACGACCTACAATGGGACCAGCCAATATCTGAAAACTTTGACAAAAAAAAAATCCTGCTTATATAATATACTACCAAGATATATAGATATATATTTATCCTCCCCATACATATGCAAAAAGAATACTGTATCCAGGCATATTCACCTGCACCCATGTACATATCTACATACACACACACATATATATATGTGTGTATATAAATATCCCTATATATGATTCCCTCCTCCCTTAACTTCACTCCACAATCCTTACATGCACAAATCTCACACAAAGCCATCACAAAGTCATCCCCTCCTTCTGCAACAACACATACTGTAATGCAATGCTTTGTTAGTGTATTGCTTATGTTTTTGATAATACCCTTCTCATCCCTCTTTCCCTCGTCCCCTCAACCCAATAGTCCCTTCTGCTCTCTAAAACTCTTCCCGTCTTTACATCTGTGTCGCTGTTTAAAATACATTTTACAATATGTATTATATCATACTATATATTGTATATTACGGTATATATATTGTGGTGTGGGTGTGTGGGTGTGTGTAGGGGGAAAAAGGGGACTGTTTCTCTTTTTTTATTATTTCTTTTTTTTTAAGGAAGAGTCACGTGGTCTGGTGCATGGGTGTTTTGACGTCGTCGTTTGTTGTTTGTCGTTTGTTTTATTTTTTATTTCTTTTTTGCCCGTACTAAACGACTGGGCTCGATGAGTTCGAATGGACACTGGTCAAATTTTCTATGTATGTATGCGTGTTGTGTATAGGAACCACTAGCTTGTACAAAGTTTGAAATAACAGTTTATATATACATATAATATAACATGATATTATACAATATTACCTTGGTAAAGATATGCCTTATATCTGTATAACTCATATTTTTTTGTTTGCATTTATATCTGTTTATATATATAGATATTTACAACACAGGTGAGAAAAAAATAAAACTGTAACAACATTCTACAAAGTCTACAACTGGGGCACAGAAGGAAGAAGAAGGCAATAATAATAGTAATAGTAATAATAATAATAATAATAATAATAAAAGAATGAATACTACAGTACCCCAGGATAATAATATTGCTCAAAATGATATCAACAGCACATGTGAGAATGACCCTGTTTCAAACCTTGAATTTAAAAATGGTCCCAGAAGAAGCTACCTAGTCTCTCAACCAAACAACAGACTAGAGAAACTGAGATCAATAAGAACCTTTAAGGAACGATTGACTGTTTTATTTCTCATCTTATTTACCGCGGTTGTCAGATTATATAACTTACAATATCCAGATTCTGTCGTCTTTGATGAAGTTCACTTCGGTGGTTTTGCTTCTAAGTACATTAAGGGAATCTTTTTCATGGATGTACATCCTCCACTAATTAAAATGGTATTTGCTGCAATCTCATATCTTTGTGGGTTTGATGGGAGTTTCCAATTTGAGTCGATTGGTGAAAAATACCCTTCAAATACTCCTTATGTCCCAATGAGATTGTTTTCTGCCATCCTAGGTTCCCTAACTGTCCTTCTAATGTATATGACCCTAAAATATTCTGGTGTCTCTATATTCGTCTGTCTGTTGATCACTGTCTCTTTTGTATTAGAAAACTCCTTTGTTACCATATCTCGCTACATCCTTCTGGATTCACCACTGATCTTTTTCATCGCTTTAACCGTTTATTCCTATAAAAGATTCGAACTCTATCCAATTGACACTTGCAAATCTTACAAGGCTCTCTTATCCACAGGTATTGCATTGGGTTTAGCTATTTCCTCCAAATGGGTAGGCCTTTTCACCCTCGCTTGGGTAGGTCTATTGTCAATCTGCAGAATATGGCTGTCTATAGGAGATCTCTCTTTAAAACCAAACAAGATTATTAAACTGATCCTGGCTAAATTCATCTGTTTGTTAGTTGTTCCATTCATAATCTATTGTATGGCTTTCAAGATTCATTTTGATACACTTACCAACGCAGGGGATGGTGCAGGATTTTTTTCCTCCGCTTTCAGATCTACTCTTCATAACAGCAATGTCCCAGCAAACATCTTGAGAGACGTAGGCATATCATCTGTGGTCACTATTCGTCACGTCGGCACGATGGGTGGCTATCTACACTCGCATCCTCATCCCTTAGAAACAGGGTCCAAACAACAACAGATCACTTTATATCCACATCTGGATGATAACAACAAATGGATTATTGAATTGGCATCAAACCCCGGTGTTACTGTCCCAAACTTCGAATCCTTGAAGGATGGCACTCAAATCAGATTGTTGCATCCTTTGACATATTGTAGACTGCATTCACACGATTTCCCTGCTCCTGTCTCGGAATTTAGTGATTGGCAGACTGAAGTGTCTTGCTACGGGGCACATGGATTCGATGGTGATGTAAACGATACCTGGGTCATCGAAATAGATAAACAAGCAACAACAGACCCTGAGGCTAAACAGAGGGTTATTGCTTTGAAGACTATTTTTAGACTAAAACATTTTGTCAGTGGTTGCTACCTTTTCTCACACGAAGTCAACTTACCTGCATGGGGGTTCAACCAACAAGAAGTTACCTGTGCCACTCAGGGGAAGTTCCATTTGACTCAATGGTACGTGGAAGATAACGAGAATATGAACCTCGACGAATCAAAGTCACCAAGGGTATCTTATGAAAAACCATCTTTTTGGCGCAAATTCATCGAATCTCATCAAAAGATGTGGCACATTAACAAGAATTTAGTGGCATCTCATCTTTATTCTTCCTATCCAAGTTCATGGCCTTTCTTATCAAGAGGTATAAGTTACTGGTCTGAAGGAAACAGACGTGTCTATCTACTAGGTAACGCCATCATGTGGTGGTCTGTTTCATTATTTGCCTTGTTCTCCATTGGAATCTTTATGGTGGAATTGGTTTCATGGCAATTAGGTGCCACTAGCATTTTTAAGGATCCACATATTATTAATTTCAACCTTCAAACCTTTCATTATCTATTGGGTTTTACTATCCATTTCGTTCCATCATTCTTTATGAAAAGACAACTGTTTTTACACCATTACTTACCTGCTTATTATTTTGGTATCTTGGCATTAGCTTGTGGATTCAATCTGCTAGTAACATATTTTAACAGAAGAACAAAGATAGTAGGAATGCTAGCATTAATCATTTTTACTGGTGGTTGTATCTATTTTTTTAACACTTATAAACCATTAATTTATGGATTATCATGGTCTAGAAAGGAATGTAAGAAATCGAAATGGTTACTTAATTGGGATTATGATTGTAACATCTTTTAAAACTCTCATAAAGAATATCAATAAAATAATTAATTGATTATAGATTATGTATATTTTTATTTAAAAAAAAAAGAAGTATTGAGCTAATAGAGTATTATATACTATTGGTTGGGTTAATCGGGGATGGTCTGTATACACATACTTTCCTACTACAATTGGACCTTTATTATCTACACACTCTTTAGAAGTCTCTTATCGGTACAAAAATAGGGTATCCCTTTACACGAAATATTGCAATTTTTTTTTCCTTCTTTTCCTCGAAGAATTTTTTTTTGTTTGTTTATTTACATTTGTCCATCTTCATATCGATATATGTTATAAAGAATACTGGAATCCATTGTAATAATGATTTAGAGAGGGAAATATTAATGCAATTATGAATATTATTGATTGTATGTGTTTAGTATCAGCTAAAGATTTGATAAAAACGCAAACTAAAACAAAATATAACAAGTTATTGACATAGTTAAAATTTTTGCTCCTTTCACACAGTTTTCTTTTTTTTTTTGTTAGGTTTCTGATCCAATTATATTGATAATGTCTGTGAAGGGTAAAAAATCAGTCAATAAGAAGGTAGAGGATACCTCCTTGGAACCAATTGAAGTTAAAAATGGTCCTGTGAGACCTTATTTGGGTATCAAGATAACAGATGAATTTGTAAATAGTCGTATTTCCAATACTCTTTTCGATAAATTATACCTTATTGTTTTGGTGATAGTTGGTTCTGCCGTCAGATCACACAGCCTGACTGCACCAAATAATGTCATTGATAAAGAAAGCATTGTTGGTGGTATCATCTCTAATTATATTAATCGTGAATTTTTCATTGGGACTACCCCACCAATGGCCAATTTGTTCTACTTTTTAGTTTCATTCTTTAATGGATTTGATGGTCAATTCAATTTTCAACCAGTTGGTTATCCATATCCAAACAAAGTCCCATATGCTACCTTTAGATTATTTTCTTCTATATTAGGTTTATTGACTGTGGTTTTGTTCTATTCCACTTTACGCCTCACTGGTGTTAAAAGGTTTGTTGCCTTTGCAATCTCTTTAGCTTTGGTCTTTGAAAATGGTTATGTGACAATTTCTCGTTACATCTTTAATGAATCTCCATATCTTTTCTTCATTGCATTGGCTATCTACCTTTTCAAAAGATCTCAGTTATATTCAATGGGATCTTGCAAATCGTACATTTCTCTGCTTGGTTCTGCCATTGCCCTAGGCTGCACTATTTCTACTAAATGGGTTGGTGCTTTTGTTATTATCTGGGTTGGTATCAGTTTAGTTTTAAAATTCATCTTAAACATTGGTGATCTATCTAAACCTGTCTGTTCATCTATAAAACATACTACGATAAAAGGTTTATTATGCTTAATTATTCCAACTTTTGTTTACGTGTTATCATTTTACACTCATTTCCAATTAACTACTCATATTAGTAAGGATGCAGAGATTTTATCCTCAGAATACAGATATGAATTGATTGGTAATAATATCCCAGAAAACATTAAAGCTCCTGTTGGTCTTGGTTCCAGAGTTACTATTCGTCATGCTGGCACATATGGTGGTTATTTGCATTCTCATGATATCTTTTACACCGCTGGTTCCAAACAACAAGAAATTACTTTATATCCATACGAAGATCCTAAAAATGAATGGTACCTTGAGTTATATTCTGAATCAGGTAAACCAATCACCAATTTTACCGAACTGGTTGATGGTACCAAGATTAGATTGAATCATAAAACCCATTGTAGATTACATTCACATGACCACAAACCTCCAGTCTCTGAAAACAGTGATTGGCAAAAGGAAGTATCATGTTACGGTTACGAAGGTTTTGAAGGTGATGGTAACGATGATTGGATCATTGAAATTGACAAGGATAAGTCTGTAGAAGGTGCCAGAGAGGCCGTTAAAGCCATTAATACTAAATTTAGATTGAGACACGCTATGACAGGTTGCTACCTTTTCTCTCACGATACTCGTTTACCAGCTTCCAGTTACAATCAACAAGAAGTTACATGTGCTACTCAAGGGATCAAAGCTTTAACTCTATGGTACATTGAAAGTAATGACCATGACTTCTTGCCAGATGATACTGAAAGGGTCTCATATCCAAGATTATCCTTCTTACAAAAATTTGTTGAGATTCATAAAAATATTGTCTACGTCAGTAAGAAAAAAGATATTCCAAATTCCTATAATTCAAACCCATTATCCTGGCCATTTATGTCACGTGGTGTAGAATTAGCCTATCACAATTTTGAAAATGTCTATTTCATTGGTAATGCAATCATGTGGTTTGCAGTCACTTTATTTATCATAATCTTTGGTCTTGGCTTTGCATGTGAGTTAATTGCATGGCAAACTGGTAAACCTATCTTCCAAACAACTTATATTATCGACTTCCACATCCAAACAGTTGAATATTTACTAGGTTATGCTATCTATATGGCACCATACATTCTTTTGGGTGGGAATTATTTTATCTATGAATATCTTCCTGCTTATTACTTTGGTGCTCTGGCGTTAGGTCATGGTTTTGATGCATTATTTGTTATCCCATCCAACAAGATTATCAAACAAGCTGCTTATGCAGTTATTACCTTGTTTGTTATCGGCAACATTTATTTCTTCCAAAACCGTAAGACTTTGGCTTATGGTTCAATGTGGTCACATGACTCTTGTGAAGCTTCTAAATGGTTATCCAGTTGGGATTATGATTGTAATGGATACACCTTAAGTGTAGATCAGTACCAAGCACAAAAGTCTCAAAGAGTTAAGACTGACGATGTTGCCAGTTTCAGTTACGGTTTTCCAGCTCCTACTTCTGAAGCTGAAATGATCCAAGATTCTATAGTAGATAAAATGATTAATGAAGCAGAAAGTGAAGCTGTGTTTGTTGATTCAAACGGAAATAAACTTGATCCAGAGGAAGTTAAGAGAATGGTTAAGGAAGAAGGTGCCATTTTAAAGAAGAGCACAATAAATGAATAAACTGAATGAACTATAATCATCATGGTATCTATGTATAGTTAATATAAATTGGTCACTGATGATAACAAGATACTTGTTTAATCTCTATTGAGTTTAACTTTGATTATAGGTGCGATTTTTCTTATTTATTTTATTGTTTATTAATTTTGAATATTATTGTGAAATAGCATAGATCCATCTTTGAAAAAAATGTATTTTCTTAAATAGTTTTTCTATATATGATTATATAACTGTTTCAAAACAAATCTATTATATCATTTGGTCTATCATTGTTTGAAATCTCCAACCATAGAGACCATAAGCGATTAAAGATACGTTGGTACATGTGTTCACAAGTATCTATGCATTGGTAATATGAAAGTGATTGAATTTTACCAGTTGCTAGCAGAAAAATTTTTTGAAATTCTGCGGTAGAGAAAAAAAATAAAATATAGCTTGAACTGAAAAATAAAGACTAAAGAAGACAAAAGTGCAACCAACGATGACACTTTATTAATGATAGTTTATATCACTACTTAAACCAACAGTATTGAATAATTTCATTTTACCAAAAAATAGTCAAACTGAGTTTTCTTAATCAAATTTGATTAAGGAATCGAAGTGATCAGATTAAATTTGGTTTAAAAATATCATATTTCAATATTCTGAATTTTTCTCATTATCTCTTTTGATATACACATACATACATCTACATAATGACTAATGATGGTTGTATTGATCAAGATGCTTTTTTGAAAAAAGCTGAAGAATATTTTAAAGAAGCTAATAAGAAAGCAATTGCTGTACGTTTTACAATGAAAAGATATATTAAACCAGATCTTGTTGATGGCAATCCAGAATATAATACCGATGAATCACCTAAGTATGATATTTCAAAGGAATCAGGAATTAAAGTAAATGATACTATCTCTCAAAACACATATAATATACTTGTTAGAATATCTTATGGTGTTAAACTCAACAAACATAAATGTTCTACAATTGTACCTGTGGATAGTTTTGATAAATTTTGGTTAAATTACTCTGCAGTAACTAAAAATAATATGGATGGTCTTATCAAAAAGAAGAAAAAGAAAGTTGGTAAATCAGTAAGCAAGAATAAAATTAAAAAAGGCCAATAAGTCGATTTTTTTATATAAAAGAAAAGCAATGAATAATGATCGTTTCAATTAGATGATTTTTCCAAATGCACATTTAACTTTATTATGTATTCTCATTTAAACATATATATATATATATATATATATATATATATATATATAACAAAAAATATATTTCCGATATCCACAAAATTTGTATTATATTGTTTACTATCAATTGATTCTTTATATAGATTCAACAATAATGTTACCCGATGGATATATTCCAGGCTCATTCCCAATGAGTGTTGATGGAACAAGTTCCTTCCTTGGAACAGGTATGATCAGTTTAAACTTATATTGATGTTGATATCCATTTGGTGGATTGTCTCCATATTCATAACGATCTCCTGACTCCATAATATTATTTTGTGTCAATTCAACAAACGCATAGATTTCCTCGATAGGTAATGTTGGATCAAAATTTCTTACTATTCTAGAACTATTATTATGAAAATTATTCATTTTAATGGCTATTCTACTTATATCTTGTGCTTGTGATCTAGTAGGTTCCGGATGTAATTGACTTTTTCTCCACAATAACCACTGCCTCTTTAATAATTCTTGATCTCTTTGTTCTTGCTCTCTACGAAGTGCCTCATTTCGTTGGCGTTCTCTTGCTTGATCATGTAAAAGTGACTGTCTGAATCTCTCATCTTGTTGTTGCCTGATTAGTCTATCTCTTTCTATGTTTTGTCTTTGTTCAATCATCTGCAATAGATCAGGATATTTTTGAACAAGCACAGACTCTAAATCTCGTGGATTAAACTCTTCAATAGGACCATTAAAATTGAATATAATCTCTGCAGTTTCATTACTTCTCCTAGACAATATACCGAAATAAGGGAATTTACGTACCTTTAAAGCATTGGATACTTGCAACCCTTCCGATGTAGTGACATCACCAAACCAAAGTAACATCTGATAACTTTTAATACAATTAATAACTCTTGGAGAACAAAGGATATGCTTCACATAACTCATCTTATCACAGAGTAATGGATTATGTAGATATATTAAACCGAATTTACATTCAGATGAGCAATTCTCTAATAACGCTAGGTAACTGTTTTGGATCAATTGAGCTGGAATCACAGATGTCTCGGAATTATATACTGAGCCAAATGTGTAATTTGATGATCCTAAATGTAAATCATTATGAACATCTTCATTTGAAATTTGGTCTAATAAAACTTTCATATTTGTATTATAATCATAATATTGTCTATGACAATGAGCATAAAGTTTATTAAAATTTAGAATCGGTTTCAACAATGAAAGAATCGTCAATATAATCGTAACCAAATAATAAAGAATGTACAAAGGAATTTGTAAAACTATTCTTAGAAAACTTGTTGTACTATTATTTGCAGGTGGAACATCCTGTGACTGAGTGGTGTTATTGTTACTTGAATTAGATACGTTTATTGTGGGAAAACCACCAGGTATTGAATTCAAAAGTTCTTCTTCGTCACCTCTTTGTCTATTTAATCTAAATATATTCATACTGCAAAAAAAAATATGAGTATTAAAAGCAGTCTTATAGTGATAGATTAAGAAGTATTCTCTCCTTATTTTCTTTTAATGATCTTTGTATTAATATTAGGGGATAAGAATGATACTTCGATATGATATGGCTTGTCTGTTTTAACGTATCAATTAATCTTTGAAACAGCAAAATAAGAGTCTTCTATTCATCCTCTGAATCTCAACATTATTCTCTTACTATTTTGTGTCTTCATCCTTCTTTTTACTACTCTGGATTCCTTGTATGTTATTTAGTTTTATCGCTTTCTTGAACAAGTTGAATATATTTTTTCTTGCTTTTTAGCTACAATTGCATAGATAGAAAAATTCAAAAAAGTACAAGAATGTCATCTTAATGCATAGTAGGTAAATGAATGTATTACAACGAAATGATTAGCATGACACAGGTGATTCAATGGTCTACACACATTCATATTTTTTACATATTTGCCTGTTTATTATGTATTGTAATTTCGACATGCATTGTTTGATTGAACTAATCAAAATAGTAACTACATATACATATTAATATAGGATTATACTAAACTTCTATAAAGGTGTATTGAAATGTTTTACAAAATTCAATAAATCTGTATTAGGAATACCATATACAGGATTAATTGAATTCAAATTAGATAAGGGATAAGATAGGGAATTGTTCTGTTTAGATCTGATTAAGATAGTTGATATATTGTTTGTTATATTGTCTTCTTGTAAAGAATATTCACTTTCACTTATGGATAAACCTAGTAACACATAATTTGTATGATAAAAATCAGGGCTTTTTCCAGGTTTATCGATAAGTCCACCACCTTGTTCATTTTGACAACATTGACATATGTATTCATGTAATGCATTTTGATCAATACAACATCCATAACCGGCTGCTTCTATCATGGCGGCAGTACCACCGATCCAAAAACTGTAACATCCATCAACTAATTTATTCGACCTCCCATTTAAGCCACGCTCTTCAAAACACTGTCGAGAACTACACCACTGTATCAATGCTTCAACATTAATCTTATCTAATTGTTTTAGTATCATCAGACTGGCTACAGCACAAAATGTGTACCCGCCATGTGCTTCATCTACCTGTGGTGTTGCACCAAATCCGCCTTCATAAGTTTGACAATTAATAAGATATTCTAATACACCATCACATAACTGTGGTGTTAAAACATTTAGCATAGAGGCTACACTCAATGCACAATATACACCTCTTGTGTCACTTTCACCAACTTCTAAATATGTTTTAAATCCACCATCAGCTTGTTTTAGCTTTAATAACCATTCATAGATTGCTTTTCTGTTAATCTTGTCCCAACAGCCTTCAATATTATTACATAGTGATAGTGCATTGATGGCAGCGTAGGTACCTGCTATATGAGGAATTTGTCCAATACCACCACCGAAAGGACCACCTTCTGGTGATATTTCCAACAATTTTCTAGCAACCCTTCTCTGAAAATCTTCAGATAATGATTCTCGTGACAAAACTTTCAGAGAATTGGCAATCCAATATAGCATCCAGGGTTGTGATGCATCCAGAGCTATTAAATTTGGAGGGAACTGTGTAGTAAATGCAAAATAAAGGTAGTTTAAATGAGAATCCTTCAACAAAAGTTTAGGCTCCTTCATTAACAGTTCTATGCATGATTCAATTACTTCTTGACGATCAAGTATGGTTTCTGTTTCAATTTCTTTCATGATTTCTTCAATAGAATGTAAACTTTCTTGTTCTGGTAATGACTTGTATTCTTCTTCATCTTCATTGAGGACTCTTTCTATAACTTCTCGTTTCTTTCCAAGTAGTTTAGCTATGCTATTTTGAATTTTAGTCATATTATTTCTATAATATATATATATATATATATGGGTGTGTGTGTGTGTATTTATGTGACGAGATTTTTAAAAGTTAAACTTGAAATGTATCAGCATGAAACAAAGTCTTCTTTCAATCACCTATTGTTTTTTATTTGAACAGGTTACAATCAATGTATTAAGAGATAGAAGAGTGTGCTATAGGCAACTTAAACTGCAAGGTTAGAGAGAAGAGTTTGTTGACCTTTGTAGAAATCAAATCCCCAGTTTTTACCGAAAGTGGTAAATTACACGATGTGCTAAACATGAGATTAAATCTTTTCAAACAACATTAGACAGCAATTATCCATCAGTCTATTACAGACACAACTATTAGTCTCCAGCATTCCAATTAATGGCATGTTTTAACTTTTTTTGAAAGATTTGGAGAAGCATGTAAAGCGATAAAAGATGAATATATAATAGTATATAATACGTCAACCATTTCATCGCAAGAGAGAGAAAAAGTGTAGGTAGGAGAGATGTTCTTTAAATTTACAAAAAAAAAGACAATTAATGTTGAAAAAGACAAGGAAAACGATGAAGAATTTACTGATTTTGATAATATGAATTACTTTAACTGGATTTATCATCTTATAAAGATGTCTCCATCTGATTTGTTGTTATTTTATAATGAAAAAGTGGAATTGGTGGATTGGGATAGGAAGGCTAGGACACTGGCACAACCATTGGGCCATGGGTTAACTATTTTAACATTCATCGTAAGATTTCTTCAAGACAATTTGATAAAACCTAATTATATGAATATATATGATACTTATACTGTAGAGACATTATTCGATTTTACCAAGTCAGACACTTTAAGGAAATATAATCTATTACCACAGGTCTCCAGTATTAACAATGACTATAACATGAATAATAGTGATAAGTCAGGAAATCAGTTTTATATTAAATTAGAAAAGTATAAATCCAACAATAATTGGTACTATAATAGTTTAAAGTGCCTTGATTATTTCCTTTTCTTATTACTTATTTTCATTGTCATTATAAACATATTCATAAGTATTTATTTTTTATTGGGACATTATAGATATTATTCCCTATTTTACACTCCAAAAGTATCCACTAATTCGCCAGATGTTCTTAGAAGACCTTTAAAGACTTTAATTGATAATGAGAACAAATTTTCACCCAAAATAACACCTCTTAGTATGGTCAAAAATTGCATCATTAAAATATTCAACAGAAAATATAGAGCCAAAAATTCAACTGATTCATTATCAGATAAAGATTACTATTATGAGATTAGGAAATGGGTTCCTACCAAATTTATCACCAACCTTTTCATGACCTTTTCACCCATTTCTTTGATTTTTATTTGTCTTTCACCAGTATCATTTTCTACACTATTTGCTATTTTGATAAACCAATATTTGTTTCAATTGATTTTAAATAAATATCAGAATAGGAATAAAGTTGATACAATCCTATTTAGTGCTGTTTTAGATGAATATTATATGAAAAGAGTTAAACCAGTGGTATCAAAGAAGTATCAAGATGTTCAAATCGATGCTACACCAAATGGTTCTGGCTTTATTAAATTTTATCCATTTTCTGTAGTAAGAAATAATGACATATTCAAAACTCACACATTGACTGGTGATTTAATACGGGAACGATATAATAAAAATATAAACGAATTTGAAGAAATTAAAGATAATATAAGAGGTCATAATGTGGTAACATATAAACCTGTGAATTTACAAAATGCACATTGAGGTCTAAATCAAAGTAAAAAAAACATTTATATATAAGAGTGGGAAAAAAATAAAGAAACTTCTTTGTACTTTTTTAAAATATAGTAGACTTAACAAAAGGTAGATCATTTTTGCACATATCGTATTCGATACTTGATGGAAAGAGAGCAGGACATTTATAGTTTTTCTCTTTTAATTTGAAAAATACAAGAGTCTGGTAATATTAGTATCACAATTTAGTGTCCAACATAATATATATCTTTTTTCAGACTTTCGTTTTAGATATTTGATATTTAATTTGTCAGTTGTATAAAAGGTACATCAGTTATTTTATCATTTGTATATGGATAATATGGTGTCAAGGAGTTCCTTCTATCTTCTTTATAATCAGAATCTATCTTTTTTAGAAAGAGTTTAGATACACATAGCTAAATAACTAACTCTTTATTCTTTGTTATTTTTTGTAGAGTATAGTTTATATTGTTCCCTCATCTTGACATATCCTAAATGTATTTTCCCTAAGAAATGATCGGCTAACCTTCTATCTGTGTCTAATCTAGATAAATACGCACCACAAACTTCACATACTTGTAATTTTTGTTGTGCACTTTGACCTATATTTTCTGTAATAAATTTAATCTTTTTGGCTATGACAACTCTTCTCTCTTGCAACTTTTCTAATTCTACAGATCGTCTCATTGCTCTAGACACTTGATTATGTTTTATCAGAATATTTATTTCTTGCATCATTAATCCAATTCTCTTGTCGATGACATCAATTTCCTTAGTAATGCTTTGAATCTTAGCTCTTTCTTCTGGGGTATGCTCTAATTTCTTTAACGCAATTTTAATCTGTCCATTACATTCGTTAATAATTTTGGATAAAATAATAAAATATTCTCTTTCAAACTCAGGGAACTTTTTACCATTTTTTTTCTCCTTTTCATATTGTAGTTTATATCTAGCCAAATGTAGCTGTGGACATCTACCTAAACTTTGCTTTGTGCCTTGAAACAAGTCATAGGGACAATCACCGACCAGATATGCTTTACATATTTTGGGGTCGTACAAACCTAGATCTTCCCTGTTATTTTGATATCGGCTTTTGTAACTATTGCTATGATATTTACTCTGTTGGGATTCTTTACCCATTAACTGTTCTAATAATTTCTTTTGCTCTGCAGCTGGTGTTGACATCTTTTAACTCGATAATGTTATCAAGTGAAGAAAAGTAAAGGAATCAATAATAGGAAGAAATAGAAGAAGAAGTTAATCTAAACGAAGTTATTTCTAATTATATATCTGTAGTATTTTGGTGAATGGTTGAATATCTCTATCAGAATGAATAATATAGCTTCTGTCGCTGTGAAAACAAAAAAAATTAAAGCATCAGCCTGATTAACGTATGTTTTCTGTTTCCTTTCCTTTTCACATGATCAAAATTTGGTGACAGAAAATTGAAAAACAACAGATATAATGTTCAATTAAAACAAAGATGACACAAAAATACGGGAATAACAAGTTATATTTATCTAAGACAATTTAGAAATATGTATATTAAACAAGGATTGTAACATTTGAGAAATCAAAGGCAGCATGGCAATATATCAATTGGTTTCAATAATATAAAAGATTATGTTTTTAAAATATTCTACATCAATAATGCAATGGATCTTAGATAAAGGTGATTTAGGATTTGAATTAACTAAAAATTTTTCAGGAAATGTTTTAGTGTTGGGTGGAGATCTACTAAACGATAATAATTTACAATTATGTGATATGATATTAAGTCATTCGCCAGAATGTCATGTTTACTATCTCAATGTATCCAAGGTTGATATACAGCATAAAGTATGGTCCAATTCAAATATTCATTATGTGTATTGCGATCTATATCATAGAAATGGGTTCACTGACTCAATAAACTATTTAAATAGAAGGAACTTTCGTAATTATCGCGCAAAGATGATTATATTTGATATATTTATAAATTTAACTCAATATATACAAAGCGAATCTGAAAATATGTTTTTAAATGTTGTAAATTTCGAAAATACTTTCAATAAATGCATTATCAATCCGATGAAAGCTATGAAATATACATTACATGCAGAGTCACCATATATAGTAAATTTGTCAATAAGTGATCAACTCAGTTCCGATAGTAGTGAATTTGTTAAATTATATAATAATATAGATCAATCAATTTGTGGGAATTCTATCAACCAGTTTCATGACTCACTGAGTTCGGAAATCGGCGGAAAATGTCTTTTAATATTGCTCCCACCAGAAATAATATCAAGACAAGTATTGAGTGATACAATAAATGACAATATCATGAAATGTTTGAAACGCGGATATAATGGCGAATATAATATTTCTAGTTCAATAAATATACAATCCATTGTAGAGCAAACAAGAAGGATTCTTTACGATTGGACATGAGTAAATTTATCTATTGTGTATAACATATCAGGCAATTCTTTAATTGGTACATTAAACCATTCAATATGTTTTCTTGTATTACTATTTTTATTACTATTTGTTGAACACCCTAGACAGTGAATTATGCCGCGACCGTATTTTTTCCAAAAGTATTGATGTAAAAATGATTCAATTTCATTCAATGATAATTTACTTGTTTTACAAACATAAAAGCCACCATTTTTATAAGTAGAAAAATTGTTTGTAGTAAGTTGTGGAATTTCATGAAGATGATTGTGATGATAATTTTCCTTGATTGATAGTTGTTGAAACAATTTACTTAATGAGATAAATTTAAACGATTTATTATTATTGTTATTACGGTTGTTGTTGCTGTTGTTAGAATTAAAATTAGCATTGTTAGAAGTATATCTTTGAATTAAAAAAGACACTCTTTCTGGGGTTAAGTTAGTAACAGGATGATGACAATGGGATTCCCATTCTTTTAATCGTATTTGTACATCATTTTTGGACGTCATTCCAATTTTGCATAAAATGTACCCTTTACTGTGATCATACAGGGTTAATTTACTAACATTACCATTTGATACTATTGAATTGTCAACTTTTAACCAATTTAACTTAGTTTTCTGGTTGTGATTAACCAATGAGTCATATAATAATCTATATGTATAAATATAAATATATCCATCTTTTTTATTTGATATGTTAGCTGAGGAGGAAATCAATTTAGTTGGATCTTGATATTCATGAAATCTACAATATTTAACCTTTGGGTCGTGGATTAGTATCTTACATTGTGTATTAGATTTAGTGATGCCTAAGACATCTATGAGAGGTCATTGTTAATGTAAGTTTTTTTTGATGTCGTTGCTACAAACAATATATCTTCAAATATAACGCAAAGAAACAAAAAAAAAATAAAAAAAAAAAAGCATGTGCATTGGTATGAACTAAAAACTAAAAACACAAGTATAAGTTCTTTATAGATTGTTGTGTGCATAGGAAATTAACTATCTATCTTTTTCTTTTTCTTTTTCTTCTTTATATTTGCACTACCACATTGAAAATTTGATGAAACTAAAAAAAAAAAAAATACGGAAAAAGAAGGGATTTGGATCACAATCTAGAATTGCCTATTTAAGTAAAGCAAGATAAAAAGATAAGATAAGATAAGGGAAAAAGAATATCTTTAATCAGATATCCCTTTATTGAAATTTTAGCATCTGTCAATATTTAATGGTTAAATAATATACTTGTGAGATGATGTATAAAAAATAATGTCCACAAAACCTTTTTTTTTTTTGGGAATAATTATTGCTGTTGCTGTCTTTTGCTACACTATCTCCCCTTATTTCAATTGTTGTTATCATCATGATCCACATAAAAGGAATCTACTTAATCAAACTTATCCCATTTTAATATATATATATATATATATATATTATATAAGGTTGAGGGAGAAAAAAAAGATAGAATGTAAAAGGTTTTTTTTTTTGTTAAATTCAAATTTTATAATAATATGGTGGAGAGAGAGAGAAAGAAAAGGGAAAAACAAAATGTTGGTTAGAGAAGAACAAATTGATAGTATCACAAGATATGGCAAGAACCCATTACATATATTCATATGGACTCCATTTATTGAAAATTATCCAAGGGCACAATTCCCAGGTATAATATTATTTAGTGAAATATATCAAGTAACAGAGACAGTACGTAGATTAGCCAAAAGGATTGCCTCAAATGGGTATATAGTCATGTCACCTTCATTGTTCCATAACTTTGTTGGTTCTGAACCGTTGCCATTCAATAACCAAGGCAAGGAGGATGGTAACGATTATAAGATACAGAAACCATTGGATTCATACGACGAAGACATTGATATATGTTGTAAAAAGTTGTACGAAATGGCGAATTTCGATGGACGTGGGATCGGTGCTACAGGGATGTGTCTTGGAGGCCATTTAGCGTTTAGATCATTATTGAATGAGAGTGTGTGTTGTGCCACCTGTTTTTCTCCAACAGATATAGATTCGAAGACTCTTGGGTTTGGAATGAATGATAATACTCTATCGAGAATAACAAAAGAAGTGGGGCCAAGTAAAGAACTTTTGTTGATATTTGGTACAGAGAGTACCAAGATTGGTTCGAAGGGTAGAGAGCTGATACGCGACAATTTGAGATCAAATGGGATAAATTTTAGTATTTTGGAGTTAATGGATACAGACACAAATTTTATTAGTGATGAAAGGGATAACGATAAATTCAATCCTACTCTATCTGAATGTTGTTTTTCCTTGATGTTTGAGCAATTTAATAGACGATTAAAAACGTCTCTTGGGTGTTACACTACCACAAATGAGGAAAAGTGAATTATCAAAAAGAAATTGTAAGTGCCTAAACTGTCAAAATCTAAGAGCAACCCAAAAATTAGAAATTGTTTTTTTTATTTTTCAAGCAAGATCAAGGCAATTGAACTCAAGAGAATCTTAGAAGTTTCTTTCTAACGAACATCTCTTCCACCTGCGTTTGTTGGTTGATATCTTTATTTCACTATACCCTAATTTAGAACATCTTTCATTTTAACTGCGTCTACTAAAAAACCAAAGATCATGGAAAAAAAAATGAAAAAGAGAAGAACATAATGTATGAAGATAAATATGTAAATAACGACAGGAAAACTGGATTTTTTTTATTTTTTTATTTATCTATTTAATTTTTTCTTGGTGTTCTCTTTGCTGTTCCGGTAAAACCGTTGCTCCCTTTAGATTTATACAATAAAATAAAATAAAATTAAAAAAAAAAAAGAAAAAGAAAAAGAAAAAGAAAAAGAAAAAAAGAGGGGAGGAGGGAGTTGAGATGAGAAGAAAAGCGGAAAATAATTCTTATCTCCATGGAAATTGTTTTTTTCTTTTTTTTTTTTCGTTATATAGTCCATTTGATTGGATGGAATTCTTCTAGGAAATTGCTCCTTCTTTTTTTCTTTTTTTTTTTTATTTTTTTTTCATTATTTTTCTTTCTTGTTATATAGGGTTTTCATGTCCCAGCTTGCTTTTGTTTTTTTTTTAGGATAACTGTTGTATCGTTGCCCTAAGGAATTTCCACATCTCTTTCTAGAAATTATAGGGTTAATTAATTAGTCTTTTTTTTTTTTTAATTTTTTTAATTTTTTTGATTTTTTATTTTTTTACTTCTGGGCAGGTAATAAAAAAGAAGGTAGAAGCAAGGAAAATACCAACAAGAAACATTATAATTTTTAGAAGAATCCAAAGTTTATCATTCTAAATGATTCAGATTTCTTCACTTACTATTATTATTACTACTAGCTATTTATTATTTGATCTGAAATTTTGCTTTACGTAAAAACAGATTTTCTAGATATTGTATATATAATATAATATAATATAACATAATATCATATCACATCATATTGTTTGTTTGTTTGTTTGTTTGTATTTTTTTTTTGTATTTTTATATGTGACTTTCTATTGGTCAAAGTTCCAATTGAAGTTTATATAATCTGTTTATGAGTGTCTGGTGGCAGATTCAAAAACATCGGACATTTTCAACTGGAGATAACGAAAACAAAAACAATAAATTAAAATAATAAAAAAAATAAAAAAAAAAAACGCATTTGCCTTGTAAGGTTCTATCAATTTTCAAGTAGGCAATGTTTTCTTTAATTCTTTGTTCTTTTTTCTTTTTTTTCTTAATCAAAGCTTTCCTATATCTCAAACTAATAAATACTTCTCTTGTCCTTGGTTTGCTTTCCTTTGTATTTATATATAGTAATCTTTGCTTTTCTTTCTAAAGAGAGAAAAAAAAAAAGGAATATTCTTAATATTCTTATTCTTTTTTTTTTTTTCTCTTTTGGTTTACCATACTGTGGCTTTGTGACTTGACTAAGTACAGTTGATGCATATATCGCACTACTTTGATTTTAAACTAAGCTGAGCTCGATTACAATAATCTCTAATATAGATAAAGAAAAGAAAAAAAAAATAAAATAGTAATGAATATGGGTAGTAGGTCATTATCTTTAATGACTTCCGTTTCAAAGAGTCAATCTTCCGTTTTACAAAGAACTTTGATCTCTTCCATTGTCAAACAACAACGTTGTCTTTCAACTATCAAGAATACTTCCAAATTCACATCATCTAATTTCAAAACTTTATATACTGATACTAGTACTAATAGACATTTCCACAGAATTGTTCCTCTTTTACAACAGCAATCTTCTACCCCTTCAAAACCAAAGTCTAAATTACGTTCCTTTGGTAAGTTTGTCTCAAGATTCGCTTTATATTCGGCTTTGACTATCGCCAGTTATTTTTCCTATAGTTTATATAAGGAATTGCATCCAAATGAACAAGAACCACAATCCCCAACCTTTGCTGATGGTTCTCCCCGTAAGACTTTGGTTATTTTAGGTACCGGTTGGGGTGCCGTCTCTCTTTTGCAAGAATTAGACACTTCCTTATATAACGTTGTCATAGTATCCCCAAGAAACTACTTCCTTTTCACACCATTGTTACCTTCTACCCCAGTCGGCACTGTCAATTTGAAATCTATCGTTGAACCTATTAGATCCATCACTAGAAGGTCTAAGGGTGAGGTCATCTATTATGAAGCCTATGCTACTGATGTCGATCTAGCTAATAAGACCTTGACTATCAAACCTGTATCTTCTGACTTCCAAAATAAACGCTGTCCAGCCGAACAAACTTTAAAAACTTTAAAATATGATTATCTGGTTATGAGTATCGGTGCTACCTCCACTACATTCAATATCCCAGGTGTTACCGAAAATGCTATCTTTATGAAAGAAGTCTCAGATTCTGAAAGAGCTAGAGCTAAGATCATGAATACCATTGAAAAGGCCTCATTTTTACCCCGTGGTGATCCGGAGAGAGCTAAATTACTAAACTTCTTGGTCGTCGGTGGTGGTCCAACTGGTGTCGAATTTGTCGCTGAGTTGCAAGATTTTATCAAACAAGATTTGACAAAGACTATGCCGGAAATTGCCCAAGATATCAAAGTTTCTTTAATTGAGGGCTTGCCAAATATCTTAAACATGTTTGATAAGAAATTGATCGACTACACTCAAAAATTCTTAATTAATGAAGATGTTGACCTAAAATTAAACACTTTGGTTAAACGCGTCACCCCAGATGCTGTTTATGCATCCTGTAAAGGTGAAGAAGTCGAATATCCATATGGTGTGCTAATCTGGTCTACTGGTATTAAGCCACAGAAACTGACCATGGATATCATGAAAAAATTAGATGTACAAACCGATAGACGTGGTTTGTTGATCGATGACAAGTTAAGATTGTTAGGTGCCGAAGATTCCGTATTTGGTATTGGTGACTGTACTTTCCATCCAGGTTGGGTTCCTACTGCTCAAGTAGCTCATCAAGAAGGTGAATATTTGGCAAAATATTTGAAGAAATTACATGAGATCGATCAGTTGAAATGGAAGATGGAACAACCGGGTTGTCCTGACAAGGAATCGTTAAAAACTAAGATCGAAAAGATTGAATCCAACCTAGTCGATTTCCAATACCATCATAAGGGTACTTTGGCATATATTGGTGATGACAAAGCCATTATCGATTTAAGTATTGCTGGTTCCAAATACAGGTTATCAGGTGGTAATTTTGTTTTCTGGTTCTGGAGATCTGTCTACTTATCCATGTGTATTTCCTTAAGAAATAGAGTCCTTGTTACTGCTGATTGGATTAGAACTTCCGTCTTTGGTAGAGACTCTTCTGTCTGAAACAGAAAACAAATCAATCAAAAAGAATTACCGATAATAATAATAATAATAAAAGAAGATCTGCTTGTAAAAATGGAGAACAAACTCTTTTATATTTCCCTTTTCGATCTGTACTCATAATTTTCATTGATTCTTAGAGAAGAGTAATGGGTTGCAGTTGTTTTTTTTCTGTTTCTTTTTTACGTTATTTTTTTTTTTTTTGAAATATGTTGAATTATGTGTTTTGTATCTTATTGCTTTATTCCTTTCTATTATTTTTTGTGTTTCATTTTGGCCGATTAACTATCTGTACATAAAATTCAATCAATATTCGAATATAATCTGATATATTATTCCCTTAATTTTATGTAATGCATAATTAAAATTAATGTACTGTCATTCCTGCAAATGAATAATTTTTCCTTTTTTATTATCTTTTCGTTTCTTCCATAGTCTTTGACAGCTGCCACGTTGAAATAAGTACACAGTCAAAATATAATCATGCATTTTTTTTTCACTATTTAATACAATTATATATAAGCTTTTGTGGTGGTGAGAACAATATTGATACTGGCATTGTAAATTTAGTTTATATGTTTCTATGATGGAAAATACATCTTTAGCACATTTCTATATGTAGTTTGCTATCACAATTGGTAAGTTAAGGTTATTTTTATAATAATTATTGACATAGAAGAATCGAAATTGTTCTTAATAAATAATGATATTGTTGACAATCAGAACTATTATGTATATATATATATATGTGTGTGTGTGTGTATAAACTACATATAATGGAGTCAAACTTAACAAAACAGTTCAATTGGATAGTATAGATAGTACAGCTTGTAATTATTTGTTTTACGTCTTTTCATATCTTTAATTAAAGACATTGTTAATATTTATTAAAGTTCATTCTATTGCCATATTTATTTTAATAATAAATTTTAATAAATGTAAGTATCAATATTAATATTAATGATAGTGCTGAAAATTTCTAGAACAGTCAATAAAAGTAAAATGGCAATCAAAATGATTGGTAATTTAATGTGTCATTTTCTTAATTACCTGTTTAGTCATAGATCTCGAAATGCAATCATCATTTCTTACGATCTTCTTATATGTTTATGAAATTATTTTTTTTAATTTCTTTTTTTTTTTTTTTTTTTTTGAAAAATTCAGACAAACATGAAAAATAATTAAAAGTTTATAAGATAAACAACATAATGCATAATTGAAGGATCGTCGATTAAGTCTGTGTAGGGCTCGCAAGCATTATCACTATTTCATTGTCTGATTGCCAGGTGAGTAGCATAGTGAATTGTTGTGTGTGGAACTAGTTTAGTGACTCTTTTTTGTACTATCTGGACCAGCTACGTTTAACTAAGCCCTTTCACACATCCTTGGAACGTTATCCTTTGTTTAATTTTTTTTTATTCAGTATTAGGATATCATACAAAATCCTTGGATAGATTAAATAAACAAATTTAAGTATAAAGAAAAGAAAGGATATCATAATCTACTATACTGAATATCATAATGTCCCACGAAGGTGAAGAAGATTTATTAGAATACTCTGATAACGAACAAGAAATCCAAGTTGATGCCAACAATGCTGCAGAAAGTGGTGAAGGGTCTGCTGCTGTTGGCACTACTGGGGAAGAACAAACTTCTAGTACAAATGAAGCTGATAAGAAAGGTTCATATGTAGGTATCCACTCAACTGGTTTCAAGGATTTTTTATTAAAGCCTGAATTATCTAGAGCTATTATTGACTGTGGTTTCGAGCATCCATCTGAAGTCCAACAACATACCATTCCACAATCTATCCATGGTACTGACGTCTTGTGTCAAGCCAAATCTGGTTTGGGTAAGACTGCAGTTTTTGTTTTATCTACCTTACAACAATTAGACCCAGTTCCAGGTGAAGTATCTGTAGTTGTCATTTGTAATGCTAGAGAGTTGGCATATCAAATTCGTAATGAATACTTGAGATTTTCTAAATATATGCCAGATGTTAAGACAGCTGTTTTTTACGGTGGTACTCCAATTAGTAAAGATGCCGAATTATTAAAGAATAAGGATACCGCTCCACACATCGTTGTTGCTACTCCAGGTCGTTTAAAGGCCCTTGTTAGAGACAAATATATAGATTTATCTCATGTTAAAAACTTCGTTATTGATGAATGTGATAAAGTCCTTGAAGAATTGGATATGAGAAGAGATGTTCAGGATATTTTTAGAGCCACACCAAGAGATAAGCAAGTTATGATGTTCTCTGCCACTTTATCTCAAGAGATTAGGCCAATCTGTAGACGTTTCTTACAAAATCCGTTGGAAATCTTTGTTGATGATGAAGCTAAATTGACTTTACATGGTTTACAACAATATTATATAAAATTAGAAGAGCGTGAAAAGAATCGTAAATTGGCTCAATTATTAGATGACTTAGAATTTAACCAAGTTATTATTTTTGTTAAATCTACTGCTAGAGCTAATGAATTGACTAAATTATTAAATGCTTCCAACTTCCCAGCTATCACTGTCCATGGTCATATGAAACAAGAAGAACGTATTGCCCGTTATAAAGCTTTCAAGGATTTTGAGAAACGTATTTGTGTTTCTACCGATGTCTTTGGTAGGGGTATCGACATTGAACGTATTAATTTGGCAATTAACTATGATTTAACCACTGAAGCTGATCAATATTTACATCGTGTTGGTAGAGCTGGTAGATTCGGTACTAAAGGTTTAGCCATTTCATTTGTTTCTTCTCCAGCTGATGAAGAAGTTTTGAGTAAAATTCAAGAACGTTTTGATGTTAAGATTTCTGAATTCCCGGAGGAGGGTATTGACCCATCTACATACTTGAACAACTAAATGTGAAAGTGCTAAAAGTCAAACGATAGTTTTGTTTTATCTATTTATGTTTTTTATTGTTTGTTTTTTAACTATCTCAATATGGCTCTTAGTTCCTCCGCTTTTTTAACTTTTCTTATTATCTGTTCGGAACTATAGTTAGGTCTAGATATTTTCTAGAACTATATATCAATATAAAACCAAAAAGAAAAATATATCTTTTACACATGTAATAACTTAAATAACAAGTATATAAATATAAGAAAATATTATTCTCTTTCTGAGATATTTATGCAGGTATATATATTATTATGTCTATGTATTATGTTTTCCTATCCAAAGATAATATTCAGTCATTATTAATAAAATAGAGGTCTATATATGTTACAATAAATAAAAAGAGTGGGTAATGATAAAGAAGAAACAGGAGGAGTGAGTATAATAATAGTAAACTAGAGCAGATGAATATTTATGTTTTATATTAATTATTGGTTGAGCCATTTATCGTATGGAAACTACTCATTTTAGGTAAAGGTATTAACTTTGGTATATCATGTTTTCTTGATTCATTTATTTGAACTGTAGGTATGCTTATTTTTTTATTTAATAGATTTCTTTTATTTTCAATATACGTATTATGATTTAATTTTGTGGTAGGAGTTGAAGTGGAAGTAGTTAAGTGGTTATCTAAAATATTGCTACATTCTATAACATGATCACTGGTATCATTATTCACATGGTTATTATAATTATTGTTTTGAAACGATATCTCTATCTCTGTGTTATTTTCATCTTCTACTTTACTATGCTGCAATAGTAATGTTCTATTGGCAGATGTTTCTTCATTATCTCCATTTGTTTTTAAAACGTGTGTAGCCAATGCACCTAGTGTTCTCAACATGTTTGATGTATCCTTTGAATTGGTGTTGCGTTTTATAGTAAGTGATTCTTCCGTTGATGGTATCGTTGTTTGTTTTAAAGAAGAAGATACCGTAAAATTAGAATTGTCTAAAGACGAAACATCTTGATATGTTATATCGGTTATATTTTCATTTAATAATTTGGCTAATCTATTGATCTCTAAATTTTTTTCCATGATTCTTTTCTTGTATTTCCTAATCTTTTTTTCGTTATTTGTAACCTTATTTAACAATGAATTTTTCTCAATCAGTAGTTGACCTTTAATCCTTTCAAATTCTTGTTTTTGTAAGTTTTTCTCGACATTAATCCTAGATTGTATCTCTTCACTATTCATAGTGTTTTGGATCATGGATTTATATTTTAGTTGTTGTGTTTGTATTATTGCTGCTCTTAAAGATGTTACTAGAGAATGTATCGTATTAAATATCTCTCTTTCATCAATTTTATCCAAATTATTTTCATCTAAAGATTCATGGCTCTGGCTATTTTGTGGTGTATTAAGGCTACTGTCTTGTTTAGAATCATCGGTCCTGTTAACACTTGATAACAGCCGATTGTTTTCAAGCAATTGTTTGATTAATGATTCGCCCGCTTTCAAAGACTGAAACAAATCAGAGTCATTAATAGAATTACTTGTATTTAAAAAAACATTACTAGTTGGAAGTTGTGATGGTTCTAATGGAATATTGTCTTTTAGTCCCATTTGTCATACGCCGCGTATGTTTCACCCTTTTTTTTCTTCTTCAATATTTGTTATTTGTCTACTACGTATAAATATGAATATACGTCTTTTTCCTATTGCCAAAGAAGAGGTCAGTTTTTAATAATAACTTTTATCGATTCTGATGCATTTATTTTATGTAGAAATTATTTTAAAATACAAGACAATCAATAATTCATCCATCTATGACCCATTCATATATCTTTGTTTACTTTTCAATAAAGAAATAATTCTTTGGTGAATTGTACGAACTGCCAAAATTATATGTAAAAAAAAAATATAATAAAAAAGATATGAACGCGAAATCAGACGCGTAAAAAATTACGAGTTTGTAAAACTTTTGAATTCCCCATAGTTACAACACTTTAGGGAATAAAAGCCTCCGTGCGGAATAATTAAATAAGCCTGTACCCTTCCAAAATATTTCCGTGTAAAGTTTTAATTAAGGTTTTTTTAAACCGGCAAAATTCCGTAAAAAGAATTATAGAACATTATAATTCTTTTTATTGATTTAGATGATCGTTACTCTTAAAATAGCCATTTTAAAAGAGGATAATATCAATAAGGCAAGGTTTCTAGTTATGATTAACTAACTATTTAAAATAATATTGTCCACTTTATAAATGTGCAGAAATAAGAAAAATTTACTGCTATCACTAGGCCCTCTAGTCCTATAAATATCAACGGTTTTAATGCTGTTATTGTTCATTTGCAGGCTTATATTTTTTCCGCTTATGAGTTTTATATATATTGATTAAAATATGCTCATATTTATAGATAACAGAAGAAATTAGGTTTTTGTTAGAAAGAGTCAAAATAAAAAAAAAATATATATACGAATTCTAGAATAATAATGTAATAATAACAGTAAATAATGAATATAGAATACAAATTTCCTTTTTGCTTTTGTCTTTCTTAACGGTAGGATTTTTGGAATCTAGCTCTAGCACCTCTACCACCGAATTTCTTTGGTTCTGGTCTTCTAGCATCAGCAATTAATAAGGTTCTGTCGTAAGAAGTGAAGGCTTTCTTCAATTCATTCTTGGATTGTTCATCGACGTATTTTTGGTGGTAAGCGACTAAACCCTTGGCAATGGCTTGTCTAATAGCATAAACTTGAGAGACGTGACCACCACCGGTAACTCTAACTCTGATGTCGATGTTGGCAAATTTGTCTAAACCAACCAATAATAATGGTTCGTAAACCTTGAATCTTAAGATTTCTGGTTCAACTAAAGTGATTGGAGAACCGTTAACCTTGATTAAACCCTTACCGGCCTTGACATGGGCGACGGCAGTAGCAGACTTCTTCTTACCAAAAGTCTAAACGTAAAAATAAAACAACATAAAAAGTTGATAAGTTATGGGATTCAATTAAAATGAAACATAATAGATATGATATATGCTCATACAATCGATCAAAATAAACTATGTTAGTAAAAAATGCCCTTTTCTTATGAAGGCTCAAAATTAGCTAACAGAAAGAAGCAGAGGTATAATGTAATGAAAATATCAATAGTTCATCGCGGTACAATACTTGCCTTCAAAATGGCAAGTGGTCGACATTAACGGAAATTACTAGTTCTTCTGTTTATTTCAATAAGAATTATCGGGAATAAAACTGGAAACTTATTCGCCATCTATAAATGCAAATCACTATCATTTATTGAGTTGTCATGTTTATCTATACATTATTATTTTTTTCTATTTTGTAGTCATTCATTAAGTCCATTATAGTTGATTTCTTCTTGTATAATATGTTTGATGAAACCTCTATCTTGATTATTTATGGAATGATATGTGTTTTCTTATGATAATTCTATTAAAAAAGTTTTTTTATTCAGTATTTTTATCACAGAATTATTAAGCGAACTAATTTCTTTTCAAACTAGAATGGATTGTTATTCCTTTTCATAGATATATATGTCACATCTTTATATTATTCTTCACATTACATTTATACACACTCTGTTTTCTCCTCTATGTGTTTAAATTGATTTAAATGACATACTTGAACACTTGGGACGGCAGACATCTTATGCTTAGCTTTCTTTTCACCTGTTCCTCAAAATTGACACTTAAAAGTGCATTACTTTGTGAAGTGCATCATAACTTAGACTACATATCAAGAAATAATAGCCCGAATTCAGTACACAACAATTCACTACTATACTAAGAAACACCATAGTATAACTGCAATCAGCAGCAAGCCCTTCAAGGTTGTGAGCATGTTCCCATTATTGAGCAATCTAAACAGGTGTAGCAGTCGCAGGGTCAATCAATCGTACACTAGCTACAATGAGTTATTCGTAGAAGTGCCACAGAATGTCTGATAATACAAAGTTCTAGTTTGGAAGACTGAAGTGGGAAACCTTTTGCTCATCGATACTCATGATAGAAGTTTTGGTTTAGCAAGCTAAACCCCAAAGCAGATAGAGGGAAGCTCTTTCGGAAATTAACTTTCTCAAACTGGAATTTGTCACAAGGGATGTCCTTCTTTCTCTATTTTTGTCTGTCAAGGGAAAATTGTTTTCCCTCTGGAAGTTAAACATTTACTCTGGTCCCCAATCATTTTTTCTTCTAGCTTTAATGAGCCCCACTGTGTTACTATTTTTTTTTTTTTGTTTTTTTGCCTAAATGAAAAATGGAAAAAAAGATGCAGAACATACAATTTTTAAATAGGAAAATACAAGTGTGTTTTTCTATAAGGAGGAAAATAAAAAAGCAAATTATTGGGTGTGCGGATGTAAAACATATGACTGTTTTTGTTTATAAAGGACTTATAAGTTTTGATAACATTGGACAGTGCATAGTTAAGAGAGAATAGGTTACAACATATATTAATTGTTCCTACTGACTGAATATTGTGTGATATGCTCCAAAAGAAATTTTTGATTTTTACAGGAATGTGATATATTTTAGACAATGTATTTTTGATTAATATCAGTAGCAAGGTTGCCTATAATTATATTTTAGTATTAATAATGGAAACTATTTTTGGGATAAAATAAAAGTATATTCTTGTTAATGTATAAATAAACAATGGGCAATTACATGTTGCTTTCATTTTCATGTGTATAATTTTTTTTCTTACAAGACTAGTTGCAACTAATTAGCATAAGAAATAACACGCACTTGTTGATAAAAAAAAGATTTATATATCTCCTAAACTATGCCTAAGCTAATAAACAAAAAGAAATAAATTAATAAGCTTCTTGTAATATACAAAGAAATATTTGGTATAAATTTAGGTTTTGATAAACTCATTTTTGTTTTTTTTTTTTTTCATGGAGTTTCTTTCAATTGCTAAAATCCATTTTTAATAATATTAAGATAATTGATAATAAAATATGATTTTCTGTATATGCAGGATTATTTTAGAATGTAAGGAATATTTTGTTTAACTTTATTTATTTTCCTCTTATTAGATATTGAATGTGGTGTGCGCTAGGATTTAACGTTTTATTAAATACTCTCCTTTTTGTTACGGGTATTTTCATAAGTTTTCAAATGTTTGTTAGAGCAAAAAAAAAAAAAAATAAAACAGAAATTCTTTTAATTACATAACAGTTGCACTAATCAATGTATTTTTTTATAATTAAAATACAGTAAGAGTTATCACAAGTAGTATACTAAAAATGAGTATTAATTATATATATAAACACTTACAAATTATATAATTGATTGATTCTAACTAATAGATAGATTAATTCTAATTATTCTTGCTAATTTCGTTTGTCTTCCTCTAGCTGAAACTTATTAGATAGAATACAAATGTTAATGCTGATAATTACCTTTGACACCATCTCTTAATAATTAAAGGTTTCTTAAATAAAGTTCTTAGTAATATGTCACCAATATCAATCTAGCAATCGTTTATTTGAATACACTCACAGCCTGGGCTCAGATTTTCAACTGGTCCAAGCCCTTTGCCTCGACATTCCGCCTTACCCGCAGACAACGTATTTCAGGATTTTCAATTAGAGCTTATTACAAACACTGTATTATTAACATCAGTTTTAATATTATATATGAAATTTGGTTTATCTTAAATAAAATATTCTAGAAATATGAAGTCAAACTAATTGGAATACACCTATAATTCAATTATTAGGGACTATTATGGTACATCAATGTATATAATGATCTATGATAAAATATAATAAGTAACAAAAATCAATCAATATATCCATATATACCAATATACTATCAATTCTTTTATGCAGAAAAATTTATTAACTGATTTCTTAATTTTCCCAAACTTTTTATTTTATATGAATTTTAATTATATCATTAAATAAAATGTCACAATTCTGTAGAAACTCTATAATTATTAAGTATATGCAATAATGTGTAATAATTTTTCTTTTTTATCTTGATGAAATAATGCTGTTATGTTTAAAATCATAAAGTGTGGCATCATCCAATACGAAAAAATCAAAGGATTCCTATAATACAAAAAAGCAGAATAATTCCTTAATTATATTAAACTATGCTCTCTCACTAATCCATTTTTCCAATAATGCAGGTGGTACATCCGTGCTTGGCAAGATTATTTCTACTAACCTTATCTTGTTAGCAATATTAAAATCTTCATCACTTAGCACCTCTCGTAGATCTCCTAATGTTACAATTTTTCTTGTTTCATAATTTGTAGCGCCAAATATATTAAACACATCTAAATATTTCCAGGGTTGAACATCAAATTTACTCGAATTCGATTTTTTATTTATAAATCGATCGACCGAAAAACCTGCATTGTTTAGTAAAAAAATATATGGAGTCAAATTCCAACGGATCATTGTGGATATTTCTTGCATTGATATTTGAAACGCACCATCCCCAACAAATAAAATAATTCTTCGATCCTGTAAACTTTTTAAATTCGTACTCTCTTCAATAGATGAATTTTCATATCTATTACATGATGATTCTTTCTTCAATTCATTGGCAGCAAACAAAACACCCAAACATGCACCAATGGAGAAACCTGAAGATCCCCATAAGGGTTGTGATATACTAAGTGTCCTTGGTGGAAACTTAATTTGTGTTATACCAAAGGCACTAGAACCGACTTCGGTTACAATTATATCTTCTGGCTTAAACCACTTGGAAAATTCATGCCATACCCATTCTTGTTTCAAGAGCTGATTGTCAGATAAAGTTTGACGAGGCACATTGATAGTATCAATGTGACTAAATGTACGTAATACCTTTTTTGAGTCATATTTTAATAGAAGTTTTTCCAAAACAATTTCAATTTTAGTATCTGGATAAGTAATATTTTTCATTTTAACGGATTTGGGGTAAATAAATATTTTATTTTTTGTTTTTGCTCTATAACCAAAATGGAAAGTTGTTGTGTTAAATTCAGGCAAAAGACATCCTAGAACAATGACACAATCTGAATTATCCACTAATTCTTTAACATTGGGTCTCGATAACGATCCAGCAAAGACGCCATCAAAATTGGGTAAATTCTCATTTACAGACCCCTTCCCCATAGGTGTGACAAAAGAGGGGAATTTTGTCAGCTTGATAAAGTCTTCTGCCATTTTCGTTATGTGATGTCTTATAATACCAGCATCTATTACTATAACAGGTTTTTCACTCAAATAAATTTTTTTTAAAATGTTATCTATCAGTTCATCATATTTCATATCAAGTTCTTTCGGCAGTTTAAGATCAGTAAGGCTGTTACTGTCATTTGGATATCTAAGAGTATTTAAATTTAATGGTCGATTGAGATGTGAGGAGGACACTACCATTTGTATTCTGTTGACAGGTATGCCCAAATAAACAGGTCTTTGTTCATTCCATGCCATTTCAATACATTTGTCTACATGTGAATAACAAAATTCAGAATCATTAAGAATTCTTGAATGGCAAGCAATATCTGAACCCATCCTATAAAAGACATTGTAATCTCCATTACCTAAAGTGTGATGTAATAGTAATTGTTTTGTTTGAGCACTTGTGGGGGGCATTCCAATAATATGTAATATTCCAACATGTTCAGCATAAGAACCTGCTACACCATTGAGGACAGATAATTCACCAACACCAAATGTAGTTATAAGACATCCTAACCATTTTATTCTGGAGTAACCATCGGCTGCATAAGCAGCATTCAATTCATTGGCATTCCCTGCCCAACGCATCCCATCTATTTCATATATTTTATCTAGTAAGGGCATATTGAACTCACCAGGAAGACCAAAAATGGTCTTAATATTCAATTGTTTCAGTCTATAACATATATATTCTGCTATTGTTATTTGATCTGGTAGTTTATGATGTTGAACATATGTCATGTGAATAAAAAACAACGAAAAAAAAATTAAAAAAAATATGCAATACAAAAGAGAAATAATTTTTTTCAAATTTGACTGTCTCTTCCTTTAAATATATTAGATAAGTGTTTAGTATATTCTGACTTGCCAGAAAAATAATAAAGAAAGAGATGGTGGATAAGTATGTTCATATAAATTTTTACTATGTCCAAAGAAAACGATATTTTATTTTTCTGACAGATGCTGGTTAATTAAAAATCAATTAGAAGGAAATGAAAAGTTGTTGACTTTAATCGTGAGATTCATCAGACTCAATAGTTTATTCTTGTATCTATGAATAGCTTCGTTTCTTTCAATTTACTGAAAGACATCGTATGTTTTTGTGATCTTTTGTTTTATATCCATTAGAAGATTTTTAATCTGAGGACTTAATCTTTAATATTTGGTTTCATTCATTTTTTTTCAGCCGATTCTTCGCTTTTTTTTTGTTCCAAAATGTTTACTCAAATTTCTGGAGCTCAAAGATTCCGATTTCTCTTTTCGGAAAAACTCTTGAACAAAAAAAAAAAAAAAAAAAAAAAAAAAAAAAAACAAAAGAGTCACTTCGATAGAGCGCAGACGTATTGTTACGAAGTATTCCATTGTAACTAAGTGATAGTGATTGAGTGGTCATTTCAATCTAAACATTTACAAATATTTGAACACTGGTGGTAAAATACTAGTGAAATCAATAGGAATGTATAGTAAGTAACAAATAATTACATGAGGTCACAAAACATAAATAAATAAAAATAAATAAATAAACAAGCAAAAACCTTATACATGTATCGATTTACATACGTGAGTATTTAAAGGCGGGTTATGCATAAATAGATGTTCATTCGCCGACTCTGTCTCACTCACTCAAAAAACTTTTCATCTTCTTGTACATCTATACAGATATATTAAATTGAACACAATAGCAACAAACAACATTAACACTGATTCCAACTGTTCTTTCCCAGGTATTCACAAATGTATGAAGAATAAAGGAAATATTTGAAAAAAACAGTTCAATGAAAAAGTTTGAGAAGCGTTATATCGAAGACATAAATATAATGTTAAAAAAAAAAAAAGGTATCCAATAGCACTTGTTGAATTTTCACCATACTTATTTCATCATATAAATTTCAACTAACCATAAACGTTTTTTTTTGTTCTTTATTTTACCTTTTTAAGTTTTTTTTCTTTCTTTCTTTCTTTTTTTCCCTTGATTTTAAACAAATAATTATTATTCTTTTCCAGCCATTTGTCTTGGAGTCAACTTTTGTTTAGCCACAATCAATTCTTCCTCATTTAAATATCCCAACTCTGTAATGCTATTAAAATCTAAAAGTTTCAATTCACTTATCATTTCGTTAATCTTAGTACCACCATCAGTGAATCTCAATTCGTCAAAATATGGGGCACAAAGACATTGTAACGGATCAAATCTTTCGTTAGGGTTGTATTTCAGGATATTTGCTAGCAAATCGATGGTATATTCATCTTCTTTTTTAAATACTTTATACAAGGGGATAGCTTTAATCTGTGGGAACTTATGTTCTGCATAATTTGGATTCATTGAACATATTTCTTGTTTTGTTGGTGTGCCCAGTATCTTGATAATTTCTACTAATTGATCGATCCCACTCTCGCCAGGAAACATTGGTTGACCCAGTAATAGTTCCGCCATTACACATCCACTCGACCACAGATCAATCTGGTTAGTATAATTTGTGGCGCCAAATATTAATTCTGGTGCTCTATAATATCTAGAACAGATGTAAGACACGTTGGGTTCCTTTGGAGACAATTTTTTAGCACTACCGAAATCACATAATTTCAAGCACCAATTTTGCGGGTTAACCAGTAAATTCTGTGGTTTAATGTCTCTATGACAAACTTTTGCATAGTTATGTAAATAATTCAACGATTTAAATAATTGATACATGTAAAATTTGATCTCTAGTCTAGGCATTAGAGTCTTTTGATGAACAAAATGTCTTAATCTCTGGTATAACGATTGTGGCATATAGTCCAGTATCAAATTCAAATAGACTTCACCTTGGTCATCCTTTTCATAGAAAAAATATTTTAGATCGATTATATTTGGGTGTATTAATTGTTGCATAATTTCCAATTCTCTATTTTTGAATCTTTTATCCTGTAAAACTTTTTTAATTGCGACAGATTCGTTTGTTTCCCGTATTGTTGTAGTGAAAACGACACCAAAGGAGCCATGTCCGATGACTTCTGTAGTAGGAAACGATATTTGTATTGATTCAGGTGCTTGCTTAGAGTGAGGTTCAGTGGCATTATTTTCAATTCCACTATTATTATTATTACTATTACTATTATTATTACTATAACTATTATTCTCTAGACCAGGATGGCCACGATATACTTGTTTATAAACTATTTCAGGACTAGTATATTGAATATTCATGATTATATGGTTATCTGTCAATGACAAAGTAGTATATATTTACTATTAGTATAACGATATTTTTATTTTTTATTTTTTTCTGCTGGCTATCCTTTTTTACCTTTTTATTTCCTCCCTTTCTTTTCTTCTTATCTGTTTTCTGTTTCTTGTTTTTTTTTTTTTTTTTATTTTTTATCTAATTTAATACTTCATGCTTATTTGATAATCAACAACTTCTAATATGTGTTAATGGAATAGGAATATTTAAAAGATTGAATATCAAAAACAAAAAAAAAATGAAAAAAAAAAAATTAAAACTAGAACAATAAAAATTAAGAAAAACAGAGAATATTGGGAATCGCACACTGTGAGATACAAAAATCACAAAGTAACAGTAATAATGAAACAGAAAGGAGAAAAAAAAATGAGGGTGAGTTGTAGAGAATGAAAGAAGAGATTTACTGTTGATATCTCAACAACTTTTAATAGTAGTAGTGGTTGTAATAATTCTTGACTGACACAACCAAACAGGACAGCGAATATTCTAATATGTGAACGAGAATATCAAAGATATAATTTTTTTTTTACAAATGTGTTTCACTATGATGTTTGAAACGTAGATAAACAAATCAATAGATAAGCGATATCTATTGATTTAAAATATGTGGGGTCCAAGATCAAAAACCAAAAACCTTTTATTCGCTTTTCTTTCCTTCTTTCTCTTTCCTCTCTGTTCTTCCTCTGAATTCTGCCAAAGAAGGTGTGCAGAATCAGAACCAACCTGTGATTTTTCTCTTCTTTGATTTGTTTGAGGGCTTCTTCCTTCTGTCCTCCCCTCTCTTTTCCCTCTTACTTTTCCCTCGCCTTCTCTACAATTTCACTTCCGCTGTCCCGAGATGCCTCCACACCAAACTTTAGGGGAGGAGGGGAGAAATACAGAACAAAGAATAGAAGAATGGAAGAAACCGCTTTTACACGTCTCCACTGACAGCGCGTCCCCTTTAAAATATGTCACACAAAGAAAATCTTGCCAAAACTAAAGAATAAAAAAAAATAAAGAAAAAAGAAAACGAAAAAATGTACCCCTAAAAAAGTGTTTTTTTCCCCGTTTTTCTTTCTTTTTAAAAAGAATAGAGTCTATTACAACCTTTTGCAGTGAAGAAGAGAACGGTATACGTTCTTTTATTGCTTACCCGGGTGATCAATACAGTACCTCCCTCCAGATACCAAGGAAAAAAAAAAGATGTAAAATTGCTGGTTATAAATGTAACGTATTTCTAGATGAATCAAAGATTGTTGACTTATTATTGACTTATCTTCAGATAATTCATTTTTTTTAAATACTACATAGAAAAAATGTGTAATCCAACCCTAACTCCAAGTATTCATGAACATTGCAAAAATATTAAAATGTTGTTTCTCACCCCACCTTTTTTCCTTTTTGTTCTGTTTTTGTTTATTATCCAATATTTTTCTATGGGAGTTCTTCTTCTGTTTGTAAATGGCGGGATAAAGTTCGGTCGAAGAACTGGGTAGGGAAAAAGGGGAAGTAGAATTTATAGATTACGACTAGGTTCATGTAAAACACTTGCACACATATGTTCGTATGCATATATATGTATGTATGTACGTATGTATGTATGTATGTATGTATATGTATATATACGCTATAGTATGGTAGTCGGTTACCCCTTTCACATCTTCGCAGTATTTCTAACAAACTTTTCTCCCTTTTTGATATTAGCTTGTAACGGTCCTATAGCAATTCTTAACAATTCAATCTCCTCTTGTGATAGATTATTTAACACATTCAAATCTATATGACTAATCGACCCATTCTTGAATTTTAATGGTACTGCAAAATAATCAACGTCCAAATGAGCAACCTGTCTTAGCCGACGTTTCAAAGCAAGCCCGCCTTTCACACTTGGAAGATAAACATAGCCAGGAAGGTATCTATATTTTTGTCTTCTACGGTACTCTATCCTCTCAGCATCCTTTACCACTACCACCATGCTAGATATCATACTACTAATAAATTCATCTGCTGCATATGCCATAGATAAAGTTGCAGATCCGCTGCTTTTCTTGGCTTTTATGACTTCGTCCCCACCAAACTGAATTCTTCTAATCAAATCATGATATCTTTCCACCCCTAAGAATTTGATAATTCTCTTATCCATTATAAGAGGAATAATAGTCGTCCCTGAATGGCCTCCGACAACACTGATAATTTCATGTTCCAATGGATCGTTTTCCCTATCACCCAATTCACATAGATGCTGCCTTAAAAATGTCTCTGCTCTAATCACATCTAGCATCGTGATACCAATAACATTTTCTAACCGCAACTTACCCAGTTTTTTGAACGTCTCAATGGCCACAGGAACCAAACAATTGACTGGATTAGATATAATCAATACTTTCACATTGTTCGAACACACTTGTCCGATATGTAAACACAGAGTCTTCATAATGCCGGCATTCACTTTGAATAGATCATCTCTGGTCATGCCTTCCTTTCTTGCCATGCCTGCAGGTATTACTACTATATCACTACCTTTCAATGCCTCCCTTATCCCATTTTTATCAAATCCCCTGGTGATACTCTTTGTATTGATATGTGATAGATCAGTGCCTATTCCATGACAATCTGCTATATCATATAAAGATAATTCGTTAATAAAAGGGTTTATCTTTAATAACAGAGACAAAGGTTGTCCAATGCCTCCAAATGCACCTAAAACGCAAACCTTAACCATAATTGTTCTCGTTCTTTCTCTTTCTCTTTCTCTCTAGTTATTGATTTTATTATTATGTTTTTTTGTTTTACTTCAGCTATATTTTAAATAAAAATAAAAGAGTTTGATGCAAAAGGATTGTTTGTTTGTTTTATATTTATATATATATCTTAGTTATAGCAAACAGTTGATGCGTTTTTCCTCTATTGCTGATATTTCGTCAACCTCCCCTTTCATCGTCTCCCTGAAGATATGGAGGAGGGCGGGGAGGGAAAAGGCTGAAATTTCCTGTTTTGTTATAAACCCATACATCACATTCAAATATGGCTTTTTTTTTTTAGTTTTTGTTTTTACTTTGGCTTCCATCATTCTAACGACAAAACTATAGATGAAAAATTTTAAAGTGTCACAAATTTAAAAACAGAGTTTTCTTGTTTTTTATTTTTTTTATTTTTTTTTTTGTTGCAGCATTAATAAACTTTATTTTGAATTAATATTTAGATATAAGTAAGTGATACATAAAAATACATACATATTGTCCATAATTGTCCTTTTTTAGTTATTTTATCTTTTTCAACTTTTTTGAGCAAAAAGAAACTTCAACTAGAAAATTGATTAAAGCCTGACTCTTTACTGAATCTTATCATATATTCTTCTGGTATTTCTATGTAAGGTGGCACTCTCCTATTCGTTGGACATACTAACTGTCTATATTTCATCAACAAATTCCCACCCTTTTCGCCAAATTTAGAAACAATTTTACGATAAAACAATCCACAAGCGTTACATATATTTTCACCGCCATAAGGACCTGCTCTCCATTCTGGAGTCTTTGAACTTTGGCAATGAAAGCATTTCTTATTTACCTCTTCTACTCCTTCTTCTCCTTTATCTTTCTCTCTTGATTTTTTCTTAGATTCTATTTTCCCCATATCTTGTATCTGCATTATTGGACCTTTGTTTTCAAAATGTTTTCCAATTGTAACAGATTCTCTTGTTGGTAAATATGTTTCATTATGCTCAAATTCTTCTTTTTGTTTATATTTTTTAATAGATTTTTCCATCAGTGATTTATTTGTTAGTTTGAGAGTCGTTGTAATTCCAATAGGTGCCCCCTTTCTGGACGTTAAATTTTTTGTTGTTGATCCTGTCTTTATTCGTTTAACGTTGTATGGGATATCCATTTTGGGTTCATTTTCTACTTGCATTAAGTCTGAAAATATTATGTCTTCTTCTCTTGACGTCTTCGGTGTTACCTTAACCGTTTGTGGCTCATGATTCAAAGGCGGAATAAACACTGTATTTGCAGTTCCTTTATTCTTTTGTGAAATATGATTTTTACCTTGCGAAACAGGTGTTATTATTGTAGACTTTCCATTATTATTTTGGGGAAACAATGTAAAAGAATTTCCAGATTTGTTAAATGGATTTGTGACAACTAGATTAGACTGGGCAGTGGGTGTTTCATAATTGGGTGTTATATTTGAGTACTCTTCTCTTTTTGGTGTTTGTAAAAGATGATTAGTTTTGTTAAACACTAGTGGTTTATATTGTAGGTTTTGCTCTAAAGGCGCATTATACGGTTCTTCTTCAACAATGACTTTTTTTTGGAGATTGGTATTATTTCCATTTGGTGTTAAAAAATGTGATTTAATATATGGGAATTTGAAACCAGTCATTCTTGGGATAGTCTGAGAATTTTCATTTAATATTAGTGGTGGTAATAAAGTCATGCGAGGTTGAGGTAAATCTATGGTAGAAAGGGAATTTTTTTCAGCTGGTGAAAGAGAAGGGTTTGATATAGATTGTGATGTAGCTACCAACTCTCCTCTTTGTGGTTCTAATATATCCAAAATCAGTTCATGTAATTCAAGAGACAATTTTTGCAAATTCCTTAAAGTTTCAAATATTTCTTCTTCTCTTATTGTTGTCAAATTTTGATTAATATTTCCACAATATTTTCTTTCCAAGACATTAATATTCTCTAGAAACATGCTTTTGATTCTTTGTAGATTTGGTATTTTTGATTGTAAATTGTGGTCTACATGTTCTAAGTTTTCGGCAGCATTCATTAACGAATCTAATGAACTTGTACGTTGATGTGATGCTGGAATTCTGAATTCATAGTTTACAGGTTGATTTGTAGATTCTATGGCAATAGTTGAGAGTGGAGAACTTGAATGGAACAGATTCTCTTTTGCTAGTCTATTTGTCTCTTTTGTACCTGCTGTCTCAACAAGTTTAGTTTCTATAACTGTTTCTTTCTTGTTGTTCTTTTGATTGTCTTTTTGTTGAGGTATTAGCATATATGAAATTGAAGGGAGTTTATTTATTGTAGGATTTATGTGTCTAAATGTTTTGAGAACATCATTTTTTTTATCCCAGTTTGAGTAACCTATATTATTGTTATTGTTATTAGAAGGGTTCATATTTATTTTATATAGATTTGCATTTTGTATCATTGTATATGATGAATATAAGCAATAAAAAAATTATAATTATATATATATTTGAAGCTCCATTAGTAAGAAACTAAGAAAAAAAAAAGTAAAATATTTTATTTCAATTTATACAACTTAATTTAATATTAAATGCTTCCTTTTAGCTTCCTCTTCTTCCTTCAATAGATCAACGTTGTTCACTAAAGGCAAGATTCAAAATGGAAATAAGTAATACAATTTAATATCCCTTTAAAAACTAGAAGATTTTTGAAGAAACTTTCCTAATTTACTAACCTGATCAAAAGTCGATAACTAAGAGAAATGTTCAGTGGTATAAAAACAAAAAAATAAACAAAACAAAACAAAATAACTAAGAGTGTTAGGAACACAAAGTAATAGTGATAGATATATATTAAGGAGATTGTAATATTTTGATGATATACATACATTACTGCAATTTGACAGTGATTCTAAAAATACATATATATATGATACAATTTTTGTCACCTTCTTTTCTTCTTCTTCTTCTTTTTTTTTCAACTTTTAAGCTCAATTTTGTTCTATTAAAGTAAAACAAAAAAAAAAGGTGAGGTTACAGTGTCTTGTTACGAAGAGTTTACCCTTTGATTTTTAACCTCTTCTTCTTCTGTGCAACGAAAGTTAAGAAGGGATAAAAGTGTCCCTTCATATACTTTTTGTCTTTTTTTTTATTTCAAAGTTTAATGTTGGTTGAAAGGGGATAAAGGTAGGAACCAGGAACATCAAATTCCTATAAAGTGAACACAATGTGTTCCATTTGTTCTTATTTGTTTTTTTTATTTTTTTTATTCCTTTGCATTCTGCATGTTTAATTCTGGACTTTCCACGATGACATTCTTGTTCTGAAACCTGTCACATTCTTTTCTGTTTTTTCTTTTTTCTTTTTGGGAGGAACGCTTTGACAAAACAAAACAATCGAACTTCCTGTTCCGGATTTAAAAATTACGTCATTTGATCCAAACCCACCTATTGTCTAGTAAAGTTTATATTCTTTTTTAGCACACTGTGAACGTCTAAAAGTGTGTAGCTAATACAGCACAACTGGAATAAATATCAAAAAATATTTTTCAGAATCTGTTATATCTGTAGAGTGTTAGTCCGAAATGCACATAAAAAGAGATCTAAATCTACAAATGTGAATAACATTGTGTTGAAAGAAAAAAAAAGAAAAGTCTATCTCAGTTTTCGTGTCAAGATCAAAGAAAAGTTTAAAATATAAAACTTTTCTTAATTGCATGCATCACCCAACATTTTTCTGCGATACCTAAATATATTTCTATTTTTAGTTCTTTTCTCACTACTTTAGGGTTATCTTCTTTCTTTTATTTGATGATCTTGGATTTAACAAAACTTAGAAATAAAAAAGAAAAGAAAAGAAAAAGAAAAAAAAAAAAAAAGAATAGTGTTTGTTTCAAGTGTGAACTATGTGAAGTAATGGATATAGTTTATTCCATATTAGTTTTATTGTACCAAGTATGTAACTGTTTTCTTAGTTAAACTATACATTCTTGTAAGTTTGAGTAATAACAAACTTTATAACTTTTCTTTTTGTAGACATATACACACATACACGCACACATATATATATATAGTAAAAACAAGATATGAGGTAACGTCGTGTCAAAATAAAACTTCAGTATTAAAGGAACAAATTCCACTGTCATGAAAATGGCGATAAAAAAAGAAAAATAATAAATAAATAAGATACTTAAAATGAAATTAGTTATTATATTGAACATATTGTTGTTAGCACTATATTCTACTTGTGTCAAATCTGAACAAGATAGTGATTTCATTCTGGAAAGTAGTCTTATTACTGCTTCTGCTAAGTTCACAACCAATATTTTTGAAAATTCAATAGATATAAATCAATTCGGTACTTTTCTACTCCATCTGCCATCGTCTATAACTTATGAATATGCAACATATACTAACGAAGAAGAAACCATGTTTAGCACACCTACGCAAAATAATGCAAACTTAACCACTCTAAAGACTTCAACTGCTTTGCAGACCAATAAAAGCACTGCCACAGTTACTAATCCGTATAGAACAAGAATTACATTATCTGATATCAGTAAACAAAATTATTCTACATATTCCACATCTATGTCTAGTAATTTTAAAACAAAAACTAGTTTTGGTTCCGGGAACCATGGAGCAGTGGTAATTCCTACAGACACATTATTTTTCATATTGTCTCTAATATTCTTTTTGTTTTAAATGAATAGATTTTTTTAAAATATGTCATATTTTCCTTCCCTCTTTTTATTATTATTTTTTTATAGCATTTCTTTATGACTTTGATATGAATTTAGAAAGAATGTCTTTTATATTTGACGAAAAATTGTACTATTTTGCTTCAGGCTATTAAAAATTATGGATTATGATTATTACTTAGTATCATTTAATATAGACATTGATTAGTAATTGTTATTGCTTAAACTTTTCCTTTCTATAAAACTTTAAACGTTTGTTATTGTATGTTTCTCAGTATTCTTTATTACCAAATGATATTAATCTGATTAAATTATAATTACCAGATGATTTATTTACAATGACTACAGTTGATTGCACTATAAGTATCACATCTAAAATTGCTTCCACTGGAGTACGTCCAGCCATTAAGACTTTTCTCTCTGGCAGTTTCAGATTTACACTAAGGAATAACTCAGTTTATTAATAGTAAATATTGTAAACATTTTTATGAAGTGAGATATCATCCAATAATATTTTGAACAGTGGCATCATTTTAAACAAAATCTATATACATCATTATTGTAGATTCAACATAAACAGAATCTGATGATGAAATTATAGAACAGGTAGTATCTTCCATAAACTTAGAGAATGGCTTACATAGTAATATTATTTGTAATGGAAAAACATCACATTGGACACTATATCTACTTTTATTATCAATTTATATGTAGGTATATTAAATGAGAAAAGCAACTACTTATGTAACTTATTTGATTGTTCTTTATTTATTCTTTGTTTCCATCAATATTTTGATTATTGGGTACTTGATTTTTTAATAAATTATACACGTATCATGCATATGTTATGTTGGTGGCAATTGTATGGGATCCTGTTGAATATATATATAACAATATATTCATTTATTACTCTAATCTGTTTTTTTAAAAAGAAATTACATGTTTCATTTTTTCACATGAGATTATCTAATGTTTAGTTTAGTGGCTCGTTCCTTGTTTATTTTTTTTTTGTTTATTTATTTTTTGTATTCAAATAGTAAATTAAAAATATTGTAATAGGTTTTCTAAAAACATCAATAATATATATTAAAGGAAAGTTTACAATCATAGCTTAATAAATCTACTAGTTAAGAAGTTTCTTATAAGAATAAGTATCGTTAGTAGTTAATCAAGAAGAGCATCCAAAAAAAAACAACTAGAAGAAAAAAAAATTCCAGAAGAATGTTACTTTGGCCAATCAATCCACCAAGTCAATTTAAAATACCTTCAAGATCTAGTAAATTAAATAATGAAGACTTCAATGACAACCATATATTGGATATTCTAATTATACCGTTTGCAAATATCGTTGTTATTTTAACACCTAGCAGAGTATTGATCTATAATTTAAAACCAATAGCTCTGGTTGCAGTACAAGAAAGAACACAAGCTTCAATTGATGAATTCGGACTAAATATATCACTAAAGTCGTCTAATGCATTTCAATATACTTCTAATAAATTTTCTTTAGATTATCAGAATGATACGTCCTTAGCGAATCCTGGAAAACTAGTATTTTATGTTACAACAGAGAAACATTTTTTACTTACTTATCAAATATTGAAAAACTCTACACCTATCACAATTTTTAGGGATTACGGTTTACCTGTAACTGATCCTTCTAAGGTAATTGAAAATGTATCAGAAGAATATGACGATAATTTGGATGATGATACTTTAACAGTTTTTGAAACAAACAGGTCTTCCAAGATTATTCAGAATGGTCTGGTGGCATGTAAGGAGAAATCGTTATTGCAAAGAATTATGAACAATCAAGATAATAGTGATGAACTCCCAGTGAAAAGAGTTGAACTTCGTCTTAAGATTATACTAAAATTTGATTTTAACCTTATTGATGTTTTCGGATTTAAGAAATTCACTAGTATTAAAGAGGGGAGGTATGAAGAAAATTTAATAATCCTACATGAAAATGGATTACAAGTGTTAAATCTAGTAGATTTTAAGTTTATAGATAGTACATTAATAAAATTGTTAAAGGGTTTTAAAGTATGTATTTTCAAGGAAAAAATTATCGTAGTATCGTATGATAGCGATACACAGCAGACAATTATTAATGAAATAGATTTTGAAAATCTTAGAACAAATTCTACAGTTTTAAGTGAGGAGTTATCAATTGTGTCAGTATTTCAAGGTGGTTATGGTATAGCCCTCATTTATGAGAAGAAAGTATTGATTTTTGATCCTATTTTAAATAAAGTTACCTTCCAGTTTACTGTACCGTTTTCAATTAAATTATGCAAATATGTGAATGATGATGTATTTATTTTTATTTCTGCACAAAATGATATTTACTTTTATTCGAGGAATGGGAACCATTTATTCTGTGCTAATTATGAAGAGGATGATCCACTTAGTGTCCCGTTATTTCAATATTCTAATTATTCTTATTTTCATGATACATTAATTACCACTACTGAGGATGGACAATATCAGCTTTGGCAATTATGGAAAGAAGCAAAACAGGGTCAATGGAATTTTAGGACACCTGTTACTTTTATTTTACAAAGAGATAATGATATAATGTTATATTCTCCAAAAGGTGATTCTCCATTAAATCATGATAGATTTCCTATCATAAAACTGCCACTCAAATCATTAAATAACTATATTTCCCTGATCAGGATTAATGGGAACTTAAAATTATTGGCCACATACATTGCGAACAAAAATATTTTATTAATATATAATCTTGAAACCAATGTATGGTTCAATTATCCTGAGATTACTATAATAGATTTACAATGGCTTTCAAACAATTACTTGGTGATGAATACGATAAATGATGATGGTAATGCATCTTTACAATGTATCCATGTACCACTTCAAGGTGCAGAGACAAAGTCTTTGACTGATATGCTAGTATGGGAATATAGGGTCTCATCATCCACAATAATTAATAGTTTCCATGTCAACACATTATGCAAATTTAAACCATTGAAAATTAAATCCAAAGATCAGAATATGGAGTATTTGCAATATGAAAAATATTATAAAACTGGTGAAATTATTATTGTTACAAACTCTGAAATAATTTTCTTCGATGTCATTTCTGCTATATATTCTAATGGTATCAATGTCTTAAAAAAAATATTTGAGTATACTAAAGTTAATATATCTAATGAACCATACTTACAAAATATTCAATGGGCCATGAATATCAGGGATGACATACTTCTATATACAAGTGATAAGATTTACAGGCTACTTAAATTGGAAAATGGTCACTGGCAAAACATAGAATTATTACATAATGTTGAACGTATTATCGATATTTTGCAAAACAAGATTTATCTTATAGAATCTAATAGGTATACAATATACGATCTGGAAGACTTATGGGATGAAAAAAAAGAATTATTGACAATCAGTATTGATGAGGATGGATATCCTATCTCTGTCACACCTGAATCAGCAATATTGCATAAATTAGATTGTGTTTTTAACAAAGAATTTTCCAAGCTTGTAATTAAACATGATATTTACTTGGACAAATTGATAATAGCCGAGTTAGAGAGAGGTCAAACTCCAGATTCGATTACGTTTCAATTCTATGGTTTAAAACATTATAAGTTTGCTTTGGAGAAAATATTATCCACCAAGGTTCTAGGAGATGAAGATTTGACTGAGATATTACAATTAGTTAAGGCATGTTCTATTCCAATGGGTCAATCTAAAAAACATCCATATAGTGATATGTTGGAGATAATCAGCAATTGTTTGAGAAAAATTGAGATCCAATATTGGAGTAAACTATTCAATAGTCTCAAGATGACCCCCAGGGATCTATTAGGGATATGTATTGAGGGGAATGAAGCTAAAACCTTGGGTGTATTATTGCTAGTATTTTTAAATTATAACGAAACAGGTCTTATCAAAGATTTAACCAAGAATAGAAAAAATCAACCAAGTACGAAATTACCTGATATTGACGAGCATGAGGAAAGACAAGAGAAAATTATTGTTGATTCTACTATAGATACAAACAACAATCCAATATTTCAATCAGGTAATAATGACTCGATATGCAACACGCTGACAGATGAAGAATTAATGTTGCGTGTTTTAAATGTACTTGTTACTAGTGCTGCTGCCACAGATGAACCTAGTCGTGCATCTGAGGCATGGGACATGTGTTTTCAATTGATTCGATTCTTAAAAGAATTGGATAAACAAAATAACACTAATCTGGTCCAGAAGGCTCTTGAGATGTTATGCTAAGATGTTAGCTGAACAAACCTTATACTGTCACGCGGCAATGACAATTAGCGTAGATAGAGGAGTGTACTTTTTAGACAATGAATATATATCGAATAAGCCAAAACGAACCAAACAACAAACTGACTGAATCTGGGCTGTACTTGAGTGATATATTTTACTAATCTCACATTTTTTCTCTCAACCAATAATAACAGGTCGAACCCTTGTACTCGTAGTTTTTGGGAGAAAGATACCGAAAACAAAGAAAAAATTTGTCTTTTGCTGGGGGAAAAAGAAGAACAGTAAAAATGTAATCTTTTGTCCAAAGAGAGGTGAGAATCTTCTTGTGTTTATTCGAGCTAGTTAACTCCGTTATCTCTAATATATGTATATATATAAACATAGGTTATACATACTTATATATATGTATGTGTGCTTCTGGCAGCGCGTGCACCTGCCAACTAATCTACATGCTCTTCAATGTTTCCTGTACTCCGTACACGTTGTGTAAGCTGTCTTCTGTGACTCCCTAACGTAAAACCTCAATTATAACTACTATTTCTCAGTGATAGAGGAGTTGTTATTACTACTGTTTTTTACATTTTAAAACATTCGTCAACTTTCATTTACAGATAAACACATATACTTAATAAATAATGAGCGAAGAAAACAGTATAAATACTGCAACCGCCCAAATTAAGACTGAAGAATCTCCATTACACACAGTCGGTTTCGATGCTAGATTTCCTCAACAAAATCAAACCAAACATTGCTGGCAAGCTTATGTTGATTACCACAAGTGCATCAATATCAAAGGTGAGGATTTTGCTCCTTGCAAAGTCTTCTGGAGAACGTATAACTCACTTTGTCCAGTTGATTGGATTGAAAAATGGGATGAACAAAGAGAAAAGGGCATTTTTGCTGGTAATGTCAGTGCTGAGTAAGTAGCCTCGAGCAAAGTTTTTGATTGATTTACTCTTTTTTATTTTTCTTTTTCACATATTTTTCTTTTATTAGCTTCTTCCTTTCCCCCTTTTTTTCCTTCCAAATGTTTTTTTTTAATTAATTATTTTTTGTTATTTTAATAATATGCACTAAGTTAACATAAGATTATAGTTGTGAAATGTTACTTAGTGTTTTACTATTATATATACATATACATATGCATATAAATACATATTCTGTTATCATATTTATTACACCCTCTAGTGATTACTGTCTTTTTTTTGGATAATAATACTTCTATTTCTATTTTTCTTCTTCTATTTGGGCAATTCTTTGAGTCATGTATAGGTTCAATGATAAAAGCCTTTTTTATATGAACTTTAGACAGTATGTGATTTGAAAACAATTATGGTAAAAACGGCATTACTAAAGAGGTATAGGAAATAGGATCTCTTTATATTTTTAGATATGATGTTATTACATAACTGAACCAATATAATCAAGTTATATATACATTATATACTTTACTAATCGATTCTTGATTATTCTTGGTTGCTCTTTTCTTATTTTCTGTTAATTATTTCTGTTTTATATGTGTGTATCTATACATAATAACTTTCTTATAACTTTACTAACAAGATTTGTTTGTAAAATTTTCAAAGAAAAAGAGAGTTTAGAAAAATACTGGTAACTTTTGTCTTCCAAAACCAATAATCAAAACCCTAATACAGTAATATCTAGGATACTATAATTGCCTTTCTTTATGAAACAGATTCCATGTTGTTTTTAAACCATGAGCTGCTTCTTTCGAATTTTTCATATAATCTCGACGATTCTCTCTTGTGTAGCATTTTCTTCAATTCATCTTTGCTAACTTGAACTGGATCAGCTTCTCTACATTTGTATAAAATTAGCAATAATGTTTCTTGATTATATTTGTCCTTTTTAGCATTTATAATTTTAATTAACTTCCCCAGACTTGCTTTCTCTGTTCTTTCAACGTTCTCTTCGGAACTTGATAAAATTGAGAGTTTGATTATAGAATGTTATCACAAATCTAATTTTGAATATATAATGTCCTTTAGAATTTAATTTGTTTCTTCCAATTCCAAAATTTGGATCTCCTATCATTTTCACTACTTTCGGATGGTTCCGAATTATATATTATACCAGAATGTATAACTAGTATATAGTACCTCACAGAGGCATTCTTATCTACAAGTATTCTATTTCCAAATTTAAAAGATTTCAAATCTCTATGTCTAGTCTCATAATGCAAACAACCATTTGTCCTGTTTTTGAGTATTAAATGTTGATATAACAGAACCATGGTTTCTATATCATACAAATAACATGGTTTTGTATGTACATTTTATCTTGCTGTATCAATTTTTGGAATCGCATACTTTGGTCTATCCCACTTGACATTGTTCACACCATTTTACTTTGTACAGCATATGCAGATATGGGAACCAAAAATTAATTAACTTGGTTTATATTTTAAACAGGTGTATCTTTTATCATCTATGTGCATTATAATATACTGTAATTTTTATATATCAAAACCATCGTGCTACGTGATATTTTAATGTGGGAATAAAAATTGATTTCGCCCAGGATCGAACTGGGGACGTTCTGCGTGTTAAGCAGATGCCATAACCAACTAGACCACGAAACCATGTTACTGTTACACTTGTTGTAGTATGGTGTGGTGAAGTTCTTTGTGTATTCCAGGGAAGCGCAAATAATATTAATAGTAACTCAAATAATCGAGACAGTAATCAACTATAGTCGATAGTATAATTACTAAAACGGTCTTATATATTAAGCGGCTTATATCGAGCTAATGTACTTATTCGAAGTTACTTGACTTGTTACTCGCTTGTTCTATTTTGTTTATACATAATATATAAATTATTTACAAGAAACGATTATGGAAGATGATCTTTTATCTCCTGAAAACGTTGTCCTTTTATATGTTTTCTGGAGCTCGATCGATTATTCAGATTACTACATTAATGACTTGACTGATTCAAACCCTAAAATTTATTATATTAATTTAGGTGCACTACTGGATTAGAACTGCATCCCAATTCTCTAATCATGGTGATTAGTAATACACGTGGGACTTAATAAAACAATAGGTAAATTCTAGATTTGCCAAGATCTTATGTAATCCAATCTTTTTATTATGCAGCATCTAATGTTGTAGCACATGTATGGCTTATTAATACACTAATTGGTTCTAGATTCATTCAGGATCTTATGTAATCTTGATGGTTATAACTATTCTATTCCACAACAACACTTGTTGTAGTATGGTATGATGAAATTCTTTGTGTATTCCAGGGAAGCGCAAATAATATTAATAGTCATTCAAGTAATCGAGACAGTAATCAATTATAGGCGATAATATAATTACTAAAACGGTCTTATATATTGAGCGGCTTTAACGAGCTAATATATTTATTCAAAGTTACTTAACTTGTTACTTGCTTGTTGTTCTCTTTTTGTTCATTTATAATATATAAATTATTTACAAGAAATGGTTATGGAAGATGATCTTTTATCTTCAGAAAACGTTGTCCTTTTATATGTTTTCTGGAGCTCGATCAATTATTCAGATTAGTACGTTAATGACTTGACTGATTCACCCTAAAATTTATTACATTTGTTGGAATTTGGAGCCTTCTGCGTCCATGGTAATGATAGACATCATTAAGTTATAGATACTTGTTTTGTTTTTGTATTAAATACCTGTACATATTTATTATATAGTGTATTCAGGATACATTCTTTTATTTACTTTAAGTTTTCTTTTAAAGTTTTTCATTTCTTTTCAAATCTTCGAAAGACATATTTGGTGACAATTAAAATGTTTTCCTGATATTATGTACATCCGTACACCACATAATATATAGAAAAACTAATTAAAAATAATTCTTATGAAAATGACAGTAATAAACTCTCATTTTCCAACAACATTAATTTAGGTGCACTAGTGGATTAGAACTGCACCCCAATTCTCTAATCATGGTGATTAGTAATACACGTGGGACTTATTAAAACAATAGGTAAATTCTAGATTTGCCAAAATCTTATGTAATCCAATCTCTTTATTATGCAGCATCTAATGTTGTAGCACGTATATGGCTTATTAACACAATAAATAGTTCTAGATTCATTCAGGATCTTATGTAATCTTGATGGTTATAGCTATTCTATTCCACAACAACCATAAGCTTCTTCGGGCACGTGGCGCAGTTGGTAGCGCGCTTCCCTTGCAAGGAAGAGGTCATCGGTTCGATTCCGGTCGCGTCCACTCTTTTTTTATGTATTGGTGTAATATCTTTGATATTTGTAATATCCCTGATATTACTATTTAGGGTTTTGTTTAGAAAAATGAGGGTTGACGATATTTTTCTAAACTTTCCTTTTTTGGCAAAATTTTACAAACATAGATAAAAACAGGAGTAACCAACATAAGTACAAGAGAACAACCAAGATGGAATCAAAGATTAAATAAGTTGAAATATAGAGTTTGTAAGTGTATACTATTAGGTTATCATAGATTAGGATATATAGTTATATAAATATGTAGGAATATTGCATTTAGAGATATAGAAAGAGTCTATAATAATTACGATTTCAACAAGATTAACTGTTATCAGAAACACATAACCTAAGGGTTATTGCAATTGGAGATCTGATGATCCTAAGGTTATGTGACATATGAAATCCTGATGTCGTTATAAACGGTCTTGTGAACTCTTTAATCGACGATGATGTTCTTGATTGTCTTGTTTATACAAATCTAAGTATCTGTACATCTGTGTATATTAATTACTTCTTGTGTAGAGTCTAGTTTATGTGTTATGTATAGGAGACAACAGCCAAGCATTACTTACCTAATTTTATATTTCAAAAAAGTATATCTCTCGTGGTAGGCCTTCGTTTATTATATATATTATAAAATTTTTTGCAACATTTTGTTGTTTAAGAAGAGTTTATTTCTGGTATGCACACTTGCAAAGGAATAATGATATCTTGAAAGGTTACTGTAGGAAGAACTAGAAAGCGTGATAATCAGAAAAACAAAGAAGAGAATATCCATATATATACATATATTAAATCTTGATTCTAGGTATGATCTTTTGTACTTGTTGCATCTTATGACAATATTTATTTATTTATTTTATTTTAGAATCTATAGACTTTCTATCAAAATTAGAGTTATTATAACTTTAGTTTTGATATACTAAAAAAAGAATATGTACAGAGTATTCATTCAAAGAATATTGTTGGATGCAGTATCTTAAATATGCAAAAGATGCATGTACTCAACAGAAACTTTTTTTTTACCGAACACTTCACATTAGCAGCTTATTGCGGGCACAGGAATTATTCAAATTTGGTAGTTTACTTAATCCATTTCTAACAATCTATAATTGTATAATGTGTACATATATATATATATATATATATGCTTATAAAAGAAACTAACCAAGGTGATAGTTGTTGAAGAATATGTCTTACTTAAGTCTTCAAAAAGAAGGATACTCGAGTGTGTTATTATAATTTCACGGTTTTGTCATTTAGGTTTGTGTTTATCTTTTGGTCGGTATTTCAATGAGTTAAATAACTTTAAATAGAATAACCACCAATTGCAGACTCAGAAAATATAATAGCATAAAGTAAAGGAATAGATTATCAAATAAGTAATAATTGAAGAATTCTTTTTTCAAGAATTTTCGAATAAGAATACATCATAAATAAGGGCTAAAATAACTGTATTTTGAACAGTGTTTATCTGTATTTTTTTGTTCTGCAACGTTTGATAATTGGATGCCTGTGTTATAACATGGCAATAAAACAACTTTCTCAAGATACCAAGTGGAAAATTGTTGCAAGTTCATACATATTTGATCCCACTTCAGCAATTAAAGAATTAGTGGATAATAGTATTGATGCACATTCAAAAACTATATCGATTGATGTGGATTCTAAAACAGGTGGTTGTGAGTATATATGTGTTCGAGATGACGGTGAGGGTGTCCTAATAGAAGATAGATCAATGATGTGTTTAAATCATTCCACTTCAAAGATTCAAAATATATTAGATATTGGTATGACTTCGAACTTGGGTTTTAGAGGCGAAGCGTTATTTCTCTTAAGTACTTTGGTTGCCAATAATGGCTCACTGGAAATTATAACTAGAACAAAATACGATAATATTGCAGAACGTTGGTTAGTCGACAAGAAAGGGGCTATTATTCCTAAATCTAGAAGAAAGATCCCTGCCCCTACAGGTACCACAGTTATTATAAAAAATTTACTGGGTGGACTACGTGCAAGATATATAGAGTTACAAGGTAGAGTTGATAAAACTGTAACAAGCATATCCAACTTAGTTAATCATTACAGTTTATCATTCAGAAATATAAGATTTGTTTTTTCGTTGGTATCACTTTCAAGAAATGGGTTTGCTTCTAACAAGCAATTATATAGTTCGATAAACTCAAATATATCCAGAGTAAGACTGCTTTCAAGCATGGCTTCTTTAAGAAAACCAGTTGAATTGAATTTTTGGTATAAAGATAATTTTATTATTAATAATCTTTTCAGCATTGATTATATATTGCCAAATATGTTACCCGAGATGGAAATAATTAATAAAAAAAAACAGCTCAAATTTGTTAGTATAAATCAACGTCCATTATCAATTAAGTTAGATTTTGGTCAAAGGGTTAATAAATCACTAAATAAAATTTACAAAAATTTTGACCTTTTGGAACCTCATGTTTGGTATATTAATTTTAATTGTTCAGGAAATTTAATCGACATAAATATTGAACCGGCGAAAAATAATGTACTGATAAATAATAAAGAAGTCATAATGAATGATTTTGAACAAGCTATTACTTCAATATTAGAAAGCAAACTAAACTCTGAATATAGGAAAATACATATTTCTCCTTTTGAAAATGGTTCAAGAGACAAAAATGTCCAACAACAAGTAGAGGGGAACCAATTAGATAGGGAAGACCATAAGACTCGTTCAACCGAATTAATGGTTTTGGATTTGGATTTGGATTTGAACCCAGATACTACATCACATACTAATGAGAATGATACCAAGCAAGTAAAAGAAGTTAGTTTATTCAATAATGATATATCTATAGATTCTACAACAGTAATTAATGAAGATTATGATGAAGGTAGTGCTGTAAAAAAGAATATAAGCACAACAAACTCTGATTCCTTCTTATCAGACAATAGAGATAGTTGTAGCAGTAGCAACTGGGGAAAACTTTGGTTCAATCAAGTAGAATTTATGCAGGATAAAAGTGATAAAATTAAAGGTGTAAGTCAATCACGAGATAGTGTATCTTTGCCATCTTCATTAACTAATAATTATAAACAAGCTAGCTATCTTAATGATGATGATTTAAAATTAGCTAAAGACATCTCACTATCTAATCCCATAACAATTTCAAAACTCAAAAGACCAAACAACTTAGAAAATATGAATGAACAAATGAAAGAAAGAAAAATAAATTCATCGGGTAGGACTACTTTTACTAATAATCTTCACATATCAGCCAAGGAAGATTTTCAAAAAAATTATAATTCTAGAATTAATCAAGATGGTAAGATCTCATCATCATTTATTCCTAAAAGAGATTTGAAAAGGCATCTATCTTTATATTCAGAATATACAAATAGTTATTCGACCAAATGTATCTACATGTTCTCTAGAAACCTGAATAATTATGAGGAAAAATGGGATAAAAGAATTACTGTTGCACTATCCAATTCACTAGTTGCAATGTTATCTGAGATTAGCAATTTATCAAGTAATGAGGTGATAAATTCTTTGCAGAAAACTGACTATGGTTGGTACATGTTAAAGGGGACAGAAGATAGACAAACTGATCCCACAATTTTTGACAAAGCTTGATAATGGAGGAGGACAAAAAGTCATGTAGATGGTTTCATAGATGACAATTTGACCAATATTCGTATACAGGTGTGAAGCGCTTGACTGATCTTAAAGAAACTATCATTTTCATCTACCGTTGTCGGATTCTGTATTATCATTCATTTTTAGGAGAGTCTGGTTTTTCAATTTGTTCGAGGGATCTGCTCTTCTGCAGATACGAAAATATGGGGTGCAGTTACCCAAACTGGCCATTGTTGCTATGGAAACCTACGATTTATTTGGATAAGCTCAAATTGAAAAAAGAAAAGAATAGAAAATTTTTTTAATAATAGTGGGTCAGAAGAAAAGGCAGAAACGTCGCGAAAGCATTTTATGAACTTATTATAATGCTACTGCTTATTGGTTTTGATGGCACTAAAAATATTTGATTTACGACACCTATAAACATCATTTATTAACTTTCTTCGATAAAGGCAAGAAAAAGCTACATATATATATATATATAGGTATTGCTATAACATTAAAAAGTGCACACAATCTGTTTTTCCACAACTCTCCCTTGTTTTTGTATATTAGCAAAGTGTTCAGGAAAGTTATTCGACACTAACATTGATCAGATCTTATATATACATAGATAGATATATTTATATTATCAACACTAGAAGAAGACTGTTTTAAGACATTTGTTGAGTTGTTTGCTCGTTCATTTCATGTTATTTATCTATAGCAGTTAACTTAGAAGGGACCAAAAGGTGTGTTTTATATTTCTAATTTGATAAAATATTTTTAATAAATCCAATATTATTAAGAGGATGTCATACATACAGATATTACAAAAATTTCTCAAGTTTATTGGACCAGGTATCATGGTTAGTGTGGCCTACATGGATCCAGGAAATTATTCTACAAGTGTGTCAGGTGGGGCCAAATATAAATATCAATTATTATTTTCTGTTTTTATTTCAAACATATTTGCTATTATATTACAATGTTTATGTGTTAAATTAGGTACTGTTACAGGTTATGATTTAGCAGAAAATTGTCGTAGAAATTTACCAAGAAAACTAAATTTAACTTTGTATTTTTTTGCAGAATTGGCTATCATTGCCACGGATTTGGCTGAAGTTGTTGGTACTGCAGTTGCTTTACAAATTATATTTGGTATTCCTTTAACTTGGGGTGTTGTTTTAACTGTACTGGATGTTTTGATCATTTTAATATTCTATAAGCCAGAAGGACAAGATATGAAAAAAGTTAGGACATTTGAAATATTTGTGGGTACTTTAGTTATTGCCACATGTTTCTGTTTTGTATTGGAACTTTGTAAAATTACTGTACCACATAAAGACGAATTATTTAAAGGATTTTTACCATCAAAGATTATCTTTGAAGAGAAACAAGCATTATATATTTCATTAGGTATACTTGGTGCTACAGTTATGCCACATTCTTTATATCTAGGTTCATCCATTGTTAAACCAAGATTAAATGATTATGATAGAAAACATTTTGGTAAGATAGAAGATCGTCCTAGTTTGAGCGCTATCAAATATACTTTAAATTTTGCATATGCAGAACTAATAGTATCCTTGTTTTTAATCGCAACATTTGTTAATTCTTCTATATTAATTGTCGCTGGTGCTTCATTAGCAGGTCAGCCAGAAGCTGAGGATGCAGACTTATTATCAATTTATGAATTATTAGTTCATTATATATCTCCTGCAGCAGGTATGATATTTGCCTTGGCAATGTTGTTTTCTGGCCAATCAGCTGGTATTATTTGTACAATTGCTGGTCAAATTGTATCAGAAGGGTTTTTGGAATGGTCGTTACCACCATGGGCAACTAGACTATGTACTAGGCTAATATCTGTTGTACCATGTTTATTCGTGGCTTTCACTATGGGTGAAAGTGGTATTTCGAAAATTCTTAATTTGTCACAAGTGCTTTTATCATTAATTTTACCAGTTGTGTCAGCACCATTAATTTATTTTACTGCAAATAGAAAACTGATGACTGTTACTGATCAATATGGCGAGTTAACTAATTCTGAAGTGAATTCAAGAGTAATTAATGAAGAAACACCTTTAAATAGTGAGTTTAAGAAAACGAGTGATTTCACAAACAGTCGTCTATTGTCATGGACAGCTGTTTTTATTTGGGCTATTATTGGAGGTTTAAATACATATTTAGTTGTGTCCTTTTTGTTAGGTGAAGATGTGCATTTCTAACGATATTAACACATTTGTTTTTTTGGTTTATCCTTTTACGTTGTTTAATTTCTTAATTATCATTTTACATTCTTGATATCGTCATTTCTACTTCCCGTTAGCATTCTAAGCATAGTACTATATTATTACATTTTTTTTTGAATATGTATGTTTAGGAATAACAAGCATATAATATATATTAATAAATATTAAAAATGGAGTCCATATCTTTTCTATTTCTTTCATCTAGCTTATATAATATTACATACTATTCTATCTTTAATGGATATAAAACAGTGATTTACGTATAATTGTGACTTTGTTTTGAATTTAAAATAACTTAAATTAATTTTTTTTAGTATTATATTTCCTTTTTCTACCAATATGTATGCGTACAACTGGGATGGTACCACTATAATTGGCTTGCATAATTGGGAATGAGTTTGAATTATAGATAGGTAAGCTTTTAACTTGTTTATTTATTATGATTTGTTTTAGTATTCTTTTAGCTTTAAAATACAATCTTGTTTCTTCATGTGATGGTTTTGAGATTTTATTCAATACTCTTTCTCTCCTTAATTTCTGAATTTGCAATAACAGTTTCTTGACCAGTATGGATTGTGTACCTTCTTGGAATGCTTTAATTTCATCTTCATCAATGTAGTGAGATGGATGCCATGAGAGTATATTTTCAAGATTTAAATTAGAGGATTTATTGTTATCACTATTATTAATGTTGTTTTCAGGATCCTTATGATCGTTATTTATTTTGGTTTGTTCCTTTTCTGTTTCTATTATTTGTTCCTTTGGAAGTTTATTACTATCAGTATTAAGGCTATCATTAGTGTTCTCATGACTTGTTGGTTTTTCGTCAGATATTTTGTCTTCTTTTTGTGGTAATAAATCCTCTTGTTTTGATTTATTCTTCTTAATTTCATTATTATCAACAGTAATAGCAGAGGTAGTGTTGTGTTTTTCTGATTTATTGTCGGCCAATGATATTAGATCTAGATATCCGATTCTTTTCAACCACATTACACCTCTTGCTGTAGCATCTAATATAGTACCACTCTCATTAAAGGCTGGAGCAAATGAGTCATAATCACCATATTTTAACCACGTAGTAGTTGGTAATGCATACCAGTTTGGATGTAAAAATCTTGACATAATTTCAGTTGGAGGTAATGTTGGATCTGGAACATTGCTAGTGTTTGCAGCCATAAACCCTAATCTTGGAGCTTCTTCAAAAAGATTTGTCTGTGGGATAATCTTATTAATTTCAAAATTGTTATTAGGCAATTCCCTGACTCGATGGTCCAACGGAGACTTGGTGATAATAGATGAAAATAGTTCCATATCTTTAGTCTTTATGTGGTATGTCTCTGGGATTGGAATTTTATAACTGGTTGAGATTTTGATGAAGTCTCTACTTATTGCTTTATCTAATTCGGTGTTATTTTTTACCTCATCCGTATCGATATCCTTATCTGTGGAATCTATAATATCGATATTTTTGATTAATTGGAGTCCAATGTTATAGCATTCTCTTAGAATCAATTCCGAAGCAAATTTATAAAATTTATCTACAATTTGATAATTTCTGGTACCTGGATTATAGTAGTGGATCAGCATGGTACATACTAATTTAATATCATGGTAAAGCTTGTAAATGCCTCCCTTTTTCAAATCATAATAACTTTCATCAAATCTTTGTGAGATTGTTGTCAATTGTAATTCTGACTCATTTATAATGTTTTTATCATCATCTGTTAGTTCCTCTAAATATTTGGTATATGATGTATAAATATTATCTGGATTAGGTTCAAAGAATGAACTAGGGAACTTTTCATTTAATATCTTGCATTTCAAAGAAGCACTATTTAGATAATATGGTATTGATATATTGTGTACATATATCGTTAGAGTATTATTATATTATAGAATAAACATGTCTGTTAGTATAATCTGTACTTTAAGTTATTAAAAGAATTATCTGAAGAACTTTAAAGAAATACACTCTGAATGTGAAAGTGTATGTCAATTTGCGATAATATTAATAATAATAACTGATAATCGAAATACATACGCTTTTAGTACTGTATGGATGTCTTTCAATACATTTGTATTACTCATTGTCAATACTTTCAAAGTAAATTAATATACTATTCAAATAACCAATCAAGGAATTACTCGTAAAATCAGTATGTCAAAATATGTTGGTAGGTTGTTTTTGTTATTGTTTTTCCGCTTTCCTGTCTTTTTTGTTTAGTTTGGCTTTGTTTTTTTCTTTCTTTCCAATTTTTTTTTCCTTTTTTTCTATTCTTCTAACTGATCTTGTTTTGGATTGCGTCTTATTGAAAAAAAAAAACCTTACTGAACTATTTTCTGTTTCTTAAACCATTTCTCTCTTTGAGTAACCTTTGGGAGTTTTTATGTTTTCTTGTTTTTCTAGATTCTTTTTTTTTTTATTTTGGTGAAAAAATTATGTGTATGTCGTTGGGAGTGACATAAAAACGTCTTTGAAAATGTGTCTGCGTCACAATAAAGAAAAGAGTTTAAAAGGATGTGGCAATAAAATTGTGCTATTTCAATTAAAAGAGTCCTTGAATAGAGTCCCAAATTCTTTTAATACATATTTTATTATACAGTGTAATCAAAGTGTGAATGATATGAAGAAACAACGATTTGTTTCGTTTGCCCATAGGCTATCTTAACGAATACTCTTGAGAATTTTTTAGTTCAATCTTATTAATGAATTCCATAAGTAAGAAAAGTATGTAGATTAGTAGTAAAAGCTCCGTCAAAAGAAATAATCATAATAATTTTTATTAATAAAGAGAAGAGTGAGCAAAAATCAACGTAGAATTCTAGATATATCTATCAAAAGTGATAGTGGCTTTCAGAAACCATATATATCTCTTATAAATTATTAAAAATAATACACTATACAGTTTTTAAATATATATAATATAACGGTAATTAAAAATATATCAGAATCCCTTTTTTCTTCTAAGATTTTTGTGCTTGTCCAATTGATTTATAATTTTTATTGGTTAAGAATTTATCAACAATCCATCGACCATTTTCTTTCTTTTGGTGAACTGCTATTGGATTTAAATCCCAACCAATCTTAAGATCACTGTCCGCAGAACTACCGAATCTGGGGACTACGTAACATACACGTTCATTTATTGATAGGTTTATTGTCTTTAATCCTTGACCAGTCAACGGCTTACTGTAAGACAATAGTTGGCCCTTCCTTGCTATATTTGCGAGCGGTGTGCTCTTTATATCACATAAAGCATTTATTCTTGTTTTATTATTATTACCAAGGTGCAAAGAATGGAAAATTAGATATTTTGGAGGCAATTCCCCTAAGTTAGAAAGAATGGATGTTGGATGAATATAAACAAAGGATTCTTCAATGATAGGGCTCTTTTGCGCCATCACTGGGATATATGGAATATTGACCAGACTGGTTTTGTTTGTGATTTTTGCATCTTCAGGGTAAATACAATCGGCACGAATTGCAACACGGTCAACAAATCCAGCACATATCATTTGTTTTAATAATTTTAATTGTGTTTCATTGGGGATATCAGATTTTAGGTCCTCATCTTTCACTGTGATAGCAATGTTCTCTTTTGGTGTATTTGACTTAATGATATAAGTCAATTGTTTTCTTAACTTCATGATTTCTTCCATCAATTTACCTCTTAGGAAATTATCTTCTATAAATTTTTCTCTTGCTAATTTTGGAATATAATCAATCGCACTCACTACACTTAATAAACGAAAAGCATCACTATAAGGATCTAATTTACTGAACCTATTTCTACTTTTATAAAATTTTATCCTTAATTCACGCTTTTTTTCCTCTTTTATAGAATTATTTTCTGTTTCATCCTCAGAATCATTGCCTTCTCTGGATTCACTATTTCTGATCTTTTCATTGATACCCAATTCGAATTCACTGATAAATGGATCACCAACAGATAATGCACTCACAATTGAAACAACATAAGGCAGGCAATTTTGTTCTGTAGAAACTAGTACCATCTTAGAAAACCTAGGTGATAATGGGAATAGACTCATTTTTTTACCGTCTTCTGTAATACGTTCCTTCATATCTAAGGCACCTAGATATTTTAATAACTGTAATGCATTAGCCAACATTGTCCTATCTGGTGGAGTAGGAAATGGGAAATTTATAATATTATGAATAGCCATACTTTTCATTTGAAGTACAATACTTTCAACCGGCATTCGTAAAATTTCAGGGCGTGAGAATTGCTCGAAATCACGTTCAAATACAGCAGAAGAATATAACCTATAACAATGGCCTGGACCAGTACGACCAGCTCTACCACTTCTTTGATCTGCACTGGCTTTGCTGATCCAACCTATTTCGAAACTTTGAACGCCATTTTCTTCATTGTAAACACGCTCTTTAGATCTACCACAGTCAACTACGTACCTGACATTAGGAATAGTTAGTGATGTTTCTGCAACGTTAGTGGCCACAACACATAATCTAGATCCAGGAGGTGGGTCTTCAAACACTCTCATCTGTTCTTTAGTGGGTAATAATGAGTATAATGGTAAAACATACAATGGGTCATTTGGAGTTTGTTCTTCAGTTAATACCTCCTCAAATCCTTCTTCATCTTCACTAGTATCATCTATATCACTTTCTTCTTGGATTTCAGCATTAAATTGTTCTTCATCAACAGCTTTAACACTAAAATTAATATCTTCAACTTCAAGATCCGTGTTTTTGGAATTAACCCATACGGTAGCTATATTGTCATCATTTTTATGGTGCTTGTGTTTCTTAGGGAAAGGAAATTCTTTTCTTAATCTTTTTACCATTTGTGTTATCTCCTGTTGACCAGTTAGGAAAACTAAAATAGCACCTGGTGGTAATCGTCTATGGATTTTACAAGTCTTCTTGAATGCTTCCTCGACGTAGTTAAATGCAGTCTTACGATTAAAATGGATTGAAACTGGGAATTGTCTAGCAGAAATATTTAATATAGGTGGCGGAATGGGGAATAAAGTAGAATTTTCACTAAAATCAGAAACTCTAAGTGTAGCTGACATGATAATCAACTTTAATTTTTTGCAGTTCATAGGATCTACGTCATGTTCTTTAGCACGTAATCTGACACAACGACTTAACATACCGATCAGGATGTCTGTATTAATATTTCTCTCATGCGCTTCATCAATGATGATAGAAGAGTACTTGGTAAGTTTGAAATCATGCATCATTTCTCTTAATAAAACACCATCAGTCATGAACTTCACTCTTGTATCATCCTTAGTGGTGGAATCAAAACGAATTTGATAAGCTACTTTATTACCATGATCACCCAATTCATTACTAACACGATTAGCCATAGAAACAGCAGCAACTCTTCTTGGTTGTGTGATACCAATCATACCTGGATAATCATCAGAATCTTTACTACCGAACCCAGATTCATACAAAAATTGAGGAACTTGAGTGGTCTTACCAGAACCTGTTTCACCACAAATAATAACAACATCATTATGATGGATCGCCTCCATAATTGAATGTTCTTCAGCAAATACAGGTAATTGCATTCTGGTTTGTTGGATTTCTTCAGGTCTCTTCACTTTAACAAAAAAGGCTTTTCTTTTAGAGTTTAAGTTTACAGGAATAGTATTAGTTTCTAGGCCATCATCTAAATCTTCTTCTCTAATAATAGGTTTATATTCGATGTTTAAAGTTGGAGTTTCTAAATTTCCATCTCTTCCTTCAATTTTTTTAATCTCTTGATTGGCCCACTCTTTGAATTCCTCAGCTCTCTTCTTAGCCTCACTTTCTTCAGAGGATAATTCTTCTTCAGATCCTTCAGATTCTTCATTTACTTCTTCTTCCAACTCTTCTTCATTACTACTCACAGTATTATCATTGGATTTCTCTTTTGAATTTTCTTCCTCTGTACTATTTTCATCTTCTTCCTCATCATCATCTTCTTCAAAGCTTGACTTAAAATCTAATTCATCTTCTAACATTTGATTCTTTTTTTCTTGAAGTTCAATTCGTTGTCTCCAATTATATTTCCTCTTGGAAGCTTTTTTCTCTTTTTTGACTACCTCAATATTGGCAAAACCAAAACCGAAGCCTTGTCCACCAAATTTAGAAGGTCTGTTATCAATAAAGGAGGAAGCAGCCTCAGTTGGTATATCACCAAACTTGGACTCAAAGTCACTTTTTTCTTCCTCTTCTTCTTTGTTTATACTATTATCATTTTTATCATCATTCCATTCTTTAAACTCATGTTCCTCATATAGAATATCTTTGGTTTTAGCTGTACCCCTACCTTGTCTCTCTAGTTCTAAAGCTTCGGCAAATTCTTCTTTCCTGGTTTGTCTCCCATGACCTAATTTTTTAGAACTTGTCAATTTAGAAGTATCAATTTTATAACCTTGTAATTTTTCAATAATTGCCTTTCTCTCTTCCCTTTTCAGTTGATGTTCAATAAACTTATCTAATCTTTTCTTCTTCTGTCGAGATATTTTAGATTCCTTTGGAGTGAACAATTCTTGTAATTTTCTTTTCTTCAGAGATCTCTCTTCTTCAGTTAAAGGTTTCAATAATTCAGCATTAGTATCTTCGTTACTAATTGTATCTTCGGATTTCTTCATTGAATCATTATCATCATTATCACTATCGTTAGTAAATTCATGTCTAAAAAATTGTTTATTCCTTATTCTTTTTAATTCTCTAAGTTTGGCCATTTGACCAGCCCTTGCCTTTTCATTGAATCTTTTCCTGTAAGTTCCCATGATAAGAATTGGCTGTAGGTATTTATTTGATTATTAATATTTGTATTTTTAAAAAAAATTATTTGAAGATATATTTAATAAATAACAATTATACCTTTGTGGTAACGGTGACTGTCGGAAGCTTAGTAGTAACTAAACAAACAGGTCATAATATGGTTATTCTTTGCATTAACCATCACATAGTAAAAGGATTCTTTTAGTAAATTTTTTGCGATGACTTTAGAAATTTTTCTAAAGAAGTTTTTAAATAAATTGAAGATTAAAAAAATAAAAAAAAATTTTCTTCGAGGAGCTATAGATAGAACAGAAATAAAAAAAGTAGAAGGAAAAGAAGAACGAGTTGTGAGTGTGGATGAGAGAAGATATAATTAGTATTAGGTGAACCTACTTAATAGTAGCGATAGATATTAATAGTTAAAATCACCCATCCAGAGATAATTTCTTATATTGATTTGTAGTTACATGAATCTTTTTAAGATTTATTTGTTTTTTTAAATATGATTTAAGTTACGGTACGTTGGTATTAAGTGCTAAAATTGTTGAGAATGAGCGCCTTTATTCATTGGATATATAGTAAACATTCTCAATATTATATTAAACAGATTTAGTATACAAAATTATGATAAAGTTCTTCACTTTCTTTCTCTATATACAACATAGAAATAATAATATATAAAGATTGTAAATAAGATAAAAATAATGTATGATGAAATCCTTGGCTTTATATATGTTAATATTAAGCCATTTTCCTCTACGAACAGTAAGATATTTAATAAATAAACTCAACAACTTTTGGTGACCTCTCAACAATTATCACTCAACAATTTATCGTTTAGTGTCTGCTAAAATCTTATTGTTCTATCTATTTTATTATAGAACATTCTATTTCAACAAAAATATATTAACTAATTTAACTTCAAGAGGTTGGCAAAGCATATTGACTATCTCTTTTTGTTATTAGTAGATATGTTATTTGTTTCACATCCTCTTTATGATAAGATAGAAAAAGTAAAAGTTTTCTTTATTTATAAAATTTTTTGATAATAATGAAGAAAGAAAACAAGATATGTTAGAAGTTGATATAATAGAAAGAGACTGTTTAAAAATTATTTATAGCTATTTATAATTATTATATGAGCTTGAATGTATTACTGTAAAATTATTCAAAATATGTATATGATTGTTTTTTATGTTTTGCTCTAAAAGGAGTCTCTTCAGGTAAACTTGTTTACATTTACCTCGTGATAATGGCTCAATGCCATGAAAACCAAAAGTTTTGCATAAACAATATTATTGTTTTTTATTTTGCAGACACAATTACTTGAAAAATTTATATAAGATAGTTTGATAATGTATTTCTATAATTCTAAATCACAATTCTTCTCAGATTTTAATTAGTTTTAATAAGCTCGATATAGAATACATAAAGTAGTTATACGATAACATTTCTCAATATAAAAAATCATTATTATAAAACTACTAATGTAAATGAATATATTTGACAAACCAAGCTAACTATGTTATTTATATAAAATTATGCTCCGTACAATTATATATATAACAGGAATATTATATTTGAATTACATATATATCCAAAAAAACTCTTTTAGCAGTATAAATATATATTAAAATTAAAAATCTACCAAATCCCTTGCTGAGAATTTTTAATTCTTTTATATTGCTCATTTTTACGTGTAGCAATTTGTTATATATATTCATCTACAACTATATAAGTCACTCTATCAATCACGAAATAACACTTTATAAAATAAATATTTTGTATAAAGAAAGTAGAAACTCTCTGAAACAATTACTCAAACAAACTTTTAATTTCTTCAATTCTTCTCTTTCTTCTTTCTTCTTGATCTGTGTCTATAACCTCTCCAATACTTCTTTTTTGATCCTGAATTCGAAGCATTTTTTCTTCAATGCTATCTTCAATGATAAATCTCAAGACTTTTACATTATTTATTTGCCCTATACGATGAATTCTATCAATAGCCTGATCCTCCATACTAGGTGACCACCAGGGATCCATCATAAATGCATATGATGCACATGTTAAATTTAATCCAACTCCCCCGGCTTTTAAGGATAATAGAAGTATCTTTTGCCTACTAAGATCTTTTTCTCGAAATTCCTTCAATATGTCGTTTCTCTCTTTTAAAGACAATCTTCCATCAAATTTATAAATTTTGGCTTTATCGATTGGAAACACTTCTTTCAATTGTCTTTCTAAAATATCAAGGTAAGAAGAAAATTGGGAAAAAACAATCACTTGTTCCCCAGATGATGAATCTTGTAACTGTTGTAAATTCTCAATAAGTGCGGCTAGTTTGGCTGGTTTATTTTCGGTATCATAAGATATGAAATCTAAAGTATCAGAATGTTCATTATAACTGGGCTTAAACATTGACTTCTGTGATATACTAAAACGACATATTGGACATCTTAATTCATTCTTCTTCTCTTGTTGATAATTGATATATTCTAAAAGACAATTTTCACAAAATGGATGTCCACATTCAGTTAACAATATTTTTGATACATCAACATCTTCATTTGTACATATGGAACATTCTTTTTCTACTAATGACTTAATATTTGAATATCTCTCTTTCAACTTGGCAACTATCAATCCTTTATTTGCTTTCTCTGATTCATTTTCTACATTCTTTTGAGTGTTATGCAGAAAACGTTTTATTTCATTATTAGGTGTTAATAGTTGTGTATTTTTCGAAATATCATCGTCATTATCATCCAATGTACCTAATAACTCAACATCACAACATATTTGCCTTAACCTTAAAATATGAACCAAAATTGTAGAATATTTTTTCAATAAGTCGCCACGAGCTAACCCTGTTTTAACAGAATTTTCTGCAATATCCAAAAAATAATTATATACAGTCTTTTGGGTTTTATTCAATTTTAATTTTTTAATGATAATCTCCTTTGGTGGCAGTTTAACTAATAATTCTCCATTAGCATCTTTCATTTGTTTAGTTCTTCGTAATAACACTGGCTCCATAATTGAATTGACAACATCAAAGGCTTGCTTGAATTCTTTCTCTTCAAAGGGGTTTGAGACAAAGGTCTTCCAATAATTTACATTACACCACGGTTCCAACTTCAAAAATTTCACCATACTAAATAAATCATCTAAACGATTAATAATAGGTGTACCTGTTAAAACCCATTTACATTTACTAGAAAGATCCATGACTGCCTTTGATGTTATCGTGCTCCTGTTTCTAATTGTATGACCTTCATCAATGATTATTCTATAAAACTCTAAAGAAAACAGCCCATTCGATGACAAAATGGCTTCATTGGTGTTTCTATTTTCTCTAAATAATTTGCTCCATTCATTTTGAACTATTCCATATGTTGTAAGTATCACGGTTGGTGGATTATTTGTCTTTGTTAGTAACTTTTTCAGGCTACTAACATTTCCGCCATAATATATATCTGCTCTTAAATTAGGATTATTATTGATGGACTCAAACTCTGAATGCCATTGATTAAGCAATGACATTGGAACCACAATCAATGTAGTTTTTGAAGCGTATGGTTTTTTTAGTTCGACTTTATTAACATCAGCGCTCTCTCTGTTATTAATGTCTGCAATGAATAACTCATTTTCCTCCATCTTTGAATCATGAGGACACATCAGTACTAACGATAATGCAGATATTGTTTTACCTAGACCCATTTCATCAGATAAGATGCCACCTTTTATCATTGTTTTTAATATGGGCTTTTCCAAGGAAAAGTCACCAGTATGCAGATTCGCATAGAAAAACAGTTCTGAATTAGGATTATCATTTGATTTTTCTTTCATTCTATTAACTGCCCATGATCTATCCTTTGGCCATTTAAATTGCTTCCACAATGGATTCATCATATTATTATCTACCTCCAAGTCATCCAAAGCGGCTGCTTTATTATATTCTTGCTCCCTTCGTAACATCCACGTTAAACCTTGCTTTTGATATGGCCTTAATGCCAATTTAAGCAAACCTGAAGGTGGTTCTGTTTCAGGTAAATTTTTTAAAAGCTCATATGATTGTGCTGAATTATAGAACCGTTGCAATTGGTTCAAACTCATTGTTTCTTCAGACTCATATCCCGAAGGGTTAGCTTCCTGATTCTCATATGTTTGTGATGTAAACTCTTCAAAACTCATCTCATCTTCTAAATCAATAATTTCATCGTCGCTTTTACCGTCTTTAACAGTATTATTATTATCTCGTGATTTGATCAGTTCTTCTTCATGGTTAGTTAATGGATTTAATCTTAATTTTTTGAATAATGTAATCAATGCTATTCTTCTAGATTTACTTTCAACATGTTCTTCTTTATCAGGAGTACTGGATTTAAAATTTTGGTTCAATAATTTTCTATAGTTGTTGCTGTGAAAATTAAAATTATAGGTTAAATCATCATTATCACAGCTTGTAGTTATATTCTGGGAACTTTGTGTGTGGGTGAACTCACTTTCATTTTCAAATAAGTTAGATGTCAAGTAACAATCAAGTTCAAAAACAAAGTTATCACCAATACTTAATCTTTTACTGTCACAGAATACTAAAATCGCTTCAAATATGACTTCGTTAGTTTCTAACAACGGATATAATATTCTTGCAACGTCTTCTGGAACTTTACCGATTTCACGATTCAATTGAGGATCATAAATTTTGACATAACTTGACATCATCTTTTTTTGTCTTCCTTTATTATCATACAGTTTCGATGTGGTGATTCCTGAATTTTGTTTAACCAATTTTAAGACGGTTCCATATTTCAGTTGTTTCGTGGTAGGTCGTGTGGCCATTGCAGTCACTTGTAAGGAACCAATAAATCTTTTCCAAGAAAAAGAAATTTTTAATCTTTTGTTAGTTTCTTGAAGCACAAGCTGCTTTCTTTTAAATGAGGATACCTGCAAGGGACTTGAGGGTATATTATGCAATATTTTACTTTTATTGGGACTAGATGTTTGATAATGTTCAAAATAATATGAAAGTGCTTTTTGTAATAAATCATCATTACCGCTATCTTTAAATATATCAAATAACTCAGATATTATACTTACTTTAATATTTGGAATAACTTCTAGAATAGAATGAGTAAATATTTCTATTGGAGATAATTGTTTCTCTTCGATTATTTCAATTTCATTATCATCATTATCGTCATCAGCATCATTTTGTATGTTATGTTCGTCGAGACTCAATTTGGGGTCTGTTGTTAATTTCTGAGAAGCTTTGACATTGTTCAATTCTGTTTGTTCTTGTACTGGATTGAATAGGAAAGATTTAGAATTATCAAAAGATGTATTAAATGATGTTGTTGTTTCTAAAGAGGATTCTAGTTCATCTTTAAAAAATCGTCTCTTTGTACTCATTTTACTATTAACTAACGTCTGTACAATATATATGCATATATATATTTATGTGTATAGAGAATAGAGAACAAAACAGCAGACACGTATCATTTGAAAATCTGAATATCTTTACATAGCAGTTCTAGTATTCAACCTCTGTCTATACCATGCCATCTATCAAATATTTCCACATTTGATCTATTTTCTTATTAATGAAACGCAAAACTCAGTCTTTTAAAAGTCGCGTCTCAAATTCTGCATAAAGAGGGGAAAAGAGAAAAAAAAAAAAAGAGAGAGGGAAAGAGAGGGAGAGAGAGGGAGAGAGAGGCAGATGATAATTTGTATTTGGTGATTAGAAAGAAACTCTAATAAAACTAGCTTTGGAATTATGTATTATTCATAAGAGATCCAAATCCACGCAAGCACTATCCACGCCATTTCTTCCGTTAAAACAACCACCTGCCCTCTCTTTCCTGCACTCAAACTTGCAACAGAGAGATCTTGTAATAAAAAAAAAAGACCAATTCATTTATACACAACCCTAAGGAAGATGCGATGCTTCTGGCGTCAACCCTAACATCGAAAATAATCACAATTCCATTTTCTTTGGCATTCAAAAATTGGCATCCTAGCTCAAGAACCCAGACACCGCGGATGTTTCAAACCCTAAAATATCACTTATAGCTGGGACCCGAATCTTTGGGTCTGCTGAACATAGTAACCAGGGCGAATCTTTCAGTCTTGAACGATGACCCACGCAGAAAAAATTTTTTTTTTTTTTTTTTTTTGGGTCATTCTCCTGTTCAATTTTTTTTTTATTTGAAGTACTTAAATATTAAAATAAGAAAGTTTAGACGAAAACGAGTTTTCATACTTGAGTATCAAGAGTCGTCTGCTATTTCCCCAAACGATTTCCATTCGCCAATTAACAGACTTTTGTTCTCAATAAGTGAAGACTCCACAACCAACTATTATCGATCAGCAATGGGTGCTTACAAGTATTTAGAAGAATTACACAGAAAGAAGCAATCTGATGTCCTAAGATTCTTACAAAGAGTCAGAGTCTGGGAATACAGACAAAAGAATGTCATCCACAGAGCTTCTAGACCATCTAGACCAGATAAGGCTAGAAGATTAGGTTACAAGGCTAAGCAAGGTTTCGTTATCTACAGAGTCAGAGTCAGAAGAGGTAACAGAAAGAGACCTGTTCCAAAGGGTGCCACCTACGGTAAGCCAACTAACCAAGGTGTTAACGAATTGAAGTACCAAAGATCTTTAAGAGCTACTGCTGAAGAAAGAGTTGGTCGTCGTGCTGCCAACTTAAGAGTCTTGAACTCTTACTGGATCAACCAAGATTCTACTTACAAATACTACGAAGTTATCTTAGTTGACCCACAACACAAAGCTATCAGAAGAGACCCAAGATACAACTGGATCTGTAACCCAGTCCACAAGCACCGTGAAAACAGAGGCTTAACAGCTACTGGTAAGAAATCTAGAGGTATCAACAAGGGTCACAAGTATCACAACACTCAAGCCGGTAGAAGAAAGACCTGGAAGAGACAAAACACCTTATCCTTATGGAGATACAGAAAATAAGCTGGTTGAATCAAAAGAAAAATCCATTTTTTTTGTTTCCAGCTTTAGTAGTTTCTTATTTCCTTTCCCCCCTTTTTCCATTTATTTCTATATTAAGTGTATCTAACTTTGTATTATATGTATATTTATACGTATATGTATGTACAATTTACATATAGACAACATTATGATATAGTTTTTATATTCTAGGTTAATCATTCTTTGCCAAATATTTTTACATTTCGAAGGAAGGTAGATGTGCTGTTGATGATTTTGAGAAATAAGTAGGGTAAAAGTTTTAGACTAATCTGGTACAGGCCTCTCTTGCTCAAAGTTCTATGTTTGTGTCTCTTCTCTTTTTTTACTTTTCTTTTCATTTTTCTTTTCTTTTTTTTTATAATAGTTTCTGTATTTTGTGTCATTTTAATTCTAATAAAGGGAGGGAAGCCAAAAAGTTCATAAAAAACTGAAAATTTAAAAGACAAACATATATAATACGTATATACAAACATTTTTATGGATAACTACTCAAAGGGTATTTAGCAAATTATCTTTGCTGTTTAGAAACATCACTTTTTACACAACCGAACTGACAGTTTGCTTTCAATTAATCTTCCAAATTCGTTTATTAATCCACTAACTCCTTTTTTTTTTACTTTCTTTTAAGACATCATACATATATACATCTATTTGCGATAATGTCTGGAGAAAAAACAGCAATTATATCAGTATATGACAAAACAGGACTATTAGATTTAGCAAAAGGTTTAGTTGATAATAATGTTAAAATCCTAGCTTCTGGGGGGACTGCACAATTAATTAGAGACTCTGGGTTCCCTGTATCTAATGTGTCTAGTATAACACACTCACCTGAAATGCTAGATGGTAAAGTCAAAACTTTACATCCTGCAATCCATGGTGGGATTCTAGCTAGAAATTTAGAAAGTGACGAAGATGATTTAAAACAACAACATATTGATAAACTGGATTTTGTAGTTTGTAATCTTTACCCATTTAAGGAAACTGTGTCAAAGATTGGTGTTACTATGAATGAAGCTGTCGAAGAAATAGACATAGGTGGTGTCACTTTGTTAAGAGCTGCCGCAAAGAATCATTCTAGAGTCACAGTTTTATCTGATCCAAAGGATTATGCTGCATTTATTGAAGAATTATCTAATTCAAAAAGTGGAGAAATTTCTGCCGATTTAAGAAATAGATTGGCTTTAAAGGCCTTCGAACACACAGCAGAATACGATGCCTGTATTGCAGATTTCTTTAGAAAACAGTTTGCAGAAGATAAAGCGCAACTACCTTTACGTTATGGTATAAATCCTCATCAGAAACCAGCACAAGCTTTTGTCAGTGAACATGAGCAATTACCATTTAAAGTGTTGAATGGTTCTCCAGGTTATATTAACTTACTAGACGCTTTAAATTCCTGGTCTTTAGTTAAGGAGTTATCAGCTTCATTGAATTTACCTGCTGCAGCTTCCTTTAAACATGTTTCGCCTGCTGGTGTTGCTGTGGGCTTCCCATTAACAGAAGTAGAAAAACAAGTCTATTTTGTCACTGATATTGATGATATATCACCTTTGGCTGCAGCATATGCTAGAGCAAGGGGTGCTGATAGAATGTCGTCATTTGGTGATTTTATTGCTTTATCAAATATTGTGGACATTCCAACAGCAAAAATGATCTCTTATGAAGTTTCTGATGGTGTTGTCGCACCAGGATTTGAGCCAGAGGCTTTAGAAATACTTAAAAAAAAGAAGAAAGGAAAATATTGTATCTTACAAATCGACCCAAACTATGTTCCAAACACTTTAGAAACAAGACAAGTCTATGGTGTCTATTTACAGCAGAGACGAAATGATGCTATTATAAACCAATCAACTTTTAGGGAAATTATATCACAAAATAAAAACCTAACTGATCAGGCTATCATTGATTTAACTGTAGCTACATTAGCTTTAAAATATACACAGTCAAATTCTATCTGTTATGCTAAGAATGGTATGGTTATTGGGCTAGGTGCTGGTCAACAATCTAGAATCCATTGTACTAGACTGGCGGGAGACAAAGCTGATAATTGGTGGTTACGACAACATCCACGTGTCTTAGGAATCAAATGGGCAAAAGGTATTAAAAGACCATCTAAATCAAATGCCATTGATTTGTTCGTCACTAATCAAATCCCTATTGACGACCCAGAAAAATCAGAATATGAAGCCAATTTTAAAGAAGTACCAAAACCATTAACTGAAGAAGAACGTAAGGAATGGTTATCTAAATTGAATAATGTATCATTATCATCAGATGCATTTTTCCCATTCCCCGATAATGTTTATAGGGCAGTTAAATCTGGTGTTAAATATATTGCAGCGCCAACTGGCTCAGTTAAGGATAGAGCTGTTATCAATGCTGCTGATTCCTTAGGATTAGTGTATGTGGAAAACCCAATACGTTTATTCCACCATTAAAATTACGTTATTATTATTACTACTATTATTTGTCATAGACACATCCATAAAAGGTACATCGGTTTTACTATAATTCCAAAGTCAATAACATATACATACACATACAAGTATATAATCATTAATTTAATAAAGGATAGCATGGTACTAAAACCATAACATTAAGTTGCTGAAAAAAACATAGCACTCATCACAATTTTATCCCTTTTACCAAAATCATACATCAAGAACAAGAAAAAACAATGGCAAATCTATACACATCCCTATAACTACACATTTGCAGAAATAAATTCGGTCCTATAACGTAGCATATATACATATATCAGCAAGAATACCTATAAAAAAACTAACATGTCAGCAGTATGGTTATACACAAATGATAATCGACCACTAGGATCACCTCATAATGTTTAGGAATATACTGCGGTAGAACGACAACAAAGATGATTGAACTCGATCAATATTCCACATATTCCCTCTTTCCAAAAACTGCGAACCTTCAAAAAAAAGAGGGTTCCCAATAGATAAAGAGAAAAGTAAAACGAAACAAAGAGAATTCTAAATCATGCATTCCACTTGATCTAAATTTTTAGGACATGACTTGTCAACGGGGCTACTTCTGTCTCATCCATATACTTCATGGCAACGATTATCTGATTTCAATAAATATAAACTTATTGATAGATTAAACACAAAACGACTCAAAACCCGACGTTTGACGACCGAGGAGAAGTTAAGATTTAATACACGGATCAAATTATCCCTTGAGACTCTGCCTCTCGAGCGTTGAATTGTTAAGAGAACAAATTTAAGAAAGTTAAGCAACATTAGCCAAGAATTGACTACAGGTTCTAGAAACGAATTCCTAGAAAGCCATAGAATTCTCCTCCCTTGTACGTTCAACTTAACACAAGCCTATAGTTACTTTACTTTTTCGAGCAAAAGGAGAGAAACTTGTTTCATTAAGTAAGAAACGACAGGAATGAAGGACAGAAAAACTCAAATGTCGATTCACTAAATAACTTCACTGCAGTTTATATATCATTGGCTTTTTTTTTTTTTTTTGGAAAATTTTTTCCCTTTGGCTAAGCAGAGAAAAAGAGAAACAAACCGAAAAAAAAAAAAGAAAATTAATATTGATTACCCTCATCTTGTCATAAAAAGTTTCAGGTTGTGGTCTAAAAAAAAAAATAAGATACTATAATCATAACAGTTACAAATATATGTACATACAGTGCAGTTACTAAACAAGGATTATTATACTGGGAATTGTTAAAAAGATATCTTCACAGGAAGGCGAAGAAGTAAATTTCTCTCATAAAAAAAGGTGAGTGTCAGTGGTATGTATATAAATCTATAAGTTTAAACAAAGTTTACCCTTGTATAGCCTTGCACATGTTTATCACAGGACATGCAACTCTTGATTGCTCTATGCCCTAGTTTTAATCGACATTCATCACATACAGTTAGACATTGGCAGGGCCAAAGTATAACGTTTCTTGGATTCAAACAACAAATTGGACAAACCAGTGGATCATCTATCTCGTCCATTTCACTTGTCTCATTTATCATACCTATTTCTTCAAAATCATTTAATATAATATCATCTAACTGAATTCTTTGTTCTGAGACGATTTCAGAAATTAACTCTTTACTCGATTCTTTAGCATACATAGATCTAGTCAATCTTTTATTTTCTATCAGTTGATGTCTTAGTAGAGACCACATGGATATCTGCCACAGTAATTCCTCATTAGTGTTCTTATAACAATATTGAGGATTAGAATTATCTTTAAACGATAACAATAGCTGCCATAATTCATCATGCAATGTTAGTGCTTCCTCGCTATCGACTTCTTGCGATAGTGCCCAACTTTCTGTATCATACAATTCATCATTTTTATCAGTGTTACTATATGAGTTATCTGGTGAATAATCTTCGGATGAATCAAAATCAGGTAGTAAAAACAATGAATCTTGTGGATTCGAACTGCGATTATCATTACTATTATCATTTTTAGTTCGCAAGAAAAATTTACTATAATTTTTGGCTGTTACTAATTTATTTAAATCTTTGATCTTTTTATTCCCATTCTTAGGCTCACTTTTATTTGATATAGACTTAGTATTTCTCTTATTATTACTATTTTTTTTACAAATAGATAGAATTAATGATGTTAAATTAGACAATAATAAACGTAGTCTAAATTGTTTCAATCTCTGGGCAATATTAAAAAGTGTCCATTGCACCAATATGATCAATGAAAGATATGCATTTTCCAAACTATAATGGGATGATAGACCTGTGTTTCTATTACCATTCTCATTTGTGTTCTCATCTGTATTATATTTCTTCCATAGAGGCGATACTTTATATTGGTTCAAATATCCACTGATCATATAAGAACCGGTATCAACGACACCACACACCCGGTTGCCATATATATCACAGCTACATGGGTTGATTGAACCATTTGTTGCATGAGAAGTAGCTAAACTCATAACAAATTCTTGGAAACTTTTATCTTCATAACTTTGATATTGGTTAATAAATAGGGACCAGATATCATTACCCTTATCATTGTTTGATAAATGGAAAAAATATAATAGTTGTGATACAATGCAATACAGTACGGGTGCTATTTTAGGGAAGAGACGGATTTTTGTCAATTGTGAGGCAAAACAGTCGTTATCATAAAAAAAGATGAAAAGAATGAATATATTTATAGATGAATCAATAGCTAGATGCCAGTTTCTTTTATCAAATAATTCTAAAAAATGAATTAATAATCTATTAAATAAAACATAAAACAAATCCAACCCAAATGGCATTAACTTAGAAGTGCAACTATTGTAATAATGTAAAGAATAAAAAATTGGAATTATTTCTAGGACAATATTAACATTGTCATTATTAAAATATGACATATTTGTCGTCACAGTATAGAATAATTCAATTAAATTAGAGAATAGTATGGATATAAAAAGACCAGTTAGAGTATTAGTATAATCATTAATAGTAAAAAATAATTGATATAACCAGTATAGTATAATTATTATAGGTAACAGATGAATAGAAATAATCCAAAGCTTTGAAATTTTTCTATTTTGAATAGTTGATCTAACACCAGCCAAAATTTTTATGATATTATGTACAAAATAGTAGATGAACCAAATCAACCAGAATTTATTCAATATAAAGAATCCTTTAATCCAGTCATTCAAATTAATTAAACCTTTGTAATCTATCATAATTTGTAAATCCATTTGTCTATATGTATATGAAGGAACATCAGTGCTTTGTCACTTTCTTTTCTTTATTCTCTGGTCCACCAGAAATATGGAAAAAAAGGAAGAGAAATACAGAAAAGATCAATAGAATAATTCATTATGGAACAAAAAAGATATCTTAAAGTGTGATATATTAATACCAGTTGTCCAGTTGTTGTTAACACATGACACGGTTAAGTAATTGTTTCCGTTATATTAATTGTGATTTTTTTTATGATCAAACTAAACTAGACAACCCTAGGGCTAAACCAAACCCTAAATAAAACCACACCATCATTCGTTCAAAATAATATTTGAACCTTGAAAGAGTCTTGCAAACATAAAAATGGGTTTTGCTATTTAATTTGCTTGTTGGTCTGGTGTTTTTTATTTTTATTTTTATTTTTTTTGTCTTAAGAAGGGGTTCATGTCGTTTTGTTGGAATGGCTAATTTAACAAATGAATCATTCGGCAGCCATTATGGCGTCGTCGAGTAAAACAGAGTCATCTTCCACCCACCCCTTCCCCTTCAGAGGGTTTTATAATATCGCGAAAAAAAATTTCTCTAATTCGACTCTTCTCTTTCCTTCTCTTCTTATTTCTTCTCCCTTCTTTTTCTTTTTTTTTTATTTTCTTTTTTCAAATGAGTTAGAGATTATTTATAACGTTATATACTCTTGAATTACCATCTATTGTCTCCGTCAGATTTACAAAGGTGTCTCCAATAGTAGACACACTCCTACACGTACAATGTACCCATATATACGTCTTTACTTTATTACAGATCGTTTTTAAAATAAATTACGCCTTCTTTGCGTCTCTTGTAGTGCATATGTATTTTACTCTAATCGATTTTTTCGTATTCTTCTTTCTTTCTTTTTTTTGTACTTTAATGCGTAGTTTCTCAAATTTAACCACTTGTCATTATAACATATAAGTAGTCAGTTGTATATTAGTACAGACTATACACGCAAAGAAACAATCTCATATTCATCTCTCTGAAACAGGTTTGACAAGGTTCAATATGTCCCAAATAACTATTTTTAACGACGTCCCACAACTACCTCCTGATGCTCTTTTTGATATTAAGAAAAGATTATCTCAAGATACTCGGCCACTGAAAGTCGATTTGGGTATTGGCGCATACCGTGATAATTCAGGTAAACCATGGGTCTTACCAAGTGTTCAATCTGCTGAAGAAAAGCTAAAGAAGGATCCAAACTATAATCATGAATACTTACCTATTACTGGGTTACCAGCCTTCACAAGTGGTGCTGCCCGTATCATCTTTGGCGAAGATTATGATCAAGAAAGAACTATCTCTATCCAGTCTATCTCTGGTACTGGTGCTTTGCATATCGCCGCCAAATTTATCGAAAAATTCTTACCTAATAAGACCGTTTACTTATCTAACCCAACTTGGCCAAACCATAAGGCCATCTTCGAAGGTCAAAATTTAAAGACTGCTGAATACCCTTATTGGGATGCAGCCACCAAATCTTTACAATTAAATGAGTTCATTCAAACCATAGAGACTGCACCAGAGGGTTCAATCTTCCTTCTACATGCATGTGCCCACAATCCAACCGGGTTGGATCCAAATAAAGAACAATGGAGCCAAATCCTAGACACCATCTCTAAAAAGAATCATATTGTATTATTCGACTCTGCATATCAAGGGTTCGCTACTGGTGACTTGGATAGAGACGCCTTTGCTGTCAGATTAGGATTAGCCAAATTACAAAACGTGGCTCCAGTAGTTGTTTGCCAATCCTTCGCTAAAAACGTGGGTATGTATGGTGAACGTGTTGGTTGTTTCCACCTAGTTATTCCAAACCAATCTAGTGAGATCAACAAGAAAGTTAAAACTGCTTTGAATTCCCAATTGGCCAAGATTGTCAGATCTGAAGTGTCCAATCCGCCAGCATACGGGTCCAAGATCGTGGCTACCATCTTAAATGATCCTGAATTGACTAAACAATGGCATACAGACATGATTACTATGTCTTCTAGAATCAGTGAAATGAGACACAAACTAAGAGACCATCTAGTGGAGTTGGGTACTCCCGGTAATTGGGACCACATTGTTAATCAGTGTGGTATGTTCTCTTTCACCGCTTTAACTCCAGAGATGGTTCAGAGATTGGAACAATACCATGCTATCTATATGGTTAGTTCTGGAAGAGCTTCTATTGCTGGTTTGAATGAAGGTAACGTTCTTCATGTGGCCAAAGCTATTGATGAAGTTGTTCGTCATTTCGCTACTAATAATCCTAAATTATAAGAAACAATAATGGATTTATGTATGTATAGGCTGAACTTTGTTTTTTTTATTTTTTATTTTTTCTGTATCTAATTGATTGATTGATGAATTATGTATAATGTCGCAGCGTAGTCAAGAAATGACAACAGATGTTTACACATTAAAGTACTGCATGGATCTATATACACATAAATTATTTGTTGTACATAAATTTATTATCAATACACAACCATATTTAGTTTAATTAATATCTATCTTTTCCAACTCACCAGTGCAACCCATATATCACTATATCTATTGCAAATAGAGTACCAGATATCGTCTCTTTATCATTATTATTTATTATGCCATTTACCTTAAACATCTAAAGTGCCGGAAATAAACCAAGTCACCAGACGGAAATCAAATCCGTCACAACCCGGAATGACAAAACAAGAAAGAAAAAAGTAGTTTAATGTCGAAAAATTGCAAAAAGAAAGTAAGAAAGATCGACCAAAAAAAAAAAAAGAAGAAGCAGAAAATGATTGTATCCACATCCTCTTACACATACTGACACACTTTGCCAGCATTTATTGATTATTGTTTACTTATATGGCTGTAACTAATATCATTATTGAATATCCAAACACATAATTTAATTTGTAGATATACAGCATACAATTATACAAAAATAAGTTGAAATCTGCAACAAATGAATATTAGAGACAGAACATCAGAGTTTCAAAGATGTATAATTACATATAAAAAATTGTATAATAAACAGTCTGCTTCGAATAGAAACGAATCTGGTAACAATGATAACAATGAAAAAAGTCGTCCTGTATCTGACTTCCAAAAGAAAGCCTCCGGTATAGCCAAAGAGATATCACGAACTGCACAATTATTATCTAAATTGGCTATCTTAGCGAAAAGAAAACCTATGTTTAATGATAATCCAGTGGAGATTGCTGAATTATCTTTTTTAATTAAGAGAAAAATATATTCTATTGAACAAGATTTGGTTGAACTTGCTAAAATAAGTAATAATAACAATAATAATGGTAGGGGTATCAATAATAAATACAGTTATAATAATAGGGAGAAACTTACATCGAAACACTCTCATAATGTGGTTAATCTATTAAACACAAAAATGAAGAATATTTCAGGAGATTTTAAGAATGTTTTGGAAGAGAGACAAAAATTGGAGTTAAGTAATAGAGACAGATGGGGGAAAATTAATGATGAGACTTCCAACAGTAATAACAATAACGTCACTGGAGTAAGTAATGAATATAACGATAATAACAGTAATAATGGCAGCAGTATTTCCACCAATATAGGCGAGGTTGGGTACAATAGTAGTAATCCGTTCATGTCGTCATTACTTGACGAGACAGATAACATAACTGATGGTAATAATGCAACTAGTGACTATGGAAATCAACAGTCTGGTATCAGTGGATTAGCTGTACCCACTAGTGATCAACAGCTGATGTTAATGGAGGAAGGTATGATAAATGAAAACATGTATTTACAAGAGAGAAGCCGTGCTGTAGAGACAATAGAATCTACAATTCAGGAAGTCGGGAATTTGTTTCAACAATTAGCTTCCATGGTACAAGAACAAGGTGAAACAATCCAAAGAATCGATGCAAATGTGGAAGATATTGATATGAACATCACAGGTGCTCAAAGGGAATTATTAAAATATTTTGATAGAGTTAAAAGTAATAGATGGCTAGCTGCCAAGATTTTCTTTATTATATTTGTTTTTTTCTTAATATGGGTACTTGTCAATTGAATAACAACAACAACAACAACAACAATAATAATAAAGAAAATAATATATAGTTTAAAAAAAGAAAACTTTAGCCGTATGTAGATAGATCAAAATAATGTGGAATTGGAATTGGAATTGGAATTGACTTTTTGATTGTATTACTAAAATATAAATAGTATTATAGACAACAAAAATCAACAAGAAAAAAAATAAAAGCAAATAAATAAAGAAATAAAATAAGTGACAGTAGTAATGTAATACAACATCAGCAACGTTCAAATACTCAAATCTTTCCTATTAATTTTTTTTTTGTCTTTTTTTTTCTTTCCCCTATATATATATACACATATATGCATATCGATACGTACATATATATACTATAAACCCATTTCAGCTTGTAATTCTCTTAATGCCCGTTCATCTTCATCTTCGCTTTCATTCTCACTTTGATTCATTCCATTTTCTTTAATTATTTTATTAGTGGATTGAATATTACTATTGGGTACTGATGGCAAAGAAATGTTTTGTTCAAGTTTAGCAGAATTAGCGCGAAGTGACGATATGTGGTCATTATTATTAGTAACAGCAGCAGTCTTCAACATATCAGCATGGACATTTTCTTCCTGTAACAATTCCAATTCTTGATCCAACTCATCTTCGTCTACTTCATTAGCTAAAGAGCCTGCAGTGTACAAGGGTTTAGAGATAGCGTCACTAATCTCCTCACTTAGTTGAACTTGTTCTCTAACTTCATCCATAGTTTCATCCACTTGATCGATATCCATATTCTTATGTATCGATTTCATTGCCTTAGCACCCTGTTGCATAGCTCTCATAGTTTCCGCATTCAGATTAGAGGTCTCGATGGTGAACAGTTGTTGCTCCAAAGAGTTGATTTGACCATCCAATTTTTCCAATTGTTGCTCATATATCTTCTTCCTTTTTAAACAGTTCTTGGCTAATGTCCGATTACCCTTATTTAAATATTTCTTAGCATCGTTCTCTGAATTTAATATCTGCGTTTGAAGATGGGACTGTTTCTTGTCCAATAAATTTATATGTTCTCTTAATTCTATGATAGCTTTCTTAGTCAACTCTCTACTTTTAGAGTTATTATTATTACTATAAGATTTTGAAGATCCACCAAATAAATACGACCACATGTTCTATCACGGTTAATAACAAAACTATCTATCTATCTATCTATATATATATATTTAAAACGAAAAAAGTGTAAACCAATTATATGATTTAATAGATAAAATTATCAGCGACGACAACGACAAAAAACTTATTTATACAAATATTGCTGTGTAGTTCTTATTGTTCGAGAACAATATAAATAAACCAACAAAAATAATTCAACCCAGCTACTACCTTCCATTTTTCCATTTTCCAATTCATGTATAGATATATGCTGTACTAATAATAGCCACTAGATAAGTTAAAAAAAAAAAAAAAATAGCGATATTCACATTACAAAATAAAAATCAAAAGGAAGACGGAAAAAAAGAAAGAAACCAAACCTTACCCGGCTAAGAGTCAGAATTACATAAAACCGGGAGCAAAGACGACGGAAACTGCAGAAACTGTGGAAACTATTCAATTCAATTTTAACTAGTGCAACTTCTCTCCTTCTTTCATTATTTTTTCACCATTTCTCAGTCCGTGGAAAATACTTTTAGCATTCATGTGGTTAATGTATATATACATACCATATATATATACATGTACAAAATTAATGGTATGAATCATGAATCGATATGATAATTCATTTTAAAGCAACGTAATGTGAAAATGTGTGCCACTTAGCTAGTTGTATCTCTCTACTAATAAACATATGTTGTATACAGATAAATATATACATGGTATATCTAGAAGAGTGAATAAACGATCATACAACTTTTCATTATTTACTGTTACTGTAAACAAGGCAGGTATGAATCCGTCGCTACCAGGGTGGTCCAAACAAACAACACAAGACATTGCTGCTTACCAGCAATTGTAATGAAGTGCGAGTGAATGAGAAGAAGTCTATGGAGAGCCAAACGATATCTCTAATTCTTCACACACACAGGAACCAAAACCACCAAATATTATTTTTTGGTGTTGCTGGCATTTATTTACACACGCTTACTTCCCTCCTCCTCTTCCCCCCCCTTTTTTTTTTTCGAGACAAGAGTTGGTGCCGCTCTTCCGGTTTTAGGTTTGTTGGAAAAAATGAAACACTTGGAAAAAAAAGAGAAAAAGGGGAAACAAGAAAAATTGCAACAGCAACCAATCACATAAGACATTATCATTACCTATGTTCGTTTGTATGTGTGTGTGTGTATATAATTAAATTAATGCCGTGTTACAAAATTATAACAGAGCTGTACAAACATATTCCTTTTTTTTTTTTTTTTTTTTCCGTCTCAATGTACGGGAACAAATCTTCGAAGACCATACGGTTTATGCCAATACATCAGATTTGGTCAGATTTGATTTGATTCGATTCTTCAATGGGATGAATGATTAAGAAGCAAGCACAAGGAGAGATGGAGAAAAAAATGGAGGAAAAAAAAGAGAGAGAAAGCGTGTGTGTGTGTGTGTGTGTGTGTGTGTGTGTGTGTGTGTGTGTGTGTGTGTGTGTGTGTGTGTATGTATATGTATATGTATATGTATGTGTAAAATTAAATTAATCCATTTCTCTCCTTAAATACTATCTTATATATCAATAGAATGGGGAAATGCTTCCCAATTTCCCTGTTTACTTGTTTTATATCCATTTGTTTTATATGTTCATTGATTGGGAACATATACTCCTACTTATCCTCTTTTTCAAAGATGTAAACGTAAGTGTCCTATTAACACTTTCTATTTCTCTCTCTCTTTCTCTCGTTTTTCTTTTTCCTTTTTCCGTTTTCCGTTTTTACTTTTTTTCTTTTTTTCCCTACTGTTTTTTGTAATACTTTAAATACAAAACAGAAATATATAGTCATAATCATAATACTAATACTACTACTAATAATAATGAATAGTAAAAGAGAAAAAAAATAAAAAGATAAATAAGAAATATCCTTTTGCATACTTTCTTTGTTACTCTCTTCTCTTTTACCTCTCTCAAGATTCAAGTGCATAGGTAAATAAATAAATAACTAAATAAATAAGTAAATAGGTAACTACATAAGTGATAAAATAAAGACCCAAGAACAGCAGGCACATATTTTCTCTACAACAGTTCAATCATGTTAAAGGCAGGTTTACCTAAATTTTATTCTACTTTGATCACAGACCAAGCAAATCATTTATGTACTAAAACATTTTTAGTAGCATCTAGATCCACTTCCCTAATCTCTCATTTCTCTACTTCTTCAATCAAAAATGATAAAGTTCCCTACATCGACACTACCAATTTAATGGATAAAAACGGTATTGAAACCCCCGAATTAATAAAACAAAGAAAACAAAGACCCATCTCCCCGCATCTGACCATCTATCAACCACAATTGACATGGTACCTGTCTTCCTTACATAGATTGTCTTTAATCTTCCTTGGCTTCGCCTTTTATGGTATCACCATGCTATTCGGTCTAGGTAGTTTAGTAGGCTTAGATATCACTACCCAAAAAGTGGTTAACTGGTATCATGATAAAGTCTCAAGAATGAATAAATGGGTCGGCCTGACTATTAAAGCTGGTTTCGCCTATTTATTCGCTTTACAATACGGTGGTGCTATTAGACATTTGATTTGGGATACTGCTAGTGAATTGACTTTAAAAGGTGTTTATAGAACTGGGTATGCTTTGATCGGATTCACTTTTGCAGCAGGTTCTTATTTATTAACTCTATGATTTTACAAAGGAAAAAAAAATAATAATAATAAAAAAAACAAAAATTATAAATATAAATGTTTTATTAATTTAAATATATTTTCTATTTCTATGTTTCTCCCTTTATTGCCCTCTCTTTCTCATTTTTATTTTTTTTGCTTCTGCTTATCTATCTATCTATCTATTCATTTATTTATGTATATATCTATATATTCCTTTTATTATGTTATTTATTCGTTCTATTGCAAACAAACTCTACTGTATAAACTCTATTCCACAACCCTACTATTCTTTCTGTTTTCTTTGTATTCCCAACAATCTAACCCTAATTGCTTCGTTTAAAAAAAAATAAAAAAATAAAAAAAAGAGGTAAAATAAAAAATACAAGTGGTGGTTCTATTATTTACGTATTGTTTTCGTTTAATTGCTAGCATATTTCAATTGTGAACAGTTTAAACCTTTATATAAATACATAAAGGGATAAAAGCATACGTACACAATTATATATTCTCATATACAACATTATCTAGTTAATGTTAGTATATATAGTGCTATTATTGTTGTAGACATCACAAAACAAAACAAAACAAAACAAAGAAGAAGAAGAAGAAGAAGCAAATATAAAACATAAAGTACTCATTAGCTTTTCTCCCCACCCCCCCTTCCTCTTTCATCCACATTTTATTTTTTTTTTCGTTTTCCAACTATGAGAAAATCCTATCCACCAGTCTACGATAATGAATATTATAAAATGTTTAATAGAATATCTTTCACTGATCTTTTCATTGTACTTTTGGTGTATCTTGAATCAATAATATCCTTTTTCCTAAAACTTATCCCAAGTAACATACTCAATCTGTTCACATCAATTATCAATTTCACCGCCAATATCGATGATACCACAATAGAAGAAAAATTAAGATCCGCTCCCACGATCCATGAAATGTGTGCATTATTCGATATCACCGTGGAAGATCATTTGGTGAGAACCGAAGATAATTATGTCTTGACTATCCATAGAATAGCTCCTAAGAAGAATAATAATAATGGCAAAGTGGTCTACTTACATCACGGTCTATTAATGTGTTCAGACGTTTGGTGTTGTCAAGTGGAAAGGCATAAAAATTTACCTTTTCTTTTACATGATTTAGGCTATGATGTGTGGATGGGGAATAATAGAGGTAATAAATATTCCACTGCACACTTATATCATCCACCAAAATCTGCCAAATTTTGGGATTTTTCTATAGATGAGTTTGCGTTCTTTGACATTCCAAATTCAATTGAATTCATACTCGATTATACACAGGTGGATAATTTGGTTTGTATTGGCTTCTCACAAGGTTCTGCACAGATGTTTGCTGCACTATCAGTCAATGAATATTTAAATTCAAAGATCAGCCATTTAATCGCAATCGCTCCAGCCATGACCCCTGAGAGATTACATAACGTGATCGCAGACTCGTTTGCTAAATCTACACCTCGGTTAATGTACTTATTCTTTGGTAGAAATATAATCTTACCAAGTGCTGTTGTTTGGCAAAGAACTACACATCCACATCTGTTCAGTATCATTATCGATATCTGTAACAGGCTATTGTTCAATTGGAAATCTTTAAACATCAAACCAAAACAAAAGGAAATCTGTTATGCAAAACTTTATTCCACAACTAGTGTCAAATGTATTGTTCATTGGTTCCAAATCCTGAGATCACAGAGATTCCAAATGTTTGAAGAATCGGATGATATGTTCAATTCTTTGACAAGACCATACCAAATTGCAAATTTCCCAACAAGAACAAACATTAAAGTTCCAATCTTATTATTATATGGAACATCTGATTTATTAATTGATATTGATGTGATGAAAAGAAATTTACCATCTGATGGTGTTTTCGATATTAAAATAGAGAAACATGAACATTTGGATTTAATATGGGGAGATGATGTTGATGTCTTGGTGTTTAATCAGGTGATTAAATTCATTGAATTTCTATCTGGTTCTAATGAAGATATGTTCCTAAAGAATAAACTACCTTTAACAACAATAACTGCATCCTCTGCGACTCCAACCAGTTTAAAATCTAATTCAATCATTTCTAGTATAAATGATTTGCCATATAGCAAAAGACGTCGTCATTCGTACACATTCTCAAGATTACAGCGAGCACCATCCCAAAATAGGAATGAAGATGATATAGATGTTGACAATGTAACTGAAATAAGAAAAATGAGAACCTATCAAGATGAAATTAATAGTTCTATATCATCACCAGACCATGTTGGAAAACAGAGAATATCTGATCACAATCACGGCAATGATAATGAAAACAATAGTACTAAAAATGCTAACAATAAAAAAAATGCAAGTGATTCAAATCTAATGTTTGTAGAAGAATCTGTAATAGATGATACTATTGGGGCAGCTTCTGGAATTGGTAGTGAAATAGAGATGGAAACACATACAATAAATACTATGTTAGGTCAGAATTCCAAGAAATTGATTTAAGTAAAAAAATAAAAAGAAGAAAACCAAAGAAAATAAGGAAAATGAAGTACAATCTTAAAAAATATTGCATTAAATTAGATATGATACATGCTGTATACATATATGACAAGTATATATTGCTCTTAATTCAAAAAAATACATGGTATAATGAAATATTGATTTTAATCAAAACTAAAGTTGTACACCAAGTTAGGGCTTATTTAATATTTTCAAAAGTTTGACTAAACCCTACTATTTTTCACATAGGGCATACTGTAAAAATTTACAAAATATTCTTGTATTTTTTTTTTTTTAATTTTTTTTTAAATAGAGCAAAGCAAAAATAGAAAAAGGAAACAGACAAAAGAAGAAAAAGAGAAAAAGTTCAAATAAAAAATTAGATGCAATAACTTTATTTTAATAGTGTAGTGTTTGTATATCTCATAAAAAGACTCATTACTTTGCTAAATAATAAGAAAAGTAATCTGACTTCAAAAAAAACGATTCCACCATTCCTTAAGTCATATTTATAGGCCATTCTTGAATTTCTCAAATTAGCTGGACGATGCCATATAATAATAATTTTTCAAGTTCTAAATATAGAGGTGGTAGGAGATCGCATCGCAATGCCAACAATACCAATTTAAATAGAGGTAGGAGAAACACACATAACCCATCAGCATACCAGCATGAACCAGCTACATTAGAAAATACAAATCTCCTGTCTAAGTCACAATCAAAAGATTCATTTACATTTTCGAATAAAAAAAGAATACGTCCTGACAGCATCAATGGCGATGATGATATCTCTTCCAATAATGATGAAGATTCTGTGACCTTCCATAATAATAATAACAATATTACAAATACGAATAAGAAACGAAATACAAATACTTATTATATGGGAAATAGTAAGATAACATCTAGATATGAAACAAGTAAAACAGACTATCCCAAAAGACATTATCAAACTAAGCCAGTATCTCGTTATGAAGGATCTAATAGAACTAGTTTAACCGAATACTCTAAAAATGCTTCTACGAAATCGTCTACATCAAAAAACACTATAAATATCAATTCTTTAGGTACATATAAATCAAGATTCGATAATACCACTCCAAGTAATACAATTTCAAATAGGGATATTTCAAGGGATAAAGATACAGGAAAACAGAACAAAAATACAATTTTTAATTTGCCAAAGGGTCCAAGAAGTAGTAGACAGATACTCTCTCAAAGATCCAATTCTTCAGCATCTCCAGTGACATCATCAACAGCACGGACAATTCCCAATAAATCTCGTTATAGTGGAAGTTCTAAGGTATCTGGCACAGTTCGTGAAACTACTTGTTCTTATCCCAAATATCAAACAATATCGTCTCAGGAGAGATCTACTTCAGTATACGAAAGGATTTTACAAGTGGGTGAAGGTACATATGGTAAGGTATATAAAGCTAAAAATACATTAACTAGACATCTTGTTGCATTGAAAAAACTGAGGCTACAAAATGAAAGAGAAGGATTTCCTATCACGTCGATACGAGAAATTAAATTATTACAATCATTTAATCATCCGAATGTATCATCTATTAGAGAAATTATGATTGAAGGTTCAAGAACGATATATATGATATTTGATTACGCTGATAATGATTTGAGTGGGATATTATTAAGTAAGAATATTAAATTAAAGGATTCACAAAGAAAACATATATTTAAACAGCTACTAGAAGGATGTTTTTATTTACATGATAAATGTCAAGTGATTCATAGAGACATTAAAGGATCTAACATCTTGATTGATAATATGGGGAATGTTAAAATAACTGATTTTGGGTTAGCTAGGAAAATAAATTTAGATTCTAAAACAGAACTATCACAAGGTTATACTAATCGTGTGATAACATTGTGGTATAGACCGCCTGAATTATTATTAGGTACTACTCAATATACTACCGAAGTGGATATGTGGGGGTGTGGATGTCTTTTATTGGAATTGTTTACTACGTATGCCATTTTCCAGGGGTCAAATGAGATTGAAACCATTACTAACATATTCAAACTTATGGGGACGCCTAATTTAACCAATTTCCCAAACTTATTTGAAATGCCATGGTTTTTCATGGTTATATCAAATATTAAGGAAAAATATGAATACCAATTTGATAACAAATTTAAAGACATTATTCCAAGCTTAGAATGTCTGAAATTGGTCAAAGGTTTACTAGACTATGATCAAAAGAAAAGATTCAGTGCGAAGGAGGCTTTGGAATCCCCATATTTCACCGAAAATCCCTTACCTGAACCATTAATACTTAATGGAGATGAAAGAGAGGGCGGATGCCATGAATATGAAGTAAAGTTAGCTAAGAAACAGCAGAAGGAAAAAGAAAAAGAAAAGTTGTTAAAAAATTAAAATCAGAAGAAGTATATATATCTTTAAATTATCCATATATCTACTTACATATTTATATATACACGTATACAGTCAAATAAACAATTAAACAAAAAAAAATTCGTTATTAGGCACCAAGTACTTATTACACTTTCACCAAAAAAAATGATAGGAAAGCCGGCTGAAAGATTTAAAAAGAAAAAAAAAGCATGCTAACTTCATTTTTTCTTTGATAATTCTACACCTAACCATTGGTTTGTTGATTTGAACCAACTTGTGTGAATTCTACCTAATTGATTAACTATATGAGTGTTACACTGTGTGGACATTGTGTTCAATTCATTTCTCGTTATTTGCAAATTTTCTTGTAATGTTTGTAGTTGTTGTGCTAGATATAAATATTGACTATCTTTTGAACTCATTTCTCACCCACAACTGAATTTATTCCTTAGGTAACAAATAATTGCTTTGACTAGGTATATAAAGCTGCTGTCCAATATACATTTTCTTCGCAAAATAGAATTCGATATTAAAAATCTTTAAATTAGTTTAATTAAAAGAAGATTATTATTAAATCCATTTAAAAAAAGAAAATTAAAAAAAAAAACTGGCATAACAATAAAAGAAACAATTTAATGTTAGATGAAATATGTAACACCAGTTATGAATAAGGGATAGTGGTCATAGGCAAGTGCTATAAACTGAGAAACTCTATATATCAATCTTAATGCCTATTATAGTTATCTATTAGAATAAAAAGAATTATATGGAATGCATAAGTAATATATTTGTCAATCTATTTATTATTTACATGAAAATATATAAATATATCTAACATGGATACGTCAAATAACATTATAAAATTGAACTAAATTTTTAATGATACTTAGTTAATCTCGAACACGAAACTTTCGTCCATTTAGGAACTTTATGTATTCCCTTTCTATAATCTCTCTCCTCTCTATCAAAAACAGTATATTTATTCTTTGAGGACATCTGTTCTTCCTTTGGGAAGAAAGAAGACTTATTATATAATCGTAACATTTTACTTCGTGGTTTAAATTTCTTTCTCATCTTTAAAGCGTCATCATACTGAATTCCCTTTGTCTCACAACGTGCCACATGTAATCCAAGAGTCAACTGTTTAATAACATTATCTACTTGTCTTAGCCTTAACCTTTGCCTGGCTTTTTGACCCATAGACATTCTCCATGGGATTTTCCATAACAGTCCACCTAATAATGTACTACTTGGTTTAAATGGTCCAAACATTACGTATGTAGGTATAATTATAATTTGTGATATCTATTCTCCTTTCCTCGTCTTCACGACTTGCTACTACCTATGACCAACTATAGACTAATTACTTCAATAAAAACGTAAGAACAATTAATTGGCCTCCTCTTTCTATAAGATCTATTATCCCCCTTTCCCCATCTCTATATAGACTTAAATTATTTTATTTTTAGTGTTTTCTATTTGGGAAGACCTTTCTTTTTTTTTTTTACTTTTTTCCTCGAACTTTCTCTGCCAATACAGAATATTACATTCCGCCAAGCAAACAGACACAAAAAAGGAGAAGGCAAAAACAAAAGAGAGGCAAAAAAAAGCTATTCAAATACATGTGCGGAAAACTGTATGGTAATATATCCCGGTTCCGGGATATTACAGCAACCTTCGGGTTTATACCGCCAACATATCCGAAATATCCGCAACAATCCGTTAAGCTCCGCTGAGATCCCGCTAAATTCCTCAACATTGCCTTTTTTGCTTTTTTGCTTTTCTTTTCTTTTCTTTTCTTTTTTTCGATCTTTCCTCCCTTTATTTTGTCAAAAAAAAAAAACAATATACAAAAGAACTAATCAATCGAGCTAAGTGAAATTATCACTTAATTTATTCCAATACATATTCAGAGGAAAAAAAGAAAAAATAAAAAACGAATTAAGCATAGATACTATCAATTTATATTCATTGTAAAGGACAATACAACTCGATAACCTAGTTCATTTGGTAATACGCCTATCCTCACACTTCGTCTTAACTTTTTTTATCATTTTTTGCTCTTATATTTCAATTTGTTAACCCCCTAGCCTATATTCAATAATATATTTAAAAGTGGAAAACAATAATGACACAAATAAAGGAATCCAACCAAGAAACAACAAGCACTAATAATGATATTGCAACTTCTGTATCTAAACATAATGCAAAGTTACCCATTTGGGTACTAACACCACAAGAAGAGATCCAAGCTCGAAAAAATTTGAAGAAATTTACTTATGAAAAATGTAATGATTATGTCAAAGCAATGGCAGATTGTGCAAAGCTCAATGGTGTTAAAGTTTTCCCAACTTGCAATTCTGAGAAAGAAAAAATGAAAGAATGTCTATTATTTTATCAATTGGATAAAAAATATTTAGATGAACAAAGAGATTTAGTAATATTAAATAAGATTGAAAAAAGATTACAACAAAATAAGCAATCTTCTGGATGAAATTTCTCTTTTAAAAAAATAAAATAAAATAAAATAAAAAAGAGCTGTATATATACACTTATTTGTAGAATTTAGACCTATGATTTGATTGGTATTTACTATCATTGTCAGCATTCTAATGTTTTCTATTATTAGAATAATTATTTATATCATTAATGACTTTTATCTTTTCCATTTTTTGTAAATAAATATAAATATATATATATTGATTTTATTAAACTTCTTTTTTATATACTATCCTGATCCTAGTTGCCTTGTTTTTTTTTTTAACATATATTCATATATGTGCTTGTCTGTTCACTTTTTTGTAGCCTTTCTCTTACTTGCATACCTTTTTGTCTTTTTTGTATATACATACATACATACATCTATATATATGTATGTATCAAAATAAGTCTAATAAATCTTGTGTATTTGATGTTGTTGTATTTGCTGAAGGTGCTTGATTTGAATCCGTATTAGATTGTTGTTGTGATATGTTCAAGTTTTTGACATCTTGGGTTATATTACCAAACAAGTCATCTAATTCCTTTAAAGTATTATTGTTATTATTACTAGATGCCATATTACTTGAACTATCATCTTCATCCCCAAAATCCAATAACACATCTTCATGCCCATCTAATAATTCATTTCTTGCAATATCTTGCAAGTCATTTAACTTTTGACTTTTGATTATGTTTTGATTCATCTGGCTTCTTCTTTTTCTTGATTCATTTAATATATCTTCTGTCAAGGGCTCAAAATATATGGAACTTATTGTGCCTAATTGGTTCAATAATTTCTCTAACGTGTCAGGAGAAAACATCTCTAATATGTTGTCAATTCTTGGCAATGGATTCAAACCATTGTTACAAAGTTCATTAATCAACTGATCCTTTTCAACATTTGAATCATCTATAGAAAAACATCTCCAATACATCATGGCCATATCTCTCACATCAATATCTACAGCCTCATAACTCGTGGCCAATTCAAATAGATTTTGTAACACACTACCTTCAAGCCTTGTATGTAATTTTATAACTGATAATAATATCGCCACTTGGGTCATTGATTCCTCTTGTGTAAAATTATCAATAAACGTTTTTAATTTTTCAATTACTGTTGTGAAATGATTTGGATATTTAGTCATCAACCAAATATAATGACATTTACTTAGATCGGATGTCAAAATATCTTCTGGAGATGACCATGAATTTAATATGGAGCATATTTGTTTAACCATACTCTCATTCATATCACAACATCTTAATAAATTGCTTAAGGCAACACAACAGTCATCACGTATAGTCTCAATACCTCCACCACGTTCTAATATCTCATTACATATAATATCTGCAATTTTAGCAATAAATATTTCGTTTCCATTCTTGATCCCAAGCTCTGCCATAGCTTGAATTGAACGTGATACAAATTCTAGTTCAAATTCCATAGAATATTCCTTCAATTCATTTAATAAAAGTGTACACTGTTTGATGTTTGATACATCTACTAACCTTACCAAAATTTCAATTTTTTCTAATTTAACATACATAGGATCATTAAACTTAACATAAAAAATTCTCAATTCTTTGTTCAAAATTTCTGGATATTTTTCCAATATGATTCTGATGTTTTTCAATGCAACATATTGTAATTCTGGTGGTGTTGACATCAACGAGACTAATGCGGATGATATCTTTTTCATTATCTTAGAATCTGGAGAATATTGATTTGGATCTAATTGGGTGATATTTTTTAAGATAACCTTCACTGTAGCCAGTACGACAGATGGATTTACATGTTGTAAATGTGCTGTAACTCTATCAATAATATCTTTTGCTTCCAATGAATCTCTTGAATTGTACTCTGCCAAGGCAGTTAAAATTGTCATTCTAGCCCATTCTGTGCATTCATTTAGTACTAATAAAAATTTAGATACATGTGTTTCAATTAACCTTATTAGATCAATAACAGTAGGATCTATTGAATTAATCTCTATAATAGAAGCGATGGCATTGGAAATAACCATTGGATTATCATCATCTAAAGCGTTGGCTAAATCTTCCAATACACCCAGTTCAACACATAATTGTTTATTTAATTGGAACAACTTGGCCACACAAATGACTGCTGTCTTTCTTACATAGGGATTATCATCTTGTAACGTGCGACGTAATGGGGTATCTATATATTCTAAAATCTTATCTACTTTGATCATAGACATTGTTCTAATTGCCATACAACGAATCAATGGATTTGGATCTTGTGAATCTGTGACAAAAGTGTTAACGGCTAAGATACATAATTCTGGATATATTTCAGCGTAATTCATAACATAAAGATACACCAACTTCTTTTGTTCTATGTCTATAGTAGCAATATTTTTTAACACATCTGGGAATAAGGGTGATACATCTTTACCCAAAGTCATTTGCTGAATAGTCTTCTTAATTGCATCTTTACGTGTTTGAGGGTATGGTGAGACTAGTCCAGCTCTTAATTCTCCAAATTCACCTTTATCTGATATTTTAGGAGCTACTCTAATAGAATTCTTTAGAAACTTTTTGATTTTCTTATCCAACGGTGGCATTATAATAATATCAGTAATGTATAGTTAAATGCCCAGAAATTAAACTTCTATTATATAGTATATTGATATTACTAAATATTATGTATGCAGATGTGCACAGGACTACTGTTCTTGTCTTCTTTGCTTATCAAAAAAAAAAACCTAAGAAAAGGGCAATAATGTTTGATTCGTTTGAAGGGTAAAACTATGAATGCTTAATGTTATATGTATCTTATATATATTTTGTGTATAACTTGTTTTGTTTCAACTTTCAACCTCTGTTTTTTCTGTTCTTCATTATTTTTATTTTTCGTCTCTTATAAAAAAATAAAACCCTATTGAAAAATTACTCGTAAATAGCGAGCAATGATGAAGAACGAATGATGACTTTTGATCTGCTACTAAGAGACACTTTAAGAGAAGATGTTGGCTGATGAAAGAAGATCAGTGACAGGTATGATAGATACCTGAAGATGCAGTGATTAGAAATAATATATATAAGAAAGGAAATAAATAACCAATCTACAATTAGATCAATAAATAAGTATCTAATGAATAAAATAATTACATAGTAAAATAGCTAAATAAATACCACCAAATAAATTAGAATAGGTATATTTATATGTACAAGGGGAGAAAAAAACAGACGTTAAAGTTGGTAAATACATATTATGAGTTTAACGAAAATTTTTTTCATAAATCTTTCACTTCAGCAATGTATTTTATTGCATTAATATCACCTTTCTTTAACTCTGGCTGATCTAATACAGTTGCCACACAATCCCAAGGATCCTTTAACCCACCCCATTTAAGCACGTTATTTTTGAATTTTTCACCACTTGTACGACTATATGGATTGGCTTGAAACAGATAATTCCATACCTTGGCCGCGATGGCTCTATCAAACAAATAACTGTAATATGTTGCACCATAACCAAATAAATGGCCAAATTTACCACACCAGTTTGTTTTATTGTCTACTAACACCTTCAATTCTTTTTCAAGATCTTGATACAGTGTAACAACATCCAAATGTTCAATATTTTCAATTACTTCTTCATCATGCAGTCTTTGATCCAGTAATGACATCTTTGCTTGAGCAAATGTTTCACAATTTTGCAAAAATGATGATGATTCTTTTAATTGTTCTCTTAATAGCTCTATTGGTATCTGTTCTCCTGTTAAATAGTGTCTTCCAATATTTGACAATATACGTTCATCTTTAGCAAAATGTTCCATTAGGATACTTGGTAATTCTACAAAATCTGTGGTACATCTTGTTCCACTAATATTCTGTAATCTAGTTCTACCCAACATGGAATGCATTGCATGTCCCATTTCATGAAACAAGGTTTCTATTTCATTCAAATGCAACAAACAAGGATTTTCATGACTTTTACTAAAAGAGCAGACTAATGATATTATTGGTAATTGGAATTTTCTACCATTTTTATCAACCCCAATTTGCATAATATTTTGATTATTCTCATTTGGATACACTTCTCTAGAACAACATATCGTGAAATGCGCTGGACTTGAAGGTTTCCCATGACGTTCAAACAAGTCACAATATATTATACCAATAGGATCCTCTGTTTCAGACTTTACCATAATCTTTCTAACGTCTGAAGACCAAATTTCATTGGTTTCTGTGGGGGACAATTCAAAGTGTATACCATAGATTTGGTTAAATATTGTGGATAGTCCTTTCATGACTGAGCCTAAAGAAAAATATGTATTTAATGGAGTTAAATGCATGGATTTATGCTGTTCTTTTGTTGATTTCAGTTGGAAAGAATAATAATCTCTATCCCAAGGACGAACAATTTTAAATATTTCGTTATTAGTTTTAGGTGATGGTTGTCTCAACAATCTACACTTCATCTCTGCAATTGGTTTTAATTCTTTTGCTGTAGCTGTTTCTGTATATTTGATTAAACTCTCCAAAAATTGTTTGACATTGTCAGGTGTTTTAACCATTTTACCTTCTAATTGATAAGCAGCATAACTGGTTTTACCCATAATTCTAGCTAATATTGCTCTTAATTTCATTAAATGTGTTAATTTTATAATCTGTTCATTTGATGAATTATGTAAAGCAGTCCATATCTTGCATCTAATATCTTCATTTTGACACGTTCTTAACATGATTAATGGGATAGAACCATAACATGGTATTTTATAATAATATCCAGTTACATCCTTTGACAATTGGTTTAACACAACAGGACTCAGGTTATCATCATCAAGTTCTTTAACTGGAACATTAATGTATGTATCAGGTATAATGTCTACATTATTTATAAATTCCTGACCAATAACACTGATATCTTGAGATAATGATATGAATTGATCTCTTGTCTCTGGGTTCATATAAATCCCGGATTTTTTAAAATCTTCGAGAAGAATATTCCCAACCTTAATTTCTTCTTGTGATAAATGGGATACAATGTTGGAATCAGTTAAAACTTGTTCCAATTTTTGACAGAGCTCAACATCAGTATTTAAAATATTCATAAATTCAAACATTTCTTCGTGACATTTTTGTGCTGCTTTTACAAATTTGTTGTCTGGATGAACTGATCGAATGAACTCACATAAATCAATAACTCGACATAAAGTATCACTTAACTGATCTAATCTTAGAATGTATTGAATCATCCCCTCTTTACTTCTATCTGTTTTTAAAGTATGTATTAAACCATTCGCATATTGTAGAGATATTTTGCTAAACTGTCTTAGCCCATTGGGACTATTCAAATAAGGGTTATTAAATAAGCCATGCGATTTCTGGCTCATTAAAGTGCCTCTAAATTTGGAAAATATAGATTTATTACCACTACCATAATCCGTATTAACAGTGTCTTGTATCTTCATTTCATTTTGAGGATATTTTTTTTTCTAGCTTGGACTTACATTCTTTCCAATATTTTTCATTATCAAACCCTTCTTTTAGATCAATCGCTTGTTGGGCAAGATAGGAATCTTGAATAAAGTATCTATTATATGTAATGTGGGTAAATGTGGTTCTATTCTTAATATAACGATAAAATATTGGTTTCCAGCATAACTGTTTCTGTAATTGAGGTGATATATTCATTTTTTTTTCTCCTCACGTCTCCAATTGTCTTCAACGAATATCTATTAGTTTGTAATAATTTTGTATTTCTTTACTAACAGGGCTATATACCTTTGAATTAATATTATTATCAGTATATATTATTGTTTAGATTATGAACCAGATATTAGTTAATATGGATTTGTAGCACCTCTTCTTTTGTGTATATAGTTTTGGCTTTGCTTCTCGATGCTTCTCTTTTCTTTTTCTGCCGTGAGTAACCAAATCTTAATTTTTTTTACTTGACCTAATAAAAGTTTTGCAAAAACTTAGAAAAATAAAAAGAAATTGTGATAACCTAAACTTTTAAGAAATACCAGAGAAAAACATATTAAAAAAGAATGTATATTAAATATCAATTTACCCAAATGAAGAATATGAAAAATATGTTAAGAACAACATTAGGTAATAGATGTGCATGATTATACTGATATATTAACAATATAATATCATATTTATTTAGTGATATGAATATATAAGTAAGAAATATTGTTCAATAATATTTGTGTTCAATATTAATAGTCATGTTATCACACTTCCAATAGTTTTTTCAATTTTGTATACTCTAGCATTGATTCTTGATATAATTCATCAAATCCAATACTCTTAGATAAATTTATCGATTCTTCCAACAATCTTTTTGCCTTTGGTATTCTATTTTCATGTAAATTGATAATACCTAATCCATATATAGATAGACAGATAGCCTGTGAAATAGTTCCATCCATCGATTGAATTGAATTTGTATCCTTACCTGATTTTGCGTTATAAATTACATTTTCGTAATACCTGGTGGCCATATTAATGGTAAATAATCTGTTTTGTTCCATTTCACTTATTAATTGGGGTTTTTCTGGACATTTTTCTTTCACATGAAGAATATGAGCTTCAATGTTTTCAGCTTTCATGTAAAGCAATGATCCTAAATTGGCTTGTGATAATAAGATTTGCCCTTGTGACATATTGGTTAATATCATCCATCCAATAGTAACTAGTTTAGATTCTACTGCTTGATTTATATTTCCTTTCTTCAGAAAAGTCTCTGTATATAAATCTCTAATCACAAAATATTCTTCCTTGAACGTTGACAATACATGACTAAACTGTTTTAGTCTGCTTTGATTAATGGATATTTGTAAATCTCTTTCACTTTCATTGCTCTTATTCGAAGATATATTACCTTTAACAAGTAAGGATGGATCACTGTCATTTTGCATTATTTTTTGTAGGTCAGGATTTTTTCTATAAACCTCGTTTTCTGCTAACTTCAAATGAGTTTCAATAACATCAAGCTGTTGATTATATATAGCGTTGGATTTGATGTTCTGCAAATTTTGATTGGAGATAATTTTATTTAAAATACTCAAATCCTTTTTTATCAAATTTTCCCTTATAGATTGTTCAATTGTGTTGTCATTATGTTGTCCAGCATTACTATCTGTACTCAATGTGTTATATATTCTATTCAAAATTATCAAATATATTTCATTAGCTTCAGACAAATTATTCAATTTTTCATACATCTCGGCCATTTTAATCTCAACACCTGTATATTCATTACTAAGCTTATTCATTTCTAATCTTTTACATTCTTCCAAAGCATCCATATAAAATCTTATGCTTGTCTCAAAATCCTTAAATTTTCTTTCTTGCCAAAGTGCATTTCTCAATGGTTTACTTACTGATCTAGGATAGTTGTTATGTAGGTAAAAATAGCAGTAGATGCCATATCCAGTGATTGTGGTTAATCCAATGATAGTCAATGTTCTCTTGCTGATATATTTAGTTTGTTCAGGGGTACTTGAATACATTCTTCTACTAAAAGAAGAAAAATACATACATCTTAGATATCTTTTTGGAATATTGACTGATGAGAAGAGAATATTATTATTCTTGATACAACTAAACATTTATTTTTTTTTTAAAAAAAAAAACTCCGTTCTATTCTACTGGCTTGCTCTTGATTCTATATCAGAGACTAATGAGAGCATGCAATTATTGTACAGATGATAAACAATATTCTTTATATGCCCTCTTAATTATTACAAAAAGTTCTCCTTTCTTTAAAATCTATAAACTCGCATATGCATATATATGTTTTTAATATTTGCATATCCTGAATAGTTGCAGCCTCTTCACTTGTTTTTCTCTTCTGACTCTATTTTATTATTGTGTACTCTTTTTTCTTTTCTAAAATAAAATTAGAACAAATAGGAGAAAAAAAGCATATAGACCTAATGTATAAATAAAAAAATGATTTAAAACAACAGAGCATATCTATTAGCCCTACTTAATTAATCTTTGAATCATATTCGGACACTTATTATCTACATACATAGAAATAAAACGATACTAACTACATATGTATGTATAAACACAGTAACTGACACATGTTGCTTATTATGGCGATAGTGGAAAATCCATAACCTTAGTAGCCATATGCATATATTGGATAAAAACTTTAATCAACTTTAATCAACTTTTATTATATATATTTTACTGGTTATTATTATTATTATTATTATTATTATTATTATTATTATTATTATTATTATTATTATTATTATTATTATTATTATTATTATTATTATTATGTAATCTCAATAATTCACCGCATAGATACAATGAACCACATATTACTATGGGTTGTCTATCCTTTTCTGGGATACCAGCCAGTTTGACAAAAATTGAATGGATATTGGGTTCTGCAATTACATTTGATGTGTACCTACTTTGAATATGTTGTTTTAATATTTCCGGATCTGTAGCATGGATCCAAGGCATACCTTCCACATTTCCAAACTTTGTAACATAAACTAAATCTTTTACACTTAAAAGTGGATCAAATAAATGAATTATATTTTTACCTTCTGTAACTGCAATGATATATGTTATTGGATTATCGCCGTATGTATTCCTGATATATTTAGACAATTCTATGGCAGCACTATCATTATGTGCACCGTCTATCAGCACATGAATTGATCTTCCCTTTTCATAAGTAAAATCTAAATTTTGCAATCTGCCTGGCCATACAGTATTATACAATCCCTTCAATAAATCCTCTTTTGAAAGCTTTATTTCGTTTATCTTTTGAAGATGATCTATTATGGATATGGCAACTTTTAAATTAAATATTTGATATTCACCATTTAATGGTAATTTTTCTATTTGAATCTTCCCCCAAGAATCTGTTTCTATTATATTACTGTCTTTGTAAGGATCGGTAATTTTCATTTCACACCCCATCAGATTGCATTGTTCCTCAATTGTCTTTAAAACATTGATATCATTTGTGCCATCAACAGAAACAAATTTTACACCAGGAGTAATTATTCCTGCCTTTTCATATGCAATCTTAGTCAATGTATCGCCTAGGAAACTTTCATGGTCTAAACTTATCTTAGTTATTCCACATGCTAATTTATTTTTTCCAGGTATCACATTTGTTGCATCTAATCTACCACCTAAACCAACTTCTAATACACACCAATTACAGTGTGCTTCTTTAAAATATAAAAATGCAAGACACGTTAATAATTCAAATTCTGAACATTTGATAGAATATTTATTATTGATTTCAATTAATGATTTTTTGATTGAATCGAATTTATACTGTGGGATTGGATTGTTATTAATGGTAATTGAATCTGTAAGATGAATCAAGTGTGGTGTAGTGAACTTACCCACTTTAATAAATTGACCATTCTGAGAAATATGAAGATTTTGGTTTTGGTTTTGGTTTTGTAATATCGTGGAGATATAACTACATACAGATCCCTTACCATTTGTACCAGCTACATGGAGAACTTTTAAACTTTCATGTGGGTTTCCAAGATGCGATAACAGCTTCGTGATTCTAGATAATCCTAGTTCAATACTCATTGATATTTCACTAAGTTCAACTCTGGACTTAAATATCAGTATATATGTGTAGCTAGTTGTCTTATGCAACTTAGACTCAAAGTTTTACTAGCATTATAGTTACGTAAATAAACAAATTAGCAAATAGGAATTTCCCATATTTACCTATTTGAAAAACTCTGACTAGTAGGCATTTTCTTGCACACGTGCCAGAATAAAATGGGGTAGTTCTTCATTCAAAAACAAACTAAGCATCTGCTTCATCACCATCGTTAACGACCATAATAATAATAACACTCGACTGTAACGAGGAATAACAAAACGAAAGTTCCCTCCTCTCCTCCCCCCCCCCCCTCTCAATCCTGAATGTTTTTCCTGATTTTAATAACAGAAAAAATCTCTCGACCGGATAAACTCAAAAGTTGATAGTTTCTCCGAAATTATGCCCCACTTATGATCTTGTAGGAAAATAGCAGGCTTTTACAGGTTTTAAAATGTCGGCATCGACTGCCAATTGCTAAATTACTGAATCTGTCAAGTGCATGAGATAGAAGACAGGTTATTAGGACTATAAACTACTATTTCCAGTGGAACAAAAGTAAGTTGATATTTTTTTTTACTTAAGATTGATCAATATTTAACAGTTCGTCTATAAATGTTACATTATAATAGCATACTCGAATTACTTTTTGTTGTAACTATATGATGTTATTGTTACAGCATGTTACTTATACAATCTACCATACAATTAGGTTTAAACAGAGCCTATTTTTTTTTGCCAAACTTTTCTTGCCATTTATTTGCGGCATCGTCAAACTCGGTCTCTAATCGTTTTATATGACTACGGAGAATCGTGTCCCAGTCATGAGTTAATTTTAAATATTCAATGGAATCCTCCACCTCCATAATTTCTTGTACAAAAATATTATCAGTTTCTCCATCATAATTCTCATTTTCTTGATCTTCAGCTGCATATTTTAATGCTGTACTAACCACTTCCAGTTGTATTGATGGGTTTTCTACACCGATAGATTCTACCATCCATTGTGTATATTTAACAAAAACTTTGTATGTATCTTCAATACTAGAAATACATTCCTCACAAAGAGTTAAATCAAAATTTAATGTCTTTGAAATAATTTCTTTTTGTAATGAACTTGTAAAAATGAAATTCAAAAGATCTATAACTTCCAAAAGTTTCACAAAATTAGAGGCCATATAAACTACACTTTTTTCTAATGGATCACTTACATGGGCATCTTCATATATATTATTTTGAATCATTTGTAAAGTGTCATTGAAGTGTCTCAACTTTTTCACAAATTTTATCAAGTTAGTTCTTTCGTACTTTAATGATCCAACACGACGTAAATGATTAATAAATCTATTTAATACATGTATGTAAAGTGATAAATACTTAGAAAATGCCTCAATAATAGATTCAAATGCAAATTGGAGGTCATCAGTAACAACTAACTCACCAGTACCGTATTCTTCTTCATCAAAGCTATCCATCATTATCAATCTTTGTTTATATTCGCTTTATGTTTCTTATAACAGGTTTTTTTTCTCGTAATCAGTCAAAATATTGATAGCAATACTGTTTCAATAATCTGTATTACTCTATAATATCTTTCTGTTCAATTATTTTTTGTTTTGATAATCCTTGCCGGTTTAAAACTAATACTGTAAAGTGAGCTCCTTTATAATATACCACATATATATTTTTTTCGTATCTAAATGTGTATATATCGTTGTTTTTTTTCACTGAAATAAATCCAAATACTTAGATATTATCACTAAAGTGCGAAAAAAAGAAATAAAAAAACATTGTAGAATTACTGTGAAAATATAAATAGTACGTATTTTCTTGTTTATAATAAGCTAATAGAGTATTTTAACTACTAGTTATCAATATAAATAAAAGTTAAGTCAATAATTATCATTTTATTCATTACATAGAATCGAAAGCATTTCGTCATTGAGTCCTAAAATATATAAACAAAGGCTATGTATATGTATATATAACAATATTATATTAGATGTCCATATAGATAGCTGTATCTCCAATTTTTGACATTTTCATAAATATTTTTACCAATCATCATCATCATCACTTTGTTCTTCTTCATCTCCACTCTCTTGTCTCATTTTATTGGCTCTTGCAGCTAGTGCAGATGCTAATCCATCACTAAAGCTCTGCTGTGTGGACATGGTGGTAGCACCTGCAATAGAAGTGTTTGTTGAGTTGAAATCTTGTTGCTGGCTTGTAGAGGATGCAGTGCTTTGTGGAACAGGAGTATATTGTACTTGGGTTGGTAAAGTTTCTTTATATTCAGTCATATACGCTGTTGGAACCCAACCTTCTTTAGATCCATCTAAGAGTTTGGCTAATGACCATCCACTCGGTTCTTGTCTACTTACATAGACAATATCACCTTTCTTTAATGGCAATTCAGAAGGAGACCCTGAACCTGGGAAATCATATGCAGCTTGGAATTTTGGTTCCGATGGTTTGGCCATTGGAGGAGGAGGAGGTGGTGGTGGTGGTCCTGCACTCTTCTTCTGGGTTGTTGTTGTAGCTGGTTCAACAGCAGGTTGTTGTTCTGGTTTTGGTGTTGATTGTGTTTTAGACTGAGCTTGACTATTACCTAAGTTATTGGCTGATGGTGGTCTTGGTGCTGCTTTTTTATGTGCAGTGGTGCTAGTGGGTGGTATTAGACTTTTTGAGGCAGATGTAGATGTACTATTTGAAGCAGCAGTATTAGAGGTATTATTTGTAGGGTTGTAAACGGCTTTGGCTGCACTAGCTGCTAGGGAATGACCTTGCATAACCGGTGGTGGTGGAGCTCTCTTCTTGGTAGTAGCCCTTGGGATTGGTGCAGCAGGTTTTGATTGTTGAGTATGATGTACTGGCGCAGTATTGCTTTGCGTAGAGAGCTTGGATATTGTAGATATATTGTTATGAGCTGGCTTTGATATGTATGTATGTGTGCCAATTTTCTTTTTTCTTGGTTTTTTATGTTGTGAAGAGTTTCCAGGGTGACCACGACGAACAGAAATAGTACTGGATTTGTAAATATCACCATACTTAGGTGCTGCCTCATTAATTTGACTTCTCACTACATGCATTTTTCCAGGTTTCTTTCTGTATTCTATAGTAGAATTAATTTTAATTTTAATGGAACTATTTAATTTTTTTAAATGGGTAACTAATTCAGTTTTAAAGTATGTATTGATCAATGGATCTGGTTTATTAACATCGGTGATACCAACACCTATCCATCCATCTTGCAAGTTTGTCATGTTCAACTGAGTTATTGTTTTAACATCAATAATGTATTCTGCAACATATTTCATTGAATTTTGAATCATTGTTTGACCTATAATATAGAAAGCAGTTGGTGTTACAATAAAAGTCTTTGGAAGTCTTTGTGCAGATCTACCAAATTTGGAATGTAATGCTTCACCATGAATAGAAAAAATAACCTTTTCTTTAATTCCAGCTTGTCTTTTGATATATGAACCTTTTGTCTTAGATTCATTACATGAAAGATAATCTCCCATAAATGCTCTATAGCCTAATAATGACATTGTTCTTCTTTCCTTTCTGCCAGCCAAAAGTTTAGTACCATAATCACGTAACTTTTCATATTTGTTACCTTCTTTCTTTTCTCTAATAGCTCTTTGAATTTTAGTAGCTGCATCGATTCTTCTTTGTAAGAATCTTCTCCAAGCACGTTGGATTCTTGCCGCCATGTTATGCCAGTATCTATCTCTCATATGCTCTAGTGCAAATAAAGTTTCTGGTGTTTTAATAAAAACACTAGTGGTACCCAATTGAAATTCTGTTGAGGGAATTGCTGTATCTGTTAATATGTGTTTAACAGCATCTAATGTTTCACCCTGCCATATATAGTCACCAGCATAAGAACAACGTGAAGACAACAAATAAAATCTTTCCACAAATTTATCAAAAGTTTGTCTATAAGCAAACCCTGCTCTCCTAATTCTAACGTTTTCTTGTAAACCCAAATACTTGATTTGATGTAACACTTGATGGTCATCATAATCACTTGGTGATTTAGTTTGGTTAGGTTTTATAGTTCTGATATAGGAAGGTTGTGCTTTTGACAAAGTTTCTACCAATTCATTTGCACTCTTGATAATCTTATCACCAGCAGTAGGAGGTCTTCTTTTTGAATCCTTGTCAACTTCAGCTGGAAAGATGGTATGAATAAATGGATTTTGAGTGGTACTCATCAATTCCACTAAATCCTTTTGTAATTGATCCTTGTTTTTGTCAGTAATACCATTCACTTCATATGTGACATCCCCTGCATAATGTTTAATAACAAATTTGTTCTGTCTCAATTCAAAATGAGGATTGGAGCTAAATAGGTTTAATCTTTGAGCAAATGCTTGATCGGCAGCATTAGAATCAGCATGAGCTGTGGCTACAGAATCATTCATTGCAGCAAAAATACCTGGTGGTCTTCTTGCTTCAATCAAATCACAAACAACTTTATTGTCGAAATATTTGATAGGTGTCCATTGAATTTGTTCTCTTTCATAGGTTTCTTGTTCTTGTTTTAAAGTTAATTGAATGAAAATTTGTTGTAACTTTTCGTTAACATAGTTGATACAAAGTTGTTCAAAAGAATTATGTTCAAAAATTTCAAACCCATAAATATCTAAGATACCGATGGATTTGTCAGCACCGGGATAAGCTTGTAAAGAAATGTTGACTCTATCCACAATCCATTCAAACAAATTGTTATAAATAGCCTTCGCCAAGGCATCTCTAACAGCTGTTGCTTGAACAATGTTTAATGGAACATGATAGATAGAACCTCTTCTCATACCATGATTAGTTTCCATTATTCTTTCCACCAATGATTTTATTAATAATTGTGCATCAACTTGTAATAAATATGCAACAAAATCTGTAACAGAGGTATCTCTCACTTGTGCATTTCCTTCATCATTTTCAATGAAAGTGATATTACCAATCCATAAAATAGCAGATAATGCTCTGAATATTTGGTCTTGTTCTTCTTGTGTTAGCCCAATAATTTTCATAGCTTTCAAAGTTTCATTAAATTCTTTAACATCGTCCATATTATCCACAGCTGTGCAGCCTGATGCAGAGGTATAAATGTATTGTTCTGGTTTCTGTACTCCAAAAATTTGTCTATATTGTTCAGATGCACCTTTAGTAAACTGGTAAAAAATGTGGAAATTTCTTTCATTTTTAATTTGTCCTACGACTCTTTGCTTCTCTAATAAGTAATTTGTAATATTCCCTGCACATGGTTCAAACTGAGAATTGAACTTGATTTCTAAATATTTACCATGTCTAGAAGAGTTATTATTTCTTAGTGTTTTGGCACAACCAAATGCTTCTAAAAGTGGATTGGTAGCAAGCACCATATCCTTGATCTGACCGATAGATTCAGAGTGTGAAGTGGAAGCAGCAGCAATGTATTGCATGATTCGCTTAGCAGCTTCAGTCTTACCTGCACCTGATTCACCAGAAATAATAACACATTGGTTTTCATTATACGATTTTAAATTGTAATACATGGCTTCTGCAATTGCATAGACATGAGGAGGGACTTCCAATCTATTTTTACCCTTATACGCCTCAATAATGGAGTCTTTATAGATCCCAAGATCACGAAATGGATTAACACTAATTAACACATGACCAATATAGGTATAAATAGTTCCATTAAGAAATCTTTTCTTTAAATTTTCATTGATAGCTTCATCTGAGATTTTTGATAATAAAGTTAAATCAGAGACACCAACTTCCTTCTTTTTTCCTGATTCAAAAGTGGCCTTTTTGATTTTAGCAGACCTTTTCTGTGGGACTGCTGCTGTTTTAGTACGAGCCCCTCTTTTCAATAAAGCCATATTCTATTGGAAATATGTAAGTATACTTATAAAGAGAGGAATAAAAGGGAGTAAAAAACGTTTCGTTTGTGAAATAAAATGTATATATATATATATATATATATATAAATTTTAGATGTTTGTTATTCGATGTGTTTATTTAATTAAGTTGAGATGTGTATATTTGACTAGAATTTGGTATAGAAACACAGTATGTGCTTTATTTGCTTTATCTAGTCGTTGCGTTTAAATGTAATGATAAATGGAAGTCGATCAGCTTCTTTTTCTTTACCTTTAGATTTTTACATTTTTTCCTTATCTTCGAAATTTTTTGTTTTTCATTCCAGTCACACAACAAATTACAGGTGACACATATTTTCCGTCAAGGTAACAGCGCCACAAAATGATGTCACTGGGAAAGAGATATTATGGATAATATTAAGAGTGAACAAGAGAACATGTTCATATGAATAAGTGATAGCATACTTGTGTTTTGCATACTCGTAAAATCTTTTGAGGAAAAATATGTTTCATTAAAAATAATAAGAGTTCTTTGATTACATATACAGGTGTCATGAATATATATTGTCTTTTGTTATTGATATTTATGGATATAACACTATACATATACGTATGTTTGTTTGAGAAAAAGCTTTTAGGAAAATTGGGAAGAAATAAAAAAGTCCCTTTAACAATTAGAAAATAGTTTTTCTATGTTGAATTGGAATCTAGTGTTGCACGAAGTTGAAGTGTCTATTACAAAAAGTGTGTCCAAGATTTCTGCTCTTATCTTTTTCCTCAAGGGACCAACTGAGATTCGGAATTGATTGGGCCCACTGTTACCACCTTTTTTTTCTCGTAGTCTTCTTTGTTTATGGTTAATCCTACTACTTGGTAACAGTGGAGGATTTAAAAGAACTTTGTTTCTAAATATTGCTTCTTCAGTTCCCGGTAATAATAAATATAAAGACCAGGAATTAAATTTTTTTTGAGGATCATCACTCAAAAATTTTGTGTAATTGTATTTTCTGCTAATAAAAGTTGAAAATATCAGATCAAAATTCAGTGAACCTTTAAATTCTTTAACCCACAAATTAATATTATCACCTAGTAATTTGAAATGGTTATGATTAGTATTTAAAAATTCTAAACAAAGATTTTCATAATCCTTCAATGTGATTCCAGTAAATTTTGTAAAAAGTCGATGTAAGTGGCAGGGACTGCTATTAATTATATCACTAATATTATGGATTGTGTAAGCTTGCCTATTTTCTGTGGCTATTCTAACATTTGCGCTGATGTTTTTGGAAGCTTGCATAATACATTTTTCAAAATTTAAAACACCATTTAATATACTAAAAACTAGTAAAAATGTAACTTCTTCAATTCTTCTAAGATTTTTGTAATCACAATGATTTAAGATAATAAAACTGGATGTTTCTCCCAATCGTTGCTTCTTATTTTTGGTTAGTTGAGAAGGTGATACAGTTGAGGTTCTTAACTCAGATTGAATAATAGCTGCCGCAATTAATCCTTCAATTTCTTCATTTTTCTTTCTGTCTATTGGTGTTCTGTTGTAATTATTGAAATGTAAATTATTGGCTACATAATGGTTTTCCTTACAATAGAATTTTTTTCTATTTACTCTCTTTTTTTCCAATTTTTCTCTATGCCAATATTTATCATAGTTCATTGAAAAATTCTGTTTGTTCTGGTGTTTTCTACTCTTTTTAGTATATTGATGGAATGGTGGATCAGAATCAGGTGTAATAGCCTTATTTGAGATAATCCATCCACCAAGTTCCATGTCAGAATCCCAGTCACTTTCTTCCTTTATATCAAGGGATGGCTCTATAGAGACAGGATATGGGAAATGTAACTCAAAACGAGTATTGTTGTTATATTTAACAATATTTTCATCGAAGGAATGATACTTTGTTTGATTTTCCATTGTTTTTAATTCTTTATTGTTAGCTCTATTCGTTAAAGAGTATTGAAATTTTTTAACTTCTATTATCTCTTCAACCGATGGTGTTTTAACATTTTTTAACCCGTATTCAAGCACAGTTTCTTTTGAAAACTCCACATATTTATGTGATTTGATTTCTTTTGAATTATTATTTATTTTCAGCGCATATAATTGTAAATGTATTCTTTTTGATTGTTTGGGATTCACTAAATTAATTAATTTTCTAAAATATGGATAGTAAGGGCCATTAATCTCACAAACAAAATGCGGTGTAAATCCAATTGTATCATTAATTTTAGAAACAATAATTTGACAGGTGTTAAAAATTATATTAGTAATGTTAGCCTCTAAGGAATTTCTATTTGACATATGATTTATATATATATATATTATTTTGATATTTGTATTATGGTTTTAATTGTTATAAAAAATTGATAAATTGTAAAAAAAACTTAAGTATCTTGTTAAGCATGTATGGTATAGTTTGCTTAATTAACAATTTATTTTATATATTGTGTCACTTTAAGAATAGGTTTTGTTTTATTTTTTTTTTGCTATAAAAATTAATATTACAGACATTTTTTCTCTTTTTTTTTCAAAACAATTATTTTATGTTTTATTTAGTGTCATTTCTTTAATATGACAGATAAATAACTGTAATGAGAAGCTGATATTGGTAAGGTTCGTTTATACAAAATTTATAAAATAATAAGATCATGCTTCTAGAAATATCTATAAAATATATAATATAGGTAAAAGAACAAAAAAGGGGTTAATGTAATTCTTCTATTGATCAATGGATAACTCTAGTATAGACCTTTTTCATTCTATACCTATAATTGAGAAGCTTGTTTATATCTTTTTGAATTAGAACTATATATAAGCTAACATTTTTTTTATTTTAATGGGCATTCGTTCTCTGTTTTAATTTCCATAAAAATAGAACATTCTATAAATATAAGCATCCATAAAGCTTCTTCTAAGTGAATAGTCCCTTTCACTTTGGTACCATTAACATGCTTTGATTCAGCCAACTTTATAAGGTCTGGATTTCATTATAAAATAAATATTGCCGTTGGGTTATCATGCCTTGTTCACAATTACTTAAATCAAAAATTTAGTTGGAATTTTAACTTGCATAGCAGAACTTAGCTCATTTGAAGTTCTGTTACATGAGACATAACTGTTGATAAAAATTACAAATATATTTAGCTTGATGATTTATGTACCACTTGTTGACAATAAACTGAACAGTTAATTGTTTCAATTCCCACATATGATGCAGGGTTTCATGAAATGTCAATCAAATATACAGTTTTCTTTACATTTTTGTTAATGTCTTTTGATAAAATATACTGAGAAGATGATTATCTAAATTTTTAGGAATAGTATATTTCAAAAGGATTGGTTTTCTTGAAATTATAGTAGTGATATTTTTAAAAAAACTTATAGGGACAGGAGCTGGTCTTTCTGAAATAGCAATCACAAAAGCTTGATTGATTCTTTTAGATAATTCATCTACATTTTTTACTATTATATTCCATTCAATGCAATGCTTGGATATTCTAAGGATGTCTGCTTCTTGATAGGCACCTGTTTCAATTACAGATATTGATATTTGGCTAGTGGGAATAATCATAGATATTCCATCAGCAAATATATTAGCCACTAGTGTCGTTACATTTGTAGTATCTGGACCTGATATGACTAAGATAATGGCTAGTTTTCCAAAAGTAAGAGCATAATTTTTTCCCATATGACCTAGACCTTGTTCGTGAGTTCGTAACATAAACTTATATTTACCATTGTCATGTATAACGTCATAAACAAGTAGGAGAACACTTTTTGGTTATCCAACGTCAATATCAACTTTGTGTCTGATCATCATTTCATGGAATATTTGGACTCCTGTGAGATATATAAATTAATGATCCAATTGAAGATCAGATTTTTCCCATATTAGTGATGTGTTTTGTTTTAAAGACTTATTACTCAAGGGTAGATTATAATCTGATAAAAATTTTGATTTAGATTTATTGGCTCTCTGGTCGATATGTGCAATTTTAGTAAATGCAGTGTAAAGATGTAATCATTGTACAGCATGATTCGAAAAAAATGGTTTTGTTAAATAAGTAGCAGAATAGTTATAAGAAGCCTTTTTTAATAGAATTGTATTTTTAATTATGTTAAAATTTTTATTGATATAGTTGAATCTTTTGCTTATTCATAGCTGTTATGACAATAAAACAGTACACTTGATTCAAACTATTTGTTTTTTTTTTTCTTGACAATAGTAATAGCAAGTCTATCTTATTTTATATCAGAGCAGTAGCATTAATGGTTGCGTTATTAAATTGTAAGAAATAGCATTATAGAACAGCGTTGTTACTTATATAGACACTATAATATATATGTATTTAATTTATAATGGTTATATTGACTGTCAATTTAATGATCGAACAGTAGATCATCATATCACAAATTAAACCGAAAAAATAGTAACAAAAGAAAAAGGGTTGCAATATTCTGCAGGTAAAGGAGATAATCGAATTAAAATGATAAAAGGCAGATGGAGTAAACCCAACAACAGAGTTGGGATAATTGAATCTATTATCCTTTGTTAGTCAGAAGATAGATGCAAAAAGATGAAAGACATTATATTTATTAAATTTTTCTTATAAAAAATGTTCTACAATCACCAATAGATTTAGAATGATCAATGAAAACTTTTATTCAAACAGTTTTTGAAGATTATTCGGCAAACATCCTTAAAACTTAACTTGTCAATAAGGCTGATATAGTCGTGATAGCATTTGGATTGTCAAAACTCTAATTCTTGAACGAGATCTATATATAATCTATACATAATATATGTAATATCTTTTTGCATCTCTTAGATATATATATATCTTACTTTTCAATCTCTACAATTATACAAACAACTTTGGCTGTATCTAGTTTATGGATTGCAGGATGATTAGTGATACGTAAAATACTCTCTATAACCTTTGAATGGCAAGTGATTGAAATTAATTTGTCGTTACTAGTAACGTTTTCAAATACGCTGGTTAACGCATCACGTATTCTTAAATCGATTTCCTCTTTTGTTTCCCAGTGATCGGTAGACCATAGTTGGTCCTCTTCAGGATAATTATCTTCGTAATCCCAATGGACAGTTACTCCAGAGGGTGTTTTATAGTCTTGATATTCCTTCACTGTGATTGAATGATTGACTCTTTCATTGCATGGGTGTGTATTAAGTGTTTCTCTAAGATTTTCAAATATTTTTACCTGTAATGGTTTTTGATTGTCTACCAATTCAGGGAACTCTTTAAAGACATGATCCCACGATCCAATAAAAGTCTCAAGACATCTTCTCATGGGTGAACTAAAAAATTGATGGGGTAAAATTTTTAAATCTTGAATCATTGGTAATAACACTTCTTTACCTGTATTACTTACTTGTTTTTTACCTAACGGAGTTAATTTGGAATCTAACCATTCCCCATGTTCGTCTCCATTTAGTACACCCCATTTCTTTGACCATAATTCTTGACCATATCTGAGAATAGCGGCGTTGTGATAGCCTTGACCATGTCTTGCTAATACCAATAATTTGTATTCATGTCTATCTGTATCTGTTGGGATATTTGCATATAATTCCTTCCATGACGTGTGATTAATTAGGTCTAAATGGTTGACCTTGGTAGAATCTATATCATTTGATTCAGTTGTGCGATAAGCAGCAAAATATCCTGGTAGAGCTTTTATCTGAATTAATGGTTTCTTATCTTGAGTCATGTTCCAACCGCATCTTTCTATCTTGGATTAAAACATGTTATACATATGTATGTGTGTAAGTGCATATATAGACATATTATTAATGACTCACTTTTATTTACAGGTGTCTCGAAGGATAATAAATTTTGTATTTTTCCCAATTATGTTGTGGTAATTATGGAAATAAAAAATTTAATGGTAAAAAAAAAACGATTCAAAATGTTCAATTATTGCTTTAGATATACAGATTTGATAAATACATTCAAAACCCTTCATTCATCTCCCTTATCAATCTTTGTGGCATATATAATTACAAGTCTGATTGTTGATATAGATTAATTCTATCTTTTATATTTGTATTTTTCTAAAAAAAAGCATAATTTCAATGATATATGTAAAAGTTGATGTGTTATATATAATCAAATAAAAACTAGAAAGTTTGCTATATAATTTTAGTGCTTAGCAACCTCAACTACAACAGCAACAATTTTTCCAGTATCTAAATTTTGGATTTCAGGATGTTTCAAATTACGTAATATACTTCCAATGACGCCACTATGACAAGTGATAGAGACAAGTTTTTCCTCTGGACTTAGTTTTTCAAATACTTCTATTAGACCATTATTAACACGAGCATCCATTTCTGATTGAGGTTCTCTCCAATCAGCAGACCATAATTGGTCTACCTCGGGATAATTTTCCGAATATTTCCAAGTAATCACATTATTTGATTTCATCTTATAATTTTGATATTCTTCTACTGCAATAGAATGGTCTACTCTTTTATCACAGGTATGTTCACCTAATGTTTCCCTAAGATTTTCCAATATGAAGGGCGACACCTCTGTCTCAGGGGGTAAAAATCTGCAAAATACAGGCGTCCATGATTCAATAAACGTTTCTAAACATCTTCTCATTGGTGAACTGAAATAGATATGTGGTAAAAATCCTAAATCTTGGATAATAGGCAGTATTACATTTGAACCAGTATTGAATACTTGCTTCTTTCCCAACGGGGTCAATTTAGAATCCACCCATTCACCATGTTCATCACCTTCTAACATAGACCAGTATTCATCCCACTTATCTTCTCCATAACGATCGATAGCAGCGTTATGGTAACCTTGTCCATGTCTTGCCACAATAAGTATCTTATACTCATGTGTTGGCGTGTCTTTTGGTATGGAATCGTATAGTTGTTTCCAGGATTTACATTCATTTAACTCTAGATGATTGATTTTACTTGAATCTACTGGTTTTGCATTTTCATTTGGGAAAGCTATAAAGTAGCCAGGTAAGGCCCTAAAAGTTTTTGTAATAGTCATTACTCCTGTGGGTTTTAATTCAGAGACTGCTGGTTCTTTTTCGCCTTAGCGTCTAAAGAGTGATTGGTAGTTCTATTTTTTGAGTGAACTATGATTTGAAGCATTTTCTTATTTTTTTTTCTAGTTGACAAAGATCTGTTCCCTCGAGTAACTTCGAAAATGATTATTCAATATTAAATAGCAAATTCTATTCTTTTTCGAAGGAAAAAAATAAAAATAAAAAAAAGTAGGCACAGAACGAAGCATTTATCTATCTCTATATATATATGTAAATATATATATTATCTATATAAAGGAAGAGGTAGACTCTGTTCGGTTTCTTTAAGATAAATTCAAATTTTAAGGACATCAATATAGATAATTGGAATGATCTGTATTTCTGTATTGTATTTCTAGACAAGAAGATTGGCAACATAAATAGAGAGAAGGAAGGAAATATCGAAAAGAGAGTGTTCCATGCTTCAAGGTTCTTAGTAATGAAATCTACGAGACTATATTGGCATGTACTTTGTAATAAAAATACCAATTTTGCTACTATAATAATTAGCACTTTTTAGAAACTGTATGTTATTTTGAGCTTTCCTTGTTTTCTTTACTTTTTCTGCATTCCAGTTTAGGTGGCCAATAGGAATTAGCAAATTTAGCATATATGCACACATGCACACGCGTTCATATAGATGGAACTGGCCGATTTCTTTGGTGTAAAACCTGATAACATCGTTATGTCTCATAGAAAATGTTTAGATTTACATATCTAGATCTGTTTCTATTTACTTAATTTAAACCGTGGTTTTACATTAGTTAAATTTGATGATGGTGAAAATATTCATTCTAAAATAACATAATATGAAAACGTTGTATTTAGAAAAGGACATTTAAAAGGCGTAGTAGCGTATCAGAGAGAAGAGAAGAGTTATTAAAACAATTTTTTTCGATCTGGTGTTTTTTTTCTTATTTAGCTCTGGAGCTTAAAAGGCAAACTATTCAAAAATGACAAATATTTGCTAATCATAGATTTCTTTTTTTTTCCTTTCCATTTCCTATTTTTCTTATTTTTGCATTATAAGATCAAATTCACTAGAAAAGCAACAGGGTGATAAATCACCAAAAAAATTTTTTTATGGTAAATACGTTTTCAAGAGTAGATACGTATGTGTATCAATGAGTTCGAGTGAAAAGTTGTCCAGTAAATTATATTTTGAAATATTTCAATTACAGTTGTTTGATTTGTTCTTCTTTTCATTCTCTTTTCATTTCTTTTTATTTCCATTTTTTAGCAGTTAAGAATCATCCAAAAATTCTTCACCAAAGCGACATTTCTACATTTTTTATGCATAATTTTACTTATTATTATTATTTGATTGTATTGTTTTTTTTATCTTGTTTCAATAAAAATATGATTATAATCTCATAGAAAACATTTACAATGTTACATCTCAAATACATATAGAAAACTCACATATAATTTTTTTCCACAATGATAACAACGACTGTATGTAGTATTGCATAAGTCTAGTATAAGTAGAATCATTATAACTTTTTGAGATTTACGTCACGTCGTAACATTGTAACTTTGCTCGAACCAAAATTGGAAAAATGGTGCACCCTTGAAAAAAAACAGTTCGGGCAAAAAATAATATTCTGTGTTTTTTCCAAGGATCATCGTTAAGTAGAGTGAGGGCTTGTGGAAAAAAAACCATCTCGGAATCAACCACCTACATGGATTTGGTATATATAGTTCAGGCTGTATTCATTTTCCTGTAAACTTTATGAGGGGTCTGAGATGTTCATTTTTTAGAATTTCTCACTTTATTATTACTCAGTGACTTAATATCTCTTTCTTGAAGTCTAACTATTTAGAAAACAAGTGAAAGGAAAAGAAAAAAAACATTAGCACAATAATTGAGAGTAAATAATACATTTTTTCTACCTTTTTATTTTCTTCCATAAGACTTTTTGTATGAAAAATTTCAAGTGAATATTGTCTATAGTGAAGTAACCAATTTCTCAAATTGCAGTTCCAGCTCGAGGAAATTTGTTCAGATTTCCTTCAAGAATCACGTTATTGTTTGAGATTAAAAGAATGTTAAGAAGATATCAAGTAAAAATAAATGCAAACAAACTTCTTCTTTTGTTTGATCTATTTATGTATACCTTTCTATTGTCCTTCCCTTAAAAACAATAAAAGATATATATTTTTTGTTTGTGTATTTCTTTGTCATTTTTATAGTGTCGTGAAATAAAAAAAAAAAGGAAGAGAAAAAGAAAAATAAACATTGGAACTTGAATTTTGAGGAAATATTTGTTAGAATGTAGACTAATACACATGTACACATAAACATATGTATATACATATGTCTTTGTGCCTTTTTTCAATCATTGAAGAAAGTTTAGATTCTCCGATTTTTTGGCGCAAGATTGATTATCAGTGAATTTATCAGTTTTTATTAATTCAAGTTCAAAATTGCCAAGACTAATAAAGAAAGAAGGTCATTGTAACTATTGCTGACCATGTCTCAATTTGAAGTGCAAATTATACCTACAAAACCATATCAAGATCAAAAACCAGGTACTTCTGGTCTTCGTAAGAAGACTGCTGTTTTTATGAATGAGCCAAATTATACTGAAAATTTTATTCAATCCTTAATGGATGCTGTTCCAGAAGGTTCTCAAGACGCCGTTCTTGTTGTTGGTGGTGATGGTCGTTTCTATAATGATGTGATTATGAATAAAATTGCAGCAATTGGTGCTGCCAATGGTATTAGGAAATTGGTCATTGGTCAAAATGGTCTTTTATCCACACCGGCTGCTTCCCACATCATCAGATCCTATCATGAAAAGATCACTGGTGGTATTATCTTGACTGCATCACATAACCCAGGTGGTCCAGAAAATGATATGGGGATCAAATATAATCTGGCTAATGGTGGTCCAGCCCCTGAGTCTATTACTAACGCTATATGGGAAGTGTCCAAGAAATTAACTCATTATAAGATCGTTAAGGATTTTCCAACTTTAGATCTTTCTAAGATCGGACCAAACCAAAAGTACGGGCCTTTGTTAATTGACATTGTCGATACTACCAGTGCATATGTCGATTTCTTGAAGACTATTTTTGACTTTCCATTGATTAAACAGTTTATTACTAAACAGCGTGAGACTAAGAATTGGAAACTGTTATTCGACTCTTTAAACGGTATTACTGGTCCATATGGTAAAGCTATCTTTGTTGATGAATTTGGTCTTCCAGCGGAAGAAGTATTGCAAAACTGGCATCCAAAACCAGATTTCGGTGGTGTTCATCCTGATCCCAACTTAACATACGCAAAATCATTAGTTGATAGAGTTGATCGTGAAGGTATCGAATTTGGTGCCGCATCCGATGGTGATGGTGATAGAAACATGATTTATGGTGCTGGTCCTGCATTCGTATCGCCAGGTGATTCTGTTGCCATTATTGCAGAATATGCTAATGAAATCCCATATTTCTCTAAACAAGGTATCTATGGTCTTGCCCGTTCTTTCCCTACTAGTGGGGCTATTGATCGTGTTGCTAAGGCTCATGGTCTTAACTGTTATGAAGTTCCTACCGGTTGGAAGTTCTTCTGTGCCTTATTTGATGCTAAGAAATTGTCTATTTGTGGTGAAGAATCTTTCGGTACTGGTTCAAACCATATCAGAGAAAAAGATGGTCTTTGGGCAATTGTGGCTTGGTTAAATGTTTTGGCTATCTACAATAAACACAATCCAGAAAAAGAGGCTTCCATCAAAAATATTCAAGAAGAATTCTGGGACAAATATGGGAGAACATTCTTCACACGTTATGACTATGAAAATGTTAGTTCTGAAGATGCTAGGAAGGTTATTGATTTACTAAGTAAATTTGTCTCACAAGAAAATGTTGTAGGTAGTCCATTTCCAACTGATCCATCTATGACAGTAGTGGATGCTGGTGATTTCTCATATACTGATCTAGATGGGTCTGTATCTGATCATCAGGGTCTTTATGTCAAATTGTCGAATGGTGCTAGGTTTGTATTGAGATTATCAGGTACTGGCTCCTCTGGTGCTGCCATCAGGTTATACATAGAAAACTACACTGATGATTCCAAGAATTATGGTTTAACAGCAGATGTTTTTTTAAGCCCAATCATAAAATCCATTGTTGAATTCTTAAACTTTAAAGAATTAATTGGCACTGAAGAACCAACTGTTCGTACATGAACAAAAAATAGCTTCGGTTAATGTTATTGATCGTTCGTTTGTTCATTTGTTTGTCCTTACCCTTTTTGACAATTTGTTATTGAATGGAAACTTTATAAATGTGTATATTAGTTAATAAATTAGTTGAGTAATTATAGAACTTTTGTTAATCTATATTCATTGTCTTCTTTTTTTTTACTATGTATCTTTCCTTTTATTTTTTCATAAATTGTAAGTTTGGATAAGAAAAAAATAGATAATATGCAAGAAATGTGTTATGTTGTATCAATATGATTAAGGTTGCAATTTAGGTAATAGGCTTTGGATGTGTAATCAGTGGCTTGAATAAAGATGAAACACAAGGCTAGAAATTCCAAGATGGTTGATCAATTGACGTAATATTTTTTTATTTGTTACTGCCCTCTTGAGGAATTTAGTGTACAAAAATTATTATTATTATTTGGCGGGTTTCACAAATTACACAACTCCGAATAATTCCGCGGAAGTTACTTTTTTTCTTTTTACCCTTTTGGTGTGTCCTGTGAAATTTTCATTCTTTCGAGAAATCTTGAGAAGATTGGGATTTTGATTTCTTGCTATCAAGATTGAAAACTGGCTTACACATAGTAGAGAAGTGTCTTATATAAATATGAGTGCTTCCTGGACAAGCTATAATCTATTTGCTAACCAAACGAATCATTTAGCAAATTGTTGCATAGAAATAAGCCATTAGTGATTGAAATTATACAGTCATAAGGGTCACTGTTAACGAAGAGTTTATTTACCTTTTTTGTGTTATCTGTATTTTATTCCATTGGTTTAGTCTATAGTTACTTGGCTTACTGTTTGTTTGTTTTTTGTTTATTTCAAATAGAAATATCTATTGGTGAATATACAGAATAGTATTATCTTTACTTATAGATACATTAGATCTTTCTAACATATTTTTTTGGCTTAGTTATATCTATTTTTGCACGTTATGTATTCCTGGAAGAGTAAATTCAAGTTTGGTAAATCTAAAGAAGAGAAAGAAAAAGAAAAGGAGAAGGAGAAAGAAGCTAAACGTCATAGTGCTCTATTCCATTTAAACAAAAATGATGATACTTCATCTCATTCAAATACTGTGACACAACCAGATTCAGATCGTAAAGAAACCATCACTCAGGCCTCAACTAGTACTAATCAGGCAGAAACATCCTATGATGGTGTATCATCTGTATCTACCTTTAATGGTGGTGATAACGCTCATACACGTCAGCATGTGGACTCAAGAAATGATCTGAAAAATCATGATAATGATGCACCTTCAGAAAAGTCAGGTCCACACTCAAATGTCTCAAATACTTCCACCTCAAGTAGTGGCATTATGACTATTAAAATTTATAATGGTGATGGATTTAATCTACCATTTAATATTACTGCAAATGATCAAATTTTAACTAAATTGTTGTCGTCTGGGATTCCAGTACAACAAGGTAATGCAGATATTGATATTGACCAATTAACTTCACAGATATCAAGAATCACATTATCTAATCAAGGTTCTTCTTCAGAGTCGTTGATTCCAAAAGAAAATTCATCGAGTTTTATTCCTGCTACTATTATGCTACCTGGTTCCCAGAATGCTAGCCCCCTGTTATACTTCACTATTGAATTTGATAACACTGTGGCTACTATTGAACCTGAATATGGTACTATGGCGAAACCAGTCTTTAATAAAATTTCAACTTTTGATGTTACTAGAAAATTGCCATATATAAAAATTGATGTTTTTGCTCGTATCCCATCTATTCTTTTACCATCGAAAGCGTGGCAAGAGGAGGTTAGTGAAAATAATGAAAAGTTGAAACAAATCTTTGAAAAAATTAATACTAATCAAGATATACATCTTGATTCATGTCGTTTACCAGTTAATTTAAAGATTGATTCTGCAGCAAATATTAGACTGTACAATCATCATTGGGTTGAATTAGAGAATGGGTTTGGTAACATCAATTTGACTATTGATTATAAGCCTTCAAAAAATAAACCATTATCCATTGATGATTTTGACCTTTTGAAAGTTATTGGAAAAGGTTCATTTGGTAAAGTTATGCAAGTACGGAAAAAGGATACCCAAAAGATATATGCATTGAAGGCACTTAGAAAGTCATATATTGTTTCTAAATCTGAGGTGACACATACTTTGGCTGAAAGAACTGTCTTGGCTAGAGTGGATTGTCCATTTATTGTACCATTGAAATTTTCCTTCCAGTCACCTGAAAAATTGTACATAGTATTAGCTTTTATTAATGGTGGTGAATTATTTTATCATTTACAAAGGGAAGGTAGATTTGATTTATCAAGAGCAAGATTTTACACTGCAGAATTGTTATGTGCATTGGAGACTTTGCATAATTTGGATGTTATTTACCGTGATCTAAAACCAGAAAATATATTGTTAGATTATCAAGGTCATATTGCACTTTGTGATTTTGGTCTTTGTAAACTGAATATGAAGGATAATGACAAAACAGACACTTTCTGTGGTACACCAGAATACTTAGCACCTGAATTATTGTTAGGACAAGGGTACTCTAAGGTTGTTGATTGGTGGACTCTTGGTATATTGTTATATGAAATGTTAACTGGTCTTCCGCCATACTATGATGAAGATGTGCCAAAGATGTACAAAAAAATTTTACAGGCACCATTAAGATTCCCAGATGGGTTCGATAGAGATGCTAAGGACTTATTGATTGGTCTTTTAAGTAGAGATCCTTCAAGAAGATTAGGTCGTAACGGCGCACAAGAGATTAAAGATCATCCATTCTTCAGCCAATTATCATGGAGAAGACTAATGATGAAAGGCTATATCCCACCATTTAAACCACCAGTTAGTAGCGCTATGGATACAAGTAATTTTGATCAAGAATTTACTAAAGAACAGCCAATTGATAGTGTAGTCGATGAGTTTTTAAGTGAAAGTGTTCAAAAACAATTTGGTGGATGGACTTATGTTGGTAATGAACAATTGGGTAACTCCATGGTTCAAGGTAGAAGCATTCGTTAGTGGATAATATTATTTATTGTAATATTTTCTAATCCCATTTTTGGAATTACCTATTAATCAGTATATATATGTATTTGTGGATATATATTTATATATCAAACTTTAAAATACATGTCAGTTATGGAATAAGCAGAATTGCACTATTTAATTTATATAATTCAGCATATACATACAAAAAGTGTTTTCATTATTAGATAGATGATTTTATACATAAAATACCAACTGTGCCTAAGCGGGGAAAGACAAAAATATTGGATAACCATTATGAAATAGTAGTAGCGAACTCGCTATTAAAAGATCATCAAGGCTTTCCTCCTTAAACAACTTTTTCTAATTCTAACTTTCACCAATAAGTAATTGCAGTTGTTATGATGATGGTAGTAATAATTTATTTACCTATTGGTGAAGGGGTTACCCGGGAAATCTGAAAATTTTTCTTTCATTACATTGTTTAAAGGGAAAAAGCTGGGGAAAAAAAAGTTGTGAAAAGGCGATGAGCATCACAAATTTTGAAAGGGACTTTTGATTTATTTTATAACTTTTCTTCACCTGAGTAAATTTCGAAACATTGAAGATTTCATAATTAAAAACTAATAATGTTTTGATATCTTTAACATTCAATATTAACGATAGTAAAGTGCAAAAGAAATATATGGAATTAGTAGTCTTTGCAACTGATAAAAAAATATAAAGTCTCATATCAGTCAAAATGATGGCATTTGAAAATACTGTTAAACGATCTGCTCAGGAAGTAATAACACCAATGGATTCTAAAAAACGGAAAGTGGAATTTGCAAAAGATGTAAGCTTATACCCCATACCAAATGACAATGATGAAGATAAAATTAAAAATGGTGGCGAACTTCATGAATTTTCTTCTGCTATCTATGCAAGATTTGTGAAATCAGCATTAGATGATCTTGAAAAGGTATGTTTTTCTTTTTCCTTATTTCATATTATATTATAACTATGACTTGTATTGTTATAGGATGGTATCAAGGGAAAGTTTTTGATACATAGTATCAAAGTAATTATAAATGTTGTGTGTGTCTGTGTGTGCTTCTTTTCTTTTAATTAAAAAAATATAATTGAAGTTTCCTAGTTTACTCATGCCTCACATATATTACTAAATTGTTGATAAAGCTTTTTTACTAACAAAATAATTGTATCATATATTTGTGCTAATATCCACGTGTATGAATAACCGTTTCCATATTGTTATGATTTTGCTTTTTACAGAATGACCCTACCCATATTAATGTAATTGCGGACCAATTATCACTTGACAATAAAAGTACTGAGAAGATTAAACCAGATAACTTAAATATTCTTTTAGATACCCTTTCTAGTAACATCAATAGAATTGATTCCTCTAAAGGGATCATATTGATTCAATCTTTAATAACTTTAAATAGATGGTGGGAATTACCATCTGTCACATTATCTAAGTATATACATTTTATTAAAATTCTTTGTTCTAGTATACCTAAGTGGTGGCAAGATGTCTCAATGAATTTGATATCCAATTTCTCTACTTTGTCATTGAAGGCTGCGGATAGTCATCATGAATTGTTAAATTATTTTTTAGGTGTGATACCAAGTTCTTTACATTTCATTGATTCTTATTTAGTCAGATTTTTCCCTAATAAAAACGACACTCGCAAGAGTTTGGTTAATTATATTTCCAATATCTTACATTTGACTAGATATTGTAAAGAGTTACGGTTCCAAATTTGGTCATTGATCATTGAAAAGATTATATCTATTGATGTTGAGTTACAAAATGAATTAGATGAAATGGACGATGATATTGATAGTGACTTTGAAGAAGGTGAGGATGAGGATGAGGATGAAGATATAAACTTAGGGAATAGTGAAGATGAAGGCGAAGGTAGTGACGATAATGATGAGTTGGAAGGTGTTGAGGAATATAATGTGGAAATTAACCAAAATATCAAAGAACTGTCTACAAAATTAGATGCTATTTTAACTCTTGTTAGTGAAAATATTAGTTCTGAAGTGACGCCGGAAAGTTTAGAGAATGGTGAAGGTGTATCAGTTTTCAATACTTTAACTACATTGTTTAAGACACATATTTTGCCCACTTATTACACAAGATCGATTCAATATATTATGTTCCATTTATCACAACAACAATTAGAATTGATGGATTCATTTCTTGTCACTTTAATTGATATATCATTTGCAGTCCATGAGACTTCTGAAAAGAAAATTAAGTCTTTACAATATTTAGGTTCATACATTGCGCGTGCTAAGAAACTATCAAGGACTCAAATTATATTTGTTGCTAGTTATTTGACTTCGTGGTTAAACAGGTATGCTATTGAAAGAGAAGAAGAGGTGGATCAACCAGGAGGTATGGAAAGGTTTAAACATTTCTATGCAGCATTTCAAGCACTATGTTATATTTTTTGTTTCAGAAGAAATATTTTTAAGGATTTAGATGGAAATTGGGAATGTGAATTAGACAAATTTTTTCAGAGAATGATTATATCTAAATTCAATCCACTGAAATATTGTAACGAAAATGTTATGTTGATGTTTGCAAGGATAGCTCAACATGAAGATATTGCATATTGTTTCAGTATTATTGAGAATAATAATAATGAGAGATTAAGAGGTATTGTTGGTAAAGCAGGTAGTAACAAAAATAGTAAATCATCTTCCACAGGGACCAATAGTGGAGCACCATCATCAACAACAGTGTGGTCACTTGCTACAAGACAGCAATTTATTGATTTACAAAGTTATTTCCCATTTGATCCACTTTTCTTGAAAGACTATAAAGAAATGATGAAAGATTACTACATTGAATGGAGTGAAGCTAGTGGGGATCTAGAAAGTGATCATGAATCAGATGAATAAATAGGTAAATAGAAAAGGTATTTTCCTGCTTTTTTAGTAGTCTTCCTTCGAATTATTTCTCTTAAACACATCGTTAATCATAAGAAATGACAAATATTCTTAGAAATGAAGGTTAAAACATAACATTTTGCATATTAAACAAAATAAAAAAACACTTATCATAATATACTTTCCTTATCTACTTTTGGTTTTTTCTTTTTAAAATTTATTTTAGATATGTTATTTAAATACTTAATTGCATTTATTTAAATATTTTTTATCAAAATATATATATAAATATAGAAGTTTCCGTTTAAAATTTTATTTTATTGTTATTTTGGAAATAATATTTAAATAACTATGTATACTATATTCTCTACTAATGATATTGCAATTTATTACTATGTTGAAGGCTTAAACACGTAACTTTTATCTTAACTTAAAGGTTATCCATTTTTGGTTCGTGTCACAATAATATTTCTTTAGTTTGAGTTTTTTGATTAAAATTCCCAAAAATATTGAGGGTTATTAATATTTGTGTTTTTTTTATAAAATATTCTTAAAACTAAATTAGGGCTTTAACAATTTTGTTTTGGTAAAGTTAGTAAAACTTTTTTTTTTCTATAATTATTTCTACATCAAAATTTGGAAGTTTAAGGAAGCTTAAACAATAAGTAATACATATGGTTAATAGAAATCCTCAAGTGCTTTAATAATAGTATCTATTTACTCAAATATATAAGAATACATATGAATATATCTAGACACAGAGTAAGAGAGAACCGTAGCTTGTACCAGGTTATTGTAATAGTATTATGTATTTCTCTTTTTAATGTGGAATATTAGTATAACCAGAGAAATTGATTAGGATTAACAGACGATAATAGTGTTACTATTGAAAGATGATACTTATATTAGATACATCTATACAAAACGATATGAATGATAAAATGTACATTAATAATAAAGATACTTTCAATGTAGACAGAATTTACCCTATGAAATCGGAACATCAAGAAATAACGACGCAAAATGAATTAGTCCCTGGGTTCGGATCAAATATTAACTCAGATTCGGATACCATAAGTTTAGCATTTTTAATAAGCCTTTCCGTAACATTTGCCATTATAATGATTATATTGGTTGTTTTGGCAACATTTATAACATTCTGTAGTGGGGATGAAGAGTCGCATTACGATGAAGAATCTAGGTTACGCCAACGTTCTGGTGGTATTGAAAGCCGAAGATTACCCTTAAGTGGAATTTTTAGGAGGAAGAACAATGATGTATTGTTAAATTCATTGTTTATACGATCGCCATATAGTGTGAGGCTTGATACAAATGGTAACATAGATAATGTTGAGACTTTAAAAAATTTGGAAAATCAAGAACTTCAAAAGCTATCCAATTTCGAGATTTCTTTATATGAAAGGACTAAAGAGTTCCAAAGGTTGAACCCACCTATAATAACAAAATTTGGTTCGTATACCAGTGATAATGATTTGAAATTTTTAAAGGATCGTGGAATACAAAGTTATTTTTTGTTACCTTCCATCAATGATAATGTGGACAAGGATGGCAATTTTTTACCAAGTTTTTTCATTCAAGATAAATTGGATATAACATTTACAAAATATAATAAAAGTTCGTCTACTATATTAAATTTTCCGCTACCTTATAATAAAAGAGACGCTGTTTACTTTGAAGTTAAAATATTTAAATATAATAAAAAATCGAACAGTATATTCAGTATTGGTTTGACAACGGTGCCATACCCATATTTTAGACCACCGGGGATGGCAGATTTTTCTATAGCATATGAGTCCACCGGGAAACTGAGAGTAAATAATCCATTTAGTGCGACAACTTTATTGCCTGTATTGGAAGAAGGTGATGTAGTTGGATTTGGTTATAAATATAGGAGCGGTGCAATATTTATTACACATAATGGTAAAAAAGTGATTGATGTGACACAGGATGTTCATATTGATTTGTTTTTGAGTATCGGGGCATTTAATGCCTCATATACAAGGACTTATACATTAGATGGATTGCTAGAAGATCCTGATAATATTGCTTTAAGACGAAAGTTGTCTGAGGGCGAATCCATAGACATTGGGGATAAATTAAATCGTGTATATGATATAAATAAAGAAGAGATTGAGAGTGATCCAATTGAATTGAATGTTAATTTAGGACAGCTTGGATACGTGTTCATTGAAGCCAATGTTAAGAAATATTCATTTGGTAGTATTTATGGAGAAATTGGCATCCCACCTTCATATAATGGTATTGAGATAAACAAAGATATAATCTTACAGAAGGGAGATGATCTGCCACCTAAGTATATTAGTGAGAATGAGGATAGTTTGAACGATCATGAAGATGTTATCGAGGGTAATAGTAATATGTTATTACAAGGTGATCATGATAATAATAATAATAATAATAATAATGGGGTACTCTCATTTATACCAATGATAATAAAGAAGGATGAAGAGATGAGAAATAAGAAATTACATAAAAAGAAGAGAACGAAAAGAAAAAGAAATAAAAAGAAGAAGAAATGACTCTTCTGAAATATATATCTATTTGTGCATGTGCGTTTGTTTAGATTGATATTCATATGAGTATGTTAACATTAGAAATAATATTCTAAATAGTAAATTATATTACATTATATTATATTCAGTTTTGTATATGAAATAGAAAAACATCAATTTATATAGGAAGATATAGAAATACAAGAGATTAGGATATGGAAATGCAATGAATTAATGTTTTTTCTTATTTTTGTTCTTATTTTTATTTTTATTTTTATTTTTATTTTTTTCTTTGATACAGTGGAGTCGTTGTTATTAATAGACTTATTATTATTTTTGTTGTTATTTATTATAGAGGAATCATATTTAGGTATTTTATTATTGGCCAATAAAGTAGCTAGCCCAGTAATAGAATAATTAGATATTTTTTTCTTATCCTTCGATGACGAGGATTTATGTCTCTTTTGATTAATTCTTTTCTTCAATATATGTTGAGGTTTAATGGACACTCCATTTGAACCAATTGCATTTAATAGTCTTGAAACATCTTTATTTTTATTGGTTATGAATTTATAATTCGATGAAAGATGATGATTAGACGTTTTGAATGTAACTTTACCGAATCTCTTAGATCTAGGAAGTTTAGATCCAGAAACTTGAGAACCATTTGAATCATTTGGTATAGCTGGAGGTTGATATGTGATCGAAATGATACTGTGTGATGGATTGACGTTAAAAAGACTTACACTATTCAATATAAAGGTGTCAATTGGTTTTGTAGTCATTTCTTGGTAGTGTGGTTATTAAAATGAATAGTAGTTATGAAATAACAACAAATGTTCAATTGACGGAGCAATTTATCGATAATGTATATAGTTAATAAAAGATATATGTTCAGTGAGATTGTTAACAAGAACAACGCAAAATAGAGATAGAGTAGGATTATAACAACCTATTGTATGATATCATCCACATGTATATCTACAGCTAAGTGTAGAAGCATATTATATTATTTACCTATGATTATTTGCTTATCTAAGAAAAAAAAAATAAAAAATAAAAAAAAACGACGATGTCAAGATTTCAAAAAAAAAAAAAAAAAAATAAAAATAAAAAGTATCATACACTCACACACCCACGCGGAAAATTGGAGGAATTTGATATGCCGCTTGTGTTTACACAAAACCCGCTATTTCCACGGAACAGAGGTGCTGCAAGAAAGAAAGGGGGAGAGGAAAATAAAAAGCAGGCTTAACTCCGCGGAGAAATGCAGTGTGGCGAGGTTTTCCTCTTTTCTTTTTCTTTTTCTTTTCTTTTTTCTTTTTGTTGAATCATGGACCCTAAAATTTTTCATGCAAAAAGTCTTGCGGAAGAAAATAAAAAGGTGAGAAAAGTACCCTTAAAGAAAAGTTTTCAAAAATTTATCAAAACCCTACAATATTGTAACGCATGTCTGACTTGCTGTTTTTCAGACTAAACCCTAGCGCTACTTAGTTTGACCAAAAAAAAGAGAGATAAGCAAACAAAAAACAGTGGAATTTATAAATGGTTGCATTAATACTATTGAGTTAAACAATCATAAGACAGACTATCAAGTATCCTTTCGATAAAAATAAAAAGGTGGAAAAAATGTATTGTTTACTCCCAATTATTGTGATAATGTAGAAAGAGATATTAAGTCACTGAGTAATAATAAAGTGAGAAATTCTAAAAAATGAACATCTCAGACCCCTCATAAAGTTTACAGGAAAATGAATACAGCCTGAACTATATATACCAAATCCATGTAGGTGGTTGATTCCGAGATGGTTTTTTTTCCACAAACCCTCACTCTACTCAACGGCGATTCTTGGAAAAAACACAGAATATTATTTTCTGCCCGAACTGTTTTTATATTAATATTGCAACACGCCTCCATTTTTTTGGCTTACAATTTCTCGTCCCCAAAAATTTGTTTTTTTTTTTTCAATTTTGCCTTCGCCCCTTCGCTCTTTTGTTATTTCACACAATTGTGGCAGCGATGGCAAATAACAATAACAGCGGAGTGGAATGGGCTGTAAATCCGCGGACCACAGAAAGAGTAGATGAATGATTAAATAAAGATGAAGGCGTCGCAGCATTTATTTACTACAGATGCTTCGATATTCTTGCGTCCTGTTCCCGTTTATTTTAGTAGTTGTAGGGCGTGTGCGATCGATTGTAATGGGTGGCTTTAATAACTGCTAGCATCTATCTTATATTTTCTTTTATATTCGTACATACATATATTTATATAATATATATATACATATATATATATATGCGGTATATTTATATAGTTAATTACACAACATACACTATTAAGGAGAGTTGCATTACAAAAGAGGTTTATAAAATTGACAATATTTTTTAGACAATATAGGGTATTTCAACCTAATATTATCTTATATTACATTATATTATATTACATTATATTATATTACAAATATTAGTAAGGGTTATATTGGTATTATACTATTATTACTATCTAATAAAATAGGAAAGAGAAAGATTTATATCTTCTTTTTTTTTTTCTTTTTTTTTCTTTTTTTTTTTTAAATCCATATTTAGTTATTGTCAGTATTACGATATTTCTTTATATTCTAATCAATGGATTCGATTAACAATAGTAATAATAGTACGACAGATGCAGATCTCAATCTGCCTACTAATTCACATACTATAGAGCCTACTATATACTCTACTCCATCGTTAGTGTCTACTAATTCTTCTACTGTATCATCTAATTCTAATACTACTCCTAACTCTACCTCTTTCGAAAATAATAATAATAATAATGATAATAATGATAATACTAACCCCTCACTAAAAGCTCAGGCATCTATAAGAACTTTCAATGAAATGGAGTATTCTGCTGATCTTAAACCTTTGTCATTTAAAATGAATAGGCATCTTCCCGCTCGTACTTACACCAATCAACATAGCCGTGATCAAAAAGATCTGATAGATATTCAAGATGATAGTCTGCATTCATTTAACTATGTAAAGAATAATATTATTGTTAACCCATCCACTCTCCAACTAAAAGATTATTCTATATTCGATAACGATCAGTTTAAAAGTTTTCTGGAGAAACCAAAATATATCAAAATTTATCGCAACATGAAAAATAAAAATAAAAATATAGGTGTCTTTAACAAACTGTTTCTGGCCCAAGAATTATGCATAAATAACAGCAATATCCATACTCCTACTTCAACAACTACACCTTTTTTTTCCACTAATAATAATTCAGACAGATCAAATTCTAAAAAAATATTGGGTGGTGGTGGTGGTAGGCTCTCCGTGTCATCTTCTGATTCAAATAATATTCATTCTAACAAGTATACTTATAATAATAACAGTAATAGCAACAAAAATTCTTCATCAAATAATTGTACAAGTAGCAATGTCAAGGGCAGTGTCAATAGCTCTCTATATATAATGTCATTAAAGTTTAGTGTCAGTGGGAAATATATGGCCGTAGGATACAAAGATGGGTCTATTAGAGTGTGGAAAGTTATATCTTCTCCAGCAGAGAGGTGGGAATTAAATAACATCGCTAACGAAGATCAAGATTTTCTGCTAAAAAATAAAAGAATCAATCAATTGGTCCATGGTACCACTCATTCAACTAGCAGCAATACTAATAGCAACAGTAATAGCAGGGTCTCATTTGAAAATTCTTGTCCAAATACAACAGATGGTGATGAGGTCTTAAGTCTCTATGCTCCGGTTTTTAATCCAATTCCAATAACCATATTTATAAAGGGACACCTTCAAGATATTCTGGATATGGATTGGTCCAAAAATGATTTTCTTTTAACTTCTTCAATGGATAAAACTGTCAGGTTATGGCACGTGGAAAAATCACAATCGTTGAAAATTTTCCCCCATGTCGATTTCGTGACAAGTGTAAGGTTCCATCCAAAGGATGATAGATTCTTTATTTCTGGTTGTTTAGATCATAACGTTAGATTATGGTCCATTATTGATAACAGTGTGTGTTTCAATTATAATTGTCATGACTTGATCACTTCTTTAACAATCGCAAGTGATGGAGAGGTAACTATCGTAGGTACCTTCAATGGATTCATTCATGTCTTAGAGACAAGCACTTTAACACCAGTTACATCGTTTCATATCACGGATAAGTCGACTCAGGGGATTCATTCTAGAAGTTATGAAAGCATGGATCTCAATGGGAAAGTGTTTAAGGGACCCAGGATCACTGGTATTGAATTTATTGAGGATGAAGCAAGAGTCTCTAGAGATAGACAAATTATTGTCACTTCAAATGACTCAAGGATACGGGTATTCGATATCAAAACGAGGAAATTGTTAGAATATTTGAAAGGCTTTAGTAGTGGATCATCCCAACACTTAGCTCAATATGTCAAATACCATAATAAAGGCATTGTGGTTTGCAGTAGTGATGATCATTGGGTTTATGGTTGGACACTGCATTCTGATAAACAAAATGATATTAAGACTAAGAATAATCTTAATGATAACGGCATGAACCAAATGGCAGACCAAGAGAGGACAAAGAAAAAGAAAAATGAAGTTTTAAATCTCTTTAATAGTAGTTCTAAATTATTGCCATTAAAATTTTCGAAAGTGTTTCCCAATAACATAACAGGTAATGATAGATCTGCTAAAAAAAATTCAAAGTATTTATCGTTTCATGCGCATCATCATGCAGTAACTACTACAGTCATAGCGCCAGAGACAACATCCAAAATTCTATCATTATCGAATGATTTCATTTGTGAAATAACGTTACAATATTTAAGGGAATTAAGGAATAATAACGAATTAGATGGAATGGATGATAAGTCAAAGAATTTATTAGGTGATAAATTATTGAACTCAGCAATAGAATACAATTTACCAGATTCAACTAGTATAATTGGTCCTATTATTGTGACTAGTGATTCGCATGGTATAGTCAGAATATTTAGATTTGATATGCGTCAGGATGTTAGAGATGGTATCTTAGATCAATTAAAGAAACAAGATTATATTATGAGGCATAATTTCAATAACAATGATAGTATTGATACTAATAACAATATTACTATTACTCCAAATACTACTAAAAGTAATAGTTTTGATATGTTAGATCATTCTGTATTTTCTTCTAATAGAACATTGACAGGATCAACAGATTTGGAGTCAAAGGAATCGAATAATATTTCTTTGGATAACGGTAATGAGACTAGTCATAATAGTGATGGTGCTGAAAAAGATAATGTACATGATGGTGATGGAGATGACAGTAGCAAAATGAAAAATGCATCACATGTTGAGAATATTTCTGGTGATAAAAATACAAATGGTAATAAAGGGGGTAAAAATAGTGGTGGGTTATGTCCCAGAAAGAGCAATGTTTCTAATCTTTTCACAAAATTAAGTACCGGTTCTGATTCAAGAAGTATGATAGATTCAAGTCGTTCCACTGTAAGAAACGATAAATCTCCACTTATGAATGATACAAGTAATATTGGGATGTTTCCTAAAATTGTAGAAGAGGGGAAAGGTGGTCATTCCATCATGGGGAATACTTATAGTGCATCTAGTTCAAGAAATAATACGATTAATAGTATCTCAGCATTGAATTTACGTTGTTCTACATGCAATGGTACTCGATTTGAACCAATACGGAAGAATTCTTTAGGCCAAAGGGAGATGAATTATCGTTGTATAGACTGTAACACAATACTGAATAATTTCAGATGAAGATAGTTTTTTTTTGTCTTCTTTTAATATATAGATATATAATTGTGCCGCGGGATGGACCCTATGAAACTTTATTTATTATGCACTGAATACTGACGACTGCTTAATTGGCACAAATTTGGAAACAAATAAAATATCAAAATAACATAAATATTCGATATTTACTACTGTATACTGTATATTTATGGATTTAAGTAACTTTCTGCATTTTCAATTGATGAAATTCAACCCAAAAAAAAAAGGTATATGAAAAACGGAAGATAAAGAATGAAAAAAGTTCAAATTTACTATTAACAAGATTTAATTTCTTAGTACTGGAGTTTCACAAAAAAAAAAAGGGAATAGCTACGAGGGAGATAATAGACAAAACATGAGAAGCTTTGGAATAATAATATGTTTCAGTCGGAACCTAGTTAAAGTGAGAAGTGTAGAAGATAAGCTGGTGCATGTAGCGAACATGCTGTGAACAAACCGTTATAAAGCTAATGATTCTAAAAGGAATGTTATAACTGAATCATTTGTGATTTCAATTGTACAATGATAATGTGCTAATGAAAAATGCCTTTCTTTAAGCTCTTTATGAAAGGCAAAATTGTGTAGTAGAAAAGAAATAGTAAAACGTATTATTTTTTCACAAAAATACTACTCAAATCAGTATAATTTCGTTGGATATAGTTTAATCTTATCTTAGAAAAAGTGGTTGAAGATATGTTTTTTTTTTCTTTTCGAATAAAATTAATTGAGCTTGGACACATATACTGAATCTTGCCATCAGCTGAATACAGATATGTAAATATATTAGCTAATATTATTTGGTATTTATTCTCTAAATAGGTTTATGATTTTATTATAACAAGAAGTTTTAAAGTCATGGATAGATATTGATATTAATGTATTCAATCTAGAGTTTCTATACAATGAATTAGCATTTGGGTATGTTAACTTTTGTTTCGTTTTCTTTTTCCCCACTGCGCAATGCACATGTGAGGATTTTTACGTAGTAAATGTTCAAACTATTTTGGTTTGATTGAATAATTTAGTTTGCTTGTCAAAATACTCTTGAAGGTTCTTGAGGCCGATATCGGAGCGGTACCGGCGTTTTTCCCTCTTCCCGCTGTTTTCTGTCAGCACGGAATTTGATCTCCGGCAGAAATCGTCATTGAGTCACCACAGTGAACAAAGAGAAAAACTGTGTGGTATCTTTTGTTTTCTTGCATTTCTTCCCTCCCTCCCCTTTCTTCTCCTTTTGGTTTAAAACTTTTCAGATCTTTCGAGCGATGGTTTTACTATTATTCTGAGCTCGGTCATCTTGACTACGGAGAGATTGATAGGAATATATGAGTATATGTATAATACACACACGTACCTAATAATTATGTGTATATAAATATAAATATTTTTTGAGCTATGCGATTTCTGGGAGGTCGAACATGTATATAAAGGATCTATGATTTTGTCGTTTTATATTGTTTTAAGTGCTTGTATTTGGAGTTACACCGTTTTTTTTCTGCTTCTTGTTTCTTAACATTTTTACTGGGCCGTAATAGAACCATACAAACTATTGTCTGTTTTAATCCTTCCCTGGAAGAGAATATATAAACATCGAATAACGATAAGAATATTTACTAATAATACGGATATAGATATATACATACATATAATCAATTGGATAGTACCATGTCAGAAAAAGTAGAGAAACCTGTTGAAAAGACTGCAGCTCAAAAAATTTCAAAGTTTGGTTCCTTCATAGCAGGTGGTTTAGCAGCATGTTTTGCTGTTACTGTCACAAACCCTGTCGAAGTTGTTAAAATTAGAATGCAACTGCAAGGTGAAATGTCAGCAGTAGGTGAAAATATCTATAGAAATCCCTTCCAAGGTATTGTTGTTACTTTTAAAAATGAAGGTATCAGAGGTTGCCAAAAAGGTTTGATCTCTGCCTATATTTATCAAATTGCATTAAATGGCTCTAGATTAGGGTTTTACGAACCAATTAGACTAACATTAAATAAATATTTGTATCCGAATCAAGAGAGTCACCATATTCAAAATGTGGGTGTTAATGTGTTCTCAGGTGCTTTCTCAGGTATTATTGGTGCAGTCATTGGATCTCCATTATTTTTAGTTAAGACAAGAATGCAATCTTATTCCACAGCTGTTCAATTGGGTGATCAAACCCACTATACCGGTGTTTGGAATGGGTTATCAACAATTTACAAACAGGGTGGTATTGGAGGTCTTTTTAAAGGTGTAGATGCCGCCATTTTAAGAACTGGTGCAGGTTCCTCAGTTCAATTACCAATTTACAATACAGCCAAAAATTTCTTATTGAGACATGATATCATGGAAAATGGACCACATCTACATTTGTTAGCTAGTACTATCTCTGGGCTAGGTGTTGCAGTCGTGATGAATCCTTGGGATGTCATTCTAACAAGAATATATAATCAAAAGACTAACAAATACAAAGGTCCTATCGATTGTTTAATGAAGACTGTTAAAATTGAAGGCCCAATGGCTTTGTATAAGGGGTTCCAAGCTCAAGTATTTAGAATTGCACCACATACAATCTTATGCTTAACACTTATGGAACAGACTATGCATTTAGTTTACTCTATTGAAAAGAAAGTCTTGGGACATGATTAGTTGATTACACTTTTGATTGTTATTTTTTCTTTCTCATTAATAGTTTGTGATTTGATAACATTATTTTAACATGCATCCATAGATAGACTTTGGGATATTCTCTACATATATATGTGAGCATGCAAATATACATATATAAATTTAGGTGGAGATATGAAGAGATTCATATTATGCATTTTTTTTATGTAATATAAGTAGAAGGGGGGAAATAGTGATAATAAATATTATAGATATTCTGTGAATTCAACTATTCTTTTAGTTTGGATTATTGGAAAATTTCAGGTATTTACCAGAATAGACGTTTAATTTATAAGTATTAAAATATATGAAGCATTTCATGTATTTGTTTAATCATTATTGTATTTTTCTATTTGCATCAATTTTAATTGTTTTAATGACTTTCTTTCTTTCCTTCTTTGATTTTTCTTTTGTCTTTGCTTCATTAAGTCTCTGTAAATAACCGTTATATACCACTACCTCTGCAAGTAATACTAGCAATCCAAAAAATAAACATAGAAGTATTCTAATTTCAACTGGAAATCTACTTGAGGATCCAGACCAATACCAAATTGCCACTATCACAGATACCACACTAAGAAGAATATTAAACACAGTTGTTACTTGTTCTTTAATCTGTTTGTTTATTTGTGATGGTGTCAGATCAGGAGTGTTGAAATCATCTATACTATTTCCAAGGCCTAAAGTTTCAGTTGAATTAGATTTAATCATTTCTTGGTATTCTTTTTCCTTTAACTTATATCGTAGATTATCTAAATGCTGTTTGAATTCTGGAGAATAGTTTGAACCGGGCGCGTTCTTGGGTTTGAATTGGAACTCCAATGGCGTTAATAGATGTTTGATATCATAACTTGGTTTATCTTTAGAACTTCGATCCTCTTGATATTTTCCATATAATTCTAAAAAAGTGTGGAGAGATATAGATCCTTGTACGTCAATTAAGTCAATTAACTCTTCATTCGATATGATTTTTTGATTTCTAAGTTCTTTTAAGAAATTGATTAAACTAGGATTCAATTTGAGTTTGAACATAACTAAGGAACTAGTGGAATAGGTTATTATCTTTTTATCCTCTGCAATTATCTCTCTACTTAACTTTAAAAGATCTGTCTTTAAGTCACATTGGAATCTGCAAGTATATATATGTATGATTTTTTTCTTCACATTCCATATTAATTTTATTTGTTTGTTTGTTTGTTTGTTTGTTTTGATTAGTGAAACCTCTATGCTATATATATATGTTTCGAAAAAAAATTCATTTAGGTTTTAAAATAGAACCATATTATTCGCACTACTGATTATTTGTATACATGTTCCTTTTATTATGTTACAGAATCATCCTGTCTAAGTCAAAACATCTTTTACCCTTATTGGAATTATCATAAAAATAGGAGTGATGATTTTAATTATTAACAGGGCGAAATGGTGGTTGTCATGAGGAGCGAAACCTGAATTTGTTAAATTGATAACTGTGAAATCATAATCAGACAAGTGTGTTTATTATGTTATCAAGAAGATTTAATAAAATAAGAATTAAAGTTTTATCAGAATCTATCAAAAATTTTGAAACAATTAGCTTAAATATTTATTACTGATAGAAGTTATTACAAAATCTCTGTTAAGTTATGGTGAAACCTTCTAATGAAAAAAAGGAAGATATGTCCAAATATTCTGTAATAGAACGAAGTCAATTAAAAGCTTTAAAAATTAGTAAATATGATCCCATTTGTGGTTTATTATCTATAAGATTTAATAAAGAACCTTGAAAAAAATTGATAAATCTATAAGAGAGGATACTAAAACAATGGTTTAGTTATGTGTACAAATTAACTAGTGAATAATTAAACTCTTCTAGTGTTTCAGCGCGTCAGAGAGTATACTCAATATATGTATATACTAATTCTCAACAGTGGTGTATTATTTTATAATTAAATTGAGTTTGATAATAGGAGATTGTAAAGTTGCTTTAAATTCAGGAAGAGAGCAAAGTAGGTATAAAACAAAAGCAAACAGGTAAAAAAACAGATATTTATTATGTTCAAAAGTTGAAATAGAGAATATTAAAACATAACAATGTAAAAGTTGTTGTGTGTAAATGGATGAATCGTATCAATTAGTATAAGCATAAACACTCTTACGTAAGCTCTATATATAACTAATTAACAACCCTGATGTTGTATTACTTCTTCTTATTGTTCTTGTGTGATATTAAGAGGTAACTCTTAATATCATTACTAAGATGTATTTAAATAAGATGATTACCCCTGGCATATCTCTCAATAATCAAAGGCTTCTTGACAAGATCCAATATAATTCTCACTCGCTGGAAATCCTCCAATCAGATTCAATACCTTCTACGAGCCACTGAGCACATGGCCGTACCAATCCTCCACTCAGACACTCAGGTGTTACCCTCGGAATTGCGTATTTATTAGATTTCCAGTTAGGTTCCTTACAAATAATTATTTAAATAGATAGCTACACGTAGATTGTGTATAATCCAATAATAAAATTTTGATTTTTTTTATTGTTAACTTGAATAAATTAAATAAAGTACTTTTTCAGTTTAACCACATCAATATATTTTCTAAATAAATATAACGAATATATCTAATGTTGATTCAACTAATTCAATGAATCAAATTGTTTCTGTCTTTTTTATTATTCTGGAACTGTTTATTGACAATAAAATGACTTTTCATTAATGAAGTTTTTTACATCAAGGAAAATAAATATATAAAAGTAACAAGAAAATAGGAGTAAAAAGAAAAGATATAATATTCATATAAAAATTCGTTTAAGATGTTACTGAAATTCGTAGTTATGATTAATTATTGAAGTTATTAGTATATTTATTATAAATAAATTTTTTTAATTTCTTGTAATATTCAAGTATATATATAAATAGATGTAAATATAAAGTACAATTATATAAAATGTTCAGAAAAAAATTTTAAAATTAGTTCTTTGTATTCATTACTTTGTCCTAATATATAGTTTCCACTTTGGAACAAAATATTTTATCCTCATACATTTTTCAGAGACTTACTTCTTTTATTGACTTCAACAGCATTGTTGTTGATAATTTCTATTGGTTCATTCCCAAGTATTGTCTAATATTTCCAATAATATTTTATTAAAGAAACTTCAAATGTAGTGTTCACTATTTATTACTCTTTTTATAAAGGTAATTACAAAAATTTTGGAATGAAAGTTTTTTGTTTTCATTATATTTTCTTATAATTTATATTTTGTTTATTTGAAAGCCTTTTCCCATTATTTATTGATTAATACTCAAACTTAACCAACAAAAAAACCAACAATTTTCAAGGAATAAAAGAACACAGTGTAAGGGTTATCTCAAGTGGCATACTAAAATATGGATATTAATTATATATATAAACACTTACAAATTATATAATTGGTTGATTCTAACTATTAAATAGATTAGTCTTGAATATTCGTCTTATTCTTCTTAACCTATTAGATAGATTATGAATATTAATGCTGATAATTACCTCTGGCACTATCTCTCAATAATCAAGGGTCTCTTAAGTAAGCTTCTTAATGATTTACCACCAATGTCCATCCAACGATCATATGCTCGTTCGAACACACTCACAACCTTGGGTCCAAAGTTTCGGTTGTTCCAAGTCCTTCGCCTCGACATTAGGCGTTACTCGCAAACTACATATTTCGGGATTTCCAGTTAGGACTCCTTACACACAGGCCCCTTACATTATCTTAAACAAAATCACACTTTGATATATCTTTAAAATATATTAACAAAAAATTTGCATTAAAAAAGAAATTAAATTAATCCTAATATAAAACAATATGTTTATCTCTTGTTGATATTTATATATAACAGTTCTTGGTTAAAGAAATTCAGGAAATCAATGACAAAAAATTGTATAATAATAAAAAATAACAGTATCAAAAAAATGTAGTTGCTTGATAGATTTAAATCGAAAACTTTATAGTGTGCAAGTGTTTAGATATTATAAAAAAATTTACATTTTAATAAAGTACTTGAGATGATCTTTTACAGTTTGCAAGGGATTACCTTATTAAAAATATTAATGCATATGAAAATGTTATCCTTTTATGTGTTTCTAAAACTAGATCAACTGTCTAATTTAATGTACTAATGAATTATTAATTCACACTCCAATAATTAATTATAATAATACGATGAAATTTCATAGAACCTGTTGAAAAATAAGTAATAGTGACAAACTTACGTGACACAATAGTAACGTATATGGCATTATAAAAATAATATATAATTCTAAATCTCAATAAGATCATATATAATTTCTGGATTTATTACAATGAACATTGTATATTAAAAAAGTTTTTATTAATTAAAGACTTTCTTATAACAACAATGTTATATGTGGTGCCTGAATATAGAAAAGAAAGGGGAAAATTTTCAAAAGAGAGAGAAAAGAACGGGATATAAGAAGATAATCTATTTACTTTTATACAATACATACGTACATATCTATATAGCATGTATAAACAAATGAAACCAACGAGAAATATATATTAACAAAAATATCTAATATGTTCACCAGTTAAGGCTACAAGTATCCAGTAAGGTAACATTGCCTTTGTAAATCCTAGAACTCAATCAAGACTAAATTCTCTTCAGACTAGACTCGAGCAAGTAAATCCTCTAATTTGCTAATATTTATATTCTCCTCTTCTTCTGTGCTATAATTGTTTTCTTTCTCAAATAGATAAGAAGATACCTGCTAATATTGTCTACCATTAATAACATATATTTATCTGTAATTGCAGCTACACGATGACCGGACCAAATATATCTAAACTCCATGATGATCCAGATTTCTTTTGTTCAATATAGTGAGTCATCCTCTGGACGAATAATATTAGTATACATGTTCTTAGCGTCGGTGATCATATTATATGTTATTATTGTGTATTATTATTTTGTTAATATGTAGAGTAATTTTCCCTCGATCTTTTGATTGGGAATTAATAATTATATAAATATAAAAGAAACATATGATAAAATGTATATAACTTATTCATCCAGATTGGAAAATTAATAAGTAAAGTCGTCTACTCATATAATATTTACCTTTTGACAATTTTTCATAATATATTAATTTATTTTGATTCTGTTTAATTTTTTCTCCATAATGTTGAATGTGCAAAACAAACATTTTTCCTCTTTGATATATTTACATGTTACTCAAACCGGTAATATATCATTCCAGCAATTCATGGAGTCGGTGTAATGGAAGTGTCGAGTCATCTTTTCTGCACGGCATGCTTCACACCGTGAATTATTCTTACTTACATTTTTTTCTATTGCATCCACATCGTCAAATATTATATTTTTAATACTCTTCCTAATTACTTAAGATGGTATATGGTTTAGTCTTAAATGTGCTTCAATAAGGAGAATATTTTTCTTGACTCTGTTTTTTTAAAATTTTCTTGATTTTTATTGTCTTATTAGATTTGTTTGTATCTTGTAAATTTTTTCTCAAATCAACTATAATGCCATTTATTTTAACAAAGGTAGTGTCATCAATGATTTTGACTGGTATAAAATTGATAGAATTTTTAAATTTGGCAAAGTTTCTGTCTTTTTTAGGGTATAAGACACATACAAATATTTTATCGAATTTCCACCTTCAATGATTGGTGAATATCCACATTCGGTAATATTAATTGTTTTATCTCCTATGCCTCAATAATTAGGGGTATCTTTGATAGTTCTGAAATCCACTGAAAGATTTTTATCTGAAATTAAACTAGTGAGAGAAGCCGTGCCAGCCGCTACTAATATTTCGTTAGTAGGTATTCGAACTTTATTTTCAATAAGTTTTATCCTTTTGTTATTATTTGAAGTTAGAATTTTTTCTTGTATTTTATTTTTAATATTTGATATAGTAGTGCTTTGTTTACTATTGGCTTAAAAATACAACTTATGCTTTTCATTCTTTATTTTGAAATTCATAAAATTTTCTATTTTCATCACTTTTGAAGAATAATATATTTGATAGTTTCTTTTTACTCTTGACTTCATCCAATTCTAAATCATCTTTTTGGGCATGATTATTAGATTTAAAAGTATTTGTATCATAGTTATCATTTGTTATATCATTACGTTTGTCTTTTATGTATTTTTTTTTTAAAGTTTTCATTTCATTTTCAACTTCTTAAATAATATCGTCAAGAGTTTTTCCAAAGTTTTGATATTTCTGTTAGAACATAGACAGTGTGTTCTATTAGGTTTCTTTATTAAAGACTGTCAATAATGATAATCAAAAGAGAAAAGTATTTTTCAAGAAGAAAAATTTTAAGAAAAGAATCAAAAGAAGAGAGATCAATTTATATTTATATATAGATATATCATATACTTATATACATTATTTTTATAGGTTTTTAATAAACCAGAGGTCTAATTTACTAATAAGTCAAGTTGTGACTATGCTAAATACAAATACCACTACTTTTTGAGATATACTCTATATAAATTATGTATAAGAGAGGAGTGACGGAAAATAGTTTTCATCTTCAGAAAACGTTGTCCTTTTATATGTTTTCTGGAACTCGATCAACTATTCAGATTAATACATTAATGAGCTTAGTGATCCAAACCCTAATATTTATTATACTAATTTAGGTGCACTAGTGAATTAGTAACTGCACCCCAATTTACTAGTTATGGTAATTGGATGCACCACTGATAAACGGCACAATTATTATAGTCATTAGTAATACATGTGTGACTTACTAAAACAATAGATAATTCTAGATTTACTCAGAATTTTGTATAATTTTAGTGGAAATAACCTTTTTATTATACAGCATCTAAAGTTGTAGCACGTGTATGGCTTATTAAAACAATAAATAATTCTAGATTCATTCAGGATCTTATATAATCTTGATGGTAATATTATCCTATTCTATAACGAGGGGCGTGACTGTTCTGGGCGTGTGGCGTAGTTGGTAGCGCGCTCCCTTAGCATGGGAGAGGTCTTCGGTTCGATTCCGGACTCGTCCATTTTACTTTTTGTGACATATGAAATCTGGATATCACTATGAACGATATTGTGAACTCTTTAGCCAACGACAATGTTCTAGTTTTTCTTGTTTATATAAGTACAAATATCGGTATATCTGTGTATGTTAGTTGCTCCTTGTATAGAATAAAGCTTATCTATCATATATAGACGATCAAATAAAGCTATATTTATCTATTTTAGCGTTCTAGAAGAGTGTGTCTCTTGTAATAGGATTCTCATCTATTACAGAAAAAGTAGAAAAATATCATCAACCCTCATTTTTCCAAAATCAATAAGCAAAACCCTAAACACAGCAACATCTACTAGGGTGCAACCAAATGTTCGAGAAACAGGAGGAGGAGGATGGGGGGAAAAAAAGAAAGACAAACACAACAAACACAATTGGGCTTGATGAGGAAACCCTATGAACCCATACACCTCCATTATTTTTTATTCAAGTACAAATTTGTACAATTCTCTGAATTTTTTTTTTTTCGTTTGTTGCATTTTTCTTTTCGCTGGTAGCGGCCGTGGAATGAAAGTGGGGAGGGTAACGCCACGGTAGCAGAGGGCAAAAGGAAAAAAAAAGGTGGAGATGTGTGTTTCTTTTTTATTCCACAATGTTCTTTGACCTTCGGAAAGAGGAGAAAGAGGGGGGGGGGGAGAGAAGAACAGGAAACAATCTTGTCAGAAAGGGTAAATGCAACTTGCAAGTTTTGAATAGATCTTTCTATCTCTCCATCCATCTATCTATTCACATACATACAAACGCGTATATATATATGTATATGTGTACTTGCCTGTTTGCACACTAATGCTTTAAATACTTCTCGTTCTGAAAATATACAATCTCAAGATAGAAAACCTTCCCAACTTAGTTAGTGCAAGCTCAGATAAGATTGTAAAACCCTTTTCTGTTTTTCAAAGAAGGAAGAAAGTATATTAATCTTATATATACATACACAGATACACATACATATACATAAGCAATTACAGAGACACTCATAGAAATGACTACCAAATATCTATTACCAGAAGTTCAGTGGGCTCAAAGATCAAACGAAACTGATCCAGAAAAGAACTACATCCTACTAACCATTTCAATCACCGACTGTGAAGACCCAATTCTAGACATCCAACCAACCTCCCTTGACCTCACTGCAAAATCAAAGGGCCATGTAGGCGATGAGACTGAACACGAATACAAACTACACATCGACTTCTATAAAGAGATCGTTCCTGAAAAGACTCTACACAAGAAGGCCAATGGACAACATTATTTCTTGAAGATGTTCAAAAAGGATTTGCAATTGGAATATTGGCCAAGATTGACAAAGGAAAAAATCAAATATAACAACATCAAAACGGACTTTGACAAGTGGGTCGATGAAGATGAACAAGATGAAGTCTCTGAAGCTAATGATATCCCTGGGATGGACGCATTAGGTGCTGGTGGAGCTGGTGGTTTAGATTTCACCGAAATGATGAAGAGTATGGGCGGTGCAGGTGGAGCCGGTGGAGCTGGATTGGGTGATATGTTATCTGGAGATAAGAGCAAACAACTGGAAGAATTGATGAAACAAATGCAGAATGAAGATCATAACAATAGTATTGACGATAAGGACAACGTTGAAGAAGAAGATGAAGAAGAAGAAAAATAAGAAGAAGTAAGCTGAAATAAAAGAAATATTTTGAATAGTTATTAACTTGTATTTATACAACTGTCTAAAATATCACACACACATACACACACAAGTATAAAAATATACTTTATATATATATACATTTGCCTTTATTGCTAATTAGAAAAAAAATATGTATTCTTTTGTCTTCGAAAAAATGTTAATGTAACCTTCACAAAATTATTAAAAGCTTTAAAATTCATAAACTGTTTCTTATTCCCTCTTGTTTCTATTATTTTTTAATATATTGAATATTGATACTAACCCATATAAATGACATAACACATACACACGTATATATATGGAGAGAAAGAGAGAGAGAGAGAGGTACATATTTATGAAGGGAATATTTATCATTTCATTTCTTTCTTTCTTACCCCTCTTTTCTCTTTTCATATAAATGCTAATTGCCCCACTAAATCTGACACAAATTTAAACTCTATAATATTATTAATATCCCACCTCTTGTTCTTTCTTGTCAGTGTATTTGATACAATTTCCTTTGCAGGCATATTGATATCTTTAAGTTTATTCCATCTCCATTCAAAACCTGCTATTCTATGCGATGTAGCTCTTCTTCTTTGTCTGAGAGTAGCATTTACTGGAGGATCAAATGGTAAACGGTCTTCTAATAATGCATATAAGATTACACCCATCGCCCAAGAATCACTCAATCTACCATCATAGGGCAACCCCATTAAAATCTCTGGTGATACATAATCTTCTGATCCACATCTTGTTGTGCATAGCTCATCATTTTTAGAAAGTTGTTTACTAAGACCGAAATCTGTCAATTGAATAATATTGTTATTCAAATAAAATTCTTGTCTTGATTCATCGTTTGCCATTAATTTGGTCTCATCCAACGGATAAACTAATAAAATATTTTCTAATTTAAGGTCTCTGTGTATAATCAAATTGTCATGAAGATATTTGACCGCTAAACTCAATTCTGTAAATATTCTTTGAATTAATTTTACTTCCAACCCACCATTACATTCAGCTAACGCATTCAGAAGGTCACCACCCAAACAATATGACATCACAATGTCACATTCAGGTATACTTATGTCCAGTCTTGTACTATTGCCACTACTGCTAATCACCTTTTTATTTTGTCTTAATAGTGTAGTTAAAGGAGTCTTATCTTTCAAAAAAATCGGATTATTGATACCATAAAGTTTAATTATACACGGATGGTCCAATTTTTGCAAAACAGATAATTCTCTGATTAAGGAACTCTCAAAACTTGAGAATAGTTCTGTGTCATTATCATAACTATCACCACCACCACTACTATCATAATTATTGATCTGCATAAACAAATTGTCTGGATAAATAATTTTTTTAATTGCCACCAACTTGTGGTTTCTTTCATTTGGATTGCTTTCAATATTCTCATATAAATCCACTACACTAAAATTACCTTTACCAATCTGTTTAATTCTATTAAATTTTATTGAGTGATCAAAATTAGGTAACAAGAAAATATTCAAAATATCTATATTAGAACCTATCTTGAGATTTTTGTAATTATTATCATGATTATTATTATCATAGTCACTAGTTGTAACATTATTAATATCAGTTGATGTATTCAGAGTAGAAAAAGACAATTCTTCACTAACCGTAGGTAAAGAAGATATACGTTTTGGTGATAGATCTGGAGCAGGCACCAACTCTGATACAATACGATGTTCAGTCTTCAATAACTCATCCAAATTCCTTGGCTCTTTATGTTGTATGTTAATATGATTAATTTCATTTAATGCAATATTTTTTAAAACAGTAAATTTGTCGCGTCTTTTCTTAATATTAATCTCAGATAGAATCGAATCAGTAGAAGATATAGAAGCTGAAACTTGATTTCTTTGTTGTTGTTGTTGTTGTTCAAAAACTGAATTTGTATGTTGTAAAATAGGAGAAGTAACACTTGAAATACCTAAACCTTGCATTGGAGATGAAGGTAAATAACTTATTGGAGTAGGAAAAATCCGAATATTATCGAATTGTGGAGTGGGCAAATTTTGTGGGGAAACAATAATATTACCATTGCCAAACGCATTTGTATTAGTGTTATAATTAGTACTATTACTAATAGCAGGATTATTTTTCTTATTATTTATATTTCCATGAATATCCAAATCGGTATTCAGTTGTTGTAATTGGGGTGTCTTTGGTTTTTCTTTGTTACCTTTGAGATACTCTGCATAAGCTTGTTGAAAATTCATATTCACCATACGTTATTAATTAATTGTTTGTGTGTAATGTATATATATATATAGTAATATAGTATTTTCCAAATAATGTATTATCAAGAAAGGAAAGAAAACCCAGAACAGAATGGAACCGATCCAAATCCAAAGTAGACAAAAAACAAAAAAAACTGTATCAACAAACACAGTAGTATTCTTTGTATATTTTAAATACCTATAGTTGCACAGGTCACACCATATATAGTTTGTTGCACATCTTGTAGCTCATTGCTTCTTTTTATCATCATCACATATACAAAATGTAAACAAAACAAAACAAAACAAAACAAGAATTCCTTTTTTCTTTTTCTTTTTTTCTTTTTCCACGGCCTTCCCTTCCATCCTCCTAAAATCTTTATTTTATTTTTTTCATTGTTTTCAGTTTGATCTGATCTGCCGTGATCTCAGAGACACAAGAAAAGAAAGAAAAGGGGAAGAAAACTGGCGAGATTACAAGGGTTGAAGGGGAGAACTCTCTTGTTAAAATTCTTTTTTACCTGGGCCAGACCAGATCAAGACTCAACTAAATTAGATCAATATATTGACGTGTGTATTAATCATCATGATAATAGTACTATATATGTACATACACAAACATTACGATAATGAATAAGAGTGGATGCATAAATGAAATAATAATAATAATATATACACAACATCGTCGTTGTTTAGTAATGCATACTTTACTCCTTTTTCACTCTTTTCTTCTTTGTCAATTGGCTTATAACATCTCCTCCTATCTTTCTTTTCTTGTTCTGTGATTGTTTCTTCTCAAACTTCGCTTGCTGTTCCTTTCTCGTCTTTGCACCCAATTTTTGTAAATCATTGGAACGTGTTATCAATTCTTTATTATCTGAATCATCAATTGTCTCCAGCCATTGCAACAGTTCAATTTCTTCACCATAGCCGTCGTCAACTTCATGTGGTGTTTCAAGAATCAATGGAATGCCTTCGAGTCTCATATCATGTGCTAACCATCTAAATGGTTCTAATCCAATAAACCCATGTCCTAGTTTCTCATGTAGATCTTGATTGGATCCCAACGGTGCTTTAGAGTCATTAATATGCATGGACTTTAAATAATTGAACCCAATAATTTCATTAAATTGTTCCCAAAATTTGTTGAAATTTTCAATTGACGACTGAATATCATATCCAGATGCAAACGTATGACATGTATCTATACACACACCAACTCTTGTCTTATTGTCAATTAAATCAATAACTTCACGTAAGTCTTCTAATCTATTACCAATTAAATTATCCTTACCTGCCATATTCTCCAATACAATAACCACAGACTCGGTCTCTCCTATCGCCCTATTCAAATACTTGGCTAACTGTTTTAATTGAACTTTCACATCGCCACCCTTCAATGCACTACCTGGATGTAAATTATAATGTCCAATTCCTAACTGTTCACATCTTTTCAATTCATCAATCAACTGAGAATATGCTTTTATTGCTTTACTTTCATCTGGATTGCATAAGTTGATAAAATAATGTCCATGTGGCAAAATATCCTTCAATGGATCATATTTATACTTTTCACAATTTAATTTGAACTTCTCAATTTCCTCGGTAGTCAATGGTGGTGAATCCCACTTCCTTGGAGATTTTAAGAACATAGCAAAAGATTGACAACCTATCTTATGTGCATTAATTACACTGTTTGATATCCCACCTACTGTTGAAACATGTGCACCAAATTTATATTTCGTAGTCACTGATTTTACAAATGGCATCTTTTTCTTCCTCTTTTTTCTTTTCTTTCTATATAATACAAATATAGATATTGTTTTACTTTATTATATTGCGTATCAATTCTTATACGCCATCTTAAACAGTCATTGAATGCAAACGCATTGGTTTTTCTGCATATTATATACTATCATCTTCCAGATTTTCCTTCTTTCTTTCTGTTTTTTCTTTTTTTCTTTTCACCGAATAAATTTTTCCTCGATGAGAAGAATTTTATTATTAAAAACGCATACAGATAAAATACATAGATTTATCATTGAAGAGAGGCAATACAATAACATTATATATATATACGTATACGTGTATAAAAAAATATTACACAATCAATCTGTTAAGTTTTTAGTTAAATATTCTGAATAAAGTGCCTTCATTCTATCCAAGTCCAAATCTCTCAATTTATTTAATTGAATAAATTGTCGCTTCAATCTCTGTAATTTGGCTATGTTAATATTTCTCGAATTAATGTCAACAAAAATACAATTGGGATCATCAACATCATCACCTTCAATTATAATTCTGCTTGATTGTCCTGCACTCAAACCATTTCCAATTGAGTCTTGTTCCTTTAAATGTGCCAATATTACCTTATTAACTTTTGATGTTTCAATCTCCAGTAATTGAATAAAATTGGACTGCTTTGCAGGTTTCAACAATGTCACTGAATTAGGCTTTAGAACACCAGGTAAACTACCATTATTAATATTAGAAGAAGAATTCAATTGGTTCAATTTGCTCTCTAGTGATGGTGAAGATTGCTTAGAATTTTTATTTGAATTAGAAAAGATAATATTGTAAATTGGGTCGATAATAGAGTCAACCGTATCGTGCGGAGACAAAAGTGGGAATAATGGAGAATCCCACCTATTTGTTTCGTTCGGTTCCTCATACCTTGCTACCAAATCAGTTAATAATTTATCATCCCATGGAGTATGATCCTTTGACAAGTCTCCCACCTGATTCCATTCTTGAACTTGTTTTAAAGATGACATAACATAAATACATAGAAACGATGTAGCTAGATTTTTTACCTCACAGTGTAATTGATATCTAAAACCCTTGATATAGTTTAAAGAATCAACAATAATAATATTTGATTTGGTTAGATCCCTTCTGACAGCTGATGTAATTTTTGATCTTAATTTTCTTTCATCTTGTGATGTAATATAATCATTGTGCTCAATACCTAATGATTTATCTGAGTGGACAATCACTTTATAATTCGATAAAGATGGTTCAGACTCAATTTTTTTATTCAATAGTTGAACCAATTGATTTACGTAAGTAGTCTTACCAGATGACGGGTACCCAGTTAACAAAATTAATGGCATGTGGAATTAAAATAACAAAATAAGAAAAAAAAAGAATGAGAAAAAACGAAAAAAAATACTCTAATTTAACCTTGTATTCACTTTTTAGATACTTTTTTATCTATAAATTACTAAAGTTCAAAATAACAAAAAAAAGATAGATTATTGGAGCAACATTACTATTCATAAATCATACATTACTATTAAGTGATTTCATGGTTTTTCTTATTTGCATTGTTACTTTCTCTTTTTTCTTTTTTTTTTTTTTTAAATTTTTCATTTTTTTCTAGCAACTTTACGAAACTAAAAATTTGCAAAAAATTTAATAATACCATAGCAATACGTACATTTTGTCACAACACATCAGGTAATAAGTCTGTATTCTTGAAAAAGATTTATAGATTAACTAATTATGAATGAAATTATATCTGTCAATGATTAACTACATACCAATATAAGGTCTAACCTTGCAGCTATCATACCAGATATGATGCAATTTCTTTTCTTCCTATCTTAATAAATCACACTACAAGATCTTCATTTTTACACGATAATATTTCATCTATTAATCTATACATATACATGCCCGTTCTGATATAGCACGTCAAGCTCATCTTCAATTGACAAAAAAAAAGATATTTTCCCTTAAGGTTATATATGTCATATTCTTTGTTCATTAATTTCCCTCCTTCTCCCATACTTGCCATTAAATAATTAGAACGAAGCTAATAGTAACAGACAATTATGGCATTTATCCGCTCACACATCTAATAAACAAAAGGAGTCTGTTTATTCACATCCTTAGAGATAGCTCACCAATTATCTTTGTTTAATTTCATTATTCTTTACCGAGTAAACTGTAAATTAAAATACATATATATAATGCCATTTCTTGGATAACTTAACAGATCAGACTAAATAGGAATAAAACAGTTAGATCCCAGAACAAAAAGATAATAGAGCTTATTATTGAAATATAGAGCAAAAAAAAGAAGGAAAAGATTTTTTTAGACAAAGGAGTGCTGGCTGAATTTGTGAAAAAAATAAACACCACACATGATCAAGATAATTATGTGAAGTTTACTATTAAGCATAAATTATTACTTTTAAAATAAAAAAGAATATTAATGAATAGTAGGGAATGTGGGTACCTCTAATCAAACGGTATTCCAAAATCTCAGTTTCGTGTAGAGTGAGATACACTTATTTCGAAACTATGTGAATGTCCAAAGATAGAAACTGAAAACAGATATAGTACGAAAAAAAATTATGACGAAATAACTTTAAAACCTACCCTAATGTTCCACAACCTTAGTAAAAACTGATTGACAATTCAAAAATGTTGACCTAGCACAAACTCTTGACACACAAAAAAATGTCTTGGTCATACTGCCCATTAGAACTAAATCAGGTACACTCAAATAAACGATATATTACACACTAAGATATATGTTAAATATTGCCATTCTTGAAAAAAATAATAGCCCATATCTTTTAATTGCCTACTAAATTTGTATTAGAAACAGGAACATATAATTTATTCATCTTGATATGGTTTCAAGCAGAAAGATAGTATCTTTGCTGAGTTGCAGAATTATGTCTAAACCCTCGTTTACTAGAAAAAGAGACCAACAACCAAAGTTGTTGCAATTTTTTTATTCTAAAAAAAAAACTTAAACAATAGGTCAAAATCTTTTCTAAATGTAAACAGAAATTGCACCATTTCGACAAAAAATATCTCATTTTAACTCTAAGTAAAGTGATAATTTTTTGACACAAATTTTTCCAGCCACATTGATATAAAGCAAAGCAAGCATATTATTATTTTAAATTCCTTAAAAGAAAATTAGGTTTAACTATTTCTCTGAATTTACTTCTCATAATAAACCTTGAAAACATTAGGGTTAGACTTTCTTCAATTTTGTGTTTTGTTTATGAGTAAAAAATATTATGTGGAAAGAAGACAATATGTAAATAAAAGACACCACCGCAGATATTGGAAGAACTTTTTAAATAATACAGTGAACCTCAAAAGACATTAGTTTTTCATTAAAACTGTAATATGATTACAAGAACATGACCATTTGTATGAGTAACAAAAAAACGTTAGTAAATAAGAAAGGTAAATTAACTCGAAAAGTATAATGTATATGATAGAGTTCGAAAGACATGGATGGATCCTTTAATCTTGTCATCATCTTATTTTCTTAAAAAAATACCAATAATAAAAGTTATATATGTCTGTCGAATATAATGAGAAACGATAACTTCTCAGCTGTAAAACTAGGCACAATCTTAGGTTATTGATTTTTTTATTTTAAAAAAAATGAAATTTATAAAATACAACCAAGGGTAAGTTTAACAAATTTCCCACAAGACACAAACTCCCATGCTCCGTTACGTGAATTGGTGTGGTTGGTTCGTTCACTAGAAAAAATTTTTTGTCAAAAATATTCCACTCTGATTCCGGGATAAATTTATAAATTGTGCTGTTTATAGTCAAATTTTTACCTTTTCCAAAAGTCTTTTCCCTTTTTTTTATTTTTTTTTATTTTTTTTGTCTTTCTTTGTGTTTATTTGATTGTTTACATTTTTTTATCAATTGTTTATTTCATAATAAGAAGAAAAAAAAACTCACACAAAAATTATGTCATAGAAATCTAATTATAAAAGATATTATATCATGAATTTACGAAATAATAATGATGATATGTCTTTTGTTTTACTTCTTTTTGTCTTGGTCTTAAAAAATCCTAAAATGGTAATTTTTGTTACCCCTTACCAAAAATGACAATGATATCTGCGCTAATCTTCTGTGAATTCTAGCCAACTATCTATGCTTAGTAAGATTTTATAGCACACAATATAATATTATATACAAATAATTTCTTCAAATTAAAATTTTATTGTTTTTAGGTTTCGCACATTTGTCTCACTACCTATACCAAAATAGAATAAATATTTTCTTGTTCTTGAATAAAAGATGCAACTCTTGTACTAACTAACAGTGTTACCACTTTTTATAAAAACATGTAACAACAAAAATTAACTTAGTACTTCAGGGATGTAGTTGGAATAATCGTGATTTCTTGTAATAACAAAAGAAAACTGTAGTCCTTTATTAACAATACCTCTTACAAACGAAATTATAAAGACAATCGCTTATGATCCATAGTATTCCGTATATGTCTACTTATATCTATATTGCAATTATAATTAACTAAACAACTACTGAATTCAATCTGATCATTCTCTTTAAGAAGTGATAATAAAACACTTGCAGTCAAGACAATCTAATTAAAACGAGTAATTATTTCATCATCATCGTTATTGTTCTTTTTTTTCTCCGTTTTAAACTAAATAATGCCAACTAGTTGTAATCAAAATATTTGAGGGTATAAAGAAGCTATAATAAAATTAGGAACTCATGAAGGCAAATTAGCCCAAGTCAACTATATTATACCCACAACAAATAACTCAATACAATACACGATCAATATGGACTTCTTCTCCCTTCTTAAGTACTTATACATGAATGCTTGTTGTGTTTCTATTATCACTAACAGTCCTCTATAGCTTATAAAGCAATTTCAGTGGATGAAGCTACCACAAAAAGCTTTAGCTTGATGCATAGGGCTTTTAACGTAAAATGAGACAATTTTTATTATCCACTTATCAGTAGTTACTTATCAACTTTTCTTTTTCTAAAGAGAAATACAAGTAGCAAGAGGTAAAACAAATATAGTACTGTTAATGTTAAAATATCCTTCGGCGTAAAACACGGGAAAGCTCTGTCTGTTTTGAAACATTGACAAATAATACAAAATAAGCTTCAGAAAATCAAAAATAACAGATATAAAGGGTAAGTAAGATCTATTATTAAGCAGTGTTGTGTATTGTATAGATAGATGACTTACTTTTAAATATTCTATTATATACCAATGCCTTTGCAAACAATGTAGCCCCAATGTTCTTTTGTTTATTTTACTGAAGTAACTTTTCCAAAATGAACAAAAGTTATTGTACAATATGATTTCAATAAACAATACTCGAGTCTTCTCCTTTTCTTTTCACTTCCGGGTTAATGGAACCAAGAAACTTTAAGCGACAGAAATTTTTGAAGTATTACCTCAGTTTCATATATTTGTTTATCATATCTTCCGTTATCTCCTTGTTCACTTTTTTTTCTCTTTTTTCTTTTTTTATTTGTCTAAATCTCTTGGGAGTTTGTCATCAAAAAAAAAAACCAGAAAAAAACGTTTTTTTTTTTGTTTTTGTTAAAAAATGATAGAAATTATATTGTATTTAGAATGTAATTGTTCTATGATAATAGGATTAATAAATTTTTTGTTTTCTAAAAAAATAAACCTGCATAAAACTATTATAGAAAATAATAGAAACATACAAATACAACCCCGTATTGTCCTTGTTGCAATTGTTTTTCAAAAAAGTCCTTCTCTTTCTCGAGGAAAGGGAAACAGCAGAAAACAAGACTTGTCTCGAAGAATTAACAAAGCGTGTTGCCTCGAAGGAATTTTGCTTTTCTAAAAATATGGAACAATACATGTGAATTATTTTCTCCAGTCCCCCCAGTTTATGATCCTCTTAAAAGACAAACAAAGCTTAAGTATATATAAATAAGAAGACGGGTAGCCATCTCTGATACTTTCACTTCGCTTACTCTTGCCTTGCCGCGTTTTTAGCGGGCCCATCCAATGGTTTTTTTCCTCCCAGCAGACTCTTCCGTTATCCAGTATTGTAAATACAATTATCTGACTAGAAATACTAGATTGTCCACTATTGTTATACTACTTATTTTATAGTTCGAGTGAGCCAGATAAGAACTGAAAATTCAGTGCATTACATTACATTACCTTTTTGTACAAAATAAATTCATATTTTAAATACATAGTTATACGTGTCTGTTCTGAAAAAATAACGTGTGAAAAATAGACAGACTGTAAGATTACTGTGTTTTTTTTAAATCCATCATTGCAACCATTTTTTAAATATTTATTTTATATCACTTAAATAAGTTCATTCTATATTGATAATAATAGTAGCATATTAATAACATTCAAAATTTTTTTGTAACTTATTCCAAAAATTAATATTCCATAATAAAAACATCGGTTTTTTATCAGTATCTTTTTATAATATTTTATTATTTCTATACTTATCCGTTTCAGATTATTTATTCAGAGTTAAAATACAAAAAAGGTATTAACTGGCTTTAATCCCTTTTGTTTATTTATTACATATCTGTATATTTTTTTCAAGTATTAATTCCTAATGTCTCCATCTGTTGCTTTAAGTTCCAATTTGTTAAAGAATAATACTCCAATTGCTCCACCTCCAAATTCAGGAAGAAGAAAATCCCTCCACTTTACTCCAATTATTCCAAAAAGGAAGCTTTCTATTAATAGTGTCGTTTCAACTGGTGACAGTGGTCATTCTTTAAATTCACCAAATAAAAGATACAATAGATCAAATAGCGCGGCTGGTCCAAGTACTGGAAATGTAATCTCTACTATTAAGACATCAAGAAAATGGGTTCTTCCACCAAGACCAAGGCCTGGCAGAAAGACCTTTTTCAGTGGAAACAATAATTGTGGTAACGGCGAAACAAATACCAACTCAAACAATGTAGTGGGTAAAGGTCATGATAAAAATTCTCCAAGTTCTCCTACTTCTACCTCGTCTGTCATATCTTCCACATCCTCTTCTTCTGCCACTAGTTCGGTCTTTTCAAATACCAATAAGAGAAGAACTCGTAGTGTTCCTATAATACCGCACGTTAAAGGTGACTCCAACAATAATATTCTTAATAAGACTAACCTTTCAAAAAAGAATTCGAATAACTATTTGGCATTTCTTAAGTTTGATGATGAAACTTCAACCTTAAATCTATCGTTAGCTGAAGAGACCGTTGGTAAACAAAGTTCTATATTGTCCACTGTGTCAACACATAATGAACATGCTGCAACTTCAGTCACCCCAAATAATTTCTCAGTTGTTTCATCTTCTGATAAGAATGCTGTAAAGACTACAGCAGTAAGTTCCGCAGTCAGTACTATTAGTAGTACTAGTACTGCACTTCAAAGAGAGCCCTCCCCGACTGAAACTGTTATGACTACTCCATTAAATGATATGGGTACTTCTCTTAATAAGTTACATACTTTCACCTTTAACAATGAAAATATTAGTTCTGTAAGTAACAACGGCATATTCCAGGAGTTCAATATAGATTACAATTATAATATGTCATCTACACTCCTTTCATCGTTTGCATCAAATCCAAGTTCTCGTGATAACATCAAGAATCCGGAAAATAATGATGGTTTTATTGAGAAAACTACCAATGATGAATTAGAGAATGAAATATATAATAACATTTGGAAATTTTTGCCACGTTATAATAAGACCGTAAATGATACTGCAGATACTAATGGTAATAAAGAAGACAGTGTCAACAACAATGAAAATGCTAACAATTATAATTCCAATAGCAATAAAAACAGTTTAACTAATCCTGCAGCCAATGATATTGATTCATATTTCTATTCTGCACCGACTTTAGAAGAGTTGATGGATGAGCAAGATAACAATTTTAATGGTTTTAACAATTTCAGTTTTTCCTTGCAGGATTTGCCATAGAATTAACTGGGATAGTAAAAAAAAAGAAATAAAATGAACTAATTTCCTTCATAGTAATCAGTAAGCTATTACATTTTTTTATTTGATGCATTTTAAGTTTGCCTTTGGTTCCCTTCAATTTTTACCACATATTTGATGATAACGATTTTCGAGCAGTTGGACAAAAGCTCTCTGTGTCCAACTGGTACACAAAACGTAATATAAAGGTGATTTCATTCACATATTTGGGAGTGTCTTCTCGCATTTACTAATTTATTTCATAACGTCATGGTTTGATTTACATAATTATTGTATAATTTTACCTTATTTATTATTCATTAATATATATATTTATATATTTACTTAAATAATTCAATTCGAAAATATATTAGTACATCTTTTTTGAAACTCTTGGATCTTCTCAATTTCTTTTTAGTATGTTTTGCACAAGGAGACAGCATGAGTTCTCTCAATCGGCAATAAACTCATCAACTTACTAGTAAATTAATCCTGTGTCTGTTTTTCTTTTGTCTCTTTTTTTTTTTCTTACTAAAGAATTTTTACTACACAGTACAAATTTGAAATAAATAAATACAATAAGATAGTACACCCAAAAAGAAAGTTCTGCTGATGTTATCAATAACTAATGAAGCATACACTATACTTAAACCTCATGAAGATGAATTTTTCGGCATGAACATTATATTATTGAAGAAAGAACTTAAAAAATGGGAACATGATTTTATCAAGAAATATAACAGATCACCCAAAAAGAGTGATATTGATCAATTTCCTGCAATTAAAGTAAAATATAAAAGTTATTCAAGATATAAGAGTAAAAAAGTACGATATGAGAGAACACCTATAAAAAATGAATATTCAGTAGACAATTCTACAGGTGGAAATTTTTCAAATATTAGTAATAACAATGAAGATGACTTTAATGGATTTATTAATGAAGAATTGGGTCCTACTCCGCAGATTCATGGTAAATCTATTGGTCTATTCGAAATAAATCTATCTCCTATAAAGAAAAAATTAGATTTATTAGAAGATGATGAAAATGATGATATATTCCAAGAATCAAATATAGACAAAATTGAGAATGTACTAGAAAATAATACAGCACCTATACTTAAGAACAACAATAAAAGTAATGATCATAGTGGTTTAAAAAATGATATATCTACAAGATTATATGGCCCTAATTCTCCATTAAAGATCGACTCCACAATAAAATATCGTCAAAGGACTCCTAAAAGAAATTTAAACGTAGAGTTAAATGAAAATATTACACCTGTTGGTATTAGCCCTTCTCCCTTGTGGAAACGCTCTTTGACTAAATCTTTAAAGGAACTGGAACATGAATTTCAAACTGTGAGAAAAGAGCTCAAACTTACTGAAATTGAAGAGGAGACAGAGGAAGAGCAAAATGAAGACGACGAGAAAAATAATAAGGACATACTGTCTGATTCTGGTATTAAGAATGATAAAGAGATTTCTAATACTCAAGGTAAGAAAGTCAATAACATAGAAGAAATAAATACAGAGACTTCTTTTAACAACGTTCCTACCGATGCTAGAACCCAAAGAAGACGAAAAAACAGAGTTATGGCTAATGTGGATATGTCAGCTAATGATTCATTAAATAATAATATCAATGAAGAGGTTGATTTACACGCTATGTTAAGAAATATTAAAAGACAAAAATTGAAAGAGTTTATTGAAAAAAAGTCAATTCCCTTACCACCAACGATAAACGATAAATTACTCTTAGAAGATGTCAGACTAAATAAAGAAACGGTTAAAGGTATTGACAAAAAACAGGACACTACTAAAGTCCCTGTAAAACAGAAGCGTAAAAAGAAATATAATTTGGTAAGTAATAACTTTAGAAGACTCAAACTTCCTAGTAGAAATAAAAAAAATAGCTACCGGAAAAAATATAATAATAGAAAATTTTAAAATACAGAAGTATAAATAGAATAATAATAAATTTTGGATAAAGAATATTTACACGAATACCAATGAATTTATATATATGTAGCACAAATATGATTAGGGTGAAATATTTATATATAACGTTAGAGTTCAGTAACTAATGCAAATTTTTGAGTACCTCTTCAATTTTAGTATCACCATTTGACAATGGTATACTCCTCATACATGTAGTTGTTGGATTTAAAATACATGAAACAATAACTTCAGCTAGATCTTCCCTCTCAATTGTATATCCATTAGTTTTTTGTTCTTCAATCCTTTCAACTGGTTGAATCTTTCCTGTTGGTTTATTATTAGCTGTCAACCATCCTGGTTGTAGAATTGTCCACTTTAATTTTGAATTTCTGACCTTACGGTCTGCACATCTTTTAGCTATAAAATAGTCTCTTAAATTACCTTCTAATGACCACCAAAAGTCTCTTTCTTCTACATTAATAACTGAAATCAATATAAATCTTTGAATATTTGCTATCTCGGATGCCTCTACACATTTAGAGACACCATCAATATCAACAGTAAATAATTCTCGTAGACTTTGATGGCCAGATCCTGCAACAAAGATAATTATATCAACCTTTTTAAACAATTCAACTAATTCAAGCACAGAGAAGTTAATTAAATCTAAATGAATTTGTTCAACAACAGTAGGATCATATGATATGTTATTTTTAGTATCAATAATATTTCTTGTAAATGCTATAATTTTCTTAAATCCATGTTTTTGTAAGGTTTTTAAAGTTAATGAGCCTGTTCTTCCGTGTGCACCTATGACACCAATTGTGAAATTTTTTATTTCTGACATATTTTTCTATTATATTATTGTTGTTTAATTTACACTGTCGACGTGTTTTATCCTTCTCCCATCAAACAGTAAGAGTACAATCAATTATTATGTAACTTCCTCACTTATATCTTTGGATACATTCTTTCCCTTTTTTTTATTCCTATGTGTCATATTTTATTTCCGTTTACCTACAATATATCAATCTAAACTCTCCCTACAAATCAGGGGAAAAAGTAGAGCAGAAAAAGAATCGAATGCACCTTATTAACAATAGGGCTTTATTGAAAAAAAGAATATTTTTCTATAACATTAATATTAGAAAGTTAGGACATTTGTTAAAATATGATAAACAAGCAGCTATTTTTGCCCGTTTCTTCTTTTAAGATTAATATCATACTCGAAACTAATGTACTTAGTAATGAATAGAAAAATAATTAAAGTCTATATATAGAGAGTATTTGTGAGAAAAAAAATGAATTAGTATGTAAATATGTTTAAATTTTATCCTTAAAAATTATTCTTATCTTTGTCTACTATTTAGAGCTTAAATAATGGTATTTTTAGTAGCTCTTGTCTCTAATAGAACTATGTTTTTTACATGTTTGTTTTCTTTTTTTAAAGTTTTATACAAAAAGCATTATCCTATTGTATGTGGATTGTATTTAGACAGGATTCGATCATCTAGTTTGTCAAAATATAGTAAATAAATAATTAATCAGGATTTAATACTATTTTAATTAAATTTGGTACCTTCCATCTAACCATATATAAAAAAAAAATCTAAATCACTTATTATCTAATGACGTGTTTCAATCTATCAACCAATCAGCATCATTATTTAAATATCCTGTATTTAAATTCATTAAAAGATATATTTACTTAGTTAGTATGAAATAAAAAGGATGAGTTTGGATAATATAAATTTTAGAAAGGATAAAAACTGTTATAATATTTTTTTACTACACAATAAGGAGAATTTCCGTATATATATAATCCTTTACTATTTGCATAAATACATCATAATTATTTATTTATAAAATCCTAAGTTAAATTAGTCAAAATAATAACTAAGACATCAAAATATAAAAAAACATATGTCAAAGTATCTTTATATTAAAATTTTAAAAGAAACTAATCAATTATATAATAGCATTTAAAGTAAAAAAAATAAAAAGAAAGGAATTTAATAGTATTTATTCAACTGTCACAGACTTGGCTAAGTTTCTTGGGAAATCAACATCAATACCCTTGTTCACGGCTAGCCAGTATGACATTAATTGTAATGGAATAATATTCAACAACCCTTGCAGGCAATCCACCGTTTGTGGTACTTCCAGCGTAATCAAGTTGCTCGTGGTCGCCTTCTTGCTCCACACTGCGTCTCCCTCGTTACAGATAATGATAGGGTGACCCTTTCTGGCTGTCACCTGTTCAATCGACGAAACAACCTTGGGGAACAATGAGTCCCTAGTCCCAAAGGCAATAATAGGTAAATTCTCATCAACCAGCGCCAACACTCCATGCTTCAATTCCCCTGCAAGAACACCCTCCGAGTGCATGTACGAAATTTCCTTGATTTTCAACGCCCCTTCTAGTGCCGAGGCAAACTGGTAGCCTCTACCTAACAGTAGTAGTGACTTCTGGTTCTTCAATTGCGTCTCACACAACTCCTTGATCCGGGGCTCTAGTGCTAGCACCTCCTTGATCTGTTCAGGAATCTTCCTCAATCCTTGTATAATCTCCACCCTTCTCTCCTGTTTCGACACCCTGTCATCGGATAGCGAAAGTGCAAACATCACTAGTGCAATGTATTGGGACGTGTATGCTTTTGTCGACGCAACCCCGATTTCTGGCCCTGCATTGATATGTACACCACAGTGTGTTGCTCTGGAAAGCGATGACCCCACTGTGTTCACAATACCAACTGTCAACGCCCCCCTCTCTAAGCAGTAGTTTAATGCCAGTATAGTGTCTGCTGTCTCACCACTTTGCGACACAAATACACAGATATCGTCTCTGAACACCGGTGTCTTTCTGTCCAAGAAGTCTGATGCCAACTCAATGCTTACCGGAATCTCTGACAATTCCTCAAAGATTGCTCTTGTAGCTAGGCATGAGTGGTATGATGTACCGCACGCAATCATGATCAACCTACGGGCGCGTCTGATCGCTGGCAGCCATGCGGTCAGCCCACCCAGTAGCACTGTATTATTTTCGAAATCAATACGGCCTCTCATGGTGTTCAACGTAGATTCTGGTTGTTCAAAGATTTCCTTCTGCATGAAGTGTTTGTATGGACCCTTCATGATCTGTGCTAATTCCATCTCCAATGTCTGAATCGATCTGGTCATTGGCACCCCTACTTCACGTCTCGATCTGTGGATGTGCAACTCCCCATCGTAGATGTGTGCAATGTCGTCGTCCTCTAAGAAGAGAACCTTCTTGGTGTGTTTGATGACCGAAGATGCATCTGAGGACAAGAAAAACTCGATAGGAGCAGGGAATCCGTCCTCGGATAAGAAGGCTCTGGATTGTGAATGTCTCAAATTGAACTCATTAGTGGCAATTGGTAAAAGATTGCTACAATTTGATCTTTTATCATTACAAATGAAACTAGAGGGAGATTCATTATTATTTGGCCTAGATATATCTTGTGTTTTCATATCTGGTAAGATATAATCTTCAAAAACCTCCAAATTGTCATCAATTCTATCAAGTTCAGCACTCTTGTTACCATTCTTACAATTAGATTCAAAATAACTATATTTGTTATGATTATAGTTATTATTATTATTCTCCTCAGGATATTCGACATCTATAAAATCCATTTTTAATTTTTTTTCAGACTTAACACCAATTAGCAATGGAGAACCCTTTCTAGTAGCAATAACTTCGTTTGGATAATGAGAAGATCTACATAATAGACCATAAGATCCTTCTAATTCCAATAGAACCAACTTTGTCAATTCATGGAATTCTAATTCATTTCCATTTTGCATATTGGTATCATAGATATGTTTGAATAGTTTGGCAATACATTCTGTGTCAGTTTCACTTTCAAATTTGTAACCTTTATTCACTAACAAAGTCTTCAGTTCTCTAAAATTTGTAATGATACCATTATGGACAATTACAAATTCATTATTTTTATCAGAGGATTGAGGATGACAGTTGATTTGTTTTGGTTGACCATGTGTTGCCCATCTTGTATGAGCTATCCCAACATGAGAGACAAAAATATCATTCAAATCCAAACTAATTTTACTAATCTCTTTTTTCAAAGCATCCACTTTACCGATTTGTTTAATTATTAAAGTAGAGTCTATTGCTAGACCGGCTGAATCATAACCTCTGTATTCTAATTTCTCTAAACCTTCAGTGAGAGTATCCAAAATCTCACCTCTTGTTTTTTCAACCCAATAATTACAATAACCGAAGATACCACACATCACGATATGTTATATGCTATATTAGTAGTTAAATGATGTTACTAATTAAATTTTTATTTTAGCGTTTCTACTCTTTTTCTTTTTCTTATTATGAAGATGTTGAACAGAGAAAGGATGAATACACAGATAACATTTTGGGTGATTTTAATATTCTATCAAGTTAATATATCAAGTCTCGAGATATTGAGAAGCAAACAAATATATGCAAATTTTCTCGAGATAAAACAAGCCTTCATAAATAATAGAATTAATCTTCGACCACAATATTATACCCTAATATCCTTTTGTTTTTTAAAAAGTTAATTATTTCCATATTTCAGTATAGTAATGAAAATATAGAAAGGAATAATATTATTGAAGTAAAGCAAAGAAAATGTATTAGGCATAAATATATCAGCATTGTATCTTCACATTATTAAAAAAATAACAAAATTAATAAAGGGTTAGGAGTATTTATTTTTGTTGTTTTATTTTATTTGAATGGCTGACCTAGTTATTGGTGATTAATTATTTTATTAATTTATATTACCTTTGAGTATTGATCATTTGGATATAACGAATCAATTATTGTTTTATTATTTTTCTACTATTAATATAATTATTGCTATTTTTTCTATTTTAAAATAGTGAATAAAAATGAGAGGGGAAAGATAGGACAAACATATATAGGGATGACGAAGAGAATTATATTTATGTTTGAAAAGAAAAATATATTATCAGCTCATACAGTAACCATCGACAGATGTACAATGAGTTAGAGTATTTAGGTTGATTTATGTAAGACTTTTAATAATAACTTTTTTTTTCTAACTATGTCTCTATCTCATTTCATGATTATGAGAACATTTTGTTATTACTTCAGGCAAAAAAAAAAATTATAAAAAAAAAGGAACTTGCTTATATGTTCATAAAAGAAATTTTGTTATACAAAAATAGGCTGATAGATACGAATTTTTTAAACCGAAGTGAAATTGAATATACTAGTTTATATGTATAACACGTAACCAAAGCCTATATTTCTGTTTTAATACGTCATAGAAAGATAGTTACTCAATCTGCTTGCATGTTCTTTTGTTTCTACATTAATATTATTTTTTGTCATCATTTAATCAATGGAACAGAAAGTCACTAATATTGTTATTAAAACCTCACTTTAATCAAGTATAACCTTCAATAATGATTAAAAGGACCATAATACTTCTTAGAGTTGTTTAATTTTTTTTTAGTGAGTAGTAGGTATTTAAAAGGCTAGAAAATGGCTGAGACTCTCTATATCAAGTGATTATCAAATTGCTTTAAAATAATCTGGACAAATATTGACAACATTCTAAAAATTATAATAAATATCTAGGTTGTACTTCTCATAAGAGCCTCATCAAGAATGTAAAACTTAAAGGATATATTGCAGACAAACAAGAGTAGTTTAAAAGCACAGAACATTTTGATATTCTAATCTCCTTATAATATTTAGTATTCCAGCCTACACCAGTTGTAATGTTAAGTATTCATATCATAATGTTTTTCTCTTTTCTACTTTTTTTTTTCTTTTGGCTAGTCAAAGCCCTAACTAAATAAAGGACAAAGATAAGGCAACTTATAAAGCAACACAGATAGAAGTCCGATACTCCCACATCTACACTGTGAATTCTACATACTTATGGCACACTTGTGAAAGGGAGTAGGAACGAAAGAAGGTAAAGAACTTTTCTTTTCCCTCTTCTTTATTATTAATGTTAAAAACAGCGGTGTCGCTGTCATTATCTAATTTTGTGTGACTAAGAAAGCAGAAGCAAAAGAAAAAAAACACTTTCCTTCCCTCCATCTCACTAATTTTTTTTCTTTTTTCTCTTTGGTTTTTTTCAGCAGACAAATTTCATGACGTTTTGAAAATTTCTTCAGTCAAATCGAAAGGAAGAAAAAGAAACAAAAAAGAACGAGAGAAAGAGAAAGAGAGTCATACATTATTAACTATAGTGACGTGTTAATAATGGTAATATAATAAAAAATGTATGCGGCATATTTTGAAGGGGGGAAATGCAATAGAGAGGAGAACATGATGGTTCTTGCTTGTTTATTTTTTACTCAATACAGAATTAATATATGATGAGGCTAGAGCTTAATAAGATTAGAACTATTATTATTATGGGAATTAAAGACATTGAGAGCAAAAAAAAAGAAATAGGATAAACAATTAACCTCATGTACTTCCTGATCTTCCTATATGCATGACAAAATAAACTCACATAAAGGATATCTTGGTATCTTTGTATATCTATGATGTTTAACTTTATGTTATTAGACCTTTGTTTAAAACAAGTGATCTTAAATATGAGCGTATATAAGTTCCTACCTTTTGCGTCTATTTTATTATATAGTTTTCCACATATAATGAATATTCAATAAGTTTGCTATATCTATTTCTATGCCTTATTAAATATTGCCCTATATATATATATATACGTAGATGCAGGTATATTTACTCATTATTGAGTTACAACAAAAAAGAAAGTAGGAAAGGAAAAAAAGAAAGGAAGCAATGATAATGTTTATGGTAAAACTTGATGGTTTGTTGTATAGGTTTAATATGAACTCACGCTATCATCACCATCTGACTAATAACAATACTAAAAAGGTCATAATTCATTTAACAGCTAGATTTAAATCCACCTCATTATTAAATAAGATTGAATCGGCTCCACCAGATAGAATCTTAGGTTTAACTGATATATTTAATAAAGATGCAAACCCTAAAAAAGTTAATTTAACTGTTGGTATATATAAAGATAATTTTGGTAAAGTTGCAACATTCCCATCTGTTAAAAGGGCTCAAGACTTAGTGAACAAGAATTATCAAAGTTTCCAGAGTTTAACTTATCTGCCAATAAATGGTAATCAGGATTACTCAAAGAATGTGTTGGATTTCATTTGGAACGATTCATGTCAGGGTTTAGCTCACAATTATCTTTTGAATGATAAAATTAATTTTGTGCAAACTTTAAGTGGTACTGGTGCTGTTGCACTTGCTGCAAAATTTTTGTCAAAATTTATTTCAAAGACAATTTGGGTACCAAATTATTCTTGGTCGAATCATTTAAATATCTTTAAGGAAAATGGTTTTCAATATATTAAACCCTATAATTATTATGATGATTCGAATGGTACGATATCCGTTGATGAGTGGTTAAGCAATCTAAAATTAAACCGTTCTCAAACTGATATTACCTCTCCACAATGCATCCTTTTACATGCATGTTGTCATAACCCTACTGGTATTGATCCAACAAAAGAACAATGGAAGACTATCATAAATACAATATATGAATTAAATATGGTCCCAATTATCGATATGGCTTATCAGGGTTTAGAATCTGGAAATTTGATCGATGATGCTTATCTGTTAAGAACCTGTTTAAGTAAGGGTGATTGGCCAAATGGACTTTATCTTTGTCAATCCTTTGCCAAAAACATGGGTCTTTATGGTGAAAGAGTAGGTTCTTTGAGCATTGTGACTCCATTGAATTCCAACTCTAATACTAACTTAAATATTGACTCTCAGTTGAAACCAATCATAAGATCATTTTATTCTTCTCCACCTGGTTATGGTTCTCATGTAGCTAATCAAGTGTTGTTAAATAAAGATTTAAAATTACAGTGGTTTAATGATGTTCAAAATATGGTTAATCGGTTAAAAATTATTCGGTTAAATTTATTTAATAATTTAAAATGGCATGATTTGATTGATTTTGAAAGACAACATGGTATGTTTTATTTCACCAGATTTACTTTAAAGCAGGTTCACCATTTAAGAAACAAATATGCAATTTATTTGACTGATGATGGTAGGTTGTCTTTAAGTGGCATCAATGATTCAAATATTGATTATGTTTCTGAAGCTCTATATGAAGTAGCTAAACTTTAAATTTTTTATGTCTTTACCCTGAAGTACGTATATGCATACATATAAATGTTTCCATTTTAGACCATTTAACCAAGGTTACTGTAATAACTTTTTTCACCATTTATTTTAATTTTTCATATGTATAGATAGATAGATAAATTGATAGATAGACTTAAATAATAGTTGCATAATATATCTTACTTTTTTTTGTGTCACAATTTTATGCTTTAGTAATATTGATTAACGTCCAAGACTTGTTTCTTCTAATTTTTTAATTTCTTTTAATTGTAAATCAATTTTATTCTGACATTGAATTATTTTCCTTTGTCTGTTGAATATGTCTCCAGAAAAAATGATATTTTTTGATTGATCCCTTTGCTTGTATATATTTTCCTTATATATTGTCTGACGTGATTCCAATGGATCCCTTAAAATATTATGTTGATTAATAGCATCTGATTGATTCTCGTATTCTTTGTTCATTTTTAAAATAAAATTATGTGCCATATAAAATAGGCTATCTTTTCCTTTTTGAATTAATCTTTGAGTTGATTTTTTAAATGGGATTTCAAAAAAAGAGTTTATGTATCTTTTAGTTTTATATCTGTTTTGTTTTGTCTTTAAAACTTTTTGACAACCATATTTCTCTCTATTTTTTGGATTCATTTCTTTTGAGGTTGATGTATTTGCAATACACCTTTATTTTTATTTTAAAAAATCATCTTTAGAAAAGTACTCTCTTTGTTTTTTTAAACTTATTAATTGATGTTTAAATATTTATATATGTTGATGTGCATATATCTTGGAGAGATAATATTTAGCCGCTGTATCCAGTATCTAGAGACCAAAAGATTTTATTTCTATATAATTTGAAAAAGAAATAAATTATAAAATTAGTGAGTTAATAATTGGAATACAATACTGTTGACAACATATAAAGAGATAAATATATAATATACGTATCTTATATTGAGTTAGAAATAAGGAAGTTTTTTACACATGAAAATTTATTTCTAATATTTAGGGGTTGACCTAAAATTGATGAATATAATACATTAGGTTTTTTTGAAAAAATAGGAAAGAGAGGTCTCACTCAACTGTTACAGACTTGGCTAAGTTTCTTGGGAAATCAACATCAATACCCTTGTTCACGGCTAGCCAGTATGACATTAATTGTAATGGAATAATATTCAACAACCCTTGCAGGCAATCCACCGTTTGTGGTACTTCCAGCGTAATCAAGTTGCTCGTGGTCGCCTTCTTGCTCCACACTGCGTCTCCCTCGTTACAGATAATGATAGGGTGACCCTTTCTGGCTGTCACCTGTTCAATCGACGAAACAACCTTGGGGAACAATGAGTCCCTAGTCCCAAAGGCAATAATAGGTAAATTCTCATCAACCAGCGCCAACACTCCATGCTTCAATTCCCCTGCAAGAACACCCTCCGAGTGCATGTACGAAATTTCCTTGATTTTCAACGCCCCTTCTAGTGCCGAGGCAAACTGGTAGCCTCTACCTAACAGTAGTAGTGACTTCTGGTTCTTCAATTGCGTCTCACACAACTCCTTGATCCGGGGCTCTAGTGCTAGCACCTCCTTGATCTGTTCAGGAATCTTCCTCAATCCTTGTATAATCTCCACCCTTCTCTCCTGTTTCGACACCCTGTCATCGGATAGCGAAAGTGCAAACATCACTAGTGCAATGTATTGGGACGTGTATGCTTTTGTCGACGCAACCCCGATTTCTGGCCCTGCATTGATATGTACACCACAGTGTGTTGCTCTGGAAAGCGATGACCCCACTGTGTTCACAATACCAACTGTCAACGCCCCCCTCTCTAAGCAGTAGTTTAATGCCAGTATAGTGTCTGCTGTCTCACCACTTTGCGACACAAATACACAGATATCGTCTCTGAACACCGGTGTCTTTCTGTCCAAGAAGTCTGATGCCAACTCAATGCTTACCGGAATCTCTGACAATTCCTCAAAGATTGCTCTTGTAGCTAGGCATGAGTGGTATGATGTACCGCACGCAATCATGATCAACCTACGGGCGCGTCTGATCGCTGGCAGCCATGCGGTCAGCCCACCCAGTAGCACTGTATTATTTTCGAAATCAATACGGCCTCTCATGGTGTTCAACGTAGATTCTGGTTGTTCAAAGATTTCCTTCTGCATGAAGTGTTTGTATGGACCCTTCATGATCTGTGCTAATTCCATCTCCAATGTCTGAATCGATCTGGTCATTGGCACCCCTACTTCACGTCTCGATCTGTGGATGTGCAACTCCCCATCGTAGATGTGTGCAATGTCGTCGTCCTCTAAGAAGAGAACCTTCTTGGTGTGTTTGATGACCGAAGATGCATCTGAGGACAAGAAAAACTCGATAGGAGCAGGGAATCCGTCCTCGGATAAGAAGGCTCTGGATTGTGAATGTCTCAAATTGAACTCATTAGTGGCAATTGGTAAAAGATTATCACGGTTAGAGTGATGATCATTGGAAATAAATGCAGATGGGTTCTTTTTGTTATTTGTTAAGGATATTTTATTATCATCCTGTGAGATTGGTGTCTCTGGTTGATCTTCATCTGGAAATTCAATATCAACAAAATCCATTTTTAATTTTTTTTCAGACTTAACACCAATTAGCAATGGAGAACCCTTTCTAGTAGCAATAACTTCGTTTGGATAATGAGAAGATCTACATAATAGACCATAAGATCCTTCTAATTCCAATAGAACCAACTTTGTCAATTCATGGAATTCTAATTCATTTCCATTTTGCATATTGGTATCATAGATATGTTTGAATAGTTTGGCAATACATTCTGTGTCAGTTTCACTTTCAAATTTGTAACCTTTATTCACTAACAAAGTCTTCAGTTCTCTAAAATTTGTAATGATACCATTATGGACAATTACAAATTCATTATTTTTATCAGAGGATTGAGGATGACAGTTGATTTGTTTTGGTTGACCATGTGTTGCCCATCTTGTATGAGCTATCCCAACATGAGAGACAAATGTAACTTCTCTGTCAGGGTTGTATTTTTCAATTTCCTTTTTTAACGCTTTTACTTTACCAATTTGTTTAATGATTATAGTTGAGTCAGGTTCATCACCATCAATAGCAATACCAGTGGAGTCATAACCTCTATATTCTAATCTTTCCAAACCTTCAACAAGGTAATCTATAATATCACCTCTTGATTTTTCAACTAAATAGTTACAATAACCAAAGATACCACACATGTTGACCTATTTGTACTAGTCCTAATTATATATTGTTGTCCTCCTCGTTGGTACCTGAAAAAATTTCTTCCAAAATAAGACAATTTTAGCACCGAACGTATGGAAATATCAGATGAATAAAAATAAAATACAACAAAACTACTTCTCCTTTTTTATATAGTCGATAATCGTTGCAAATCCAAAGGGAAAAGTTGCTATTTGTGTGTAAGGTAACAACTGTGTATATAAACATTTGGAAAAATAAATATAATTTTTATAATATGAATGAGATCAAGAAGGATACAAGAAAAGAAGGAAAGAAAGTTGGATTAACTGATTAATTGGCAACGTATGCAACTTCGAAACATGAGAATTAAAAAAATGGAATGTACAGTACTTTCCTAAGTGGGAAAAGTAAATGCCTGGAAGCACTTGGCCAAGGAAAAACTTTTGATAACATTATCCTTCCGTTTTTAGTGATTTTATTCTGATCTGTTTTTTTTTTCTTGTGTGTTATTTTTAGAAATTAATGTGGCTATTTTTATCTTTAATAGTTGTTGTTTCTGTTGGTTTTAATCTGTTTTTCTAACCTGGTTCTTTCTATGCTTTTTCATTTTAAAGAGGAATGCATACTAGTAAAGAATCATATAATGTCCGACTGTAATAATGGAGGAAGGAGGCTAATTATATCACATAATTATAAGGTAATATAATACAGGTACAAAAAGAATTTTTATCTATTTTTTAATATATTTTTATATATGGTTAGGGTTTCAGTTTGTTCATTTGCATTTGAATTCGGAGTTACTACGATATACTCTTCAAAATTCATAATCTTGAAATAACTTAGTTACTTAATAGAAGATCCCTTCTATTAATTCCTCTTGAGCACTCTTTATTATTAACTATCTAGATTTATAATTATTAGTCAATAAAATAAATCCTAATTTGTTGCTGTGGGCCTACTAGCAGATTCGAACCCCAGAATATTTCTTGAGAATTTTTTTAAGAAAGGGATCAATGATTTATTTATAGTATTTCCTAAATGGGAAAAATCTAAAAAAGTATGTAAAGCCCTTTTAGGAAAAATGTCAACATTGAAAATAATTACAACAAAAAAAAACAAAAAAAAAAAAGCAAAAGAAAATCAAAAAGTAGCAAATTAGATACACAAAGTGAAAATTTAGATCACAAAGTTGAAACATTTCTAAAGATACTGTTTCATAAAATTATAAGTTTGATTCTCTACTTCTTTACTTTAAAAGTTTTGAAGAAGTGGTTGTTGACTTGAACTAAAATAGTTTACATCCTCATCCTCAAAATTGTCCTTTTCATTATTCGAAAGGATTGGCTTTGTGATTTATCTTATTAGATATTCTCAGCAAAGACAATCAAATACATATACAGAGCATATCTTAATTTGTGTTTAGCACATCTTTATTTTCAGGGGTTACAAATATATTGTCAGGGATTTAATACTCTATCAATCCTTTATCATTACTTTTAGTGAGGGTTATTACCATCGATATTGATTTTCTTGTTGTCTTTATTATTACTATTAATAACACATTAGTTGATTCAAAAATATTTTTTTATTTAGTGGATTGTTATCGATTACACTAGATCTGTCATGTCTTTAGCACCATTACAAGCTGTCAATGAAAGACAATTGAATACCCGTTCTTTAAAGACGCCAACAAAGGGTCCTCATGTAGACATACAAAATAAAGAAAATTATATCAATAGTTACAATAAAAGACAGGATCCAAATGGTTACCAACAACATCAACAACTACAACCACAACAACCACAACAAAGAAAAAAGAAAGAAAAATTATCCGCCCTTTGTAAAACACCACCATCTTTGATAAAAACCAGAGGTCGTGATTATCATAGAGGGCATTTTCTAGGGGAAGGTGGGTTTGCTCGTTGTTTTCAGATGAAGGATGATAGTGGGAAGATATATGCTGCCAAAACAGTTGCTAAGATCTCAATTAAATCTGAGAAGACAAGGAAGAAATTGTTATCAGAGATTCAAATTCATAAAAGTATGAAACATATGAATATTGTGCAATTTATTGATTGTTTTGAAGATGACACAAATGTTTATATACTTTTAGAAATATGTCCAAATGGGTCATTGATGGAATTGTTAAAGGCAAGAAGACACATCACTGAGCCTGAAGCGAGATTTTTTATAACACAAATTTGTGGTGCTGTTAAATATATGCATTCAAGAAGAGTTATTCATAGAGATTTAAAATTGGGAAATATTTTTTTCGATAAGGATTATAATTTAAAAATTGGTGATTTTGGTTTAGCCGCTGTATTGGCGAATGATAGAGAAAGAAAATATACTGTTTGTGGTACACCCAATTATATTGCCCCTGAGGTGCTTTTAGGGAAACATTCAGGTCATTCATTTGAGGTAGATATTTGGTCAATTGGTGTGATGCTCTATGCTTTGTTAGTTGGTAAACCACCTTTTCAGTCTAAAGATGTCAATACTATTTATGAAAGGATTAAAAACAGAGATTTCCATTTTCCAGCAGAAAAATATGTGTCTGCAGAAGCAAAAATTTTAATCCAAGATATTTTATCTATTGATCCAATAGAAAGACCTTCTATTGATGAAATAATAGAGTATGTATGGTTTAGGGGAATTTTTCCACCTTCTACTAGAGAAAATGTGATGGAGAGGAGACCTAATTATGAAGATATTCTAACTCTAGAAGAATCATATGTAAATTTCAGAAATTGCATGGAAAAATCGGGTTTGTTGGATAGAAACCTAAATGAAAATTGGAAAAAACATGCTATTCAACAATTAACAGATGAACAATCCTATAATCAAAATTCTCAAACCACCATCCTGCCCAAATCACTATCGCCAGGTGGAACAAAGAATAAATACCAAGAGGTTGTTGACTTAGAGACTCAAAGAAGATTGAATGATTTAGCTCGTGAATCAAGGTTACGTAGAGCACAACAATATACAATTAGAAAGAGCTTAGTAGCCAGTTCTACAAATGTGATTAATTCGGAAATTTCATTGAGAATTTTAGCCAGTGAATGTCATTTAACATTGAATGGTATATTAGAAGCAGAAGCACAGAAAAAGATGGGTGGTTTACCCCAGTCTAGACTCCCTGAAATCAAACATCCGATGATTGTGACTAAATGGGTGGATTATTCTAATAAACACGGGTTTTCTTATCAACTTTCTACAGAGGATATTGGTGTCTTATTCAATAATGGTTCTACAGTTTTACGTTTGGCAGATGCTGAAGAATTTTGGTATATAAGTTATGATCAAACTGAGGGGTGGGTAGCAAGTCATTATCTTTTATCAGAAAGACCAGAGGAATTAGCAAGGCATTTGGACATAGTGGATTTTTTTGCAAAATATATGAAGGCTAATTTAAGTAGAGTTTCAACATTTGGTAGAGAAGAATATCACAAAGATGATGTATTTTTAAGAAGGTATACAAGATATAAGACGTTTGTTATGTTTGAACTAAGTGATGGTACTTTTCAATTCAATTTCAAGGACCATCATAAGTTAGCCATCTCAGAGGGTGGTAAGCTTATTACATACATTTCACCATCACATGAAAGTTTCACTTACCCATTAGTTGAAGTTTTGAAATATGGTACTATACCAAATTTCCCAGAGAGTAATTTAATGGAAAAATTACAATTAATTAAAGAGGCATTAAAACAAAAATCATCGATTATTAAAGTAGATTAATAACGAAAAAGAAATTATTTATTTGCTTTTAATGACCAGAAAGCTAAAATAATGAATAGAGCTCATAAAATTGATGAAAAAAAGCTTTGCTTGTTAATAATTAAATAAGAGAGGAAACAACGATGAAAAAAATAAAGGAAGAACAAGAAGAAATGAAAATGAAAATGGGTAAATGAGAGTCGAGTCATTTTATATTTTTATTACACATAAATATATTCATATTCATCGGTTTCATTTGAAGACACTTAGACTAAATAAATGCATTCTGGATTTGTTTTTTTTTTCCCTTTAATTTTCATTAGTATAAATTGAACTGTTTCAAGGAATGGGCCATCGCTGTTTCGATTTGGAAATGCTCTAGTTGTATCTAAGACTAGATATTAATGTTTTTTTTCTTATGAAAAGAAAGAATAGAAAAAGAATAGAGACTCCACTATTCCGTCCTAGACACACATATATATCTAACTATATATATATATCATATCAATTTACTTTAATTTTATATCATTGCGATTAATTGTTGTCTCGCCACATTTGATGTAAAAGAAGATGAACAATAAAAATGTAAAAGGAGCCAGTGACCTAACGTTTTGCTCAATATGGGAAAGTAAAAAAAGAAAATTTATATATAAATCCTAGAAGTTCAGTTTTGTTTCCAGAAAAGAAAAAAAAAGGGGGGAGAGAAAGAGAGAAAGAATATTTAGGGTAAAAAAAAAACAAAAGAAAGGGGTGATGAAAGTTTGTTGTGAGAAGGTGGGATGACAGGCATGAAATTCTCAAAAATGTGGTTATGAAAGCTGATTGAAGGAAGAAGGGATTAGTAAGCACACACAATGAGAATTGTTGTATTGTGGCGCAGCCACCAATAAAAATTAATATTGCAATTGGAAGAAAGTAACTGTAAGACAAGGAAAACATGTTAAATATTAATGGTATATATCAAGTTCTTCAACGTTATAAAAGGTGCTCGTTAATAAACCCCCCCATGTAACTATACATATCCACGTTTACTTCCCTTTTTTTTTAAAAAAAACTAGATACTCAGATAACTTCTAACTCATTATTGTTTGACATAAGAAAAGAATTTATTTTACATAATATATAACTAAGCTCATATATTTGTAACAATCTTTGATTTTCTTTTTTTGTTTGTGTGTATGTGAAGAGATAAATTCAAAAATATTATTATTATTAAGCAATGGTTTTGCCAACTTTTAAAAGTTCAATTTCTACTCAAATACCAAAGACTTTTAAGTCTATTATATATTCGTCACATAATGCTGAGGATCCAACAAAGGTACTATCGATACAGAATTATACCCCAAAGGAAAATTTAGAGGATTCTATAGTTTTACGTACTTTAGCCTTTCCAATTAATCCATCCGATATCAACCAATTACAAGGTGTATACCCATCTTTACCTGAAAAAACTTTAAATTATGAAACTAAAGAACCTTCTGCAATTGCAGGAAATGAAGGGTTATTTGAAGTGATTCATGTCCCTAAAAATGGATCTGCGTCTGATAATGTTGAAGATTTGAAGCTAGGTGACTGGGTTATTCCATTACAAGCAAATCAGGGGACATGGTCAAATTATAGAGTATTTAAAAATCCAGCTGACTTGATTAAAGTAAACTCTTTAGATTTTTTTACTGCCGCAACTGTTTCTGTTAATGGTGTCACTGCATATCAGTTAGTTAATAATTATGTTGATTGGGATCCCTCAGGTAATGAATGGATTATTCAAAATGCAGGTACATCAATTGTATCTAAATTGGTCACTCAGATTGCTAAAGCAAAGGGTATCAAAACATTGAGTGTCATTAGAGATAGAGATGATTTTGATAGTGTTGCCAATACCTTGGAACATAAATTTAAAGCTACGAAGGTTATTTCAGAGACACAAAACAATGATGAGTTGTTTAGTAGACATGAATTACCTAAAATATTAGGGGCTAATTCAAGAGTTAGACTAGCTTTGAATTCTGTGGGTGGGAAATCTAGTTCTTCCATTGCAAGAAAATTGGAAAATAATGCACTAATGCTGACATACGGAGGTATGTCAAAGCAACCAGTCATATTACCAACGTCATTACATATTTTTAAGGGGTTGACTTCGGCAGGTTTTTGGGTTACAGCATTGAATAAGAAGAATCCAGAGATGAAACGTGAATCTGTTAAAGAATTTACTAAGTTATTTGAAAATGGTTATATTAGATCACCAAAGGACGAAATAGAGACAGTGACATGGGATACAAATACGATGTCTGATGATGAAATTCTTCAAATAGTTAGAGATTCTATAGTTAAAAAAGGTAAGAAACAAATGGTGGTTTTGAAATGGTAACTGTCTTAACTTGATATGTATGTGGGTGTGTGGATGTGTACTTTGCTGTTAATATCATAGCTGTAATTGAAAATATTTATCGTTTTTTAGTTAGATATGTAGTATTGTTTATTTGGATAAAAATAAAACACATAACTAAGTCTTTTTTCAATTCTTTTATTTCTCATTTCTTATCAAGCGTCTTTTTTATCTCTTCGTTGAATTTTTCTTTATCTTTCGGGGGTGAAAGTTTAAAAAAGTAGAAAAAAATAAAAGGGTTTCAATTTGTAGTCAGTATAAAAATTGAAAGGGGTAAGTGTGTAATATGATTAATGAGCAAATTCAAAACTAACAACTTCACCTTAGGTATTTTTTTGTTCTTTGCAGCCATCTAATTTGGTTGCTAGAAAGGTAACTGGATAATTTAGATCATAATTGACGGTAGTATTTCTCTGATGGATTCCATGGATACTCGTACCTACCAATTGCAATTAATCAAGCAATTGAAAAATGCTTTACAAGCCTTGTCAGTTGAAAATCAAGAATTTAAAAACGGCTTGATTGGTGACAATATTAGTGGTGAAAATATTAATATAGACATATATAACGATGATGAGTTAGTGAAATTTTCTCAAAAATTTATTGATTTTACATATAACAATCCAACAACATATCATGTTATTGATTATGCTTCGCAGGTTTTGAAAGAAAATGGGTTTATTTATTTATCAGAAAAGGAAAATTGGAATGATAAGATTAATGTTGGTAAATATTTTACAATAAGAAACGGTACAAGTTTAGTGGCATTTATTATTGGTAAAGACTGGGAAGAAACTAGAGGTGTCGGTGCTATCGGATGTCATGTAGATGCTTTAGCTGCCAAATTGAAACCAGCTTCTATTAAGGAAAGTGTGGAAGGCTATGAATTATTAGGAGTAGCACCTTATGGTGGTACATTGAATCATTTATGGTTTGATAGAGATCTTGGTGTTGGGGGGTGTGTTTTATTCAAAAATGAAAAGGATAATAAGATCAAAAGTATTCTTATAAATTCAACGCCATCTCCTATTGCCAAAATTCCTTCTTTAGCACCCCATTTTGGCAAATCTGCAGAAGGTCCATTTGATAAAGAAGATCAAGCAGTTCCTGTTATTGGATTCCACTATTTGGAAAAGGAAGACGATATCCAAATATCAGAAGAGGAATCTAAATGTCCTTTAATTGGCAAGCATTCGATTCATCTATTAAGATATATTGCAAAGATCGCTGGCATTAAGGTTTCTCAAATTGTTCAATTGGATTTAGACTTATTTGATGTTCAAAAAGGTAGTTTAGGAGGATTAAACAATGAGTTCCTATTTGCACCAAGACTTGATGACAGACTATGTAGTTTTGCAGCCTTGTGGGCATTAGTTTTGCTTTCAAAAACGGTTACTATAGATAGTTCAGACAATTTCACTCTCCTTGGATTATTTGATAATGAAGAAGTTGGATCATTAACCCGTCAGGGTGCAAAGGGGTGGTTAATGGAATCTGCAATTGAAAAGGTTGCTTCAGCAAGATTTGGAACCAAATTCAACAACCTTCGTACTGTTTTTGCTAATTCTATTATTTTGTCAGCGGATGTTAATCATCTATTCAATCCTAATTTTAAGGAAGTTTATATGAAAAACCATTCACCTAAACCTAATGTTGGTGTGGCTATTTCATTAGACCCAAATGCTCATATGGCCACTGATGTAGTTGGGCTTGCATTCGTTGAAGAATTAGCAAGAAAGAATGGAGATAAAATGCAGTATTTTCAAATCAAGAATAATTCCAGATCTGGTGGTACTATTGGGCCTTCCATTGCATCACAAACAGGTGCTCGTACAATTGATTTGGGTATTCCTCAATTAGCGATGCACAGTATTCGTGCCACTACTGGTTCTAAGGATGTCGGTTTGGGTATAAGGTTTTTTAAAGGTTTCTATAATAATTGGAGAGATGTATATGATAATTATGGAGACTTATAATGCCGAACTGAAATTGAATTGGTTTTACTTATAATTTTTTACTTGATGTTTTTTTTTTGGTGAGTTCGAATAGATCACTATATTGAATGAATTTATGCATGAATAATTAAGCTTTTTATAATTATATTAAGTGGAAATGTGTTTTTAATTCCATTTTTAGAATATAAAACAAAAAAATGAGATTATAGCAATAATCTTATAATAAATAAGGTTTGTTTAATTAATACCTTGATTAGAATATTGGATTTTTTTTAGTTGATAATACTATTATTAAAAATATATCGTAGACAGAGTAATAACAAAATGTTGATTAATATTTGAAAGTCATATTTCTTCAAATACTGATTAAACCCTGATTAATCTTACTAGTATTTTTGAAGAATATTGATCCCTGTAGCAGTAGTCTTGATTACATTCTTTTTAATTTTTTAGTATAGATTGTATTACGTGTTATCTTAAAACAATTAATGCAGAGTACGATATAGTATTTTTAAACAGAAAGTTCAAATATAGTAAATAACTACACAACTTTCAAATCTCTTGTAATACTGTTATGTTTCGATCAAGTAGATGTATCTTTATTATGAAAAGGTTACAGATGTGATGTTTATAAATGTTGAGTTATCTTCCCTAGTTTCTAAAAATCATTGCAATAATTTATGCAGTTATTGTTCCTAAAAATGTTAATTATAGATCGGGGAAATAAGTACGGTGTTAAACAAAGAAGGGAAGCTTTCATGTAAATTTTATTTCTTGTGTAATTGTTTTTGGAATTCTGTTTTTAGAATAATAAACTTCTTACGAATGATGTTTTGGATATTTTACAGTTTTTAAACTGCAGAAAATTGTTGAATTTTTTTTTTTTGAAATATAGCTTTAAGAGTATGTCGAGACAATTTAGAGAAAAAATTGTTGAAAAATACAGCAATTTATGCAACACATAGCAAGAGTTTATGGTGTTTCAAAGTTTTGTTATAAAAGAGTTTTTTTTATTATCTTTTGTATATATCATGATTTGATAGTCATGGATAAGAATATTTATGTTTTAATCTGTTCTTAAAAAGGATAAAATAATAAGAGTGGCTAATTTATTTGATTACATGTTTAGATTTTTTTGAATTAGTAAAAAGACGAACTCCTTGTCCAATACTGTAGAGGTCAATTATATTCTCGAAAATAATTAGTGCACAATGAGTTTACGAGTAACAAAGCAAACCGTATTAGAGGTAGAGGAAGTCTCGAGGAATGATGAGAAGTTAGTCACAAAAAAAATAACAAAGAAACTTTATACATGGGGAGAAATACCAGATTGGCAAAAAGATAATGAACATATTCTTAAAGGATACGTCAAAGAAACTAGAAATTTTAAGGACTGTATTGAAAGTTTATTCTTTCTTCATAATGAGACAGTTAATATATATTCTCATTTTATTCCTGGTGTTTGTTTTCTTTTTACCATATTTTTTAATAGATATTGTGTGAAATACTTTGTAACAACTACGATTATAGATTATTTTTTTATTGATCTTTTCCTTTTTGGTGCTTTTGTGTGTCTAATTTTAAGTAGTATTTTTCATTGCTTTAAAAGTCATTCATTAGAAGTTGCTGTGTTTGGTAATAAACTAGATTATATTGGAATAGTTGTCTTAATTGTTAGTTCGATGATAAGTATTTTGTACTATGGATTTTATGACAATTTGTACTTTTTCTATTTTTTTACAAGTCTTACATTGTTTCTTGGTATGGTTTGTGCTGTTGTGTCCTCTAGAGACGTTTTTAGATCTAGGGAATGGAGACCTTATAGAGCTACATTATTTGTTGTCTTTGGTTTATCGGCTGTATTACCAATATTGGCTGGTATTTATTACTATGGTTTTGCAGAAGCTTGGAAGAGAGTTCAACTTTCATGGGTTATATTGGAAGGTATCTTCTATATTTTTGGTGCTTTCTTATATGGAATTAGATTTCCTGAGAAACTTCATCCAGGTAAATATGATTTTTGGGGTCATTCACATCAATTATTCCATATTTTTGTTGTAATTGCAGCTCTGTGTCACTTAAGAGGGTTACTAGGGAGCTATGAATTAGTGCATGGACGTTTGCTTGCAAAAACTTAGAGGAGAATATATGTTAATAAGAGTACTGTAAAATATTGACATTGGTTATTATAATTATGAGACTTGTGTATCAATGCATACCCTTAAAGGTATTTTGCAGATTCTTGTTGAGTTATTTCTTGTGATGAACAATTTAAGGTAAGTAGTTATATGAAGTTTGATGAGAAGAGAAGTTTGTATTTATAAAAATGATTATAGAGACTTATAAAATTATATATAAAGAAAATATTATCTTAGACCTATAATATATATGGATAATGAAATCAGTTATATAAAATATTTGTAAATTCTCTATAACATAAGAGATTTAACTTGATAAAGGTCAATTATTTTGGTATAGTAATTTGGCATTTTGGATAGATTTTTTTCTTTTATTCATTATTAGGGTATTCTTTGGAGACATTGTAAACACCCTATTTATATTCCAAAGCAACAGAGATAATTACAAGTGATTATCAATACTAATGTTTGAATATTCGAATGTTTTTAATCTAGGACTAAAAGATCGGTATTTCCTTTAGGGTAGAAAATTAAGGATATATGCCATATATCAGAAAATGAGACATTGCTTATTGATACTAAGAGTTTCTTTTTTTTAATTAAAACATAAATTATGGAAATACGTAACAATTATTTCTAGAAAACCGTATTTATGATACAAAATTCTGTGATAATAAAGTGTGAAAATTATTTTATGAAAATGAATAAATTGTATTAATTAGTGTAAATTTAAATTTTCTTGTTTAAAATTATTTGGAATTAAATAATAGTCATTATGTTTTATTATTTATTAAATTTTTTTTTCAAATGGTAAGAATTACCTCATAAAATTAATAAATAAAATGTACATAACTGGGATATTTATTTCTAGTTTGTTGGTTAATTATCAAAAATATCTTAAATAATATTTCATATAATTATCAACATTTGGAAATTTATTAATCATTTTCAATATCATATATGAGGCAATAAACTTATGATTGGACTGGTGGTACACCATAATACTCAACAATTACCTATAGGTTTACATATTTATTAAATTTAAATACTGCTGAAATAGGATATTCAAAGATGAATTAAATAAGACAATGAAATATTAGCTGATACCAAACAATAAAAAATCAAGTATTTACTATTCAAATATCATTAGACATTAATAAAAGTATTTAATTAATTTTTTACTATCTATAAAGAAAAATTACTCACTATTCAGCTCTATATAGCTAGTTATTTTCATATTATACGATTTTTTAATTTTATTTGGATTTTCTCTATACTATTATTATTGTATTATATATAAAGAAGAAAAAACATGAAATTTATTTCAATTTGGTATGCTATTAACTACATAAATATATATATATAACATGATTAAAAGCATATTCAATCTACCCAATATATATAAACACTAATTATCAACAATATTGTATTATTTTGTAGTTAAATTGAGTTTGATAAATTAGTATATTTTAAAATTCCTTTAAATTCAGGAAAAAAATAAAATAAGGAGAAAGAAAAAGTAAAAAGGTTAAAAAAAAAGATACTTATTATATTCAGAAGTTGAAATGGAGAATGTTAAAATATAATAATTATTTAAATAGATAACTATATATAGATTGTGTATTATCTAATAATAAAATTTTGACTTTTTTCATTTTTAACCCGAGTAAAATAAAATAATTTTTCAGATTAACCATATCAATATATTTTCCGAATAAACACAACTAACATGTCAGATATTCGTTTAATTAATTCGATAAACAAATTATTTCTAACTTCTTTATTATTCTAGAGCTGTTAATTGACAGTAAACTTATTTTTTATTAGGGAAGATTTTTGCATTAAAAAAAAAAATAAATAGAAGAATAACGAGAAAAAATGTACGAAGAAAAGATATAATACTAATAAAAAGTTGTGTTTAAGATGTTAGTGAAATTGGCAGTTATGATCAATTGCTGAAGTTATTAATATATTTATTATTAATAAAATTCTTCAACTTCTCATATACTAAAATATAGAAATAAATAGATGTAAATATAAAATACAATTACATAAAATATTCAAAGAAAAAATTTAAAATTGTTTCTTTGTATTCATCACTTTACCCTTATATATGATCCCCACTTTGTAACCATTAATTTATTCTCACTTATTTCTGAGAAGTCACTCCCTTTATTGGTTTTAACCGCATTTTTATTGATAACGTCTACTTGTTCACCTCTAAGTATCATCCAAATTACATTTACAGCTTTTTCTAATATTTCTTTCAATTTACTTATATAGAATATAACTAATACACGTAGATTATATATAAAAAGAATTAAAAAAATAATGCAGATATAAATAAATAGAATATTAAAATAGATTTACCACTTAGTATGTTTACAAGAATCATATTCTACTTATCTTTTATATATAATTTGTATAGAAGAAGTCCATATATAGGACTAGAAAAGGTTATCACTCTATCCCAACCAATTAGATTTTAATATAATATTTTATTCTACCCTTCATCTCAGTCACTCGTTTTATAATAATGTTATGACTTAACTCTAATATTAAGATTTAAAATTTGTAATTCAAGTCTTATAATGCATGTAATTAAATTGTTCTGATCTAAATCTCAAAACTTTAAGCTTGTCTAAAAGTGACATATTGAATGTTTAAATGAAATAATATTGAACCTACTAAATGAAATAATACTAACACAGGCAAAGATATAAAATATTTCCTCAAAACAAAAGAGTCCGTAAACACAAAAGATTATTTTTGAATTACGGACAAAGGAGATTGTAAAAACAATTGAGAACCATCACAGAATCTAATTAGGAAAATTATTAATCCACACGTTTTTATGTAAATAACCATTATTTTAGTATTTAGAATTGTAGGCGTATCTGGTTTATAATTATATATATATTATCGCCTAGAAAAAAAGAACAACCTGGATTCAGTTTCATTCTCTATAGAAAATATCTTTATATATATACATTATTGTTATATCTGTCCATTTAGTAAAGCATCTTACTTCAAGGACAACAACTGGTAGCGTCATCTTGGTCAAATAATAAAATTAACCCTATCTGAAACTCCAACTAATTTGGTATTCATCTAGGCCATTAAGATCGCCCAACTATTTACAGGTTCTACTTATTCAGTATATACCTTACGTTAATTTTTATTATCTTTAGATATAAAATTTGATCTTCATCATGTTACTGATGATTTCCGTAAGATCTGTATTTTCGCTGACCATATTGGCGATAAAATCACTTAATGGTTTCTCAAATTTCCTGTTGGTTACGATATCCATACCACACCTTACCTTACTTTGGTATCACAATTCTCTGCCTCATTTAGTGCCCAATTAGACACTTATGATGTCAATCGTAAAATTTGTTCCTTGGCTCAACACAACAATATTGATGAATACATCAGAGAATTCTATCAGTATAAAAACTTGTCACCCAAAGGTGCGATGAGTGTACCAATATTAATTAGTTATTTTATTAAAGGATTAAAACCTGACACTATAAGGGCTGTTATCTTACAGACCTCAACTTTACTATATAAAGCTGCAGAGTTAGCTTGTAGGTGCGAACACTGTCTGTTAGATCCTATTTCTCTGAACCTTATAATTGAAGCTTCATGTGAATCTTCATCATTCACGATCAATGCTGATGGTGATATTGTTATAGCTATTCACACTTCCTAACGTAATCATAGAGGTTATTCTACATATCCTGCTTGTCCATGTTCTTCAAGGAGAGAAAGATCTCACAATTCAACTATCACAAAACCATCTTATGACGCTATTTTCAAACATAATAAAGAAGACCTACATTGCTAATGCTTAGAATATAAGTTATCTTTCAATTGCTGTAAGCCAGGTCACCGATCTAACTCCTGTCTAAATGCGAGCTTTAGCTAAATCAAGTATACTTCCAATTCCAGTATCTACCTTTTTTCTTTCGTTTTCTAATCCAATTTTAGTTCCAAATATTTTTTTCAAAATAATAAAAATCAAAAAATCCAGAAAAAGCAAAAACATTAGCATACAAGAAAACAGAGATCATTATGTCCCCTAAAGTATTATCCTTTGCCGTTACAGATATACCAGAAGTCAATATCATTATCAAAAGTATTAACAAAACAGATCTACTCGTAGGTACCCGTCGTGAACGTCAATGTTTTATAAATAATGTCAAAGTTCCTGTATTGTTTGGCACAGGAAGTCCCACATCACTAGTTAATGAAGATTTAGTCCTAAACAATGGTTATAAGCCCTATAATGTTCCACTATTTGTTTAGAGAGGCGCTATTGCTGGATATACTTCTACCATTACTCAAGCTGTCCATTGCGAATTCATAGAAAACAAAACAAGCTATAATTTTAAAGCTTGTGTAACCCATCTGTTAAAAAATCAAACCATGGGTGATAACCCAATCATAAAACATTACCCAAAATTACTGTCGGAAACTAACACTACCACCAATTGCAATCTTACAACTGACATTACTGTAGGAGCCATAGATCATATTTACGATACTGATGTAGAAGAAATTTTCGTAGTCCAAGTATCCAAGAATGAAACCACTGCTGACAAACCACACCATAAATTACCGTTAGAATTACGAGAATTTAAGGACACTGTTACAAATATATTACCTCCAAAAACTGGTACACACACTTACAACCACATAATTGAATTAAAGCCACATAGTCATCCTCTAAGACTACCACCTTACCGTTTAACACTGTTACTAGAAAAAAAAAAAATGCAAGAAGATTATACAAGAACTGTTGGATAAAGTATTCATAATAGAAGGCGGAAGTATATCTCATCATCACTATTATTAGTTAAGAGAAAAGATGGATCCTATATACTAGTCATAGACTTTAGATAGTTAAATGAAATAACCATCAAAGACCCATATCTGCTACCCAAAATCGACGATTTGATAGCCAAAATAGGTGACTGTTCCGTTTTCTCCACCCT